GTAATAATCATAACAATAATAATAATAATAATAATCACAATAATAATAGTGATAACATCAGCGATAACATTAATAATAATAATAATAATAATAATAATAATAATAATAATAATAATAATAATAAGAATAAGAATAAGAATAAGAATAAGAATAAGAATAAGAATAAGAATAATAAGAATAACAATAAGAATAACAATAACAATAAGAATAATAACTATTTATATGGCCCTTTTTAGAACAGGGTTACAAAGTGCTTAGAGGTAGAACATACAGCAGCCGACATTAATACAATTTCCCAAATTTAAAAATAATGAAATAAGTTGAAAATAAAATGAGATGCAATGAAACAAAATAAGATGAGGCAAGACTTCATTAAAAGTGAAGAACTAAGAGCTAGGCTAAAAGTCATGTCCAGTAAAAGCACAATTATGAAAATGGGTTTTTATACAGGTTTTCAAAGAGGATAAGGAACATGCTGGTCTCAACTCCCCAGGCAGTTTGTTCCAGAGACCGGGAGTCCTGACAGAAAAAGCTTGACCTCCTTTGTTTTTCAGCCTGGCCTGAGGAAAAGTCAGCTGACCCTTGGCTGAGGACTTCATGATATGACCGGGCATGTATGGTGTGAGGAGATCAGTGATGTGCTGTAGGGCAAGTCCAGACAGTGCTTTAAGTTTTCTGGGAAGAAAGTGACTGATCTTGGAAAGTCTTCTTAGCTGATTAAAACATGATTGAACCAATGAATTCATGTGCTTCTCCAGATTGAGGTTATCAAAAATTACTCCAAGATTCTTGCCGCTGTTATAAATATTTGCTGAGAGAGGCTGTAGATGTTTAGTGATGTGGGTGTATGCAGTTTATGGGCCAATTATGAACGTGTTGTTGTTTGTTCGTGTTTAGCTGTAGGAAGTTGTGGACCATCCAGTTTTTAAGGTCAGTTATACAGTTAAAAAGTAAGAATATGTGATCTGGGTTGTCATGACTAAAAGAGAGGTAGAGCTGTGACTCATCGACTTAGAAGTGAAAACCGAAGCTGTGTTTACAGATCACAAAAGGACAACATATAAACTGAAAACAGGAGTGGCCCCAGAACTGACACCTGGGGCACCCCAGAAAACAAATTAGCACTGGATGACTGTAAGTATTCACTTGTGACACTTAAAGACCTCTCAGTTAAATGAGAACAAAAACCACATAAAAGCTGATCCAGAGAAACCAAACCAGAGTTTAAGATTGAAGTAAAATTAAATGGTCAATAGTATCAAATGCAGCACTTGAGTCTGAAGGACCTAAAATTGAAGATTTCCCACTATCCACAGCCATCAGCAAATCATTCATTACTCGAAGCAGAGCGGTCTCTGTGGTGTGGTAAGCCCTCAAACCAGATTGAAAAGTCTCACAGAGTGAATTACTGCTCAAGTGTGTTATTATCTGATTTCCAACCACTTGTTCCAGAACCTTGGAGAGGGAATGGCAGTTCAGAAGTGGGTCTAAACTCTCTAACGCATCCAGGTCTAATAGTGGTTTTTGAGAAGTGGTTAAATGATTGCAGACTTGAAAGCAGATTGAACAGAACCTGTTAATAAAGAATTATTAATTGTAGTTAGAATACATGGACTGACAGATCCATATATTTAGTTCAGGGATCTTGGAGGTGGGAACTCAAGTGTTCATTCTGCTAATTATCTCAATGAGACTGTTAAATATAATTGAATTAAATGATTCTTTTATAGCAGGAGATGAAAATAGAGATGATTAAGTGCTGTGGAGGAGTAATCTGCTTTTAATGTTTGAGACGTTTTTTTACATAATAGTTTAAAAAATCTTTAAATTTTTTCTGGTTTAGAAACCAAATTTACAGTGGGAGGAGTCTTACTTATTCGATTAACCACATTAAAGAAAACTCTGGGGCTGTGTCGATTGGATTCGAACAGCTGCATTAAATATTAAGTTCTGGCATTTTTCACCTCTGTGTTGCAAGCCCCTCTGACAATTGCTATAGAAAATTTAATGAGTTCAGTGCACGTGTGACAGACAGCCATGATGTGCATAAGATAAAGCTTGGAAAATCTGAAAATCTTTGAACATAACTGAGCCTTTTGCAAAGGGACCATCTGGCTGCTGCCCTCAAACTCAAAAATGAAAAAGGGTAGATTCGAGAATCACACTTCTGATCTTTCTGTGAATTGAAAAAGCTGGTCTGATAGCGGTATCAGTGTTGGAAATCATGACTTGCTCCTGTGCTTTCGAGTCTTGAAAATGGATGTCTTTCTACTGATGGAAAAAGAGGGATAGATTTGGGGGAATATCAGGCAATGACAAGAGACAGAGTGGGTGGATATAGTAAAAAAAAAATAGATACATACTGCTCTGCAATAATAAAGGTTATATAGGATATTCTGCTGCTGAGATGTCGTGTTTACAAGAATGTGATTGATGTGAGTAAAACAGTGGGGTTATACCTTTAAGCAGCGCCGATTGAAGACAAAATTGAGACTGGTATTTACTCTAACGTCCTAAGAACCAAGTCATTGCCCCCCCCCTTTTTAAATATTAGTCCTGGGTGGCATCTTGGACTGAGTCTTGGTGGTAAAACATTGAGGTGTGGGCTGTATGGTTGTGACAGCACCATTTGGAGAACAAGCACAGCAAAAGGGTTGTTAGCCAAAGAAATACCTGGCCCATTGTTAAATAATCTTGAAGCAACAGCATTTGTTTGAGAATAAGAGAGTGTGGGACGACATTTGGCCCTGGGAAATGTTTTTTTTCCTCTTGATCGTACTTCTTACTTATGAAACTACATCATATTCCATTGTCCTGATCTGTGATATAAGCTAAGACATGTTGTAGAGCCATCTGTTCATTTCGTGTTACACTGAGCTTGAGCCAATATAGCTGAAGAGAACATCCCTCAAACAACATTTCAGCCAAAGCTGTTTCTAGAGAGCAGATTAAAATGAATGACATTCAGGGAAAGGGATGCTTTTGTAGAAGACTGGTGCAGAAAAACAAACAGAGAGAGTGGGAGCTTTAATAGTATCACAGCAGGAAAGCGAATCTGCTCTGACTAATGGCTGATCAGATTCTGGCAGATAACAGCCTGTTTGATGAAGGGCTGCAATCACACAATCACAGCTGGAAACGTGCCTTCATACCTGGCCGGGAGCGTTTGGCTATTTATTCAATTATGTTACATCAAAACTCTAGGGTTGGTTAAACAGTTTTTATGGATTTACTGTGATGTATATCTCAAAGTTTATGCACGCATGCACGCACACACACACACACACACACACACACACACACACACACACACACACACACACACACACACACACACACACACACACACACACACACACACACACACAGAAAGCCTTTAAAGACTTCTTTGTCAACAGTTTACTCGACAGTTGACTGCATTAAACTTTCATAGCCACAGCAAACTTGAGCCAGTGCTCAATTTATTACTAAACTGCTGTAAGTACAAATCCCCACCGCCCTCCTCATTGATTCCCATTTCCATCACTGAGTTTTCCTTCTTGTTTAGGTCACCGACACATCCACAATTAACTACCAGGGTCACAGCAGTATTATGTTTGCCATTCTTGCCCACTTTTGCAGGCAGTAGCCCTGTGTCAGAGCCTCAGTTTGTCCCAGTTTGGGATTAAGTTAGAGGGCATATTAAGTAAGATGTCTGTTTCGATCCACTCTAAATCATCAAAGATGAAGATTCAGTTAGGAGCGCAGTGAACTGAATGTCTGTCCAGGCTCAAGTCAGCCTACAATTGCAATTCAGCCCTCTACATTATGATCACATGTGTGTGTTAATTACTGTTAAATTTACAAGTTAAGAAAGCTAAATACAGACACAGTGAAGGTTGTTTTACTTCTTTATTTGAACAAAGAAACATTTCTCCTGTTATCACTCAATCTCTGTCTTATGCATCAGAGACAGCAAAGCAGCGCTGCATTGTGAGATAGTCTATGCCAATTGATCCAATTAAGGCGACCAATCCAGATGTTTTAAAAGTTAAAAGTGAATATTGCCAAGGGGGAAAGATAGCGAAGGATGTTGAGATAGCCAGTGTCGTTGGTGATTTTTAACAACGCGGTTATGTTGCTATGGAGGGGTTGGGATCATTCATAAAGATTATTGGAGGTAAGGTGAGATTTAAGTTGGGAGACAACAACACATTCAAGAATTTTGGACAGGTTGGAGATGGGTCTTTTTATGCCTATGGCTTTGTAATAGGTATAAAAAGGCATATACTTGTAAATGGCACATTTGTCTAGAAGGTAAGATGAAAACTGACTCCAAAAGTGTGTTAAGACTGCCTGCATACACGTTCGAACATCTACTGATGATCCAGAAAGCAGCAGCGTGACTAGACCTTAATAAACCTTTAAACAGCACATTAACTGTATGATTCATATTCATCCACTGGCATTCTTACACATCAAACCAGTGGGAAGACACCCATAGTGAGATGGCCCGTGGCAAATACTACTTTGAAAATATATTTTTAACTCCTGATTAGCTTTACTTGTACCAGCCTACAGAATGACAATATACCTTCCATTAAATTGTATATTTGTGTGTCAGAATTTGAAACCGAGTGCCAAAGAGGTATGATAAACATACAGTAATACTACTACTACTACTACCATTACTATTAATAATAATAATAATAATAATAATAATGATAATAATAATAATAATAATTTTTATACTACAAGGTGACATTTTTATACACAATTCTATACACTGGTTTTAATCATACATACTATAATATGATATTTTTATCATACTATTATATGACATTTTTTAACATATTATAATATCAATGCCGTAAACTATAGAATCCTGTCACTGCAATGAAGAAAACTCATCCTCATTCATACTTTCAATGCTGCACTGGTGGAGAACAGCAGTTGCTGTTTTTTCCGACAGCACTTGAACGCATCAGGGGGCGTCACGTGTTGTTTGCCTGGGTGCAAATATGGCGGAAGATGGAGAGTCATTGGAGTCTTGGCTTAGTAAGTTCATACTAAAACTTGCTTTTTTCACCTTATTCTATCAAATTATGAATTTACACCGAGTGCTTAATAACCAAGAGTGTCCGTAACGATGGTTTAACTCTCGCGACATGTATCGGCCGTAAAAGTTTCGCGTTAATTGAGCTGTTGTTGTCAGAAAGTCGCTAAGTGTTAGCCAAAATTAGCTGTAATGTCTGTGGTTGTACCTCGAATTTATCGTCAGTGTGTTGAAAAAGTGGCAAACACTCAATTATTACTCCAAGGTACGCGTTTGTATTTGCTGCCCGGGGTTATCGACGACCTTTATAAATATCCTGAGGCTTAACTTGATCCAAGTTCAGACTGAGCTGTCAATGACAACAACAAACCGGATCAGAGAGCAATTTGAAGGCAATGAAAGACATAATTTTCACAGATTTCAACGAAAGAAAGCATTAATGTGTATTATTGGTGTATTAATGCCGGAGGGGACGGTGCTGATTGAGTTTAATTCCTGACAAATTAATGTCATGTTATCTTAAAGCTACAGACCCATTAGCTCTCCGGGGATAATATGATTTATTAGTTAATATTGGCGCTATGCAAGCTGCATTTTAATTCTTCTTATTTACAGACAAAGCTACAAACCCCTCCAACAGACAAGAAGACTGGGAGTATATAATGGGCTTCTGTGACCAAATCAATAAGGAGCTAGAAGGGTACGGTCACATCTATTCAATAACCTCTCACACACAATGTTTGGTCTGTGTCCTCATTTTAGTAAACATGTGAGACTTATTATATGGCCCAACTATCTGGCTTGCTTTTGTTTTTTGTTTTAAATGTGTGATTAAATTTGCTTATGCCTCTTATATTTGTCAGACCACAAATATCTGTAAGGCTGTTGGCTCACAAGATTCAGTCCCCGCAGGAATGGGAGGCAATACAAGCATTAACGGTGAGACGTGACAACATTTCACAATATTTCAGCATCTTTACATGGGATGTTCAGAGATATTTACGTCAGCCTGTGCTTCTCTTGAAGGTGCTAGAGGCTTGTATGAAGAACTGTGGGCAAAGGTTTCACAATGAAGTTGGGAAATTTCGATTTTTAAATGAATTAATAAAAGTTGTTTCACCCAAAGTAAGTGGTTTTGATGTTTTAACCTCCGGTCATGTGCATACAGTTTTTTTCTAAAGATGTTTGGTGTGATTTTGAGCTGGTTATCTCTTCTTTTCAGTATCTAGGTGATAAAGTGTCAGAGAGAGTGAAGACAAAGGTGATTGAGATGCTTTACACTTGGACCGTCTCTCTACCAAATGAAGCAAAGATCTGCGAAGCTTATCAGATGTTGAAGTCGCAGGGTGAGACACCATTTTATCATGTGTATGTGCTACACACTGGTTTTTTATCTTATTTAATTCATTTTTTTGTTGTTTTTATAACCTTGATGTGTAGAGATGCACCGATCCATTTTATTCCAATCCAATCCAAGATTCACAGCGGTTCGCATGCAGAAATACACAGAAATGCAATTTTGCACTTAGTTTTCTCATGATATGTCCTGTAGCATCAGAAAAATGCCATATGAACATGTAGACAACAAGAAAAACATGATTTTTTAATTGGAGTGAGTCTTTAAGGACTACAAACTAAGACAGAATTTGGATCTGTTTGTAAAAGTCAGTCAGCCTTACTGACTGCATTTTTTCTTTCCTTTCTCATTTCTCTGTTTAATATCAGGTATTGTTTCGGATGACCCAGAAATCGCCCTAGACGCCACACTAATCCCATCACCATCTCCTCGACCCAAGAATCCCGTGTTTGAAGACGAGAAGAAAAGCAAGGTAGGGAGAAGAATTTTTGAGCTAAGACATATTTAATATACAAACATCCCATTTTACTGCAGATAGTGCTTTTGTCGTGATGATGATGATGTATTCTTCTATTAATGCTTCAAACTCTGAAATCTTGACTGTCTGTGTTTGTGTGACACATTGGTCTGTGTGTTCAAAGTGTACACTCACAGCCTCCCTGCTGATGACTCTGAAAGGAATTATTTGACATTTCTGAAAATAGCTGTGCTCACCCTTGCTGAGAGTAAGACCATAAGATCAATACATCACTCCCATGTAGCCATTAAATGTGAAGCTACAGACAGAAACGGAGGGCTCAGCGACAGGAAGTCACCACCCCACACACAGAGAGATACTCAAGTGCTCAAGGAAAGAAGCCGCGGCGCCTTTTTGATGGCTCATTTTTTTCAACGTTTGATGCTCCTTGACTGAGCCTGACACTAAACAGATTGATACACAAGTGGTACTAATCTTCTCAGCGCAGACGCCAATGTTGTATTTCTCCAAAACTGTCGAGCTGCTTCTTTAATATTTGAAATGATGCTCCTCATAAGCAGTGGTTGAAGTAAACACATAAAAATCTCACAAATGTCTCTCAAGTGGTCTGTCATCTAGATCAGTGGTTCTCAACTGGTGGGTCCCGACCTAAAAGTGGGTCGCGAACACGATCTGGATGGGTCACAAACAGCTGGTCAAAAAAGTAAATATTTAATGCAATATTTATTAGATATTTGATATTTTCTGTATAAGCAACTTCAGTAGTTGTCGTCCTCATGTTGTCCCCTTCATGTCCTCTGAAATGCACTTTACTCAATAAAACAAGTGGATTTATGTTAAAGATTAGAGTCTTAAAAGTTTTTTTGTGTAATAAAAGATAAATTTGCTTGGTATGAATTCTATAAAAGTAGGTCGCGACTGAAGGACCATGGGAAATTGTGGGTCCCAGAATGAGACCAATTGAGAACCACTGATCTAGATCAAATAAGTGAAAGGATTTCCTGTCTCTTTCTCTCCTTTCTTCTCTGACTTCACTTAGGCCTCACATGATATCATCCCAAAGGAAACGGTTTATTTTAACTTGAAACGACCACAAAATCTGCTTGTTTGTTGTTTTTTTACGCCCTGTTACCTCACCGGTCACTGCTCACCAAAAACAGGCCATTACTGCGTGTTTACTCTACGCCGACTGTGGCTGATTTATGAGTAAAGTTTGTTTTTTCAGGGTCTGGGAGCGAGCTTTGGTTAACTGTCTGTGTTTGTGTAATTTGAGGCTCTTGATATTGAGTGTGCCCTCTTTCTGAGTCAGCTTTCATCCGTCTTCAGAGATTGTCTGAGCTGCTGAAAAGCAAAAAGCCTGAAGATCTACAAGAAGCCAACCGGCTCATCAAAAACATGGTCAAGGAGGTGTGTTGGGATTAAATGAGATACTTGTTTTGTTTGAATTGTGAGAGGTTGAGAGAAGAAACTAAGTGCGCTGCAATTTTCAGATTTTATTCAAAAACATGAGTATCATAAGTACTGATCTTTTTTTTTTTAATCTTTAGGACGAGGTAAGAACACAGAAGGCTACGAAGCAAAAAGGAACTCTGGAGGCAGTCAACAACAGCGTCAAACTCCTTAATGAAATGCTCGCCCACTTCAGCCCTGAAGACTCAACAGATGGAGACAAGGAGCTCATTAGGGTTCGTTCTTTGTGAGATGAAGCTAAATGACCTTTGAGAGAATTTAAATTATATCTTTGGCATTGATTAACCTTTTTGGAAACATTGATACGTATGCTCGGATCTTGCCAATACAGCCCAGGGGGGTAGTGCAGCGTGATTCATTTCAAAAATTAACTGGAGCACTCTTCATGGAATGATAGAATATATTTAGTATCATAGTAAGTGATGATTTCTATGCATAAAAGCCACCTCTCTGTCTATGATGTCTAATATTACAACAGTTTCTGAAAAGGATTTAAGGTGTGAATATTCAGCGGTTTTCAAAATTCTTTTTTAGGAGCTGTATGTTGATTGCGACAAGCTCAGGCAAACCGTGTTTCAGCTCGCCACTGAGACGGAGGATAATGACAGCAGTTTGGGTAAGAGCGCCACGTGTTAAACACATTATCTTACTGAATTAAGAATGACTCGTAAAAGATGTCCTGCTTTGCACAGTGAATCGTGGATAAAGTTAGAGGGAAAAGTTTGTTGCACACAGAAACTTCACCTCGACCTAACCTTTTAAAAATGCGCTCAACAGGAGACATCCTGCAGGCCAGTGATGACCTTTCCCAAGTCATCAACTCCTATAAGAAAATAGTGGAAGGACAGACCTTCAATGGCGAGACTGAGGAAGCCCAACGAACACAATCATCCGACAGACAAGGTAACTCTCACCTGATGAGAGAATTCAAAGTGTTTTCACTCGTCTTCTCAAGTGTCTCATTCCTCTTTTGTGCTGTTTTATTTCTGCTTTCTTCTCTGCCAAGCTCTTTTGTATGAGAGGAGCTTTAGTTTAGTTTTAGATTTTGGTGCAGCAGGTGCGCCACGCATCTTTTGGCTCTCATAATAGAGCTTGGCGTGTTTCATCTTCAGGTGGTGGAAGAGGTTTCTGGCATTTCCACGACCAGCCACTACAGCCACATGACGCTCTTTGCATAGTATTGTTTTTTGATCATTGTCAGATTTTCCAAATCCAAAGAATCTCCAGATAGCCGATGTTGCTACTCGTGCTCTTTTTCGGATCAAGTTCCTTCTCCTCTTCCTCATGTTGGTTGGGCCGGGCTGCCTTCGTTTGCTCAGTACTGCCACTTATTCCCGCGTCCGCCATGACCACCGCCAGTGAAGCTGGTTCTTCTTTGTCGAAACTATGCCAAGCAGTCTGCTGGAAACGCTGGTGATTATAGGGAGCGCACCCAAACCTGACCAATCAAACGGAGCGAACAAACTCTGCATGACACACTAGTGAATATACGGAAACGCACCCAAACGGATGCGCTCCAGCTTTCTTGTTAGCGAGCGCAGACAACCACACACTGACTCAGAGAGATGCAGCAGACATCTACTCTCTCTCTCCAGTATATCAAAATGTCTACCAGTAGACACTTAAATACCGTCACACAGTTTATACTGTCATACCGCCCAACACTAACTGGGACAAACATAGTATCTGGAATCAGATATAGCTCTTTGGACCCCTAAAAAAATTATTTTATGTGCATGTCTGGTTAAAACTTTTCCTCTTGGCTGGACCTTTTTCTTTCGTCTTGTTCACAAAAATCTTGTTTTTTCATACTTCTTGTGCTTTTCTTACATGTTGCAGGCAGCAGTCACACCAACCAGTCAGAGATTCTCATTGATCTGGTGGGTCTGGACAACAACAATGTCTCTCCACCAGAGCAGCAACCCCAGATATCTTCTCCCTCTATCCCCGTTGACCTGCTGTGTGGGTCTACCACCACTGACCCACAGCCCCCCTGCCCTAGTGTTCCCTCTGCAGCAATGTCTCTCTTGGATGAAGAGCTGCTTTCTTTAGGTGACGCACACTTTTTCCAGAGTAAAATTGGACAGAAACTCTGAGAATGTCTTGTTGGTTTGGGGACATGACATATTTCTGCTTTTGTACAGGTCTGGATGAACCCAATCCTGTTACAAGTAAATCAACAAATGAAAACCTGAGCAATCATTTACCCACTTTACAGGTATTTGAATTTGGTACAATGATGAATGCTTAAAAGTCATTGTTTTTTTTTATTAGTAATAATAGTTTGTTTTCATGTATTTCCAGGACTTGGGAAAAGATTTGGATCTTTTTGCTATCTCTTCATCCTCAGTCCCGGTGTCCTCTACATATTCACTTTTCCCAGACGTTCTTTCGGCAACAACTAACTCTGCTTTGAGTAACCCCAGTAACATCCTGCCCACGCCTCCAGTTTCCACAGCATCTATTTTTCCTGCATCTGACATCTTCCCACAACCTCCCAGCTCAGTATCGAGGGCCTCTGCCCCTCTCCTCCCCTTGCCTGATCCTCCGGCCACCCCTGTGACTTCGCATCTGGTTGCTAAATTAGCTGGAGGCTCCCACTCTCCTGTTACTTCTCTGCAGGACCTTCCCTTGCTAAATCTGGGCAATCCTGAAAAGTGAGTAAAACTTTTAAAATGAAGCAGAACTCTGGGAAGGATTTGATCAACGCAAATCCATTATACATATGTCAGATGAAACATGTTTTCGAAAGTCCAATAACTGAGTTCATGTATTTTTTTCCAGCTCCAATTGCAGCACCGTGTCATCCCACTTAGAGAGCACTTCGTTCTACTGAGATACTATACCATTATGCTTCTACTATGAGAAATTTCATATGCATGTCAGTGACCACTTTCCATGTCATAAGGTCTCTAATACCCTCAGCCTCCTAAAGAAACGGAACTATAGCTACTTACGGAGACGTATTTAGTGCTGTAACTAAGCAACGTCCCTTAGAAGGGAAATGATTTGATGACTGCTGGGGAAGCAATTAGGCAGGTAGGTCTAACTCTGACCAGTAAGGTGTATAGGTCAGAACACAGGAAGGATGAGGAGATGATTACAAAGAAGGCCAGCAGCATTTATTTTTGTTGTGCACAGGTGAACTAAATTAAGTTACTACTACATGAGCCTGCAACAAAAGGAAACAACATAAAACAGTGATAAAAGGCAGGATATGCAACTAAATCGACAACCAGCCTGATTAAAGGCACAACTGAGGAAACATTCAATTGCTTCAAATTAGCTTCATTTCAAGTTTACCGGAAACATTTTAAAACTTACAGGATCGATACTCATCACACAACTGGAATACTACAGAAAAATACAAACATGACAGTGTTTCCCCCAAGTTATGTTACGTTATATTCGCTACTTGATCCATAGACCAAGTATAAGCTTGAATGTTATAATAATAATAAAAATGCATCAGATTTCATATAGCACTTTATTAGAGACCTTCAAAGCGCTTTAAATTGGATAAATCATTCATTCGCTCACACAGTCACACCCTGGTGGTGGTAAACTACCTTAGTAATCTCACCTGCCCTGTGGCAGACTGATGGAAACATGGCTGCCAATTTGCGCCTGCAGCCTCTCCGACCACCACCACACAACACTCACAATCACACACCAGTGGAGGACACACACTGGGAGCAAAGTGGGTTAAGTGTCTTGCCCAAGGACACAACGGTCAGACTCGGGATAGGAGGGAATCAAACTGCAAACCCTCGGGTTATTGGACAACCACTCTACCTCCTGAGCTACTGCCACCCCACGTTACCCTTCACATTAATGGAAGAGGGTGTGACAGGATATGATGCGCCTATTGATGACTCAAAAGAAGGCGACAATAACGTTGTGTGTTGTTGTGCTCACACAGTGCAAGTAGAAATCATTAGTGGCGCATTGATATTAATAATTGTGAAATTTTCTGTGGCGGCGCACCGCCGTTGCTGAATGAATGTAGAGGAAACACTGCATGAACATAAAATGACATCTCCCCCTATCCTTATTAACATGGCTAATGATTATGCAGTGAAAATGGGAAACAACTTACGTTATGTCGTTTACTTAGTTGTTGAGATATCGTCACTGAATCCAAAGGGAAGGATGGATGTCTCACAGATGCATATAAACTGTTGAACTATGTGCACGAACTACATGGAAACTTTAATACAACACATGTAACTCACAATCTTCTCCTCACTCTTCAAGACGAGTCTTTAAGACCTATGCTTGTTCCGATGCTCAACAAGCAGGATAGGTCATCCTTGCAGTGGGAGCATGATCTGTTAACCCTTTATGCCCTGGAAAGTCTGAGCCTTTTGTACAATGACTGTTCGTCAGAGATAGCTCCATTGCATTATTAGGTGTGCTTGACTTAACATAGCTTCTCTCTCTGAATCAGATTGAATGGATTATGCATAAATCAGACTACAAAGTAGTTAGGCTAGCTGTCAACTCAGATGTCACTTAATTTTACTTTGTGTCAGTGTAAAGTCAACGAATATCCACAAAACACAACTGCAGAGATTTGCTTTGACATCCAGGTGGTGTTTCTTCCATTCTTCTTCAGTTATCTGTTTTATCATAAGTTACTGCCGTAGGGGTCTTTTGTAATGTTCCAGCATTCTGTGGCTTTTGACTAACACACTTTGATGATCTTAACAGCACATCGAGTGCAATGGATTTTGGCAGCTTGCTGATCCAGAGTAAAGATCTTCATGCTTCAGCTACTCTGTCATCAAGTCTGGGAGTCCCCTCAGCCACGACTACCTCACTGCTCCCAGGAGCGATGCAAGGCAGGTCCGATTCATCTTCCCTCAACAGCCAAGCTGACGACAGCCCTCTTTTGCGTTCTCTGTCCCCGATCCTCCCTCTGAGCCAGCCCAGTCCAAGCAGGGGACAAGAGGTGTCCCTGACCGATGTTTTTGTCCCTCTGGAAAGCATCAAGCCAAGTGAGTTTCATGAAATAGACGATTTTTTATGTTTTCTGTCAATGTGTGCATTTGTTCCCAACCCGGGGCCCCCTAGAAGGAGCGCCAAAGATGTATCACTTATTTCTGTTGGGGCCTGGGGGAGTCCGCCTTCTTGTACAATACACAAAAGGGGACTCCTCTGTATTAGACACTACAAAGTGGGACACCACATTAAGTTGGTTTTTCATTGCTGTATTGGAATCATGCAAATTTATGCAGAGGTATGTAAAAAAATAAATCATATTGATCGATATCGATAATTATCGATATAATTATTATAATTATTTAACATATACTTCTCAGTAATTGTGGGGTAGCTAGCAGTTTGTGTGATATGACAGCCAAGACATCATTTTCCCCTGTCATTACCTGGGTCATTGTGACCGCAGAGTAGTGCCTGTTCATTTCCTATGAATAGGTCTCATTTCAACAGTATAATTGAGTTAGTGCACTTTCTTTTAGTCACACAAACAGTACCAGCAAAAACACTTCAGTGCTCTCAATAAGGAATATCATTTTTTACACCATGAAAAAACTGTTGGATGTCTTTTTCAGGCCAACAGCACATGAGAGTAAACACTCCATCGGTATACTTGAGTGAACATGTTACAGTTAATAAGAAACAGAAAAGTGAGTCACTTGTACAAGATACAAGTAATCAAATTAGTAACACGTAATCATGAGAATAAATAGCGACTAAAATTACTGAGCAAAATGACACCAGAGTTATCTACTCTTTTATTATCACACTTGTCAATTTTATGTTAACAGTTAACATCATCACCACATAATAGAGAATTCTAGCCCCTTGTCAATTAAAATACATGTTAGAGACAAAAATGTGACTCTTACAAAAGAAAAGAAGAGAAAATTCTGGTTTATGTTGCTGATATGAGCCCACAAAAAAAGAAACAGATTTGTCTGTTTTCTCTGTGTGCTCTGTGGGCTTTTGCTTTTCACAAAGACTGTTTTTCCCACATACACTTGATTGATCAGTACTGGCCGGGCTACAAATACACAACAAAGAGAAATCAGAACACATCCCAAGCTGAAAGCCCAGAGCTACAAATACGAGGAATCTTCTTCCTCGTATTTGTTGTGACATGTTTTTTGCTACCACCCTGGAACCATCCCTATAAAACATTTCTAACCAACATAGAGTGAAAGAGAGCTGTCCAAAATGTAAAACTGAAGTGATATCCTCAATTTTTTTGCAATGCTGAGAACCATTATTCTAGGATTGCTGAACTATGTCCTCAGCCTGAGTGGTGAACCTTTCTTTAATTTTAATTTTGAGACGCTCAGCCTCCCTAAAGGGCCGTTCTCATACCCAGTCTTTTACACATTCATGTAGTTAGATACAAGATTTTCCTCCTGGTCTTAAATTTAACATGAACATATGTTTTTCATAGAACAACTACAACATTTTATTTGTTGTTTTTGCACAATTTTCAATCAATTAAAGCAGGTCTTTAATTCTCTCTAACTCGCTCTTTAAGATTTGGGGTTGTAAATTATAACTGGAGATTAATTTCTGTATATGCACACAAATGCAGGTAAACTTTTTACTGTCAGGACCATTTGGTGGTTGTTATTCTGATTGCTGAACAAGACTGCCCCTCAGTGGTGATGGTGGCAAATTGATATCTCAAAGGGCAGTGGTCGGTATTTTTCTATAATCACTCTTGGCATTAATCACCAACATTTTAATCATAGCATTTGTGAAGGACTGAACTCTTTTCAAAAACAATATTTATTGCACTGTGATGGACTACAGGTGGTTGATTTGTCAGCACTTCTCCTGAAGTGAACAGAACATCGGCTGACTCACTTTCTGAGAGCTGTCATTGTCTGAAGCGGCCTGTTGATCTCAGTAATAATTACTCTGTACTTTCTCTCTGTGTTGTTTGTCAGGTCAGGTATGTCCAGTTACAGCGTATGACAAAAATGGGGTGAGAGTTCTGCTGCATTTTGCCACTGACAGCCCACCAGGCAGGCCTGATGTCCTAGTGATGGTGGCATCTATGCTGAACACGGCCCCTCTGCCCGTCAAGAATATTGTTCTGCAGGCGGCTGTGCCCAAGGTAAACAGTGCTGTGACTTTTCTGTAACTCCCTCTGCACTGGGAGCTACACAAAGAGCATTTATTATTATATGTGAACTTTTTGGCTTATGTTGGAAGATGGTAAAACCTTAGACTGTATAAAGAATGGACAGAGTCTGCCTCCTCGCTGGGTGAAGCCACTCCTAGAACAGCACCCTCTGTAGATGGGCTGCAGTATAGGTCATAAATCCCGCCTCCGCCAGCAACGCTTATGGAGTTGTGGACAAACTTTAGAAATTTATTACACGGAATATAAATTTTTCTCCCCCCTGCTTGTGATGTTGACATGTAGTTACAGTAAGACTGGTTTGTGCTCAAGTCCTCTTTTTTTCTGTGAAGCTCCGTTTTTAAAAAGTTACTAGGGGGTTCATGTTTTCTATGATTGACACCTGATACAACCTATGGCCGTTAAGGGATTGAGTAGCTCACCCAGGGGATACGCTGTTTGAGCCGAACGTCATCACAGCGACTCTTGGCGACTGCGCGCCCGAATGCGCGCATCGCTACTGTGGAGTGCTGGTTTCAGGGAATGAAGAAAAATCCTGGAAATACCGAAAGCTATTTGGCTTCAAATCTATATACAGGGGGAAGGCGGAACCAAGTTGTCCATAGTATATACAGTCTATGGGTAAAACTAAATATTGTCTGTTCTATAATAAGTGTCTGTTCTGCTAATTTTTCCAGACAATGAAAGTGAAGCTACAACCCCCCTCAGGGGCAGAGCTGATTCCTTTCAACCCAATCCTTCCTCCTGCTGCCATCACTCAGGTCATGCTGCTTTCCAATCCTCTAAAGGTACGGCTCAGTCTGGATTTTCAAGTATTCATGAGAAGTCATGTATTCACTGAAAATTCTTTTAACTATATCAGGGCATATCATAATGTAAGTGCAAGCTTTTCGCACAGTTTTGAGAGCTCTGTGGATGTTGCGATCAATCACTGACACTGACATAGCTGGAAATTGTATGTTGCATTATACTAGCATGCACAACCAAATCGAGCATGTCTATGTGTTTTTCAGGAAAAGGTTCGGATGAGATATAAACTGACGTTCACGCTGGGAGAGCAGCCACACACAGAAGTGGGCGAGGTGAATGAGTTTCCGCCTGCTGACAGGTGGGGGGCTCTATAGTCCTGCCTGTGCTGCACCATGACTTCTTTATCAATTCAGACTGTCAGAAGTTCTGCAGTCTACACAAAGGGTAGCATTGAAAAGCTTTTAGGGGGAAATTCTGAAACTCTTATATAAACTTTAATGGACCTTGAAGGATTGTTTTCTGCTTGAAATGGTGAAATGGCCCCCCTGAAGTAGCCACAGGCCTGTAGCGAACAACCATCTTTACTCCTGAAGGAAGTGAATGTGGAGCAGGAACAATTGGAAAACATTAGTAACGTTGAATATTGTTAAATTGACGAATATTCTTCCAGTGTTTCTCTTATTTTTGGAGACATACATGCAGTTACTGTAGTGACCGGATAAAAGCACAGACCGATTATTAACGGTTTTGCTCAGTAAGAATCTGTCACTTTTAGTTTTCTTTATTTAATGTTTCAAAACTACTACTGAACAATTGTAATTTTCATCTGAGGTCTGATACTACTTAAAAATTTGTATTCTTTTCAGTATTTATTATCATCACTGTATTTGTTTTAGTTTTAGACAGGATGTAATACTATTGACAACTCCTTCTGGTTGATTGACATGTTCAGTATTGCAGTAAGGAAGGCATGAATCAGTATCCGCCTGCCGGAGTGGCTTTATCGTTACCAGATATTTTATCAGCCATTTGTTACATAAAGTATGATGCAACAAAATGTTTGAGGAGTTGCGTGTCAAGCTGGGCGGTCTGGGTAGCATATTTGTTATTGATAAAAAAGTCTGATGTTTGGTGATTTTGTTCATAAAGTCAATACCAGCAGACAGAGAGGCACAAGTTGATCAAACTCCACGTTTGTCTTTGTACTTTGACCTGATGTACTTTGTAAATGAAGCTAAAGGAGAAGTTGGATTTCAGTGTGTCATACAAAAGTTTAGCTCATGAAGGATTCTATTTGCAAACTTTGGAAAATATGTTTTTAAGTAAACCTTGAGAGAATTTATCGATACTGAAAAGTTTGTGTTGAATACATAAGGCACTACTTACGTTTGTCGAAAATGGACTTTAGTTTTTCTTGGGCTATCGGCAACTACAAAGGGGAGATTCTTTATATATTTCTTATAAAATTATTTATTTGTCCTAGATTGTTATATAAATTTGTCCTTGGATATTTTTTGAAAAGCTATTTCTTTGCATGTTTCAAAAATAAAGATCAAGATATATCTATTTGTTGTACAATTTTCTCATATTTTTGCCTAATTTTTCAGCCTCAGTCCCAATATTAACACATCCTTCGTAAATTATATATGGTTTTAGTAATAAGCTTAAAAAAGGTTTTAAACTACGATTTAAAAAAATATGAATGTAACGGAGTTAAAAAGACTGCTCACACTTACGGAGTAGAGGAGAGTGGGGTAAGATGAGCCATTTTTCATATTTCGGATCACTACATCAAGGCAATCATAGTTTTGTCTCTAACTAGTGTATCTGCATATATTTCAAGATGTTGTGCATCCCTGCAAACCAACAGAATGAGTGTAAACAAAACTGTGTTGATGATATAGCATGCCAAAAAAATGGTCTCCTATGGTCAACTTACCCCATACACAGGGTAAGTTGACCATAGGAGACCACAATCTTCCTTGTCTTTACTTTCCCAGATTTTCATTTTTAAGGATATTGTAAATAATGGTGCTTAAGTTTACATTATCATCCTGAAGAAAATCTGCAGACCTCATACTGATGGGCCAATAATAACACAGATATGAAATGATCTCATGGGCCAGATATAATTGAGTTTGACACCTGTGCTTAAAATAAATGTATAACCCCTTCACCCATGTGCTTCTAACCTTCACAGACTCTATGAATTGATGCCCATCTCCTAAATATTTGGTCACATGATCAATTTCTTTTATCATCTCCAAACAACAGGAGGTGGCTCAACTTACCCTTTGGCTCAACGTACCCCACTCTCCCCTATAAACAAAATATAAATATCCATCCATATATATCCATCCACGCTTTTCATAAAATCCCCCTGCTTCACTCCCAACGCATCGAACAACTTTAAACTGTAGGACGAAAGCAGACATACACTTACACTGGGTGCGTTTCTAGCGAGGGTACGTGGAGTGCAGAGGGGGCAGACGACGCAGAAAGTGGCGCGACAGACAGCGCAGCCGCAGCACAACAGGCGCAGACGGACACAACAGCAGCCATGGCAGACGAAAAACCCAAGGTGAGGAGACGGTTTTGTAGCGGGATTCTCAAGGATGCGGAACTGTGTGTGGCGTTTCGTTTAGACGGCAACCTCGGCGGCCGCACGTGAGACCGATTCATCCACAACGTTTGATCGCGAGGAGGCTCGACGTATGGACACGGCGCGAGCTCGCACGCTAACTTGGCGGGTGCAGTTAGCATAATAAGCTAACGTGGCTAGTTTAGCCGTGCAGGATGGAAGAAATAAACAATCCGGTTGTAGAATATACCACAATTGGGTGCCGTCTACATACTGGTTTAACTAGTATTTGTTTGATATTGACACAATCCACTCAGTTAAGTGATGGTATGTGCAGACAACGGTTATAGAGCTACAGACATGTAGAGAACACAGACCTCTATGTAGGACCAAATAAATCGTTTGAGCGAACAGAGGATTCACTATGTGTCATTTTATTGAAATCTACTCACCAGCAACTCATGAATAAGTTTGGAGCTAAGGGAGATGTGAGCTTACCGTTGTTTGCATTGTGAGCAGGCCGGTGGATGTTACGAGTTGTAGGCCATCACCAAAAGCTCAAGTCTGCTAATGCTAACGCTGCATCTTCTTATCCATATTCAGTGACCACAACTCTCTTAAATTCATCTTTAGCGTGTGCCAGAACAAGATAGAAGTAACGATATCAACTCTAATCTGATCAATACAAGTTATTTGATGATAGGAGTTTCATGTGGATTAGTGTTATTGGTCTTACTAACTTCATAACACGTTCAATAGTTATACCAGAAGAAGAGGGGGGCATGCATTAAAGGGATATTCCGGCGTGTAAATTTGAGGTCAAACACACCGTAACACCGAGTTAGACACCCCCTCGAGAGATAAATGTTGCCGACTTGCTTCCCTAGTTATACCAACTTTAGTAACAACCGCATGATAGCAATACACAGCAGTCTGAGGAGCCATAAACAAACCTCAACCAAAACGCCACTCTAAAGCCACAAATAATGCTCACAACTTAACTTCATTAACAGTACATATAGAGTCCTAGCAACAGCACTAGGCACCAAACATCTTTTCAACTTTGCCTGATTTCTTTAACAAAGAGACTTAACACAACTCACCCGCTCTCTTCCAGCAGCCGCTTGTTTCTAGTGAGACCTCAGGCCTGTCCGTCACGGCCTACAGTGGGGTGACGCAGCTCAAGGAAGAACATTTATGATCATTTCTTCATCATTTCCTTGAAGTAATAATCACCACATTTATCATTTTCCACTGCAGACGTGGTAGTTCTTCTGCCTTAACGTCTCGGTCTTGATGCGTTTCCATGAAGAAATGATCATAAATGTTCTTCCTTGAGCTGCGTCACCCCGCTGTAGTCCATAACGGACTGGCCCGCTACAAACAAACGGCTGCTGGAGGAGAGTAGGTGAGTTGTGTTTAGTCTCTTCGCTAAAGAAATAAGGCAAAGCTAAAAAGATATTTGGTGGCTGGGACCCTATATGTACTGTTGATGAAGTTAGGGGCTGTTCTGAGCATTATTTGTGACTATAGAGTGGCGCTTTGTTTGAGGTTTGTTTATGGCTCCTCAGACCGCTGTGTATTGCTATCCTGCGGTCGTTTCTAAAGTTGGTATAACTAGAGAAGCAAGCGGCCAGAGACATTCATCTCTCGACGGGGATGTCTAACTCGATGTTACGGTGTGTTTGACCCTAAATTAATTTTACCCCGGAATATCCCTTTAATGTTACCAAAACTAATTTCTTTAAAGTAGATGTTTTTTCACATCAGTCTTTGAATGCATCTTGACTTTCTGCAAACTTTGATTTGTCTGTGTCACAGGAGGGAGTGAAGACGGAGAACAATGAGCACATCAACCTGAAGGTGGCAGGGCAGGATGGCTCAGTGGTGCAGTTCAAGATCAAAAGGCACACTCCTCTCAGCAAACTGATGAAAGCTTATTGTGAACGGCAGGTAAGACTGCAGCACAAATTCCGCTGCACCTCAAAAGAAGCTATTTTTAATTCCCTCACAGTGATAATAAATGGAACATGTACATATTCAACTGAGGACTAGAGGATCGGCTGAGGGATCCAGGATGTTCCAGCTAAACTTGAAATAGACCACAATCCACTTCATAGCGTGAAGTTTTAACATTGTACACATAATTCTCTCTGTGTCCAAACAGGGGCTGACAATGAGGCAAATACGATTTCGATTTGATGGTCAGCCCATCAATGAAACAGACACACCTTCGCAGGTAAGACTGCACCCCCTACATCCATCCTGACAGCAAAAACACTGTTTTTGGTTGGTGGTAAAATGATAATTAAATATCTATCAACATTGTTCCCCTAAAAGCAGAGTTCAGATATTCACTACATGTGACAAATGGGCTGTAAAGAGAATTGTTTTGATATGCCACGTGATCGTCGTATTAAATTCAATTGGAGCAGTCTCTAATCTAGACTATGAACAATTAATTGTGTGACTCATCTCAAGCTGAAAACAGACACAAGGCGTCTTTTTGGTTACGGGCATTTATTTCAGCTCCCTGGGTTTGAGCATGCCGTTAGAACTAAAACAATATAAAAGACATAATCTGAGTTTGTTAAAACTCCAATATAAAAATAACACTCTTCAGCACCAAATGAATCTCATGAAACATAACATTTACAAGGAAAAACCTTACTACATAACTCAAAATGACATTAACAGAACAGAAATCGGCCGCATGAAGCTGCGCTGATAAAAACTTAACTTGATAAACACGCTCCACACATACCTTGTTGGCCGCTTCAACTTGAAGGGAGAAAAAACGATCTTAAGTCTTCTTAGCTTCTTCTTAACAGCGCTTCACCCTCCGTCTTCAATTAATGTATCATGTGAACTGCTGTTCTCTTCCTAGCAGGTGCTCTAATTAGTGGACAAACCCGGGGTGTGTCACAACAAAAACAACCTGACCCTCCCTTAGCTCTGCACATCAGTTCCGCTTAACTTGTCAAATGCCCATGTAAATAAAATAATATTTATCTATTTAAACAACACAAGATTTTAAGCCATTTTAACTTAACTTATTTTGAACTTATTGACTTATTTATAGAACAAAAACAAAAACTCATACAAGTGACCGGAATTTCACTGACGGCAGCTACAAATTGGACCGTATCTTTCTTTGTTTTGGGATATGCTCCTTCCATTTCGCTCATTTTTAAAATGTCCTAGGCCAGCAGAAAACAGACAGTTGCTGATTTAACCTAGTTTGATTACGGATCTGTTCTATTCAAACAGCAACCTGGAAATTAAGTGATCCGACACCCTCTTTCCTAATGCCTTTTGTGTTTGCACGTGTCTAGAAGTTTTCCGGTGCACTCTGTCATTATTGTGCTTTTCAAAAGTGCAATGCATGTAACCCTCTTTAAAAAGTGCAAAAGAATAATCGCTAGAGAACTGTTCGTCAAATTAATTCATAAGCGTTCCTAACATACTCTAAACTAACATTTTGTCTTTTTTACAGCTCGAAATGGAGGACGAAGATACGATTGACGTGTTCCAACAGCAAACTGGAGGCTCTTCTCTTTAAAGACTATTGCCTTCAAACACCCCTACCTCCCCGTTTCCTCTCCGAATCTCTGTTTTGTCCGCTTTTCAAATGCTCATGACCAGTGTCGATACCATCCAGTGGAATACTTTTACAGAATGCTCAAATGCAGCAGCACAGTAAGTGTAGATAGATTTAATAATACTGTCTTTTGTATGTTAACATGTCCGAGCTGTGCAGACAACTTGTAAGCTTCAGTGGCTCTAATGTGCAGAAGAAATCAAAAGCTTATGATGATTTTCCCCCCAGAAGCTTTGGAGGAAACTCCTCGGCCCCTGTACTTGTTTTTATACTTATGTCATCAAAGTTTTGAGTTAGATGGAATTTTGTTGTTGTCTAGTAAGCCTGCATTTTAAATTCACATGGGTTGTTATGAAAATGTATTATTGGAATAAATTGAGTCGTTTTTTAACATGTCTGCGTTATTTGTGTTCTCAAACTCGAGGGAACTATTCACTAGTGGAGTGCTCTCTGGAACTAAACTGTGATTTTATCTGCAGCAGGAAACTTCTTGACCAGGTGTGTGTTCAGACAAATGATTCTACAAAGAGGCTGTTTCTGCAAGAACTGACTTTACAATTAAAATTGCTCTTCCAGGATTTATCAGTCAGACCCTCACCAGGTTACAAGTTAGCACCCTGAACTTTAAAAACCTCTTCACCTCCAGGTTTTTGGTAAAATTTACATCATGTGAAATAAGATAAATCCCCAAATAAGATTGCAAAATCCATAAAGCTCCCATGAGTTGGTCAGTGTTTATGTGGACAAAGCAGTACACCCTATCTTGTTGCTGATTGACTCGTACATTTGCAAGTTTTGTTTTCTGACAGTCTCATTCTGCTTTCTATTAATAGCAAAATGTAGGAAATTTTGGATGAAAGAAGACTTCTACAGCACATCACTAGATCCTCTCATCAGACACCTGCTACTTCACAGGCACTAAAAATAAGTTGTCGGCCTCGTAGGTGATCTCAAAGCTTTGCTTTTGTAGGTCATAAAGGAGCATTTCTGAATGGACCTTGTGACTTAAATTTGATTATTAATACAACTATGATCAGGCAGGTGTCCAAGACTAAACTCCTGGGTGTTAAGTTAGACAAACAGCTCTCATGGTCTGATCAGATCAATCATATCGTGTCCAGGATGGGCAGAGGTGTCGCTTTGGCTGGAACGTGTGCACCATGCTGTCCACCCTCGGTCATGAAAACAGTGGTCCAGTCCCTGGTTTTGTCACACCTGGAGTACTGCTCAGTCATTTGGTCCAGTGCTGGACGGGGGCACTTGAAAAAACTGCAGCTTGCCCAGAATAGAGCTGCCAGAGTAGCCCTTTGTTGTGCGTATAGAATGTGAATGAGATACACACCGCCTAAGGGTGGTTAAAGGTACAGAACAAGCTAAATATAAATATTCTTCGCCATTTGCATACTGCCATATTCAAAGGGTATCCAACTTTCTTTGTGGACAAATTGGTGTACAGTGGCTATTGTCATCAACATGTCACTCGGCAGGTCAGCTCTGGTCATTTAATTGTTCCATTCTCCAAGTCTAATTGTATGAAGAAAACCATGTTATTTAGATCTTTGGAAATGTGGAATCAATTGCCTAAGAGCACACAGCAATTTAGAAGTAGGTATTATTTTCAAAGGACTTCAAAACAAAACTGTATGTATGAATGAACTATAAATGCATAGATTTTGGAGCTATTTTAATGTTGTGAAGAATCATGAATCTGTGCTTGTATTTATTATTAATTAATTGTTGAAATGTTATTTTACTGTGATTTAAGCTTTTGGACCCCAAGAAGACTAGCAACCACTTTGTGGACGCTAATGGGGTTCCAAACAAATAAACTGAATTTAGATGTTTCATAACTGGTCAAAAGTTATGTTAAAAACTCAGGGGCTTTCAATACATAACCTGTCTCAACTTTGCAGTCACTTTTTTGTGTATCATATTAAAAGTTGGCTTTATATAGAGCTTTTCACCTGTTTTATAGGGTATGGGTGGAACTAGAGGTTGAAAAAAGCCCTCCTCTGTAACCGCATCCCTGAGAAAACCAGGGATTTGGTCAAGCGTTCATCTTTAAAAAAGACACAGAAAAAACATTTGCAGACCGGATGTATAATTTTTTACCTAAAAATCTGTTTAAATTGTAATGTCATTTGCAGTCCAAATCCAAGGTTATGAAAAATATCTCAAAATTATAAATCAGGTTAAATTATTGAGGCACGATTTGTTTCAAGTTTGATGAAACTGAAACCTTTGTTTTATAAAGATTGTCTTTTATTCTGAAAATGCCACCGGAAGTGTATCGCTCTTTGTTGTTAACATTGACGGGTCCACACAGATCCAGACTTGGGGTGCCAGGTTGATTATCAGAACAACCGGCTGCGATAGACAATGATGAGGCGGTAAAGCACTCTTATTCAAAGTGTAAATCGTGTATTTCTCGTCAGATTTATAAACACTCACGACTTCTCGATCAAAATGACGACGACCACGACATTTCAAGGGATGGAGCCTGGTTCAAAAAGCAGTTCAAGGTAAAAAGGCGTCGCTCGGAACGCTTCACAAATCTATGCTAGCCCCCCTTTGCAGCAGCCTGTCAGCACAGCATCATGTCTCTAAAGCTACACAGGTTAATGTATATTTGTGGGAACACATTTCCGACCCCTGCGTCATGTAAGATGCTGGATGTTTGAGGAGGATGTTCCTGGATTAGCTCAGTACCACACCTTCCTCATTTGTCTCATATGAATGGACCATTTTCATCTTCACGTAAGCTAGCAGGATAGCACACACATGTACACTCCCCTTTGTAGCAGAGGAGGCCATCCAGACTAGTTAGCTCGACTCTAAAGCGGCTAAATTTTGACCTTTTTCATCGACAGTGTTCCTGTTTAGTCATTTCTCTTAAATCCGTTCATTCCTCGATAATAATGATTGATCATGTCCGTCATTTCAACAGGGTGGGGCCCCCACGCGGATTTGAGATCAGTTCTCGACATGATCATTGTGGTACAATAAGACATCCTTTATGATGAGCTTGTCCTGCAGACAACCTCATAGAGAAGAGAGCCATGTTACAGCTGGTTTAAGTCACACCCTACAATCAATCAAATAATCAATCAATCAATCCAGACACTCATCAGCCTGTCAATGTTTATTTAAATGTCAACAAATGTCCAAAAGCAAATTGATAATAAGAGAAGGTCAAGACAACACTCTTAGGCTGTTATCGAATTCATCTACTTTACTAGCTAGGGATGTAACGATATGTGACCAGAATTATCACGGTTATCAATATTATCACGGTATTGATGAAATATGTTTTAAAAGTACATAGACACAGCATGAAATCATTTAACAAAGTTTTATTTTGAAAAATCAATCAAAATAACAAGCAGAATGAACTTTTCCTTAACCTTAAATAACAGAGGGACAGTAGGCTTAAAAAATTAAAGATGGGGCCTAAAGTAATGTGCCAGTGGGGATAAACATTAACATAATAACAAATAAATAAAATGACATTCCTTATTGTGCAATTTGTAAGAATTTTCAGTGCTCAAAAAGATGTACTCTTACAAATATAAAACAGAGCAACACTACTTTATGAAAATTTCAACCACATGTAAACGCAAGGGGGAAAGTTGGTGTTTAAAATAACATAAAATATGTAAACTAATTGGATGAACCACACCGATTGTCCGTTTTCTCCATCATAAGATGCTGCTGCTGACTTTGTTCATCACTTGAGATTGAAATGTAAATATGTCAGCTTATTTACTCTCCTGGTTTGAGAAGTGATCTGCAAGGGGAAACGATGTGTCAGCTGGCACTGAATACCCCACTGGATGACACGCTGGTTGCTGGGATGCACAGAAGCTTCCTGGCAACCCTGGCAACCCTATGTAGAAGCCGAAATACGCCCAGACTTCGGACTTTGTTTTCTTTGACAGTGGAAAAATCTCTGCAACATGGTCGGCAGAACTGCCCTCCGCCATGTTTACAAGTTGTATACTGCGCAGTGCGTGTGCGCACCTGTGTCTGAATGACTGCTGCATACTGCTGCTCCTCTCAACATTGAGCAGTATCACTGTGAGCTTTCCCAGAGTGCGGCAATCAATAATATATATTTGATCATAGAGAAAGCATTTTTTTTTAATTGCTCCTGGGGGCCCCCTATTGGCTGCGGGGCCCTAAGCTGGCCCATAGTTCGCTTATGCCTTGGCCTGCTAAAAACCTGAAATATCACATTTAAATACCAACAGACTTCAAATTGGTCCCATTTATTTAAAACTATTATTCCCATGTTTCAGCAGTTTTGGCCTTTTGAATTTTACTTTTACAAACAAAAACCTTTTGTACAGAAAGTACAACAGCTGAACAGTATTTCCTGTGTGTACTGATTCAGTGTTACTTCTTACTTTACTGTTTGTTTGCATGTTTTTTGTCTTTAATTGCCACATGGTAGTGATATTTAAAGCGTTTTCTGTGTATTCACACCAGCATGCCTCTTATTGAATTTATGAATCCAAAGCAGCCAAAGTTGCAGTTGTTTGGAAAAAGTGAAAAAAAAATGTTAAATTGAAGAATATTTACAATTTTCAATAATGATTGAATTTGTTCCCAATAAAAGACGTTATAGGACTACCTAAATAAGATGCTCAAATTAACAGTAAATTTGAAATAAGCAACAACAATCATAGATAACTAAACTGATACACTGTCTTAGTTTTGCACCATAACAATTAGTATCAGCTAATGACTGGACAACTTGCCTCCATTGTGGCCCAAAAAAAACATCTCAGTAGAATGAGTTGGTGCCGCCAAAATATACCCAGAAGTAACCTTGCTGCCTTATCTGATTACAGAGACGCACATTAAACTTACTGATAACATGTTTAGGATCCTTCAGGTCAGTTCAGTCCACAGCAGAAGAGATTATTGAATCAACTTGAAGTAGGTAGGGTTTATGACAGCAGGAGCTCTAACTGTTTTGGCTTCACAGTCAATGAACACCCAACATTTTTAAAACACAGTTTCTCAGTTGTTGATCTAGTGCATCACCTCTCTCTCTTTCCCAGGGTTTTGCGTCCTCCAGGTGGTGGCTCCAATATTTCGTTCGGTACAGATGAGGAGAAACCCCCTGTCCGGAAAGACAAGATGGCCTCTAGTGTGTTTGCTGAGCCAGAGGACCCCTATGCTAATCGAAGGAACAACCCGCCAGGTACATTTTCTGCCAAACTCACTGCTTTTTGTGTACTCTGTGGTTCATAGTTACATTAATGACACCAGAGCACCACTCCAGGTATGAAGTCTGGGACGTGTTTTCGTTGTTGTTTATGAAAAAACGTGTTTTTACTGTATCATTTACTGTTCTTCTGTGGCCCAAAGCTGCTCAAAAACTCTGAATACATAAAAATAACAAGCTAGGTACACTAAGGGCTTCATTGATCTCCCCTTGAGGCATGTCCTTAAAGTCAATCTCTTGTGCTGCTCTGCTGATTTGGACTCTTTTCAAGCATGCACCAATCTGAAATATTCATGTTGAATCGAGCTGCCTCAAATCTGTAATGGATCACAGATTTAATCTCAGAAAACACACACACAAAGAGAAGTAAAAGGTGAAGGAACTTGTTTCAGGGATGCTAATTGGCCTTATTTAGCCTTGCTGGTCGTTGCACAGAAAAATGTGAAAAGAGGAAATGTAAAAAAATAAAATAAAGCAGAAGTGACAAGATGTTCGCAGGGACTGACGTGTGTCTGGTTTCCTGGTTTCCACTCTGTTGAGTACAAAATACTATTTTTTTCTTACTGTAGAGTATTTTGTGCGTATTTCTTTGTTTCCAACCTCACAGCAGTGTGAGCAAGACAATATTCATCAAATATGAATGCTCATATATTATAAATGACAAATAGATATATAAACAAAGTTCAAGGCAGCGTTGCATCACATCTTCTAGGTCAGGTAAGGTGCAGCCCATCTGTTGTCACAATTAGAAATAGTAGTGGTAATTACAATAGAAGTTTTGTCCAAATGTCCAAAAACTAGAGCATGTTCCAAACTCATTAACACAAGCTGTCAGTGTTTTGGTACCTTTGCCTTCATGTTTCAGACTCATATCAAAGGAGAGATAAATAGCAACATATCAGTCCTGCTGGTTTTCTGTCACTGTCATATCCAAAGTTCAGTGATGGTTTCACAACATTAACCTAGATTCATTTCCTTGTCATTTACTATTCATTTACAACTCGAGGAGTTTTTAAGCTCTTGAAAGAAGCCAGTTTAGGAAAGACACAGCCTATGTTTGACCCTCTTAATTATACCTGTCAAGAATATGTTTAAGAAAGCAGGGTAACTGAATTGAAACCAAAAGATGTTTTACTTAATGCTCATTACATTTGGTCATTCACCTGATTATATGAATTTCATATCATAGAAAATGTTTTTAAGCTGTTTCTTGTGACCATCTCGTTTAACTGAATGGTTAGGAAGAGGAAAAAATCCATGTTAGAGTTAGGGCAGGATTTTTGATATCATAAACACTCCAACAAGTGGGTGTGTTTTCTGTCCACAGACTGTAAACACAGCACCAGTGGGGTTCAAACATATTTAGTGGCACCAGCTGCATATATAGATTGAATCTGCTGGTCGTCTGTTTTTATGATCCACGGCTTTGTTTTCAAACTACAGCATTTAAAGTTTGCTCCAAATGATGAAATAAACTCAACAGCACTCAGAATTGTGAAGACATTAAGGCTAAAACATACAGGATCCGTTTTGAGCGCGTAACATCAGCGTCGCGTATCACGCAGCAAATAGGTTGTGATTCTAAGCAATGCAGCATCCCTTACAGGACACGTATCAGCTCCATCGCAGCTCCGTATCAGAAGCGTATCGAGCGCGGCTCTGCTAAAGACACGCGCTGAGTTTATTTTTGCTGCTCTACGCTTCTGATACGCATCAATATACACAGAGAAGATTGTTCTAGACAGGAAGTCAAGCACAAAAACATGTGCTTGTCATCCGGTGTTTCAAAATAAAACACCATATGTGAACTCTCGACTGTGTATCAGTTTGTGTAGATGAGAAATACTTTCTGGTTTTGGATTTATCGGTAACACAGAACAATCTGATGGTAAATCCCCGATCCATGTGGACCCCAACAGGACTTTGAACTACTAACTCTGTCTGAAGGTAACAGCACAGCTTAAAGCAGCATAGTTTACTATATCAAACACGGGTAAACCCACAAAAACTGAAACTTTAAAATCACGTTGCTTTTTCACATACAGTAGAGGCTCAGCGGTCACTGAAATAGACCACAGAAAGGAGAAACAACCTGTTGTGAGCATGTCGTTTCCTCTATCCTGAGCTCAGCTGACCGGGGCTGCACTACGCTGCTGACACACTGCTCCAAATACATATCCTGTGATAGACAGCGCTGCTCTACGGAGCAAATACGCGACGCTGACAGAACACGCTCAATACGGATCCTGTTTGTTTTTGGCTTTATGTTTAAAATGTTGAAGTTAAACTAATTTTCTGACACGAAAACACATCAAACTTATTTCTTTCCCACGAAAATCCAGCTGTATGCAAATTCCGACCCCACTCATGCGCATGTTTCCAAGTGACCTTTCTGACTCAAACAGTGACATTTTCTTCCCTCACAAAGATTTTAAGTAATTGAAGTATTTAGTAGTAAGGGATTGGAAATTAATTAAATGCAGAACAGTGAAAAGTTCTAATACGGAGGCCTACACAGCAGCATGTACTGTTGTAGTGGCATTTGTAATGAAAGTGAAACTATCCCGGTTTGAAATTTCCCACAGTGAATCCCAAAGGAAATGTGTGGGAGATGTTTGTGTATTCCAAAATTCCAGCATAATAGGGGTTTGGAGCAGATATGATACGGGTGGACTTCAATTATGAGGTCAGTTTCCTCTGTGTGACCGAGAATTCCCCTCACTGCCTCCATTGTCTGAGACAGGACTGTGATTGTGTGACCCTTGTTTTTAATTGCCTCTCAGAAAAACCCTCTTCTCCACCCTCAACATTTAGGGGAATTGGTGGGACTTGAGTGAATTATTGCATTTATGATAAAATCTCCAGTTTTGGATTGGATTGCCTCACTGTGTCCCATGTTTTGAAGGCTCATCTGTCTGAGCTGTTATGTCTCCTTGTTCCTGCAGGTGGCAGTGCTACAGGTGTGCTGTGTGGTGAGCCGTCAGCTCCCTTAAGAAGAGGAGGGAATCAAAACACTAACCACTCTGCGGACGCTCCTGCTATGGTAACATTAGGCCTCATATGATCGGTGGTCACATGTTAGGAAGTGAAAACATCAAGCAGACAGAACTGTTAGGAAGCAGCTATCATGAAAGTTGTTTCACTTCACAATAGTGAACTTTATATCATGTGGAAAAGAAAAAGACATTTCCCCATGACATTTACAGAGAAATTACCCATGAGTTGTGTCTAAATACTAAATGTCTGCCTTTTTTTTTAGGATGGAGAAAACTGTGTGCATGTAAATGGTAAGTGTGTGTTCTTTTTTTTCTGGTCACACCACCCGGTTTTTTAATATTTGGATCAGTGAAACACCAGAATGTCATTGGAACTTATGAGAAAAGGAAGTGAAAAAAGGGAGTGAAGAAGAGTTTTCTCATGTTTTTGCACCACTTGTACTCCTAACTTGAATTAATCCAGGTGTAGTTTTTGAAATAAACCATCCAAAACATGTTTTTATATAAATTATGGGTAACGCTTTCTTTTACGGTACACTTATTACCAGGTAGTTAACAGGTAATTACCTAGTAACAACATGACATTATCTGGTAATTACATGATAACTACTAAGTCAATACTGTCTAGCGACCAGGTAGGTAACCTTCCATCATCATACGAATTGCTCTGGTATTTCCAGGATTTTCTCTGCTTCCTGGAACCAACATTGCGCAGTAGCTTTGTACGCATTCGGCGGGTGTGTCGCCGTGATAATGCTCGGCTCAAACAGCTTATCGCTTGGCAATCTTCACGCCCATAGGCTGTATCGAGTGTCAATCATAGAAAATAAGAACCCCAAATAACTTTTGAAAATGGAGCTGCTCAGAAAAACGAAAAAAGAAAAACTAGACAGTATTGACTTAGTGGTTATCATGTAATTACCAGATAATTTCATGTTGTTACTAGGTAATTACCTGATAATAAGTGTACCGTAAGAGAAAGAGTTACCAAATTATGTATAATTTCTGCTCCTTGATTTCCTATAGAGGTAGACAAAAAGTGTTAATTGTTAATTTCCAGGCTAAGAATATGGATTATTCTGCATAGCAGTGTACAAAGTTAGTCCTTGTGCACATGGAGTGTAACTCTGGTTCATTTTATAACTTGTATTGGTGTTTATTTTACTTTTTTAACAGTAATATTACCTATGCAGTTTTAACAAGGTGAAGAAAGATAAAATTGAATCTGTGTTCGGAGAGTTGGTAAAGATTTGAGATATCCACACGCAAAACGACAAGGAAGTGACAAGAAAACAAACAAAAAAAATAGTGGCGCTAATGAAACACAATCAACTTTTAAAGTGCAGGAGTAAGAAAATGAGATGTATGATTTTCTCTCATTCATATTTCTGGATCTTTCCCCTGCAACACTTCATCTCCTTTCCTTCTTCTCATCTCCCATTCAACCCCCTCCTTTCCCACGTGTGAGTGGAGCAAACTCTTTCATACTGCTGTTGTGAATACACAACACATTAAAACAAAACCACAAATCTTACTTCAACAATAGTTTTGTTAGAGACATGGCTTGAGTCATGATTTTCATTGGCACACCTTGAGTTCAAATGAGTGTCGTTGCTACACACAAATAATTTTGGATTGATTTGTTTATAAATTCTTGAACTAACTGATGAGAGGTTAACTACCAAAACAGTCTTTAAGTTTTATAGATGCTGAGTCCAAAACACGTTGACAGTTGCACATTAATTGGATAAACACTTTGTGCTTCAAATCCCCTCAGGGCAGAGTTTGTAAAAGTAGGACAGGTGACACCTGTGTGTGTGACAGAATATTAAGTGCTAATCATTCGCTAATTGCTTCATGTAGCCGTTTTGCTCCCTGTGTTCAGAAAACAGTGCTGTGGAGCCTGAGGCTGCCCCGGCTCAGCAGGATGAAGCTCCTCCAGCTGAAGAGTCTGCTGCAGGTTTACCCTCCGGCCGCAGGAATCCCCCGGGGGGCAAGTCCAGCCTCATCCTGGGTTAAATCCCAGCCGACTGCCACCCCCTCTCCCCATATCCACTCATGTCTGGACCCATCTTTTTTTTATCGTAGGAACCCCAGTCCATCGGTATGTACCACAGGAACCCTCTCCGACATCTACCAGACAGCAGTCTCCTCCAAGTGCATTGTTTTGATAACTCTTTTTTGAAAACTGTTTGTACTGTTTTTATTGTTTGTTTCTTTTTGACAGAAGCACTTTATGTAATCCTAATTACATGGTTCAAAGTCTTCCTTTTACCCCCTGTCACGCATTAAACCTGCCAGAAAGGGTACAAGGATCACATCTCATATCAACCAGTGGAGTATCTCCCCTACCTTTGTCGCAACAGCACACAGCCTTTATGTGATTATACGAGCAGCTCCTAGAACACAAGCAAAGAAAAGTCGTCTCTTTTGCACTGTGTTCATTTTTGACCCATCTTGCATGCATGTCTGATCTGAATGTGAAAGGAAACATAAATGTGAATTTTAGTTTTTTCTAATTTAACCTGTTTGTTGGTAATTTTTTGTGTGTGGAATAATTGTATCGTCGTTGCATGAAGTTGGAAACTTTCTACTGATTAAATTCATATTGTCCACATAGAAACCACATAAATTACTTTTATCGTGATCTGAAGGGAGCAAACCATTGCCTTCAGATGATCTCTTAGGTCTCGTGTCAGGTAACTGAATTGGAATAAGCCTTTTTTATATCGTAGTCACCAAAAGTAGATTATTGTAACCCCAGTGCCAGTTTTGAGTGCCCTGTGTTTTTATAGGTAAAATTTACTCTGAAATAAAGTGTGCCTGTTTGTGTGTTAGGCTACAACATCAAATAAGGTTGGGTTTCCCCGGTTGCATTGTATCACTCCAGAATAGGAATGTGGTCGGTCCCGATACTGAAGTGTTACTGGCAAACCCATCCTAGATTTGACAAGTGACCTTATAACAGCTCAGCCTTGTTTGTATAGTTTATCCATTTTATCTTTTTTATTATTCCTACTGTTCATTGGAAATGTAATGCAGTCTTTCATGTACATTTCATGTTACATTATTTGAAACAAAAATCAGATTCCCTCCTGCTCTGGTCCTGCTCAGTCACGTGTGTGCGTGACTGCTGTGAAAAGTCAGCTGTCACGTGACAAAACCTACATTTCAGGTTCCTGAAATATGATTCCTGTGTGTATACTTTTAATATGTGTTACGATGCAATGCATTCCCATTTACATCCTATATTGATTCATGTTGCTGGATGTAAGTCACTGCAGAAATTTGAAATCAAGAAATGGCACAAGTGGACATGAAAATTAAAAATCAATTCTGACCATGACTTGCTTTTGCAGTGTGTTTTATCTTCCTGTTGTTGTTGCATCCTCCCCTCCTTACAACAGGAGAAACCATATAGCTGAACTTTTTATCCTACAGATGTAAGAATCTAGAGTGGTTCAATTGTGCAAAGTTTAGTCTTGAATTTACGAGTGGGACACTTGGGCGTGTAATATGGACTTGGGTTTGGGTTTGTTGCTAGAACCGCCCCTGTGTGGTAGCGTAATAATGAAAGTGAAAGTCAGACGAGGAGCCTGCGTTTGGAGCAGTCAGTTCATCATCATCTAGTCCACCGAAGAGGAGCGTGTACGGTGAGTTCGTATCGGTCTGTATTTCTGTTAAATCTACAGGGAGCTATGTGATAAAAGGGAGCTGAGAAGACGTGTGGTGCGCAGTTTGACTGTAGTTAAGTAGTTGGACGTCGGCTTTAAATGACCCTGGTCAGTCGGTGTACACATGGTGAAAAGTTAATATCGGGTGTGTGGTGTTTTGTGTACTGTATTTATGTTAAGGCTGTCCGCGGAAATGTCCCGGATTTAACCGGTCATTACGGTAGCCGAGTAGGGAGAGTCCCCGGATTTCATTACAGAAATCTGTTCAACTTAATTTATGTTAATGTAATGGTTGTTTGAGTTGTTTGGCCACGATATGTCTCTGAGACGTTACTAGGTAAGTCCACGCTCACGAGGACGTGGGTTGGGCTTTGTTCACCAACGCTGTGTGCGTGCTGCATGTGCACTAAAGCTAATAACCTCATACGTTTCTTGAACTGAAATGACAATAATCCGGAAACTTTACAAGAGTTTTGCAGTTTTGAGTTATTTTGAACAAGCGTAACAAAGTGTGGAGTCGTGGGAAGGGTAAAGGGGTCAATGTTTGTCTGCACATGCGTCTGAGCAAGGAGTAATTTATCACCTGTGGATGGCAACTCGATAGTCGGGTTACAAGGCGCCTAGTTGTTGGTTACTCAGTGGGTCACTCCGTTTGGAGAGGCAGAGTGATTATCTTTTGTTTACAATACAGGATATTTACAGGGAAATACTAAAACAGGAAGACGGTGGGAAAGAGGGGTATAATAGGGGAGAGTGGGGTAAGTCGAGCCACCCTCTGTTGCTTGGAAATGGTAAAAGAAATTGTTCATGTGAGAAAATATTTAGGAGATGGAAATCAATTCATAGTCCACCATTTTAGCTTAAAGGACTAATACATACATAATAGTAGTTCAGGGGTAAGTTGAGCCAGTGGCTCAACTGAGAAAGTAAAGAAGTCTGATGAGAGGATCAGAGTTTCAGTTCAGATTGTTGAAATGTTTTACTTTTTCTTTCCAAAAATACAGCTGTGAATGTTCTGAATCACTTAAAGACATTCTCATGTTAAAATGACTTTTTACAAAACAGCTTTTTAGCAGTTATATGCAATAAATAGATAAAAAATACACATGAATGTGAAGAAGTAACTGTTATTTAGGAAGAGAGAAGGTGAGGGAGGGCTGGAGTGGAGAGTGTGTGTGTGTGTGTGTGTGTGTGTGGGGGGGGGGGGGGTAGTTGGACATACGGCTCAACTTACCCCACTCCTATGGTCAACTTACCCCATACACAGGGTAAGTTGACCATAGGAGACCTTTTTTTGCATGCTATATTATCAAGACAGTTCTGTTTACACTCATTCTGTTGATTTACAGGGATGCACAACATCTTGAAATATATGCAGATACACTAGTTAAAGACAAAACTATGATTGTCTTGATGTAGTGATCCGAAATATGAAAAATGGCTCATCTTACCCCACTCTCCCCTTCTGGACAGCTGTGGGACAGAGCCATGTGTGGTTCTCAAAGTTCATGGTTTGTTGATCTGTGCAGTCGTTTCAACAGAAAAAGGAAGCCTTTTGTAAGACAGAATGAATGCGTGTGTGTTTGTAAATGAGAAAGAGACGTAAACATTTTTTTTTAATAGTTTCTGAGGTATAGAATTAAAAACACTGACACCAGTAGGATGGTCCTGACATAGAGGGACGCCCACCACCACCCGGTCAGGTGGTGAACATCAGCGTTTCCAAATAGTTCTCTGAGACTGACATGGAAGTATAGGAAAAAAAGAGCAAAGAAACAACGCAATCATTTAAGTATAAAATAAAACTTACTTAGGCTTTTGCAGTTTTTTTACCTGTTAGATAATGAATTCAGCCACCTAGTAATTATTGCATTTAAACTGTGAAATGAAACTCATGCAAGAACAATGGTTTCAACCTTTAGCCAGCACTTTGAGCTTCCTCATCTTGTTTACTTTAAGAGGAACGGTCAGGATGTTCAGGCACGGACTGTGTGCAGACAAGAAGAGTGCTGATAGGACAGAGCTGGACAACATCAAAATCTAGCAGCTCCTGGATGACAGCTAAGTTTAAGTCAAGTCAGTTCGATGTGGCCTGTTTTACACTGTGGTGCCTAAAGTGAACGTGGACACAGAAGAGGCCAGTTCTTTACATGTTCAGCCGGTGTACGTCAGAATAAAGTCAAAGTTAAACCCATGATAGTTTCAAGGAGTCCAGATGTTTCACATTTATTTCCAAGAGATTCTGACAGGACTGCATTGAAACACAGCTGCAGTAGTTAGATTACCGTATGGGGAAAACACTTGTGATGAATTATTTGTTAAGACTGAGGCTTACGATCGGTTCTGTACCGGAAGATCCAGATTGCGCCCACTTACAAAGGACTGACCCTGCCTTTTTGTTGTTTTAGCAAGGGGCTGTTTCTAATTTATGTTTGTTTCCGGTGTCTGCGTGGTTCAAGAATGGAAGATATCACCAAGAGACCTTTGCAGGGACCGCATGAGAACAGCAGCTAAATTTATTCTTCAGAGTAAGCAAGCTATTTTCAAAAAAGCAGTGCATGGTAGAACAAACACCACCCCAAATGCACTGGACTAATTATAGGGAGACGGAAATGATTGCACCTTTTAAAAGTGCACGGGTTTAGTCATCATGAAACTGAATAAAAAAGGATCTCAGAGGAGCAGATTATCACGTGTAGGGTCACCTCACACATTATTTAATTACTCTTTGAAGGGCAGAGGCTATTGTCACATATTTGGCAACAAACCCAGAAACTCCTATTGGTACAAAAAAAATCTCTTCTGCCAACTTTCTCTTTCAGTATTACTCATCTGGTCTGTTTAATGTGCAGTCAAAAGTCACTTTTTAAGTGGTCTGTAAATATTCTCTTAAGTCACAGCACAGCTAGTCGGACAGGTTTCTGAGGCAGCCTTGACTTCTTGTAAAACGACCTTTAAAATGTGAGCGAGATTTGTGCAAGATTGAAGAGACGTACTGACTGACATGTTTGCATGTTAGAGAATATTTAACAACCTGTTAGATTAAATGCATGCCTTTCCTTCATGCCCTAAATTTTGTGCAGCTTTAAGGCGTGAATTAGCACACGCAGTCACTGAGTCATTTTAATGTTCTGACACAGATATGGTTTCTTTTTATCGTGTTTCTTTTTATCAGCTTTTATTTTCTTTTCATTAAACCATCTGTGTTGTGTTCTTTTATGACCAAGCATTACAAGCAATTTTATGCATGATATTAGAACATTTGCTCACAGAGACCATGTAATCCTTGAGTATCAATTTCTGGAGTTAGCACAGAGGACATTTACTCTCTGGAGACCCCTCTTCCTGTTGACCTCCCGCTCAGCTGCTGGTGTTTGCAGCTTTGGAGCTGACATGATGAATCTTTCCCTGTCGTGGCAAAAAGAGTCAAGAGTCTAGACTGCAGTTATTCTTTTTAAAGAGACTATTTCCACTTTGTTTGGAACAAGCTTGGTTGTTTAAATGCCATCTGTTTTTTGTTTAGTCACTAATTCGGGTCATGGCCCAGAGAAAAGAAATGCTTTTGAACATGATACTATTCATCTGTCGGGTCTATTCTTCCCACCATTAACCAGGTCTGTCTGTTGAGTCAACAGCTGATGATTTGTTCAGACAAACTTCACCACATCTGCTCCTTCTTCTTCCAAGGACGTCTCAGTACTCTTGACCCCACCTCCTCAACAGTCTTTCTGTTCATGCTGCCTCTGCCACCCCTTACTGATCCAGCACCGATTGCACGTCTTTCCTTTTTTCCATCTAAGAGAGCTAAAATTTCTTATGTCTAATCATGTACAAACAGCTGTACTGAGGCCTGGGCTATAGCGAAGTGGGACAAAATTTCCCCCATCTTTAATTCTGTAAACGTCCTCATCAGCTTTTGCTGCAAGTTTTCTCAGTGAACCTCTCTTGGCACAAAAGCAGCCAGAGCTTTCCTCTCAGTGTGCCAGTGTAAATAACGATCATCAGACTATGCCACCGAGTTCTGTACTCTGGCAGCTTACAATGTCTGGAATAACTTCTCACTGCTGGAAGATTTCTACAGCAGTCAATCTGACGCCTTTAAAAGACCAGCTACTGCCCTAATAACTATGTCAGGCTGAAACAGACTTATTTAGTTCCTGTACCATCAAGATTGGTGGTGATTGATGGGTTGCTCATCCCATGTACAGAGGCTTTAGCCATTAACAGCACTGATTCAAATCAAACCAGGAGCCCTCGGCTGCATGCCAGTCTCCACTCTGTCTCCCATGCCCACTCTATCCACTTTCCCGTTCTCTAAATAAGGGCATAAAAGCCCCCAAATTAAATATACTGTATGAATACAAAAAGATTGGTAAATACCCCCAAGAGAAAGAAAAAGAGAAATCACATCAATCTTTCCCTCCCCACATTGCATCCAAAACTCGTGCTCATCCCCTCTCTGCTGCCGTGAGGAGGCCCAAGTAAACTACAAAAGCTGTGTACATTCCTGAAGATGACCAGTGCTGGCTGGCTAACAAACTACAACCTATGTAGGTCAGTGCAGTCATTGCATGACCCACATCCCCCATCTGCAAACTCTTTAGATGTTGAGAGCAAGTTTATTTTTCAACTTTTATTGTGAAACTTCTGAACCTTTTAATCCCCAGTTCAATGTGGAAGTGAATTCCTGGGATGTTAGCGTAAGGGTGGTTCTTTCCGAGAAGTCCCCTGCTTACAGCAAATGCCTTCCTGGCAGACCAGGTTAACAGGATTATCTCCTGTGCATAAAAATGATGGTGTGGGAAACAGGAAGTTGCTATGTGTCAAGGTAGCCAAGGAAGGAAGAGTAACATTATTGGATGAGCATCATTGTCAGAGCATCTTATTTTCCTGGATGGACTTATCTTAAGAACCCAGAACATATCCGGAGAACTAAACCACAGGAGAGCCAGGTAGGCCCTCCTTTTTTTTTTTTTTTTGACCTGATTCCTTTGCCCAACTTGCTGGACAAAGGACAACGTATGATACGCTCTACAAGAACCGGGACACAGTGACAGACTGGAGTTCTCAGCTCATCTTGACTGAGAGCTGACTGCTGTCTGCTTGGAGCCACTCAGCCTCATCTGTGGTCAACAGCTTCAGACCAACAGCCAACCCCTGCAAATGACTTCAGCACTGGAAACCTGCCCTAGCTGTCTCAACATCTACAGCCTATCTTCTATGAGTTAACATCTGATTTGGGTCCAGCTCAATAGCGTGTTTTCCAACTGGATCCTCACCATTTGGAGCTACTGGAGTTAGTCGAAGATAATTATTACATCTGCTCAGGCTCTCATTTGTCATTGTTGTAGGGCCACATGGAAGCTCCTCAAGATTTAGACCAGGTCTACTGAGAAATGACCGGTTACTGCTTCTTATCGCCGGGACAGTGTGGTTATCTGTCCAAATCCTTCCTCAGCCAGATGAATTTGGAGAGTCCATGCCAAGATTTATGGATCTACTTCTTGTGTCTAAGATTGTTGACACTGTCTTGGACTTTGCAGCCCCGGGAAGACCATTTATGATTATGATTTCATGGAAATGCAATCAGACCAAGACGCTAAGGCAGAAGAACTACCGCCTCTTCAGTGCAAAATGATTATTATGATGATTATTACTTCATGGAAATGATCCGCTGCACTCAGTGATCGACTCGTCAGGGCTCCCCTATAAACAAGCGGTTGCTGGAGGAGAGTGGGTGAGTTGTATTTGGTCTCTTTGCCAAAGAATCCAGGCAAAGCTGAAAAAATGTTTGATGGCTAGTACTATGGCTGGGACGGTATATGTACTGTTGATGAAGTTAGGTGCTGTTCTGAGCATCTTTTGTGGCTACGAGTGGCTTTTCGGTTGAGGTTTTGCGCATGTAGATGTAGACTACTGTGTATTGCTATCGTGCGGTCGTTACTGAAGTTAGTATAACTAGAGAAGCAAGCAGTCTGCAACAATTATCTCTCGAGTGGGTGTCTACTCTGTGTCATGGTGTGTTTGACCATAACTTAAATTTACGCTGGAATATCCCTGTAAGTAAACTGCATAACCAAACCACCCGATACTTCGTTAACTTAGTCGTCTTGTGTCATCAGAACCAGATGTGTGTAAAGCAGCAGACTGCATGGATCATCTTCTTCATTCATGACTGAAATATCGCATGAGTCTGTCGCACTTCTTTTCTAATAAGTTGGGTAATACACTCTGAGCAAAACTTTTATCTGAAAAGAGAGACAGCTGCCTGTCTCATGACTGATAAAATGTAACCTTGGTGGTAAAATTTTACAGTGTTGTGACGAGAGATAAGAGCTTGTTCAGGCAAAAGATCACGTAGCCATCAGTTTACACAAGGGTTAGGGTTATGGTTAAAACTATCAATATGTGTTTGGCAAGAGGGAGTAGATTTATAAGAGGATGACAGGAACATATTGACCTCTTTATGGGAAAATCTATAATTTAAGTTTTGTTTTCTAAAGGAGTGTTACAAGGCTGCTCTGAAGCCGAGTGAAACTGAGACTACTTGGCTGTTTTTGCTCATGTTTCATTGAAACTAGCTGAATATGAGATTGGGAATAACCACAGCACCTGATTGAGGTTTGCTGCTTCATCACTTTCCATTCATAACTCCTACATCCCCGTCTGAGGAACTTTTGGCTTGTGTCAATTTCAAATGTCAAAAAACTTCTCATAGGAGCGTTACACACTCCTACATTCCAGCTTTTCCCCCTTATACCTTCTTTGGCTTTGTTTTCACAGTTTTTGTCTCATTTTGTTTAACAGTGTAAACAGAACAACATAACTTTTCATTCAGGAAGTCGACCATAGCACAGTTTCTTTAAGTAATAGTGTCATAGTTGTATAATAAAGAGTGAGCCGACTGTCGTAAATAAATTGAAACCATTAAAAAAATGGAGTAGAGAGGAATTATCTCCTCCTGAAGGGGTTTCTCATGAGGTTTGCGTTGGGTACATTTCACCCCAGGAGTTTTTCGATCCCCTATGTACACCAAAGATTGATCTTTATGCAGAGGCCCTGCATAAGAGTTAAGATGTTTGTTTATCACATATTAACCCTTTTCTGAATAATGCATTGTTTCCTTTGTATTGTCATTTCAGGTCCAGAACATGGCCTCAAATTGCAATCTGCTCTTTGTGCTCTCTGTCAGCATCATCAGTGCAGGGAACAGTCAAGGTAATTTTAAATCGTGTTGTAATCTCAGATCCTTAATCATATGCGATTCTGCTTGAAATTGACAGTTATTTTTTTTTTTTTTTTAACAGATTTTGTAACAGTTCACTGCAAGCAGCAAAACTTTGGACAGTACAACCAGCAGTCGCTGATTGACTGTGTTGTCAACCCCTCACAAGATGTGAAAGATGCAGAAATCCAGGCAGTAACTTGGTGGAGAGAGGGGGATGAGGAACCCCTGCTGGTTTTTAAGCACGGTCAGTTCGAGCGATCTGACCGCTATTTGTTTGCTGAACCATCCTGGAACAAGAAAAACATGAACGTATCCCTGCTTATCCGCAAAACTTCTCTACTGGACAATGGAGTTTATAAGTGTGTGGTGTATACAGACAGTGGTTCAAATAACTGCCAAACCAGCCTGGAGGTCACAGGTGAGAGTTTGTTTAACGTCTGTTTTTTTTGCTTGTGACCCAGCTTTAGAGTATCTCATTTCTGACATAACATCCAGTAGTGAGTGCACTTTGACTGTATGCACAGAAAAGCACTAAAACCTTACAAAATCTGAAGCTGACACGTGTGACATTTAGTGACCGTGGGAAACGTATTTTTCTGCAGGCAGGATATGATGCTTTGATTTAGATATGGTTTGGTTTAGGGCTGGGCGATAAACCGAAAATTTACCAATACTGAAATTTACGTCAATAACCGACGTCATTTTTCCCATGTCATCATATATGTAGTCAAAAAAGTTGGTTTTGGATGTGCGTAGGTAGGCAATGGTCTCATGTTTTATGAGCGGCAGCTGAAGTAGACAAAGTTAATGTGGGAGGGGGTGAGCAGCTTTTGGAGTAGTTATCATCCATTTATCATTATTAAGGTGAACTGCTCAATATATCGTGATATTGATTTGAGGCCATATCAACCAGCCCTATTTGATTAACATAAAGTGATCTCAGTTGTATAATGAAAGAGCAGTATTTGATTTAGATTTAATGGACAGCTTATTTCATTGTGTGTAAAAGACTCGTATCTAGATACGCCTAAGCAAAAAGGTTTCTGTTTGTGTAAATATTTATCTAGTCTGTTCAAACACTTAAAGTGTTCTTGATGAAATGAAGATTGCGTAAAGACTGGGACTTTCCTCATCTGTTAGGCTGGTATTCCCCTCCATCTGAGTTATTTCAATGCCAGCTCAGTGTATCTTTTTACTTTTAGTTTCTTTGGGGTAATCACATTCAAGAATACTACTATTAATTAAAACAATATCACTCCTGCTTATGTCATATTGATATATTTTACAGTCATTAAATAATGCTGTAATACTGTATCGCTTTCATTTCATTAAGGTCAAGGTTCCAAGTCCACCTTTATGACTCTGTTTACTCTCTTTTTTTCCCTTGCAGCCAACTACAGTAAACCGACTTTTCAGCAAGACCCTGAGACCCTTACAATGGAGACAGGTGGGGCCTTGACTTGTGTATCCCACGGCTACCCAGAAGGCACACTGCGCTGGTTTGACAAAGACAATAAATCGTGGATAAAGAGCCCTGAGACAAAGGCTGAGAAGACAGAAAGTGGTCTGTTTAAACTCTCCAGCACGATGACTTTCGCGCGACAGTCTGCTTTCTCCGAGTTCATCTGCAAAGTATTCAATGCCAGAGGAGACCTGGAGGGTGAGAGTCGGTTTGAAGTGCCAAGCAAAGCACCAGGAGCAGGTAATTTCTCATTGATCACTACACCTGATACCACTACAAGGAACAAGTTTCATAAAGGATTTTTAGCGACAGGGACAGGTTATATCATGCAGACCCGTGAAGCAACATTGATGTCACAGCTGTTACACAAACACACCTTCTGTTAGGATTGCTCAACTAAGAGGAACTTGAACCCAGAGGCTTTGTAAAAAGTGAAAAGCTCACATTATGTCTCAGAAATTCCATATTATTATGTAATGTATGAGAATCATCAGCTTAATCTACTAAAACACGCAGCGTTAATAAATAATCTGTTCATCACATAGGACATTTTATGCTTATTAGTAACTGTTACTGAGTGCGATTTGCGCTCAGGAAGGAGGAGGGCATTTAGAGGTTCACGGAGGAGCAGTCAGCAGAGCAGGCACCCTGGCACACACACGCACCCGCTGTAGTGTGGTGAGGAGTTCGCGCTCCACTTCACTTTTCTTTTCTCCTCCACAGGTTTTACATTAGTTTGTTTAACCAGTATGTTTCATTCCTGTTTTTTTCTTGTTTTAGTTTGTTGTTTTATTTTGGGCTGGAGACCACTGTTAGTCCAGTTTTCATTGTTTTGTTAAATAAGTTGATAAGTTAAGAATCAGAATCAGAATCAGAAGGGGTTTTATTGCCATTGTCAATGAACAGGATTCACAGACTAGGAATTTTTACGGCGTGATGTGCAACATTAAACGGAGAATAATATATAATATACTAGAACAGAAAATAATAAGAGCATGCAGGACATATATAAAGTATAAAAGTATAAAAGGCTATGTACAATGCTATGTACAATAAGTATAACAGGCTATGTACAATTACACAATACAGAACAACAGTGCAGTGGGAGGAGTGCAATTAGGGGGAGGTGCTGGCGTGACAGTCCATTGCGCGGTTGGTTCATCACCTTTTCCTTCTTGTTCCTTTTGGCCGGGGTCTCCAGCTCTTTATGATTGAACACAGTTTTGTTTGTGGAAAAATAAAGGTTAGCCGTTCGTTTTTTGGTTGTGTCCGTTCATATACTCATGTTATGGTCCCTTTTACGAGCTTTTTGAATTAAGAGATTAAGGAGGCCGTGCCAATGCTGAGATCTCTCACTGGAATTTACAGACTATTCTTGAGGAATATGTGGTTCATGAAAACAAAAACTCTTGGCTGTCGCTGTGTGTAATGATTAAACCAAAAAGGCCTTTAAAAACAGTACTGAAAAGACATTTATTTTGGTTCAGTAAGAAAATCTTCCTCCCAACATCACCTCAGTATCTTGTAAGCCATTAAGGGCAGACCGTTATCACAATCATCCTAGCTCCTGCATACTGTTGAGTGTTGTTTATCACCAGCCTCCTCATATCTGTAGCTTAATTACTTGGCATGCGTTTTGCCTGTCTTTCTTTTAGTTTAGAAGGATGGTGTCTGATCCCAGAGCTGATGCTAAAATCCTGCAGACCCCCCCAGAGAGAGAAAGAGAAAGGGAATCAAGGAAACTAAAAGTATCAGGGAATTTCCCACCTCTGCATGGCTGTCCTGTTTTTCTAGGCACTTTCATTTCCTTCTTTTCTGGATTATTAATTTTTTACTCTTTTTTTCTGATTTACTCAGAACAAACTGGGTCGGACGATGGCAACTCAAGTTTAGCCACCAAAATCGCCCCTGTCGTGGTCATTGGATCTCTGATCGTTGGGTTGCTGCTGTGTTTGCTGCTGTTTTACAGAAGAAGATCTAAGCGTGAGTATCATTAAAAATCGACACGTATGAGTACTATGAGAGTTTGATTTTAAAAGACATGAATAAATTTGATTTACATGTAGCCTTATATTGATGGGAACCACGACACTGAGAAACACTCCTTGTTTATATCATATCGTGTTATTGATATTATAAACTCACAGTTTACAATTGAGTTTTGCACCTTGAGAGGATGTTGGGTTTTGGTTTTTAATTTGCAAGATCATCAAGGTGAAATCTTTAAGTGGCCAGCATGAACATTTGGAATAACAACACAGCACCAAGAAGTGATTGACTAAAGAAATTTCACCATGTGTGCATTCACATCCTCTAAAGTTACATTTGAATATCGGCCATCTGAAACGTTGGTGTCAGATTTCACGATCTAACATGAACTAAATACAATGGATGGAACAAATGAAGGTGGAAAAACCTGACCATCCACTGGCATGAAACTCTGTTATCTGAGCGGGGAAAGTACGCCTGCTGCTCCTGCTGCTCCTGTTGCTGTTGTTGTTGTTAAGTTGGGTTAAGTATGTAGCAACCACAGACCTGTATGTCAGTTAGAAACAGTAGAGTGAGAGTGTGAATGTTTCAGAAAGGGATTCTCACGGACTCACAGACTCCTCACTGTTATTTTCATTTTGTCATCATTGTTTTGACAGAGGCCCGGAGGCACTCTGCAACACCCCTTATGAGTACGTCCATCTTTGGACAGCCTGTTTTTTTTTCATCTCTTTTCTGAGTGTGAATGAAGGGCTAACATTTGTCTTTAAGGGTTTCAACAAAATCTATATCTTTCTTGGTATTTCCTTCTGTCAGACACGTTAAATTGCTGCTCTTCTCTCAGTGATGGATGGGTGAGGGATGTTTCATGATTGATGTCTCTTAAACTGGTTCTTTCCTCTCTCTGTCAGTCCCCATTCTTGTGAATCTCATGGAGAAATTCTGCCTGTACCTTCATGAAATTTTATGAATTATCAGCTTTGATTCATTGGATAGCCGGTGGCGTTTTGGCTGTTTATCGTGATCTTTGAAAGAAACATTTCTGACCACAACACCAGACATTCATCGCACGATTAAAGGATGAAATGAGGAAGTAATGACATTTCTTACCCTCAAATCAAAAGTCAGCGTCTCTGTGGCATTAAAACTGTTTCTGGAATTTTTTTGGGTGAGACTGACATTTAGTCGGCCAAAGGTCAAAGTGTCAAAGTAAATGACTCAGAAAATACCTCAGCAGTTTGTGCAAGGAATTTGGTTTAATTTATTCATATATTCAGTCACACAACCCGTGTTAATAATAAAGCTACTTACTATTAATCTTATTATTTGTGAGTTAAAAGTGCAAGAAATTGAATGCAGACGCAAAAACATAAAATCAATTATTAAATAGTTATAGCAGAGAACAGCAGAGAACTATCAAAAACAGTTATATTTATGAGCTGCCGGGTTTATGATCATGTTTTGGCCTCTGCATTGCGTTGTAATGCAGATTGTAAAACGTTATGGAGGTGTGCTGCACAATAGGACTGCTCACACTTTCATTGGCAAATTAGAGCATTTACCAGTTACCTGTGTAGATCCTATTGATAAAGAAGTGATGAATGATGGGAGATTTCCAGACAGAGCTTTATTGATAGAGGTCAGTGCCTATTAGATTTAGCTGTAAGAGACGGTCAATCAACTTTTTTAAGGGTGCTATTGTGAGTTTTAAGAGCTGGCAGTGACATAAATTTGTTATCACGACACATGATGATAAATCCTTGTGGATTGTGTGGACTGTGTACTCTGTGTGTTCAGGCTTGTTTTGCTGTCATGAAAACACTTAAAAGACCGTGTGAATAAAGAAAACGACTTGGACTCGAGGACAGACATGCTCTCTTCTTGTATAATGTTCCCTCTAGTAAATACTTGTTTCACAACCGCTCCTTATTAATGCAGTCCTGCTCTAAGGGCTCAATTACTCCATGATTTTGTGGATAACCACTGGGTGTATACAAACTGCTACTTGACAAGTTAACAAAGACTCACAACCCCAGGCAGTCCTGGTTTTTCTCCTCCCTCTCCCTCTTGGATATGGTTAAAAGACTCGGACTATGTGTTTAGAGACAGCATGAGACCAAACAACTCTGCAAACCGGTCTCAGGTCTAATTCCAAGCCTGTTCGAGCATGTAACCCCGATGTGTTGTGAACTGTTGATAACTTCCATGAGATCACATGTAGATTTGAGTGACCTAAAAACACTTCCAGCACTGAGCCAACTGGGTGCTTCATAACTGTTTTTTTTTTTTTTTTTTACCTCTGGCTTTAAAAGGATATTCCGGCGTCAATTTAAGTTATGGTCAAACACACCGTAACTCCGAGTTAGACAACCCCTCGAGAGATGAATGTTGCCGACTGCTTGCTTCTCTAGCTATACCAACTTCAGTAACAACTGCAGGATAGCATTAAGAGACTAGACACAGCTCACCTACTCTCTTCCAGCAGCCGCTTGTTTGAAGGGAGACCTCGGGCCAGTCCATTACTGACTGCAGCGGAGTTTCACAGCTCAAGGAAGAACATTTGTGATCATTTCTTTATCATTTCCTTGAAGTAATAATCATCATATTAATCATTTTGCACTGCAGACCTGGTAGTTCTTCTGGTTTAGCGTCTCAGTCTGATTGCATTTCCATGAAGAAATTATCATAAATGTTCTTCCTTGAGCTGCGAAACTCCGCTGCAGTCAGTAATGGACTGGCCTGAGGTCTCGCTGCAAACAAGCGGCTGCTGGAGGAGAGTAGGTGATTTGTGTTTAGTCTCTCTGCTAAAGAAATTAGGCAAAGCTATAAAGATGTTTGATGCCTAGTGCTATGGCTGGGACCCTATATGTACTGATGATGAAGTTAGGTGCTGTTCTGAACATCTTTTGTGGCTATAGAGTAGTGTTTTGGTTGAGGTTTGTTTATGGCTCCTCAAACCGCTGTGTATTGCTATCATGCGGTCACTACTGAAGTTGACATATTTAGAGAAGCAAGCGGACAGCAACATTCATCTCTCGAGTGGGTGTCTAACTCAGTGTTATGGTGTGTTTGACCCTAAATTAATTTTACGCCGGAATATCCCTTTAAGGTGTTCTGGGAAGTTGAGCTGTATGTACCAATCAGGATGTATCTTCTTTTCCCAGAGCTTGTCAACAAGGTTTAGATGATAATCACCAGTCTCTGTGTTTTATCATAACCTGACTCATGTTTCAGACGAGCTCTTCTTTCTTCTATGGGGATGATTTCACTGCTACCCTCATTTTATCCCACAATAAAAATTATTCATCGTTTTTCAGGTGACCGGGTTCCTGCGTGTGAATGTGAGGAAGGTAAGGCTATTTTATGTTTTTATCACTGTGAGTAATGCCATCTGTGATTTTTTTCAGGCTTTTGACATTTTATCTATCTTGCAGGTGATTCCCAGGAAATCGAAAAAATCGACGTGGAAGCCTGACTTTAGGTGATTATGGTGTTAACAAAAGAGAGGATTTGTTCTCTTAAAACCGTCTCAAATATCTGAACTTCCTTCTTCTCTTACAGCCCCCCCGAGGCAGAAACTGTGTCTGACAGTCTGCAAACCTACTGCCACCCTCTGAAATCAGCACTTCCTTGTTTTCTTAACTCCACTCAGTGTTTGCACTTTCGCCAGCAGACTACTGTGTATATATAACCAGGTAAAACGTGTCACTTTGATAAAACCAATGAACTGTAAGTGCTTCTTTCAGCTAAGCATGCCTTAAAACACTTAAATCAAGAGTACATGTTATCAAAAACTGATTTAATTACTTACAACAAGAGGGAGTGTTCAGGCTCATTTCAACAAATATCTCAGATATGCAATCAGATACCTATTTTATATGGAAATCTTTGTTTCGTTTGATGATTTCGCCCATGCAGGAACTGTAGCCTTTGGCAGCTTAGGAGCTTTTCTTTTACTGCCTCTTTTCACATCATGTCAAAATTCAAGATAAAGAATGTGTTGAGTGATATCAGAGAGAAGAAAAGGGGTCGAGAGCTTGTGTGTTTGTGTTTGTGTTTGTGTGCAGCCGTGTGTGATGTGTGTACATTTGAATTTATGGTGAAATGAAAATAATGATGCTATTTTGGTGAAAAAAAACGTCCCTTTGCTTTGTGTTTCTCATCGTCAACAAACACTTTCAATGATGCGCGGCTGGCACAAAGTCCCCTGATTCATCCCAGGAGGTTACACTAAATCACTTATTACACTGTTTATACACTGAGTGATTTGTGAGGTCAATCTCAGTAGCATTTTCCAACGTCCAATGCAGGTAGAGGTTAGGGTGCCAACTCCTGAACATTAATTGAGGTTTTGGATGAGCTCTTGCATACACGGACCAGATCAGCTAATTATTGTTTTTTATCTGTAATTTTGCTTGTTGATTTTTATGTTTTATAGTTTTGGTTGTAGAGCGTTTTCAGTTGTGTTCTGCCTAGTGACAAATGATCAGGGTGCAATAGAACTGGTGCGAGAACCAAATGTCTGCTCTTGAAAATTTCACATCAGTTTTTTCTTACCACATGGAAAGTTCTTCAGCAGGACCTGGAGTCGCATGATCACCACTATTGCGAAATAGTGTTGTTTAAAAGACGACATTTTATGTTCCTCATACTGACTCTGTGTTTATGTAACATTTGGCAGCAGGGAGAGACTTATCTTCACCATCTAAAACAGGTTTTTGTCGTTTTTTTTTTTTTTGGTCTCTCAGAGAAACTGCCTTTCATACTTTGAAAGTCTTTGCAGCGTGACTTTCGATTAGATATCTACATAATAATAGACCTGCTTCAACAAAACATCTCATGCATGAGAAAAACAAAAACTTTCTCATGAAAACAAAAGTGTAAAAATAAAACTCTGTAAAAGTGAATGATTGATCGTACTCCGTGACATAAAGTTTATTACTGACTTCAATAAGAAAAAATTCTGTCTCTGTGATACGTAAACGATGTCTCTTTTTAATATTGTCTTTAATGTGCACTTAAAAGATGTCTGCCAATGTGTCCTCTTCTACTGTTAAAATCAGTGTGAACTAAAATTCTGTGTTGTGGTAATGTAGTTTATATACCACCTTATATACCACCAAATTAAAACTATCACTGAACATCTTTCACTGATATCCTTACTATGTGTTTTTTTATGATGACTACCTACAAAATGTGAATATGATTTTTTTTGTATATATGTAACAAAATGTTTTAAATAAAAGTTAAAAAAAAAGATTCTGATTCTCTTTTTGTTAAATGTATCTCAGATTCAGCAGTTCCTGTTGATCTGTGCTGTCAAAGCACGTGTTAAGACATGAGTTAGACAAAATCTCTTCTTCCTGTCAGTCCTTTCTTCTTTATGTAAATAAGAGACTTTATGAAAAATAGTTAAAGTTGTATAATGTGTGTTTTTTTTTCCTTTGCTGGCATCACATAAACATCTCCACACTTCTGCCTCTCTTCGATGGTGGCTCTTATGATGATAACATATTTTGGCAGGTTTCCATCTTTTCTCCTTCCTGACAAGCTCATCTGATAATGAAAAAACACAGTTTATCACCACTCGAGATCTTACTCATAGTCTTTCAATGACAACATTTCTTCTGCTTCCTTTTTCTCTTTTATTCCTTTTTCTTTAAAACTTCCCTCTGCATAAAAGCAAAGCAGGTCTGAAGGTCTCTCAGTGTGTATTTAACAGACATCAGAAAAATGTACACCCAGGTAATAGGAGATCTTATTTACTGTGTTTGATATAATAGGATTGATCATTTTGTTGTTTTCTTAGTGTAAAATAAATCACCCTAGGTAACATTATTACTCTGATTTAATTAAAGTGGAAAAATACACATCCTAAAGACTTAAATCCTGCCACCTACTGGACAAATAACACCACAACACTGCAGCTGTTAGATCAAATTAGAAGAAATAAGCTGTATTTACATTTTAGTGGATTTCTAAAAATTTTCATTTAAAATATTCTAATCAAATGTATAATTTCAATAGTAACTTCAGCAGTGACAGTTCAACCCCACAATGATTGTTATAACTAAACTGAGTAAAAGACTCAGTGATTCTGTTGGCGGTGGAAACACAAAGTTCTCTGAGGCTGCAGAGACCGTAAATAATGTGATTTCACTAAACTGAAACGATAATATGACAAAGCATGTGCCTCGATTGGCAGGACAAATAAATAACCCTCAAATGATTCAGTTTGCAGGGTGACTATTTTGTTTGAATCTTGATGATTACAGCTCACAGCTTACAAGAATAAAAAAAAATCCACTATCTGAAAACATTACAATATTGTGGAAAAGTCCAGTTTCCTGTCAGTCATCTGTGTCCTCTTGGGTATCACCTAGAGAAATATGAGAGACTCCAGAGTCATCAATACAGATCAGCTGAAGGCCCCGAGTTTCCAAACACCCCAGCAGAGCCACAGACTGATTGCCTCTATGCCATGTCGCACTGATGCAGTAATTCATGCAAAAGGAGTCCTGACTAAGTACTGTATCACTTTTTAAATTGAATTATGGGGGAAAAAACTTTCTCAGGAGATCCAGATTTTTGAACAGCATTTTTTGTAAAATATATGTGTGTTGAACAGTGTCAAAGATGTTGAGTTTATCTGAACTTTGGTCGCACAGTGATCTTACGGACATTGTAAACTTGTTAGTTTATTTTAGAAAATGCCGATGCAAAATTAGAAACTTTGAGGAAGTAAAAGCAGGTCATACTGAATTCTTTATAAAAGTGCTATTGACCAAAAAGAGGAGTCATCTCTTGGTGTGTTTGAAGAGTTATTAAGAACGGAGCCTGATCGAGTGTTTGAGAGGTTTTCTTTGAAATGTGCCACTCCTTTGTTACCAATAACTAGAACATGTCTTTGCGCTGTACTGACTCATACTTTGTCTGAATGGAAATTTTCTGAAGAGGTCAGCTGTTACCACAAGTGCTGAGTGAGAAATCAAACTTTTTTCAGAAGAAAAAAAATGTTTTACAATGTATTAAATAAGTTTTATATATATAGTAAATAAGTATATATCAAAATAACTCTTCCATGTTTGCCCCTCATTTTATATTATATTATATTATACAATCCCCACTATATTAACTGAGAGTTCTTGTAAAGGTGTATGATGGCTGGATAATAAGAGGTTAATGAATGAGTGGCAGCAAGATTCTATCTGACGAACTTTTGTTTCTGTAAACTTTTAAACTTTCACGTCGAGTGGTGTTTCTTTATTTCTCACGCAAAGGTGAAACAAAGGGATAACATGTTTGGCAATAAGAACTAAATCATTATCTTCTCTTCAACACTAAGTATGTGAACAATGAGCTTGATAAACAAAGTCGATCTCTACACTAATAACCTTGACAAACCACACACGCCGGCCAGTCTTGATACCGAACAGGTTTAAAAAAAGGCCAAACAAAGCATTGGACTCTCCTTTTCATTTGAATCCTGTCTGAGGAGAGATTGAGGTCACCTGCATTTGTTTACTGCAATCATGCCCATGTGTGTTTGGTGCTTCTCTAAAACAAGCTTTTAAACGCCCACGCCGATAAAAATCACGTTTTTCTTGTTCTCATCATGTTCATAAAACATTTACTGATGCTAAAGGACACATCATGAGAAAACTAAGTGCAAAATTGCATTTCTGAGTATTTCTGCATTAAAATCGCTGTGAACTTCTAACAGACCCAAAAGCAGGTTTAGATACAGTGAGATTTCCTACGTCACATATCTATGTTCATTCTATCAGCATTCATCATGTCCCCAAAGACATTAGTGTCCGAAAGCTGAATTGCTCCTATGTTAAGCTACTACTTAGTAGCAGCGCACTCCCCCCATAATAACCCTTGTAAAAACTGTTGTTTAGGACTGCGTGCAACATGCTTCCTACCTACTTGGCTTCAGTAATAACCGTTCTAATTTTCACGCAACATTTTTGTTCTCGTTCATAAAACGCTTAAATTGGGGACATTTCAGGGGTCAGCTTTAGCTGGAGACAGATCATACAATATTGGAACTGTCCCTGGAAATTGGGGACGTCTGGTCACCTTATCCTATGTTACCTGCCACTTCTACTGTACCAGCAATTTTAGGCTACAAACTAGCATGAAAAGGAGTGTGTAGAGCAGTGCTGACAATTTAGAGGCAAATTGCTAATGAGCTATTGTAGCTCTGCAGAAGAAAAGCGCTTGAAAATAACACAGACGGGATATTGGCTAAAAATATAGTGCCTTGATAACTTTTTAAAAAGGTGCTATCAAGTGTTTTGCTGTGTTCAACACAGTCTCTGCATCTGCTTATCATAACTCCTGAGAGTGCAACATTTCCCGGAAAAGACACGTTCCAATTTCACTTTTTGTTGTGGCCTGCATGGAAAATTTAGCCTTTAGATCAAGTCTGATACATCCCTTGTTCCCTGCCAGCAGAGGAAACAAAGTCTGTTTCCGCCGTGCTTATAAATAAACGAGTCAGATTAGCTCTTTTGTGCAGTTAAACAAATATACTTCCCTGTGTGACAAAAAGTGTTGGTGTGCCAACAAGTTGCACGGAGAGCAGAGCCATTATGGAAAGTACATGATGGAAAAAAAGCCGTTGACGACACCCATGCATTCAAAAGTCTGGGTCAACAACCGCTGAGAAAAGGCGAATGATGAAACACGTGTTCAAGACACGGCAAGAGGAGATCACAAGGAGGAAGAGGTTCAAGAAACAGGAGGTTGAGGAAGTGATGGCAAAAAGATAACCATTTGATTAAAACCTCTCATTAGCCTCTAAAGTCACTCAGAGGTGATTTGATCTCTTTTCCACATCTTTACAACTTTTGAGCACACAATGAGTTTGTTCTCTCCATAAGTGGTGACTTTGGCATAAAAAATCACGGGCACAAACACCCTGTTCCTTCAGATAACAGTATATCAAATCGCTCAGTCCTCTCTATGGCCAGTAAATCTAAAAAGAAGTTTGAAAACGAAACGAAAACCGTGGATTTGTAAGGTAGGAAATGAGTCAACTATCATCCAATTCACAGAAAATCCAAAACAGGCGGCTGTGGGGAAATCAGAGGATGTGAGGAAAATGTGTGGTAGAGAAAGTTATTAGCCTGTTTCTGTGGGTGCAGTAGCTCATAGACGACAGCAGGCTCTTTAAAAGTAAAAGTAAATTCAGACAAGCCATAGTGTTATGACCCGTCCAATGGCAGTGTGTGGCCCTGTCTTTAGATGAGATAAGATATTCCTTTAATGGTCCTACGAGGGGAAATTCCAAAACCCTGATCTAAAGAGACTCAACTCGACCTCTGGGGGTGTGCTGGGCTATCTGGCACCAAAACATCAGAGACACATCCTCTGAAAGGTCCTGCAAGTCATGGCCTCCATTGTTCAGACTGGGTTGTCCAGGACATCCCACAGATAGTTGATCAGACCAAGATCTCTTGAAATTTGGAAAGCACATCGGTATTGTTGTGTTCCTCAAGGCCATCTTCTCCTAAAGAGCCATAGTACATTTTTTGGCGCTCATAGGCCCATTTTAGGTGTTTCCTGTCACCCTGCACCTATGAAGCCCAACCTATTACATTGTGATGTCCAACCTCTTCTGATATCTCTACATCAGTGAGCCATAGCTGCCCACCCCCTGTTGCAGGTTAACCAATTTTCTGGTTAGAGACTAGACTTGTTTTATGGAGAGTAATGACGTCTGCAGATCGGAAACATCAACAAGATGTTTTTGATCATTAGTCACTCACACCCTGACGCTTGCTCATTTTTTCCATTTCCTACTCCTATAAAACTCCCTTAGCCACAGATATGTGATGTTGTAAAGAGATAACATATTTTAATCGTGTCACTTATCAGTTGTCATAATGTTGCAATGGTGTACTGTTTGTGAACTTAATGGTCTGAAAAGGGAGGACTGCGGATTGAAGTATACTAACGCCCCCTGCTGGTGATCAGCTGTAACCTTTGTTTCTTTCCTAAGAGTCAGGGTAGTGATGACACTCTATGCACACACACTGTGCCAACATTAAGTGCACTTTGAGAAGATGTTTCCTGAATTTGACCGAGAGAGAAAAAGAAAAGCATTTGACTTAAGTCACATACTCCACCTTTAGTGGCCGCCCTGTCAATACTGATTAACTCTTCATTAATCCAAAAAGGTATTTAATAATAATAATTGGCACATTTGATTTTTTTTTTTTTTTTATTAGGACAATTTAAAAATTTCAATGGATTAAGTGGAAGAATCAGAAAATAGAAACTCTTGAAGTTGGATATTTTAAAGAAATAACCTCTACTAACTATAACTATAACTATAGAGACAAAAATGTATTCATGAGGAGGTTATTTTAAGTCTTTTTAAACCTTTAAAGAAAGTTCTTTTTTCTTCACTATTTCAAAAAGGAGAAATCATTATGGAGACCATATTTTTTTTTGTTGGTTGCAGGCAGGGGTGAAAGTAGGATAAGGTTCTTGCAGGTACTATAAGCTGGGTTTCCCTGGAACTACCAAATGACACAATCTTTCCCTCAGCCCAATGAATAACTATATTGACCTCACGGGATGCCATGACACCCAGGTTCCTCACATCATGAACTCCTCATACTGAGCTGCTTTTCATTTATAGTCATCTGCAGGCTTCTGTTGCACAACTTATTCAAGTATGCCATAAATTAGAAACTATCTATTGAGATACACCTGTACTTAGACACAAATGAAAAGATTCATATCGTAACCTACTGTTGTTCTGATACAGTAACATTATCAGCCATTTGTCAGTAGCTTACCTACTCCTGGTCGCTTTGCTGCTTCTTCCCCTCTGTTCCTCAACTTGCTCTGATACTGCAGTATCATCATCTGCTGCATCTCTCTTTCTCTTAAACATAAAATCCATTTTTCTCTGCATTTTGTTTTATTTCTGCGTTAAGATTGAAGCAGCCGTCTGTTTAAAAGTTCTCTCCTTCCGCAAAAGGCGGGAAGCGAGCTCCAGCGCCTAGGCAACCAGCGTCCAATCAAAAGTGCGTACCGAGCGCGCTCATTTCCGGATTTTGTTTGTTTGCGGAAACAAATACGACTCACTTTCAAGCAGCATGATCCTATTGGATTACTACGGTTACAATGCAGAGTACAGACTGACGTGCGGCAACATGGTAAGAAAATGTAGCCTACATACATTGGAAGGGGGAAAGTTTGCGTACCGGCTTACTTTCACCCCTGGTCGCAGGTTGTTTTGGGATTTTGGCGCTCAAGTGTTGGCTTTCCTCCTCGCAGCTTGACTTGACTACATAAAGCAACATAAAACCAGTTTGTAGGTGGTATTATTTGTTATTTATTACAAGGAAGTGTGATTCAACCATAATAAAAGAAAGTGAGGCACAGAAAGGTGGTCCAGCCTTTTAATGCAGTGCACTACTCCTCGATTGACCCTCTGCTCTGCACCAATCAGAGGTGTGCTCTCGAGTCTGGTCACCTGAGGGACGCACCAATCACTCCGCCTCACTCACACATTTATTCCATTCACTCGTGAAAGATTAAGGACCACACGGGGGTATAGATACTACTACTACTACTACTACTACTACTACTACTACTACTACTAATTTTAAAAAAGGACCACACAGGGGATGTGGCCACGGCTGTAACAAACTTTCTTGTTGTTCTGTTTCCTCTCAAAATTAAAATTTGCACTTCTTGTTTTGCTTTAACTTGTAACTTGTTTAACTCCCCCCAGAAACATCTTTTAAAGCAGCATAACAGAGGCGAGGGCAGGTAAGCAGGAAATTAAAGAAGTCAGTTGAGAATATCTGAGGACACCTGGTGGACAGCTCAGGGATTGCAGGTCTGTGGAGCAGGGAGAAAGTTTTCGGATGAGTGGATGGAAGTAAAGGCAGACCGCAGAGGTTTGAATCAAAGCAAAAAATGTGTTTTAATACATTTATTAAAGAAGGCTATCAGTGGGCTCAGGGCGTAGCATCAAATTCTGGGCCCTGTACACTCTCAATGTCAGTGGGCCCCTATCCATGCCAGTGTAAGAGCAAAAAAAGAAAAATTTGGATATTCATGGGCCCCTCTACCTACTCTCTACTCCCTAGTCAGGTACACCCTCCCCACACCCCCACGACCATGCTCATGAATGGGCTTCATCAGGAACTCCCCATGAAAGTGGGGACACTTTAATGTCATGTCATATTAATTCCACTTGTACTTTTTACTCAACCATAACCAATGGGATGTCTGCCACGTTGTTCAATATCAATAGTTTCTCTCTGTCTTCAAAGTAAAAGAGTATAAGAGAAGTACAGTATAGTTGTCAGTCTCACTCTTGACCAGAAGAGGGCAGCATAGTACAAGCATGTTCCTGTCACTTACAGGAGAACAGGGGGCTCTAAATTTTTCAGCCTCATACACTAAATTCATAAACTATTAATGCTGAATACTGGTGCCCTTTGCTGAACCTTGAGGTGGTCAAACATCCTTTACTGCTGCTGCTGATACACACTCTAACAGGGGCATCAATCTGTCATTTTCACTCCAGGAGTCAAGTAAAGTGGAAACCTTTTTTTTTTATCCACATGATAAAATTTACTATTCTTCAACTAACTTTTCAGCTGGGGACAACAGTCACCAACCAGCTTCTCCAAGGATTAGCCATTAAGGTTCACATTCAAACAGATTCGACTTTGAAACAACCAGAAATTAGAAGTTAGTTAGCAGGGCAGGCACTCACTATGTGTTCAAACAGCTGAAAGGTGATCATCTGTAGATGTTTCCCACAAAGGAAAAGTCAAGCAGGCTTTAGATTTCATCTCGTCTTTGGCACAAGTTGTCACACCTTTACTCACCTATGAAAACCATGGACAAGATTGACGTTAGTTTTGAGGATTTAACCATCTGCACTATTTTCCAGTAAAGAAAATACAGTAAAGTACTGTATCCATAACAATCAGAGACCCTACAATGACATCCATAATGTGTTGGTTTTGTATATTGTATTTGTCCAGTAGTGCAAATGACAAAAAAAAAGTCTTTAAAGAGATTATTTACAACCAAAGTAAAAACCAGAATCATTTCTTTTTGAAAGTGGAGCCATAATATTTCTGCAAACGAACTTAATCTTAGAATCAATTGGCTCATTCAGCTCACATATTAGTGATTGATTATTTTGCTGTCAGATGAATGTGTTTAGTTAAAATACCTCATTTTTTAATAGTGAAAAAGAGACACTTGTGAGAAAAAGCTATTTCAGATTTGCTCTGAGATACCAGATTAGATTTACTTTGATGAATGCAGGATCAATCTAATTTGAAATAAAATAACTTCTAAAAGGATGTTGTTCCTTTGGTGGTTAAACACACCTTTGTCTTCATTATATCACTTTTCACTTCTCACTTTTATCATTGACTCTTGATGGGGGACACGAAGCCTCGAAAGATGCTGTTGGGATCCATGCGTAAAAACGCGTGAGTGCAACTCCCCTCTCCTCGTGCGCTCTTCCAGCATGCTCGTGCGGTCTCTCAGGATCTCGGCGTCCCACTAAAGAGCAAATCGTCGAGCTCAGCTGATCACACGGCATTTCTGCATCCGCGCTGCCTCCAGTCACACAGTGTCATCACGCAGTGGGAGCTGAGCTGCACAAGAACAAGTGCAGGTGAGCCGAGGCAACTGAAGTCCACTCCGGGTGATTTTGACGGACAGTTCTCAGGTTTTCTCTGAGGAACGAGGCGACACTTTTTCGGGAGACTGACAGAAGTGGACGAGCGGCAAACATAGAGCATGAAGAAGACTCCAAATTCAGGTAGACATTTCTCAAAATGATTGTTGATATTCTCCTTAATGCATTGAACTAGTGTTTCAAATTCTGCATGAATTTATTTAAAGTATGAATCATGCATATTGTGTGACCTACATTTGGCTCGGGCTTGGAAATCATACATTATTCATAGTTTTTTGAGCGTTATACCAAACAAGCTACATGAGTTCGTAAACATATTCTTTAGTTGAAAGGTAGTGCAACCTTTCAATCAATTAATTAATCAAATAAACAATAAAAACTCACTTTTGAATGTTCTATAGAAAAGTTTTTCAGGCATTAGAGAGATATTCCAGCATAAAATTAATTTAGGGTCATACACACAGTAACACTGAGTTAGACACCCCATCGAGATATTAATGTTGCCGACTGCTCGCTTCTCTAGTTATACCAACTCTAGTAACGACCGCATGATAGCAATACACAGCGGTCTGAGGAGCCATAAACAAACCTCAACCAAAACGCAGCTCTATAGCCACAAATAATGCTCAGAACAGCACCAAACTTCATCAACAGTACATATAGGGTCCCTATATGTATATATAGGACTGCTGTGGGGTGACACAGCTGAAGGAAGAACATTTATAATCGTGACTTTATCAGACGTGGTAGTTCTTCTGCCTTAGTGTCTTGGTCTGATTGCATTTTCCTTAAGAAATGATCATAAATGTTCTTCCTTGAGCTGCGTCACCCCACAGCAGTCCCTAATGGTACAACAACGGCTGCTGGAGGAGAGTAGGTGAGTTGTGTTTAGTCTCTATACTAAAGAAATTAGGCAAAGTTAAAAGGATGTTTGACGGCTAGTACTATGGCAGGGACCCTATATGTACTGTTGATGAAGTTAGGTGCTGTTCTGAGCATTATTTGTGGTTACAGAGTGGCGTTTTGGCTGACGTTTGTTTATGGCTCCTCAGACCGCTGTGCATTGCTATAATGCGGTCATTACTAAAGTTGGTATAACTAGAGAAGCAAGCAGTCAACAACATTCATCTCTCGAGGGGATGTCTAACTCGGTGTTACGGTGTGTTTGACCCTAAGTTAATTTTACACCGGAATATCCCTTCAACAAGTTACACTACCATCCAGCTGAATATCAGCACAGAAAACGGCCAAATATAATCATAGCCTTGCTGATATTCAATTCAACAGCACAAGCTCCAGTGTGAGATTAGCTCAGAACAACATTTCAATTAGCACCAGATCGAAGCATTACGTTGGGAACAACCAAAGTGGAGCGGTAAATGCAGCAGGAGGTCGCTAGTAGTGCCTCTTGTCCAATCAGATCACATAGTCAGAAATAAATCTTGTACGGTTCTTTGAATTTGATTTCCCCTGACTCCTTTCGAACTTGCCAAACTCTTTCACTTGGTGTTTACCCACTTTCTGGTTTTTGCCAGTTTGTTTTGCAGCTGAGTGTACAGCACCCATGGGAGCACCCCGGGGTCCCCTAGCTATTAAAGTCTGATGTGCATCATCATCTGTCGTTTTCAGCCTGACCCTCTGTATGGATGCACTGGCCCCTTCAGGCTGCACTCTCTGCTTGGACTCATAGTGCTCTATGAGAGTGTGTGTGTGTTTATGTGCGTGCGTGCGTGTGTGTGCGCGTGGCTGTTGAAAAACATTTTAGACATTTGCTTGCTCATGATGTCTGTGTACACGCTTTTGTGTGTGCTTGCTCATGTGTGCGTCTGTATTGTAAATGCGTGACACAATATGGTGCGTGATTGAGTGTGTGTATCTGTGTTACACAACACCTCAGTGAGTTTCCTCTGGCCCCATCTGTGCGTCCCCACTCTTTTTGAACATTTGGATGGATGTACGTTCTCTCGGGAGAAAAATAAAGCACTCTGGATGAAATAGACCTAAAAATGTGGCACAAGCCGATTCTGGGGAGACGTGTCAAAAACAGGACACAAATTTAAAGGGTTGGAAAGAGAAAATAAGGCATGTGCTACAGACTTGTGAAAAGATTTGAGTTGTACAATTAATAGTAAGCTGTGGGGAGTATTTGTTGGAGTTTTTAAATACAGTGCAGGCATTTTAAATGTGTATTTTCTTGTATCGTAGGCGAGTGTCAAGATGTAGTTTGATAAAGTGTTCAATCTGGAATTAAAAGTCAAATGTTACTTAGCTTTCACAGCCAAATCCAGGAATCTAGTTAGAAAATCTCTTATCTTGTTTTATTCTCAGAAAGTCCGGATTATTAATAAATCTCCATGGCAGTTATCAAAAAACACAGCAGCAGCCTGGACAGTCTAGGAATCAGCACTGATCCATTTAAGGAATAGAAATGTGAGAAGGTTAATCTTAGAGGTGAGAGACAGGCCTCTTTAAGGAGTCTTATCAGCAGCTGTCAGCCTGTATCTCTGGAGATTCTCACAGCTGCACCTGCACTGACACAACATCTCAATACTCAGACTGTTTACTGTTGTCTTAAACCAATCCTGGATTAGTGTGTTAACAGTTGGTAGTTCTGCTTGGACATTGGAGAGTTATCGGTGTTTGATGTAAGTTACAAATAACATGGCTCCCTTACTCGACTCTAACTTTTCCAATTTGACTCACTACTTCATGACTTCAGGTCTGACATTACTCATGCTTTTTACTTTCAAGGACCTTGGATATTTGTATTGTAGCGTAACGTAACGTGGCATAGCGTAACATAACGTGAAATAATCTTGTATCGTATGGCATCTTATAGTATTGTACCATAATGTATCGTATCATTTCGTATCGTATCATATTGTATTGTAACGCATCGTATTGATTTGTATCGTACTGCATCATATCTAGTCATACTGTATTGTATCTTATCCCCATACTCTTGCTAGGATATTGGGTATTCTTTAGTTCATCACAAAAAGTGAACATTTGTTACATAATTATGTCGGAATTTGTAAATATAATAATTATAAAAAATTGTTGTAATGTTATATATTCAGGTGTCGTATTTAGGGGTGTCCTGATACTACTTCTGATACGATACTGATATTATAGTGTTCAATTTTAGCCGATACCGATATTGACCCGATATTGGCACAAACTTGTGCAAAATTTTGCACTCAGCTGCAACATCTTTTTCAGACTTGAATGAAAAATACTGCCACACAGCTGACATCACTCCGACTTCTTGGTACTTTGTTAGTACCTTAGTACACACTGTTGTTGTGATCACATGAGCTATGCATGCTAGCTAGCCAGAGGCGCTAGGGCAGAGTCTGGAATGGACTGCTTGTATCAGAGATTTTAATTGTAGGCCAATATAATCGATATATATATATTTTTTTTGCAATATCAATATCGTATCGGGACATCCCCACTCATATTGTATCATATAGAATAATATTGTGTTGTGTATTGTATGGTATTGCAATAAATTGTACTGAATCAACTTACTCTTTGTTACCGCCCCAGCCTAGATGTAATAAGCAGTCTAGGATGCCAACAAGACTTATCTATAGCTCACAAATAGACTCTGGCTCTTTCTTCATGCAGCATCTTGACCTTAAGGTGTCAAAGTCTCTTCTGGCAGGAGCATTTCATGGCTGAACTGAGAGGGTACCCAATTAGCAGATCCAAAAAAAGATGCTTTCAAAAAGCAATATTTTTAGTCTTTATCTTCTCCACATTGTACATTGAGTTATCTCTTACTTGACAAGTAACCCCATAAAAAACATTGCGTATTCAAAGGCTAGGGGCTCGAAGTTTGGTTATTTTTTAGTGAAATATCCTGTAATTCATGATTATCTTCTCTATCACATAATTACAGCATGAACATTTTAGACAGATGCTCAAAACTTTGTCAAACTTCAAACTTCAATTTTTCGCATACTCTCCGGTAAGAGTGCATTAGACCCATTCTCTCTCCAGTGATTCATGCTTAATTTTGCTCTGGGAGCATCTTATCCCTTGGCTCCCATTTAGAGTCCACTGAGACCTGGAGCTTGTTTTGGGGGTTTAATGAACTGGATGTACTCATGTTGTTCTGTGGTTTTAGAGTAAAGTGACCCTGAATGAACAGGGAGACAAAGTGGAGTAAATGCACCATTATCCTTTTTTTTCTGTCAATCTTCCTACGCCTGAGAGACCCCAGTCAGCTGTGCTGTATGTTTTCATGGTTGCGTGTTTTCTGAAGACGGGCTCGTCCTCAGCCTGAGTAGACGGCTTTGTGTTGAACATTTGCTGCAGGCTTGGTGTGTTGCTAAAATTTCATCTCTAACATAAGACTTGATTAAAGACGACTGACAGCTGTGGTGCAAGCCAAGAGGACGGCGTTATTTTTCTATTTTTTTGTCTCATAAAGTAATTTAAGGTTGTTATGTTGGATTTAAAGACTTTATTCAGATCATACACAAATTACCACAACGCTGGATTTCTTAGGGGAGCATTCTCATCTGAGCCAATTTTAAAAGGAAATGACTAATTACGACAGTGACTCAACGTCTCAGCACTTTGTGCAGCGAAGAAGGAAGGACAGCAGATTTGATGTTGTGGGGGTTGTGCAGATTTGGCCCACACATAACAAGACTTGACTCAGCTAAAATTTTAATTGAGGATGTGCTTTTGATGATTAAAAATCCATCCACTAAAACAACAAATATCTATTTTTCTGTTAGAATCTAAGACCCTCAGATTTTACATGAAGTTTCATTTCATGATTTTGCCTTTAAGTCTACAACCTTCTCGCTTTACATTGGTTGTGCCAGTTTTGTAACCTTGTTTTTGCTACCAGATTTATGCCCCTTACTAGAGGTTTCACATCTACTAAATTTTACTAGCTGCCAAGTTTAAACAAAAAAGACAGTGGTTGACTATGACTAGTCCTTTCTGCTCATTATTTTGGTGACTTTTGGTTCAGACTGAAGAAACCTGAGGCATCATTGTGGACCGCTGTTGAGTGTCATTTCCTCTGCCAGGGAGACTTCAGCCATTTTTAATAATCTTTAATGAAGCGCCCCAAGTCAAACCTGTTTAGTAAGAGTTGGAGCTGTACATCAGATCCCTGGTAAATACCCTCCTCAATGGTATCTGCCATTTTACCCAGGACTTATGCTGCATTCGAGTTACCTCGGAAGTCAGAAGTCCGAGCTAGGAATGATGTCACACCCGAGTCACCAACTTTTCAGTTACCAAGTTGTAAGAAAGCAAAATCAGAGGCGGAAACAAGATGGCTACATCTATGAAAGTTATTTTAGTGCTTGCCTCGTCCAAATATAAGCAAGGACAAGGTAACTTGAATGCAGCGTTACTGACTGTTGCGTACAGGGCTGACCAATGGTTCAAATGGTCGATTTAGTGGATGGTGAACCCCTGACTCCTTTCCAACCTAAGCTATAGTGTCAGAGATGTCTCTTGAGTTGGTGGAAACCATAAACAGAGCTGAAATAAAAAGGATATTGGACTTACAATCATCAGTTTCACAAATTAAGTTGAGTGGATTTGAGGAGGACTGGCTACAGTGTTGGTTTCACTGGTTCCTTAAAAAGGCCACAGCACTTAAAACTGCAGAATCCATCATGTCATCCATCCTCCCACTAAAGCACAACACTAGATCCCAAAGAGAAGCAGCAGATGAGGAGAGTCAATACAGCTCTTTATTTCTCTTCAACAATGGTTCCTCAGTGACAGCTGAGCTGGATTCCCTTCAGTCTGACTCATTTATTGGCCTGGACGGCCACCCCACTCACTAATGCTCTCTGTGATATAAAAGCTGTCTTTATCACTTCAGTAATCATCTAATTCACTACCTAAGAGTCAGACTGCCAAGTTCTTCAGTTCATATAATTCTTATCTTTTCAAAACTGCTGCTTGAGAGCTTCCATGTGTATAAGCCCTTTATAAGAAGTGTAAAAGTTTCGGCTTTAGAAAATGAGGATTGAACAAAAGTTTTTCTCTTTGATGGAACTGAATTTTTCCCCTCAGATAAACTTTCCCTCAGCTATTAGTCTGATCCTTTACCTCCCACCACAGGAAGTGACACGTGGGTTTTCTTTTTGCCCTTTCATGGCTTTCTCCTTGAGTATTTCTCTAATCACTGCAGTAATTCCTGTCTGATTAAACCGAGGGATCTGATGTGCTGACCCATCGTTTAACAATGAATCCCAACGGAGACGGAGATCTCTTTCCACGCTGAAAAAAACCCCACAACCTCGTACGCACATGCACGCACAAATGCATCTATGACATCATCTGCCAGTGTGTCAGCGTAAGTCTATAAATAGAGGTGGTCCACGATGACGTTACAGCCTAACAAAGCCCTCACTTGTGAATAACATAAGGATGAAAAGAGGCCATGTCACTGCTGCTTAGCATGATGAGCAGCCAGCCAGTCGTGAAATAATTCTGCCGCATGCTCATTAAAGAAACACCTGATGTTACAAGCAGCTGCCGTGAAAAAAAAAGTACGAGCTGATCATGATCAGAGAATCACCGTTAGACCAAATGTGTAATCTTACGGCATTTGATGAATATTATATTAGAGAACAGAGGCAACTTTTCTCTTAAGTCAACCTTTTCTTCAACATTTGCAGTCAGATAAGAGCTTTTTTAACGATGAATGTCCACACTTGAGATTGAACCAAAGGTCACAGCCATCTTTTCCACATTGAGCTCTTGAGACGGGGAATAAAAGCACGAATGAGTCATGAACAACAAGAGCGTTCATGACAAGGGTGGACGGCATAATATGTCCAAACATGTATTTGTGGACGGAGCTTTGAAGCGGCTGTAAATACTCAATTCTTATCATAATGGATTAACACTCTGCAGCAAAATATATCAAGGAAAATACGCCTTTGGATAATTTCACAAAGCAAACAAGACCCTGATTGATGATCCGTATATCATGATTTTTAATGCCAAAAACCAGTGCAAGAAGGTAGACGTCAGCCGAGCAGCTGAAGAAACAGCCGAAGCAAGAACCGCTTTGTCCAAAGGGTTTGCAAAACTATGACACAGCTACTGGGATAATTAAAATATATTTCCAGGGCCTCAAGAGTAGCTGGACCTTCTAGTCAGGTCTAATTGAATAAGTAGCCTCAGCAGTGACAGTGGCTTTGGGATTGGTTTACAATGTGGACTGTTAGCTGCACAACGACACACATTACAACTTAATCACGGCTCAGTAACTTCTTGTTGGTACCTTATTAACATCTATTATCTCTAACATGATTTGCATAGTAGAAGTAAGTACACACTGGGGTAAGGGTTAGCTGGTTACTGAGTTGTCTTCTTTAGCTGCTGCTTCTTCTCTGTATTCCCTTAGGTGGCAACCAACGAGAAAAACAATGACTAATCCCCTATTATGAACCAGTTAGTTACACTCTAGGATTATTTTATTGTAGCAGCTCTATAGACATTTTTTCGACAAGTAGAATCGGCTAATGTTAGCGTGTCATAGATTCAACAAAAATATATCCACAAATGGATACCCTCTGAATATTTGCTAAACGTCCTTTTAAATTCTAACATAATTAAAATAGAAATAATAAAAGATGTTTTTTTTTTACACTTTCTTTGATCTAATTAGGAAATCAGAGAACTTACTGTAGATGCTAATGAATTGAACGTGCCTCTCACCATTACTGCACGCCGAGTCGTCTCTCATTTATTTGGGACCTGCTTCATCGCCAGAGTCCACATGAGCAGAGATAACCGCAGAGCTCATATATCAGTTGCTTTCACTGTGTGTGTGTCTTTTTGTGCGTCTACACATGTCTGTGTAAATGAGTGTGTAGAGGGTCTGGGTCCATGGTTGTGGATTTAGACATCAGGAGCTTGGCATGATGATTACAGAGGTCTGAAGCCACCAAGAACCGCAAGATTCTCTTGCTTTCTTCTCTTTGTTTCTCTCTCTCTTTCTCTCCTGCTAATTTGCATAAATGAAATTAGCAGGTTTCACTCGATCACCCAACACTCACTTATTAGATATTTTCCACTCTAGAGTTCCCACTTATCACTACAAACGGGCTGGTATTCTTCCAGTTGAACTCATTTCACATGGATTGATGGAGCCAAAGTTTCAGAATGGTTTTCTTTCTGCGTCAGTTCCACTCACAACCAGAACAGGAGTTCAAAACTCCCACAGACTGAACGGAGGGTGCTGAAACTTCTACACTTGCCCGTTATTTCTTGCAGCAGATCTGGAAATTTTAGGATATCCCATTTTTATGCTGTCTGCTGCTGCCAGCTCTCTCTCTCACATCTAATGATTACCTTATGTTGAAGGGGAAATAGCCGGCAGGGTTACCACAGCCATGCTGGGACAGACAGACTGCACTACAAGCATTTTTACAGCCTTTGACAGTCCCATTGACCTGAGAGTGGGATTTAGACTGCTAATGAACTGGAAGAAAAGAGCCTATAGTGTACTTTGATGGGTCATCTGTTGGTTTACATCATGATTTTTTGCAGAACTGGTTTGGATAGAGAGAAGTGGCTGAGCACTAGTTTAAAGGTTTGCCAACAGCCTGATTAAACAACAGCAACAAGATTTCTTTCCACTTTGTTTTGACTGATTTAATGAGCTGTGAAACATTCTCAGTAGCCATGTTTTTTGATCAGATAAAAAATTTGAGGGATCGGATAATCTGAATCCACTGTTTTCCCCCTGTTAAATGTTGTCACTAGATGGCGCCCTTGTGTACTTACTTTACTGTTCTGTCAAAGGTTGCTCTTTGCGTGCAGATGTGACATCATTATGCTGTATGAACGCCTTATTCTGTTACCAGAGGAGCAGACAACAGCACCTGCGTTTGTGTGTCTGTGTTGTGAGTGTTGATAATCAAACCTCCTGTACTGACCTCAATAAATAAACCAAAGGCTAAAGAGTGAAGATTGAGTCAGGTAAGAAAGTCATGACCAGAATATATGTCTACATGGACGCGTTTCGGAATAATGATCGGCATAAACCACCCCTCTTGATCGGAATACAGTTTCTTTCCGATTGAGCCGAATTGGATCAGAATCCTCCGATCAACATGTTTACATGATGCATTTTTATTCCGATTATTTGTGCCCATGTAAATGCAGCTAGTGTTTGGGGATTCATAATAGACTGTTGGTTTTATGAGGGGTTGTGGTTTCTTTGTGGAAGTCTTATTTGAGTGTATAGTTTTCGATGCTGTGGAGGACATATAGATCACTGCAGACGTATTTTAAATTATAGGCAGTAAGGATGTCAGCTGGCTCTGCACTTTGATTCATCCCAGGAAAGCATTTTTCTAGAAGTTGTTGGAAAACCCTGTAACTGCACATCTGTATTACTATGGCAGAAATTAGAATGAAATGTATCTTAACTTGAAGATTTCTCCAAATTTACCAAATTTGGAGCGTTTTCATAAATGTAAAAAGCCAGGCAATGATAAATGTCAAACACTGGTAGTAATAGATGGCTGTATACCAAGGAGTCTGATTCTGTCTGAGGTTTCTGTCGGGTTAAAGGAATTTTTGTTGCTGTTACCAAGCAGCTGATCTTGATGGATCAATATGAGATATTTGACTGACAATGAGATAAATTCACTTGATAAGATCTGAGTTTTTGTCAGAGTGTCAGAGTTGACAGAGTCATTAAATGATCAAAATGACAGTTCGAATCTCTAAAGGAAGGTACCCTGAAAATTGTTTATAAAATGCATACAGTTTGTGTTTATAATTCTCAGACTATCACTCATACCTTTTACTAGATCCACTCACTTTGCTCACTGAGCCCAGTAGGTCATCATCTCTGAATTTGTACAAACGCTTGGAAATTCCTTATGTGAATTGGAAGCAGATTGAAGTTTTATGCGTCATTGTTAAACTTGTACATGTCTGCAATTAAAACAGAGATCAGAATAATTTAAAGTAGGCCACCTCCCTCCAATAACAGGTCAGGTTCAGTGGAAATATTTGTGCGGCTGCCATCATTTCAGTCTGGGAAGTCTGACTGGAAAAAAAGACGCAATCAGATCATCTTTGTTCCACATTTCTGTAATGACGTGTCCTTACTGTCTGAATAACTCCTGGACTTATGTAATGTTTTTAAAAAGGGTTACTTGTCAAAAATGAACTCCAGATCTAAAAATTTAACCTCACACAGCTGTAAAAGTAGGAAAAACATTGAGAACCACCGTTGCCCTGGTGGATCATCCAAAAGATGACAGATACATGTATTTGAAAAATCACTTTCCTATGGTTTAGGTATTCCCCCGGTTGCAAAATCAAAAGTAAAACATTTCTGGGATGTCTGAGTGGAGCTCTTTGTGTTTACAAAAATGTGCATCCTCATGGTTGGATTAGGTTTGTGCAGTTGAGTGATGTGAGGAGTTATGTCTTTCCTGCACATGCCCCAGGTTGGATGTGTAGGCCGGAGCTGCAGCGGCGGCAGCAGCAGGAGGGAACAAAAACGAAGAGGACATCTCCTCTCTCACTCACTCTCTTTGTCTCCGTCTCTCGCACTTTCTGTGTGCACATGTGACATGTTCTGTGTGCAAGGCGCAGGGGAGGATGAGTGCCGCGTAGCGCTCCGGTGAGGTCATCAGACTGTGGCTAGCAGCACCACATCACACTGTTTTCTCTTCTTCGTTCCCCACCAGCTCATCGGTGCAGGCGGGACCGCTGAAGCTCTGCTGTACTGTTGGCAGAAAAGAGGTTTTGTTAAGGGAATAAATAGAACCATTTTTCAACTTACAGTCAGTTACAATGGTTGTTTTTAAGGGTTACAGTGTCCCTGACGTTAGCTGAATCAGTCAGAATCATTCACGAAGAAATACAAATGCATCACATAAGAGCTACATTTCCAAATCTCTGTGAAAGTAGACTCCTTTTAATCGTGTTTTATAACCACAAACACACAAGCTGGCGTGTCTCCTCTCCCTGACCTCCTTTCTCACCTCACCTCCTTTCTTCTTCCCCTCCATTTACCCCTTTTACCTCTTCCCCTCCTCCCTCCTCCTCCTCCTCTCATCCTTTTATCTTTTATCATCTTCCCACTCTCTAGTTCTTTCTCCTTCACTGTGCACCGCTGCCCTGCAGGCATCCCTTTAGTGTTGGCTGGCATGCTGATGAGTTTTTTGCTCCCCCTGTTATATAACTATATTTAGCATGTTTGAGTCACACATTAGGCCATAGGTCATACTACGAAGTGACGGCTTACATTAATGTGCACCCCAAGGCTGACCGTGCACCCTTAGTCGATGTGTGATACACAGCTTTTTTTTTTTCTTTTTTTGGGTTGTGTGAATTTGCCTCGCATGAGTGAACAAGCGCACGTGCCGGTCTAGGCCTCATGACCATCTGCCTCATGGGGGGCAAATATAGGCTGCATGTTTTTGTATGTATGTGTAAGGATGAAAAAAAGAGGTCGTTTACAGGGTGTGCTGTCACGCGAGAGGAATCTGCGCAGATATCCATTTATACTGGTGTGTGTGTGTGTGTTGGGTTTTAAATGCACATTCCAGTGTTTCAGTGTATTTGATTGTATGTGTTTGTGTAGTGGGAGGGTCTAGCTGTGTCTTCCCAGCTTTGTGAGAGGATGGAGAGTGGAGGTGGTGAAAGATCTGAGTGAAGGAGGCCATTTAAAGGGGTATTCCGGGGTAAAATTAATTTTGGGTCAAACACACCGTAACACTGAGTTAGACACCCCCTTGAAAGATGAATGTGGCCGACCGCCTGCTTCTCTAGTTATACAAACCGCAGAAAGCAATATGTAGAGCCACGCACTAAACCCAAAAGCCACTCTATAGCCACAAATAATGCTCAGAACAGCACCTAACTTCATCAACAGTACATGTAGGGTCACAGCCACAGCACTAGCCATCAAACATCTTATAACTTTGACTAATTTCTTTAGCAAAGAGACTAAACACAACTCACCTCGGGCCAGTCCATTACGGACTACAGCGGGGTGACGCAGCTCAAGGAAGAACATTTGTGATCATTTCTTTATCTTTATATTTCTTGAAGTAATAATCATCACAATAATCATTTTGCACTGCAGACGCGGTAGCTCTTCTGCCTTAGCGTCTCGGTCTGATTGCATTTCCATCAATAAATGATCATAAATGATGAAAAATAAAATAACTTTAATTTACACTGGATTATCCCTTTAAGACCTTTCTGACAGCCCCATTTCTGTAACTCAGCAGTGACCAGCGTCAATGAAAGAATCTGTGTTAAAAAAAAAATGTTGTTTTTGAAGAAAGAAGCTGTTAAAACTATAAACATGCTGCTCAGACACTCTTTGTTGACATTTTCTGATAGCCTGTATGAATGTTAAAGAAAGGTGGATGATTTTTCTTTAGATCTCAAGTGAACAGTATACTCTAAACTTTTCCTCTCGAATTTTCAGTTTTAATTTAATGCCCATGTTGTCCGTTTTAAAAAGATTTAAATAAATTAACTGAAAGGTCAGTGTCACTTTAGATAACACATCACACCGCTGGAGAGAAAACCCTAATGGGGCCAACCAGACGAGCTTGCTTTCCACAGAAATCTTTAACTTGTATCAGGAAATAAGGAACAATGAAATCGATCTTTAATGATGAGGAAAAATGTTTTAGGTTTGATGAATTATGTCAAACCTGAAATCTTCCTTTCAGTCCATTTTCTTCCACTTATCTTGAGTTGAATCATGGATGAAGTCCCAAACATCCTTCTCCACAGGGTGTTCCCATGCCAGATGGGACGTATAATCCCTTCATTGTGTTCTTGGTCTACCCCGGGGTCTCTCAGCTTGAAATGCCCCAAAAACCCTCAAGAAAAGGCATCCAGGAAGTATCTTTATCAGATGGCCAAACCACCTCAAATGACTCCTTTACATGCAAAAAAGTAGTGGTTGTACTTCTTCACTTCCTACCCAAGCTTTGGATCCTGTATCCAGCCAACCTGTGCAGGACTCCTTTCAGCCGCCTATATATCCACAATATCATTATTTTAGTCCCTACCTGAAGCTCATGAACAGAAATGAGGGCTGGAACAAAGACTGACTGGTAAATTATCATTTCTCATTTTAGCTTCACTCATGAATGAGACCTTAAGGTACTTAGACTCTTTCACCTGGGGCAAAGACTCAGACTAGAAGGGACCGATCAACACATTTATGGACAGAGTCTTGCTTCATAATTTCCATATTGTGCAGTTATTGTCACGAAAACCCTCTAAATGTGTTTTTATTTTGTGTACTTATCTGTGTGTATGCTTGTCCTGGTAAAATCAACCATTCTCCAAGTTAAAATAAGCTTTTGTGGCATAGAGACGACTCTTACATCTCAGAGAATATTCACATTTAGGGCTGGGCGATATGGCGTCAAATCAATGTCACAATATATTGATCAGTTCACCTTAATAGCGATAAATGGACGATAACTACTCCACAAGCTGCTCACCCCCTCCAACATTAACTTCGTCTACTTCAGCCGCCGCACATACACATTTTGTTATCCTCCATCTCCTCTCCTGTCTTTCCCTCTTTTTTACGAACTGGATGGGGTGGAGTCACGTCTCTGACGTATGACAGCGTCTTAAAGGGACATGAGACCATAGCCTACCTACACACCTCCAAAACCAACTTTTATTTATCTATTTTTTTGACACAGAATATATTGACATGAGCGAAATGACGTTAGTTATTGCTGTGAATTTCTTTATCATTAAACTTTCGGTTTATCACCCAGCCCTATCCACATTTCTTGTTTGCGTCTGTATAAAATTGACATTGCCACACAGTCTTATCTCAGTGTTTTTATTATTTTGATGCCTGTTGTGCCAAAGGGACGGCTGTTAAGCAAACACAGAAATATGAGTCTGAACGTGATGTGATCATACTTCCTTTCCAAAGCCCTGACGCTGCAGTTTGTCATGAAGCTTGGAGGCACACTGCTGCATGGTGGACATGCAGGAGTCTGTGTATGTGAGTGTGTGTGTTTGTGAGTCTGTTACAGTGCGTTTTGGCTTCACCAATAAAACAATAAAAGGAGAAAAGTTCATTAACTCACAGTAGCAATAATTGTTGTCCACAAACACAGAGGCTTTCATGTGTTTTCAGGCTGTCACATGTGTTTTTGTCTTTTATGCACATTAGAGTGAGTCATCAGATGCACAGACACATGTTGTGTGATTTCATGTGTTTTTTGTTGACCCTGTGATTAAGTGCAGCTTTACAGTCTGGAAAATAAGACCAAAAGAAGACAGAAAGGGCCAGCAGGCAAATGTGAGAACAGTCTCCCTTAACGGCAACAGCGACCTGCTTTACATATTGAATCAGAGCAAAACTGCCGATTTAGAAATTCTCTGGTTGACTGCGGCTGCATTTATGTATAAATTCTTAATAAGCATCTGATTTTATTCCTCCAAAGATGCAGTTTTACCACAGAACTGTTAGTTCCACTTTGCTCTCTATTAAAAGTGTTAAATCTGGACTCAGAAAAAAAGCTGTTCTGGATTTTGATTAAATGTTCAGATGTGGATAAATCAGACCAAATAGACTTATATATAAATCATGCTCTTCTTTTGGATTAGTCAGAGCCTCGCTGCGCTTAAATCTGCTCATGAGAAGTTGCACTTGAGTATCCCTAATCTGCCTCCTCTGCTCTGCTTCTCTTCACTCCTCTACTGCAGATGTCAGAAAAGGCCCCGGGGAGTGGGAGCTGTGTGTGTGTGTGTGTGTGTGTGTGTGTGTGTGTGTGTGTGTGTGTGTGTGTGTGTGTGTGTGTGTGTGTGTGTGTGTGTGTGTGTGTGTGTGTGTGAAGAAACTGTTTCATCAAATAGACAATTTGGGTTTAATTGATTAACATTGAAATGATAAATCTATCCTCCAATAAGTTCTGAAATCTGAAACAAATATTCAGCCAATCAGACTTAAGCAGGTCAAAAAAGGAGCTTGCCAGAAAGTACTGCATCACCCAGAAAAGAGTCTTAATGTTCTCGTTGTGTTTGCATTAAGAGTGTAAAAGTGCATGCATGTGAGTGTGGGAACGTGTGTTTAGGGCCTTATCTTCACACCCTTCTAGAGGTTGTGCTTTTGCTTTGTGTAAATGTGGAAGATATAGTTAAAGGAAGGATGAAAAAAGAAAAAGAGGAAGGGGAAGTGAGAAAAAACTAAAGCTGAGAGTATGTGCATGCAGATTGTGTGTGTTGTATTTTTCTCTGGAGCTTCTCACCAAGGCGACAGATCGATAAGTGACCCTTTGACCTTTGTCGAGCTGCCAAACTTGACACATATGTAGAGCTCTGCTTAGACCTGCGATTTTTTTTAGCTTAGTTCGTACAGGAAGACGACAGGGATGTATACTTGGATCTTTGTCACATAGTTTAGCTGGATTTAAACAAGTCTTACTGAGAGGCACTTCTCCCAAGAGGGTCCTGGACTGTTTTGAATCCTCTCCAGTCCACTCAGAGAACAATCAGCTGTTGTTTCGATGATGGCTTTTCAGCATTTTTTCAATTAAAGTGGCAATGTCGACAAAATCTGCGTGAACTTCCTGGATAGTGCAAGTTTTTCTGCAGGCTTTCTTTGAAACAAGTGGGCTGAGTTTATTTTCTGATCAGGACCTTAAGTCAAAGGGCTGAGTATCTCCTCCAAAAACACAATACAGTGTCAGGAAAGAGAGCGAGAGAGAGAGAGAGAGCAGGTTTGATATTGAGGAAAAAGAGAGGAGAAAATGCCTGCTTGCATGTGTCCAAAGTAAACGCCTGAATCATGTTTGTGTCAGAGAGAGAAAAAGAGAGAAAGTCAAGAAAGCAGCAAAGAGAGTGACTCCATATGACTCGCACATGGCCGTGGACGTCTGCTCTGCTCACTTGTTATCCTGACAGACTGAAGACATTAAAACTTGGAGGAAGTTAGTGCAACTGAGACAGAGGGGGAGGAAAAGGAGGGAGGAGAGAGAGAGAGAGAGAGAGAGAGAGGGAGGGTTGAAAGAGGGGGACAGAGTGACTGAGTCAGGAGAAAGGGGAAGTCTTCATGAAGAAAAAAGGGAAGAGAAGCAAAGAGAGGAGAGAAGGAGAGAGAGGTTACATGTGGCTATCTGAGGTAGCCGTGGAGTAATGGAGCGAGACAGAATAGCCGGTGAGTTCTGATTTATTTCAAGATTTCTAGAAAGTTTCCCTCGTGAGGAAAACTTTCTATCTTCTCTTTTCTTTTTTTTTTCTGATTCTTAAAAGTGGCAGCAGCTTGGTAGAAACCACCCTGGTTGTGTTTGCTTTGCTTGGTCAGCTAAGGTGAAAGCAGCCTTTTGGAGGCTGTCTCACTCTCTGTTAGTGTGTGAAATTTTCTCCTCTTATTCACATCGAAAAAATGAGCACAGCACTTTAGGAAGAGCAAACATCCAGTCTGAATAACTTCCATATGAGGAGCAGCAGTGAGTTAACTGTATGATGGGCTGTTAATAGATGACTTTGAATCAGGAAATGCAATCTTTCAGTGCTACTGTGCTCTTACTGGAAGGACTTATCTGACCCACATACTTAGGAATGATCTGACAATTGATGCACCAAGTTAAATCTTCACGTCTTCATCACATGATTGGAGGAATAGAGTTGTCAGATTAACTCTGACCGATGCCGATGGTTTATTTAAAGTTGTAGGAAGCAGAGGCAGGGCTCACACACATCAGCCAATATGATTTGGTTTTTCACAGACTGTGGATTTGATGGAGGAATTCTGAGCATTCACCAGAGTCCGTCTGTGGAGTAGTCATGCTTCTCTTTTACTCGGTAGCTGTTTCCTTTTTGTTCCTTTAATCAGCTGGATTGATTTGTATGTGTGCTTAGCTTTGTTTATAGTGCTAATGGAGATTCAGTTGAACTCCTGTTTAGACGCACATGTGTTCAATCTGGATTGAGAGGATGAGACTAATCCGGCATCTTACAGTGATTACGGCTGGACATCCAACTGAGAGACACTCTGCAAATTAGCCTTTAATTTGATCCTCAATAACAGGGCTGAGTTCAGTGAGCCGAATGATGCATGATGACAACCTGCAGTGTTTATTCTACGTCCACTTGGTGGCAGTGTTGCAGTGTGACTTTATCCTCACTGTGCAGCTTCTATTTCCCCAAGATTTGTGAAATGTTTCATGGATATGATTCATATTTTAATATTAGGTGCACAGAGACTGAGTCCAGCCTGCAAAGAGATTGTTTTGTGCAGAGGGAAGGTCTCACTAAGAAACACTTCAACCCTCACACCAATTGAGGAAGTCATGCCCAGGCTGAGCAGCTTCCTTGTTTTCAACCAGGATTATGTAGCTCTGTTTGGACCTGTTGTCATGACTACAGCAATCGTCCCCAAACCCACCCACCCCTGGTCCCCTTCAGGGTTAGTTTTCGCAATAAGATAGATACTGAAACTTAATATTTGTGCATCCTCCACACCTCCATCTTGGCCTGGAGTGCCTCCTACCGTCCCCCTTTTTCAGGCCTGTTCAGGATTAAAAAGATATCCTCCGCCTGACATGTCGTCTAAACCAACCGGTTCGTATGGTCACCACATTGGCGTATTGTAAAAACTAATTGGTGGCACACCGTCATCAAAAACGACACATGGAGAAGACAAACAAAAGATTCAGTCTAGAAAGTAGAAAAACATTTGCATCATGTTGTTTAATGTTGTTCCAGTTCAACAGTCAGAGTTATAAATCTCTTATCTGTTGAGATGATGCAAATGACATCCAAGTGAAATCAATTAAAGCAGTCATTGAAAGATTACAGATTTACAAACAGGAGATTACAACACACTTGGATTTCCTCCTATTTTTTTTGTAAGAGAAATGAGGAGATTTTTTCAAATGTTACTGAAGGAGTTAAGAGTGTTTTTTTATATCCATGGATGTATTTAAAGCTCCTGTGTGGAGTTTCTTTACAGTTATGAAATAGACTGAAATTCATATCAATGTCTTTTCATGATATCCAAAAACAAGATTGATGATTTTTATATTCTAAGTTTTGGCGCCTGAAACCAAAGTTCCCAATTATTGGTACATTTTTCTGTCAAAAGTCTTGAATGTATTCCTGTGGCAGCATTTTTACCCTGACTCCATCCTCTCCAAGTATTCTAGTGCGTAGGGTGACCATATTCTGAATCCCCAAAAAGAGGACACAACTACGTGGGGGAGGAGTCACAAGGTCTCTCATTTTTAATTCTGAGAGTTTTTCGGGTTGGATCAAGTGTTTTTTACACGTTTCTAACTCAGTAAGTCCATGCGACACAAACTCAAAACTTCCATACAAAACCACAGACATTTGAAGGATTTTATAAACTCTCCCTGACAAAGCCAGACAGCCCCCCAAAAAGAGGACATGTCCGGGTAAAAACAGACGTATGGTCACCCTACTTTTGCTATATTTGATGGATAAAACCAGCTGCTTTTCGAACAAGACTCAGTGGTCACTGTCAGCTTAGTCAAAACAGCTAATGTTAGCCAGTATCAAATCCCTCAATGAGCTAACTTTATTGATATTAGCACTTGTCATCAGACAGTAATGTTAGCTACAAAGTCATTGAATGCTTATGTTGGCAATCGCCATAGGATGTCAATCATTATCATGAAAAAACTGGCCAACGTCCCTTAGAAATGTTTGAAATAAATCAGTTCACTTCTCTTTCTCAGCTAACATCACTATTAGCTTGCTAACCTTACTACTACTAGAATTTTACATGTAACTCTTTTATGGTAACGTTAGCTAGGCAGCTGTTGAATGCCAATTTGTCCTGCAGCATCTTTGTGTCTAACACTCAGTGTCCTTCTTTAAAAAATGATCATCTCTTCATCGCCAACATTAGCATTGAAACCAACTGATAGCTAACATTACGGTAGCATGCAAAGTTCCAGTTGCTGTTAGCTTGCTAACATTGTCATCAACTGAGATTTCAGGTGAAAATATTAAACAGGAAGTGGTTTTGTGTGAGAGTTACTTGATTGGTCAGAAATGTTGTTGTATCTTGATGTGGCCCAACACTGATTTACAGTGACAGTGGCCGGTGTGATCTTACAGTTTGCTGTCCTGGTTTGATTCTCTCTTTTCACATAAATCTTATAGGCCTATTTTAGAAGTACTGATGTTCCCACCCAAAACCATGTGTACCCTCACCCTCAAACACACGCGCAGAAAACTTCCAAAACCACACATGAACTAAGGTTACTGAACTGGAGGAACTGAAGGAAATAACCCCGCTCAACATGTTCCATAAAAGTGTACAGGATATCCTCTATAAGTGAACGCCTCGCAGCTCTCCTCCTACCACCCTCCCAGTATCTCACCTCATATTGTTTCTTTTTAAGATCATTATTTAGTCACGATAAGAGAAGGAGCCATGAGCGCAGCCAGCACAGGGAGTTCAGGAAATTGACAGGGAAGCCCCACCTTCAGACCTCCTGAGGGAGGATCTCTGACAGGTGAAATTACTCACCATGATGGAAACACGGGTAGAGCCGGGGCTGATAGAACAGAAATAGATGAACCTCACATGAGATAGTTGACAACAGCTGTAGCTGCGGTCAGCAAAGTGCGAAGAAGAAACCAGCTGATATCGAAATGTCTACGAACAAACTGAGAGAACTTCAACAACATTCATTTCCATCCCAAGTTTTTCTTTATAACCCAATCAACTTTTAGAGCACATGTGCAGACCTTCATGTAAAAGATGTCATTTGTGAAGGCTATTAATTTCCCTGTATTTCACACATTAAGACCAACCATCTCACAAAGTAAATGTTGCTAAAATGCTTTCATGAAACCCTAATTATTGCAAAGATTACTTAATTTCAATCATTTCGATCAAATGATACAAAAAGTCAGTTTGTTTTATCCCAAAATTATAAAAAACTAATGCTCACTCGTGAGGTTTGCAAGAGTTTTCAAACGGTAAACCAAACCTTAAAGCTCAATTCTCACTTCTGCAGATGTGTGAGTTGTTTTCTTTCACAAAGTTATCGCACACTCCAATAACCATGTTACAAATAGCATTTAAACTTGGCGTAACAACGTGCACACCGAGGCTCTTTCCAAGTCTCCAAACCAGCAGCAGTACGTCTGCCAGTTTAAATTGTCCACACAGCTTAAAGACCAATTTAAAAAAGCTGACTGTGAAAGAGTCAAGGACTTCAGTTTCTCCAAAACACTGTCATATTAATAAAAAATGACATGTATCATGGGAGCGGAGGCAGGAATCGAGTATTTATGTTCTTTATGTTGCAGTTTCACTACCATATTTAATGACACACAATAATTGTGCAGTGACAACATATCATTAAGGCTCTACTACAATAAGTGATGATATTTCTGTAAGTTTCAGAGGTGTAGTTTTTTTACTCTTGGTCAAACAGTTCATCTTGAACAGCTGTCATCTGGATAAATTCTTGAACCACACACGTTTTGGCAGCAGAGGTCACACTCAGATAAGGAGTTTTGAGAGACTTCCTGCTAATAAATGTTTGTCATTGTGTTAACTTAATGTTTGTCTTACGTAGACCAAATAAGAGGCCTTCTATTTGAGGTGTGCTTCTCCAAAAACTAGTTACCATTTGCCTGAATCATGTAGGGCTGGGCGATAAACCGAAAATGTACCGATAACGAAAATTACAACAATAACCAACGTCATTTTGCCAATATTGGTTTATTCGATGTCAAAAAAATAAAAAAATCTAACTTGGTTTTGGATGTGTGTAGGTAGGCTTTGGTCACATGTCCCTTTAAGACACTGTCCTACGTCAGAGACGTGACTCCACCCCATCCAGTTTGTAACAAAGAGGGAAAGACAGGTGAGGAGATGGAGGACAGTTCAAAAGCAGCTGGAGCGGCGGCAAAGTTAATGTGGGAGGGATTGAGCAGCTTGTGGAGTAGTTATTGTCCATGTATCGTTATTGAAGTGAACTGCTCAATATATCGCGATATATGTGTATATATATATATATATATATATATATATATATATATATGTATATGTATATATACATATTACTGTCTTTTTATTTTTTTTTCACTTTTATAAACAAACAAACAAAACAGATAGTGGAGCACAAAACAAAACCAAAAAAAATCCCTCCCCAAAATAACAAAGTGCAATGCATTTTATATATCTACATATACGTAAGATTAAAAAAAAAAAAATTAATGAATAAAAAGACGACAGGAGACAGGTAAACGAAGGGCACAAACAAAAAATAAATGAAAGGGCAGACAGTCCTCATCTTTCAGGGGCAGATCATTTATTGTGATATTGATTTGAGACCATATCATCCAGCCCTAGAATCATGTAATCTGACAACCTAATAATGGAGAATACACACTTTCTTGTCCATAAATGTTATTAACCAGGTATAAAACAGGCCAGATTCCCTCAGCAGCTCAGTGACACAAGGCTGGATAACTTCAGTTGAGCAGATTTATCCCTCTGTGTGCACAGGCCTCTGTGTTTATGCTGCTATTCAAGGAGCATCGAGACACACAAACACACCCGCGTCTACAGTCACAGTAGAGAAACCACCCCAGCACATGTATGCACATATTCATATGTTAGTCACACTGCAAACACACACACACACACACACACACACACACACACACACACACACACACACACACACACACACACAACTCTCCAGATGTTGTTTGGGAGCTCTCCCTCGTTCTGTCGCCGAGCCAGCCTTGAGTGTGTATCCATGTTTAGATAAATACACACTGGCTGGTGGAGGTGTGTAGTTGACACACCGTGTGTTTTGCTTTAATTGAATACTACACAGACTTGTGGCATATGGTTTACAGTGAAGCCCAGATGGGCCTGCATGGGCACCGAGAGGCCACACACTTTGTTACATATAGTACAGTACATACATACTGTATATAAATAGGTCTACCATGTAGATGTACAGTAGCTGTACGCACAGTAACTCATGCACATACAGATCTGCTTTTCATGCATGTGCATTCTTTGTTGATGTATTCATTTACATACATGCATGCCCAAACTAACATACATGACACAGCTGTCAGGATACATGATGTAAATTATTTCATGTCTGTTAAAAAGGATCTAAAGCATGACCGCACAACACCTGACAATCCTTCATCGAACAGTTTAATTACTGTGTGTTCATGAAGTTGCATGCACCGAACTCTGTTCTTTGTTGTGTGGCACCTGAGCAGCAGATGGATGAAATAACCAGACTGCACCATAAACACACAGTGTAATTCTGTGTTACACTGACCTCTCAGGTGTTAGGGTTAGGGGCCCCTGGGTGGGCTTGGCATCCACAGTGCCCCCCAAGAATAAAGCTTTTCATTCAAATGGGTTTTCCCCACTTCTTACGAGCCATAAAAGTGCCAGGCATTGGTGCTGTTCCAGTTTATCTACACAAAGGGTGAAACTTTAATGTGGTTTTGGTGCATATTTGTGATAGTAGAAATGAAAACCTCCTGTGGCTCTTACTCGATTGCTCAGCTGTTTCAATGTTGATTAGCATCTAGATTTACCGCATCTAAGGAGGAGTCTTATGGATGATGGGTGATGGTTTATATTTCATTTCTTCAAGATTATTTTGTCAACACCTTTTAATCAGTGTTTCTGTCAAGCCTTTAAAACCAGTCTGTAAATAAGTCTTAGCAGCTTCAAAAACAAGAAATGTTACCAGACTGATGCATCAAAAGTTGAGTGTTAGGGCTGTAACGATATGCTTTTCTTCTGATTCGATTCTTTTACAATTTTTTGGGTGCCGATTCAATTCAAATTGCAATTCTACAAGATTGCAGATTCTCTCAATTTTTAGCCTGTATTTCTAACACCAGTGAAACAGTTGAATGATTATGATTGTCTACTGGCTATTTCAGCAACCATATTTCCCCCAAAAATACACATCAACTGATGATCAACATTTGTGATTCAGAGAGAGTCGAGCTCCGACGAGCACCGCGTCTGTTTCTGATGCCGGCACAACACCAGCAGCAACCTACACCTGCTAAGGCACCAACACCTTATGGCATATAGATTCATACTATAAACTAAAGCCATATGATATTGCTGTAAACAGCTGCATTGAGGGATTTAGCCTCTGCACAGACATTTCCAGCCATTTCCCTCTCCTCAAAAACAGTGATTCCCTACAAGTCCGCCTGGTTCTTTCTGCAGAAAAGATGCATTTCTTGCATGTGTCCTGATACTTATGATAATATGATGCTGAAACGCCAAAGGATTTATCTACTTGCTTGTGAAACCTATCTACTGAATTAATTTCATCTAAATTCAATTCATCTAAATGCTCCACAGCGCTCATTTAAACAACTAACAACATGTTAGAATCGCCATTAGCGACAACGTTATTGTCGTAAGAAATGATTTTATTACGACTTTATTCTCGTAAGTAACTATTTTTCTAAGATTCTATTCTCATAAGTAATTCCGAGGTCTAAATTTTTTTCTTTTCTTAATGTGGCCCTACTGCTCCGTCGTAAAAATTGATTTAAAAATTGTAAAACAAAAAAATCTTTATACTTATGTGAATCGATTTTCTCTCCCACCCCTACTGATTGTTCATTTGCGTCCACACCATAGCACTAGATTACCTGGACAGATGTGTCCACCAAAGCTTGAATTCCAGTGTTCATCCTGATAAAGTAAGGTCACACAGAGCAGGTCGGTGCACGAATCTCCCTTTGATTTCCCAGAGGCGCCTTCGTATAACCCTAATGTCAACTTTCTCCAGGAAGTCTTTCAGGCTTCTCTGTCAGCAGCAACTACAGAAGTGAGCGCACTTTAATTAACATGCCAGCCCGTTTGTAGAAGCTGTTTACTCAAAACGGAAGCCTCGAAGTCTCACTCGGACTGCGGTCTCTGTGTAGCCGTGACAGAGAGAAACATGCGGATGAAAGAGACACAGAGGAGAGGATCATGTCTGATTGCAGGTTAACCTGGTTTAAACGACCGTGTGACATGTTGTCCACTTTCACTGTCAGGAAATCAGACCTGAGGGCCACTTTGGCTGAAAAACGCTCCTGGGGAATGACAGGGTCTGTTGTCTGCGTGAATGCCTGCGCGTGCATGTACGAGTGTGTTGGGGGGCAGGGGAAACACACACACTCACACACTTACACACGCACAAATGCAGGACATAGGGGAGAAAGGGGGGAGTGTGTTTCTGTGAGGGGAGGAGAAGGGAGGAGGCTCGCCTTTTCGCTCTCTCTCTCTCTGAAGTCTGAATCCAGCGTGGTAGAGAAGGTAGTGGGGAGTCAGAGGAAAAAAAGTTGCTCCTCTAAAGGGACAGTTGTAGCTCAGAGTCTATTTTGGAATTATTAAGGATTTGGTTGAAAGCTGAAAGAAAGAGGAGACTGACATTTTATGCCTGGAAAAATGTCTGATTCTGGAGTCAATCCACACTTGGAGGGAATAATTTCAGATTTTGAAGGTTTGTCTTTACTGTCTTTACTCTAACTCACATTTAAACTTTATCTTTGATGGCAACATCTGTCAGAACTGAGTTGTTTGTGAGTATTTTCTGTATATGTACTTTTAAGTGTTTTCACTCCTTTATGTGAGTACTGTATTTTTATTTGTGGGTGTGCTCCTTGTTAAAACAGGGTGGTGGGTATATGCTAGCTAATGCACATAGTCTGTTATTGATTATAGCCAGCTTACGTCAATAATAGGAATAAACACTGACACTATGCTACTCCAGCACCGGAAAGCCTCCAGCTGAAAGAACTAAGAGGAGGACAGTGGAAACCTCAACGTTAAGAGCAAACATCTGTCCAAGTACTCCTACAACAGTTACAACTTTGTCACTCTTTTGTTTGCTGAGCCACAGTGGAGCTGGCATTAATATCCTTTGTCCTCCTCTTCCTGGAAGCACTCGGTCTTTCTTCCTTCCTCTCTTCTCTCCTGTTGCTCCTGACGTCAGAGTGTATCCCTCCAGCTGTTGTCTAACTCACCTTGAGATGATGCAGGCTGACGCTGAGAGCAGGAGCTGGAAAAGTTTTGAGTTCCTTGTGTCGTCTCAGTTTTTAACCATCTACGACTACTAGCAGGTTTGGGCGTGGAAGATGGTTGTACAGATAAGAGATCTGTGGTTTGGTACGGTTAGTTAGACAATAAAGTTGTATGTAGGGATGCACCGATCCACTTTTTTCACCTCTGTGCAGATATCTACAGTTTGGTATTGGCCGATACGATCCAATTCCGATACAGAAAAGTCGCGCTGAATTACCTTTTGTTGTAACCTAAAGTTTTACCACTGCTCCTGGGAGTGTTTACTGCACAGGTATTGCAAGTGGTGGTCGAGCTTGTAGGCTGAGGTAGTGTGATAAAGTTCAAGATAGCAGACCCCTTTGCTCGCTCCATTTTGAAAACAATGTGGGCATCCACTCAGCATGTCTACTTGTGGATGCCACTCACAGCACATAGCATAGAGTTAGACTGAATAGATTGGCCCCTATGAATCGGGCCCATTGTCACGGTACCGGATCTAGAATTTTCTTCAGTATCGGGACCAATACTGATATCAAATATTGGATCGGTGCATCTCTGGTTGTATGCTGTGTCTATTATTAGAAAAATACTATTTTACTGTAAATGTGTGATCATACTTCATCAACGTCATAACTTCTACTAGTTAGGAGGCGACACCATTAAAAGGACAGTGAATGTCAAATTTAATGCATTTGGTTTAAGTGTCTAAATCTTGTTATTCATAATTATGTAGAAGATTTTTGCAGCTATCTGAAGTAAGACGTGTAATGAGACAGCCGTTTATTGTCTTGATTGAGAATTTTCACGGTTTCTAAACTATTCACTAAACTATAAACTATAGGGGTGAAGTGAATATTGGGTTATATCGGCCTGCATCTAAAATCTCAGATATCAGCACTGCGATACAAGCAGTCCATTCCATACTCCGCTTCAGCACTTCTACCTAGTAGCACCCTGATCCAGCATGCAGAGCCCACGTGATCACAACAACAGCATGTACTAAGGTACTAACAAAGTAGCAAGGATAAGGAGTGATGTCGGCTGTGTGGCAGTATTTTTTGTTTAAGTTTGTGAAAGACGTTGAAACTGAGTGCAAAACTATTCATGAACAATTTTGTGCTAACATTGGATCAATATCGGTATCAGCCAATACTGAAGGCTGCAATATCGATATTGTATCAGAAGTAAGAGAAGTTATTTCACCACTGCTATTCACTGTTTGAAACTTTTGAATATGTAGAAACCATATTTCATGACTTTCAGACTGATCATGTGGGTGTGTGAATAAATTTAGAATTAGGTTATGTGCATCATAAATGAATGCACATTGTTTCTCACAGCACAATAATCAACAGTCCAAGTAGGCTAACGTTAGTATTTCACTTAATTTTTCAGCCTCCTCCTTAATATACCTTCTACAGATAGTATATTTAAATCTCTAAAAGCATCCTGTTTCAACACAAGGTCTCTCTTGCAATGTGGTATCAAAGGTAGACACAAAAGAGAGTTGAAAAATTGGCCTGGTTGTCACCATATGCTACTAGTAGGGAAATCAGAGTAACCACCTACCAAGTACAGTATTTTAATCTCGGATCTAAACTGCTATAAAGAGAGCATTCACGTCTCTGTGTGAACTTCCATTTAAATCCAGATTGAAACAGTTTCCAGTCCATTACACCGCACTGTACCTTACAACGAGCACAGAGGGAAAGGTAGTGTAATGGGTGAGCACCCTAAACGGTGTAATGACGCCTCTCGGTTTTAGCCCGTAACGGAAAATGTATGACTGAAACCACCATAACAACGACAGACTGAAACAATATTATGATCCTCTGAAAGGTAGAAAATGTCTCTGTTCAATCAAAACCAATGACTCACTGGAGAATTAGGCCCTGAGTAAGACCATATTTGTATATTCAGAGCGTTAGCAGAGTCATGCATGGAGCTCCTGCCGTGTTTGCCAACCTAAACTGAACTTGGAGTACAGTCCGAAATGTTTTGTCCTGATGGTGTGCTCTAAAAGTGCTATATTGGCGCTCCAGTGTGGCATATGGACATAGAGAGGAAATTAATATCTAAACGGAGAAAGTGAACGTGTGTGGCACAATTTGAGACCCGGTAGAGAGGCCAGTGTGTTAAAAATGTGGCTCTCTTGTGTAAATAAAACACCTTTTTAACAGTTCTCAGTGGTACTGTTCACTCTAAACGGTTTATTAAACCACAGGTGGCAGAAAACACACGTAAGGTCGGACCAAATTAAACTTCTACACGTGCTTTTTGATTTAAATGGGTTACCTGACAGCTACTGGCAGATACAGCTGAGTTTGAGAAAAGCTTTTTTTTACTTTGCAAAGAAATGTTTGGATCTGCTTTTGTGATTTATGCTGTAAAATCTGATATATTTAAAGGGATATTCCAGCGTAAAATTAATTTAGGGTCAAACACACCATAACATCGAGTTAGACACACCCCTGGAGAGATGACTGTTGCCGACCGCAGCTTGCTTCTCTAGTTATACTTACTTTAGTAATGACTACATGATAGCAATACAGAGAGCCACGTGCTCAACCAAAACGCCACTCTATAGCCACAAATAATGCTCAGAGCTGCACTTCATCAACTGTACATATAGGGTCCCAGCCATAGTACTAGCCACCAAACATCTTTTTAACTTCTTTAGCAAAGAGACTAAACACAACTCACCGTCTCTCTTCCAGCAGCCGTTTGTTTGTATGGAGACCTCCGGGTGAGTCCATTGACTGCAGCGTGGGGACGCAGAACTACCGCATCTGCAGTGCAAAATGATTAATATGATGATTATTACTTCAAGGAAATGATAAAGAAAGGGTAATAAATGTTCTTCCTTGAGCTGCCTCACCCCGCAGCAGCCGATGGACTCGCCCGGAGGTTTTCGTACAAACAAAAAGTTAGTATAAAGTTAGTATAACTAGAGAAGCAAGCAGTCGGCAACATTCATCTCTCGATGGGGTGTCTAACTCGGTGTTATGGTGTGTTTGACCCTAACTTAATTCTACGCCGGAATATCCCTTTAAGTCATCAAGCTCTAATTCTTAGCATGCTCCATCTTTGTGAATCAGTCCGATTTGCCAACTACCTCTTCTCCACATGCTAATTTTTATCCACACTATATTCAAGCTGCAGTCTCTCTGTGTTTAAAGGCATTAGGTGGAGTGTGGTCACTGCCTGTATACCTGCACTGACCGCTGATGTGGATCTGTTCATGAAGAGGATAGTAAAGGAGTGCTTGATCAAAGGAGCAGTTTTACAGCAGTGTTACCTGTCAGAGGTTAAGGCCTGAAGAGCCTGAAGCTAAGAAACAGGACAGCTATTTAACAGCTGCTTTAAATGCTTTGTGTGTGTTTGTGTGTGTGCAGGTTTGTGTCTGTTCTCCCCAAACTTAAACCAGGGTTAAAAATGTTTCTCAGTACAAATAAGGATTCAGATCCTGCTCTGAAACATCAAGTTGAGGATTTTATTCCGAGATCTCATGGCTAATGTCTTCCAGCACGTCTGCTTTTTGACACCTCTTACACTCCCAGGATTCCTCACTGCTGGACTCAGGCTGACAGCCAGACTAGGAGGGAACCACACAGTAAATCTGACACAGTGAACTGCACTGCTGCTGGTCAGCATGAGTAAACTCAACACCATCAGCGGGCAGTGAGAGGAAGTGTGTGTTTGACAGCGTAGCATTAGGGTTCTGTCTAACCGTGCAGAACACCAGAGTGTGAAATTGTATCATCGGTTGTTTGGCCTTGTCTTGTCAAAAATATGTTTTTCCAGGTTGACCACAAGGACTTGTATTCTGCAGCCTCAGATAAACTCAGGAACCCAGATAAACTCTGCTGTGCATTAGCTGTTATTTTACAACCAGTGTTTGACAGTGAGTAACTTTTGTAATGTCTCGACTTATTGTCTAGAGCTGGAATTACCAGACAAAGTAGCAGTTCAAGGTTGTGTTTAGTTCAGTATATCATTTATTAATTCAATAATAGCGGAGTGGCTTTTTGTTTTTTTGTAATTTAACCGCATGACTGCATTTCAGGTTCAGGGTCCTCTAAACAGTTACTAATTTATAATGCAGAAATACCGCACTGATGGGCACTGACTTATTACACTGGTGGTGACGTATTTTGGAGCCAAAACTGCCTGAACAAAGAAAACATATGAGACCTCTTTAGAGAACTAACAACAGGCAGACTTGACAAATGCAAGAAACGTGTGATCAGTGTTGTGAAAGATTGGAGTTTTTAGTTTGGTTTGAGCACTGAACTATTTGCTCAAGTTAGGAAAGTAAAACAGTAATGATTGTTTCTGCACAATGATTGCCTATGTTGCTGCAATTTGTTATTAATCTACAGTCAACACATTTACTTCACATTCAAAGTCTTCTTGTACTTCAGGAGCACTTCACTTCCACTGACATAATACTGGTCAAAAATGTAGTGATTTATGATGAGCAGCTAATTTACATTGTTACCGGGAGCAGTCTAAAGCATGACCTGACTTTTGTATCTTAGCATGTGTGTGAGCAGCTTCATTACAAAATCTTATGTAGTATGACTTACTTAGTTGCTTTGTTGTGGAAGTTAAACTTCTTATGTATTTTTACTAACTTGGTGAAGCAGATGGTTATGAAGCTTCATATCCCCACTCCAAGCTGATGAGAGAAGAGCAAAAATTATGAAGAAATATCAGCCTCTTGTCCCACCATAACTTTCTCTTTTGTGTTTACATATAACACCCTAAAACAGAGTAATTTTTCTGTTCAACTGTTAGATGTTAAATCCCATTTCAGAAGTGAGGGAGATTCAGACATGCAGATACACACCATGCTGTTCTGCCCTGCCAGCTCCCGACCTCCACCCTGATTCTACCGCTTTTATTACCTATGAGGGTTGATCAGAGTAGGGGTGTCCCAGTACAACTTTCTTACTTCCGATATGATACTGATATTGTAGTTTCAGTGATGGCCGACACCGATATTGGTCTGATATTGGCACATACTGCCACGTGGCCGACATCCCTCCTACCCCTTGCTACTTTGTTAGTACCTTAGTACACACTGTTGTTGTGATTGCGCAGAGTTGTGTTGCTCTGCATGTTGGATACAGACGCTGCTAGCTAAAAGCGCTAGAGCGGAGTCTGGAATGGACTGCTTATATCGGAGATTTTAGATGCAGGCCGATATAATTCAATATTTGTTTTTTGGCTGATATCGGGCCGATATCCGATAACCATATTGTGAATAGTTTGGAAACAGTTAAAATTCTCATTCAACACAATAAATGGCTGTGTCATTACACTTCTGACTTTAGATATCTGCAAAAATGTTCTACATAATCATGAAAAAAGGTTTTAGACACTTAAACCAAATGCATTAAATTTGACATTCACCGTCCTCTTAATAGTGTCGCCCCCTTAACTAGTAAACATAACTTTTTTTGCTGATATCCGAACGATATTAATATCGTATCCGGACATCCCTAGATCAGAAGCAGAATGCCTTCACCCCTCTCTTCCCCCCCATTGCAGACAAGCCATAACAGGGCTTGGAAGAGCAGTACGTGAAAGTCAAGAGAAGCTTAGTTTAAGAATTTCAAACTGTCTTGTCTTAAACACAAAAAAGACCTCTCCATCCATGTGTCAGGCTCTGACAGCAAACGAGCAAAAATTTAGTCTTGACCTGTTTTAACCTCCTTATTTCTCATTCTGTAATCTCCCTGCCTCTCTATCTGCAGTTTCCTCCCCTCCTATCTATTTTGTTGTTTGTTTTTCTGCCTCTAACCCTCTGCTATCTCATACTTGAGCATCTGTGCTGGGATGATACAAGGTGTTTGTGTTCGTTGGTCGGGATGTCCTTGAGACAGAAGTGATGACACTGATGATAAGACGCAGCCTGAGCCGAACACCTGGGCTGTATTAGGATAAATGACCGTGAACCGAAGTGAGGATACAGCTGCCTCCATCTTTGCTGCGCTCGTTTAATACTGTCTGCGCTGTATTATCTTCACACATGAGACTGTGTGAGTTACTGGACACTGGGCGGTGATAGGTAATGGAGGGACGTGGGGAGACAAGACTCCTGGCTGCTGTTAATGAGGCTCCACTAAGGTGGACTGGACGTCTGGTTTCCTGCTCATAGTCTGGGAATGCTGTTTCACTGGGAACCATACTCCTTTATCCGCCTGTCAGTCCCACAAATATCTGAAGCTCAGTGATCATTTTGGGATGACGTGTGAAGAATATTCTGTGAAAAATGTAAAACTAATCTAAAGAAGATCAATGAGTCTAAAGAAAGACGTGAAAACAAAGTAGTTGAGCGATCATCTGAGTGACAGATGCCTCGGATGCCTTTTTGAGTTTTAATCCGTGCTCCCCGACGACGACGTTAAAGCACAGAGAGATTTGACTTCACTCCTGCTCTTAAATTATGTTCACTTGGCTGCTCCGTCTCTAAATACAAACAAATGGCTGTAGGGGAAAGCACTCAAGTCCTCTGCTGCTGCTGCTGTCCCATGCTGGAAGGCGTATAATCACAAAGCAGCCAAGAACAGAAATACTTCTCTAGGATCACTCAACAGGTCGTGAGCCAAACAACCTTTGAATTCAGCTCTTGTTTAGTTTCTCGTGTGAATACTGATCCTGACATCCCTGTCATGTTTAGCTTGAATTTACACAGTCCTTATAAAATATCAAAATGTACATTAAGTGTCAGAGTGCGCATTATTTCTTGCTCACGACACAAAACATGCCTAAAGCGTGCATCACAAGCTTGCATGAAATCTGCAGAGCAGTTATGGACGACCAACTTATTCTCTGGCCGGAGTTGAAAGTAGCCACAGCCTTGGCTTTCCTCTCAGTAATCATAAAACACGAGACGGAGAAAAGCAGTGGTAAAGAGAACACAGACCAGTGGCAGTATTGGTTTGGACGCCGCTTACAAACTGTAATTTTATTTATGCGTAATTTTTATCTGCGTGTATTGATCAAAGGTTGACTCTTAAAGCTGTTTTGTGGTGACTCAGTAGGTCATGAACCCTGCGGTCAACAAAATAGAAAAGACTGTGAGAAAGCGTGTCAGAGTGGATGTAATTGTAATCATCGAGAATCACATTTATTGTATAATAGATGACAGATTAGGGTGAGTCCAGGCAAATGAAGCTAGCGTTTTGTGTTAGCTGCACTGTACGGTAAATGTAATGTCAGGACAAGACCTTTAAAATAAAGTACGAAAAATTTTAACATCACTGGACAGTTTTGTATTTTTATTACAAAACCTTTGGAGATTATAATATACAAATGAACCAACAAGCAATAAACTGATGAATTAGTACCTGGTGCTTGTTCTGGATCAAGAATTGACCCAATGTAGGGCTGTGCGATATGGCCTCAAATCAATATCATGATATATTGAGTAGCTCACCTCAATAACGATAAATGGACGATAACTACTCCACAAGCTGCTCACCTCCTGTCACATTAACTTTGTCAACTTCAGCTGCCGCTCCAGCCGCTACAACTTTTGAACCATCCTCATCTCCTCACCTGTCTTTTCCTCTTTGTTACAGACTGGATGGGGTGGAGTCACGTCTCTGACATAAGACAGTGTCTCAAAGGGACATGAGACCATAGCCTACCTACACACATCCAAAACCAGCTTTTATTTATCTATTTTTTTGACATCAAATATACCGATACGGGCAAAATGACATCGGTTATTGCTGTAAATTTTGGTGTCAGTAAATTTTCGGTTTATTGCCCAGCCCTAGTTTTATGGTAAGATTACGACGACAAATCAGTGTTACGTTGTGTTTTATAACAAGTTTTACAGTAGAAAACATGATATCTCAGGAAACAAGTCCTCAACACCCGATTGTATAATAACTTAAAGAAGGTAATTAGGCTAGATGATTGGTGGAGAAACAAGTGGTCTAGAATTAACATAACATGCCTTGGTAATACAGTTGTAAATTGATTTTCTCTTGCATGTATACACTCTGAAGTTGATCAGCAATGATGCATTATGGAAGGCCAGGTAGTAAACGAAACCTTGACAGAAGAAGAAGTAAAAATATCAAAGCTGTGGTATTATCCTTATGAAAAGTTCAGGGCTGTAAAATTGTCTGTGTTTTCAGTTAGCTTTTTGCTAGTTTATTTGTTGATCATTCCAGCTTGTGACTTGAAAACAGCCCAATAATAACTTGCAGAAAGGGGGCATGTCACCACCTTTTGTGTAACGGTGGCGTATGTAGTTATGTCACTAAATTGGATCTCTTCTGGCGCTCATGTACTGGGACATTGTGTCTGATTGACCTGAAAGGAGACTAACCCTGTGGTTCTAGGCCTGGCTCTTTTAAACAGGGTAAACTGACCACAGTGTTGGGATGAAGCAGCTTATGGCAGCAAATTAGATTAGTGGTGTTGGCTGAAGTGTGTGAGGACGCAGCTTTGATGTGATTGTGTTAAACTTCACATTCCCCTACAGAGTTTTGGCTTTCTACATCAAGCACCAGAGCTGAGGCATGTTCCCCTCCCTGTGGGTGTAGCTGCTTAAAAATAATCATGTATATGTTCCCGTAGCTTGCTCGTTTTTACAAGTACTTTGAACTTGGACTACATACAGTTACGCAAAGACACGTGCGCGCTCAGACATACCACGAGCCACAAACAGATCAAATAATCACCGCTGTGTTTCAGATTGGAGGAAACGGGAGATGTTCTTCAGGGGGTGCGTGAGTGGATTGGCCAACTAGTGTGTCATTATGATACCAGCTCCTGGCCTATGGCTTAACAACAGCAAATCCACAATGGGACTCAAATTCAAGTTGACTTCGAGCCATTGCACTTATCCCAGGGGCTGTTTCCATCCCTTAGTATCTTCATCTTGGACAGTGCAGAGATTTTCTCACGTAACAAGTTACCAAAGGGGGGAGGACGTGCCTCTCACTCTTTGCTCATGTTGTTCATAAACAAGAAGACTTGGGACTTTTTCCCGATATGCCTTGCAGTGAATTATTTGGATGAGTGCATGCAGTAAAACTCAGTGTAAAGCTTCAATTTTTAGTTAAGTTAACTTATAGCATCCAAGTTATGACTAAACAACTCCTACATAGACTGAAACATAGAGGTTATGTCTTCATTATTTGTCCATGCTGTTTACTATTTGTTCCCAACAGCATTGCTCCTACGGGCATCTTCAATCCTCAGCTCTTGTCTAGGATGCTCTCCACATTGTCTAAAGAAAATAGCAACTCACTGTGTTTGCAGCACATTTCATTTGTAAGTCCATGTTGTTTTTATTATGTTGATCCAACTTGCTATTAAAAGGAATCCTCACCAACAAATGGTTGACAAGAAGAGATTAGCCAGGGTTGAAGAATTGTCCAAGGGTCATTATTTTCCATCACACCCTCCTGTGTTTTTATTCGCCGGTGGAAAGAGACTAAAATATTTGTTTCCTTCAAATGTTCCTCTGTTTGTAGGAATTGTTATTATGTTTTAAATATATGTGTTAGTGAATATGAGGTACATAACATTTTTGTAGCTTTTAACTCGACAAAAATAACTACTTTGCCACCATGTCAGAAGCTTCTCTGTACGACTCTATTTAAAAAGTGCTTTGATTTTAAATAACCCTCTCGAGTAGACTTTTGTCAAAGGTAGGGCTGGGTGATTAATTGATAATAATACATACTGAAAAATAAATTCCCCAATATCAATGTAGAACATGGTCAATATGCTTATCGATAGTCGGCATTCTGCCATGTTTTGGTAGACTATACGAATAGCCAATGAAAAGGGGAGTTGCTCCAAGTCCACTTCACATTCAACCAATCATGTGCTGAATTAGAACCAAGTAGCAAACAAATGACGACATCGTCAACAACACTGGCACGAAAACGTCGGTGGCGTGGAGGTTTTGTGGTTTTTCAAGGTCAAACATGAAGCAGAGTAATGTGCACTGCAAATGTTGTTGAGTACATGTTCTCACAAAGTTGGGGAATACCTCAAAACTTTTTTTTACCACCTGAAGCAGCACGCGCAACGCAAAAGGGTACAAACCCTGAGTGGAGCAAGGAGCCCATGGCACCTGTGCAGCCGAAACAGCCGACCATTCAGTCAGCTTTTCCTAGAGCAACGCCTTACGACAAAATGTTGAAGAGACGCAAAGTCCCCACAGATGCAGTAGTTTATCGTATTGCAAAAGACGTGCTACCAATTAGCACTGTTACATTTTTTTTATCGTGATATATATCGATATCGACTGATATGAAAAAGATATATCGTGATAAACTTTTTCCATATCGCCCAGCCCTAGACACAGGTATTTTACTTTTATGTGTGAAGCATTTTATATGAAGGATATCAAAGACATGGTCAAGTCCTTTTAAAAAAAAAATGTTTTAAGTTACAATTTTGGAAATTAAAGTTTCAAATTGGGAGAAAATTATGTGTCAGAGTAATCCCAGGATGAGACAGCAGGATGCCCTGAATGGTTTGTTCAAAAAAGTCACACAGAAATTAAGCAAGAGGGACCCAGGACTTGCTCAATTCATGATGTCACAAATTGATGAGTTTATAGTCAAATTGAAATCTCATTATTTTATCAATATCGTTTTTTTCTCCTTAGGATGTTTTGAAACACTGTTGTATAAGATCTGGGGATGTTTAGATATTTAGATGAAAGGATTTTTAAAAATTGGTGATCATTTTTCTGATGTTGATTCATCAGTGACCCACTGACTGAAATGTCGTGTTTTCTCTCTCATGCAGCTCTGAAGAGGTCCTTCGAGGTAGAGGATGTGGACACTTCCTCTCACCTCTCTCCCGGTTCCCGTCGGACGACTAACTCCCCTCATCGCAACGCCATGTCTCCCACCAGCATCTACTACCGGGACCTGGGCTCCAGCACCACTGCGACCAACAACAACAACCTCAACTACACCCAGCCCCGCTCCATCATGGGTGGAGGAGGCTCAAAGACCCCTGAGCCTGTGTCACGTCGTTCAGAACTCTCGATCGACATCTCCTCCTCGTCCACCAAATCCATGGACAACGCCACCAGCCCTGCTTCCACACGCTTCGCCACAAACAGCGCCCTGAAACGCCCTGAAGTCCTCGGTCACTCCAAAACTCCCGAGATGAGCCACAAGAGGGAGGTCACCTTCGCCAAAGCACCTAATGACTCCCCAGTGATCCGCCGCAATGAGGGCAACAACAACAACAATGGCACCAGCAAGACCCCAGAGCAGAATCACACTCGCAAGTTTGAGCTGCCAAGTCCCGGGGATGTTCGCAAACCTGATATCAGCATTACCAGAGCCCCTCCAGAAAACAATGGTCACCACCCAGCAGTGCACCACCCACATCACCCAAACCCCCATCACAACACCATCGTCACCACCTTCCGCTGTTCCTCGCCAAATCATGCTGGACGGAAATCACCCAACTATGGTAAGTCTGCTTAATTCCCGGAAAACCAACTCCATCAAATCATTCCAGTTTTATCCTTCACTACTGTCACACTCCATTTAATCGCTGGAATAGCTTGGAACCATTGGCAGTCATTTTTATCCCATGAATCCCATCGGCAGTAGTTTCCCAGTGCCCATGTAAAATTTAAAAACCACTCTCAAATATAAGACGAGTCTCATCAATACTAGAGGCTGAAATCTCCTCTAAAAACTGATCTCCTTTGTTTGGTCACTCATAGAAAACAGACTGAATTTTTAGGGTGACCATATTCTGAATCCCCAAAAAGAGAACACGACTATGCAGGGGCGGAGTCACGGAGTCACATAGTCAGGTGTAGTTAATTTTGAGAGTTTTTCAGGTTGGATCAAGTGTTTTTAGACGCTTCTAACTCAGTAAATCCATGCGACAAAAACTTAAAACTTCCATACAAAACCCCGGACATTTGAAGGATTTTATAAAGGCCAGGAAGGTCGTGCAGCCCCCCAAAAAAGAGGACATGTCTGGGTAAAAAAGGAGGTATGGTCACCCTAGATTTTTGCTTTTAGTATTCTTCTGTTTGAAAAGGTGCATTCACAGCTTTTGTAATCAGAATTATTTCACTTTGAAACAGACCAATTTACAGTCAAAAAAAAAACTTTCTCCTGGTTTCATATCTTTCTTCTTCTTCAATTGCAGAGAAGCAAAAGTTCTCTCTCACTTGGAAAAAAAAACAGGGGCAACTTGTTTGATTTGTCTGATGTCTGTATTTCTGCCAGTAACATAAATAACCACATCCTCAGAGGCTTGTCGGTCCAGCAGACTGAACGTCTGTATTTGTGGTCTGTTATTAATGTAATTATGAAGATGGGTGGGTTTGTTGCTATGTGATGAAAGACTAACCTTTGGAGCACCAGAACAGCACCACGGTTCGTACAATAAACCAGCCCTACAAATGCAGTTAACAGAGACGGAGTCCAAAGATTGACTTGAGCTTCTCTGATGCAGCCTGTGATATGATACGGTCATAAAAAGAGTTGATATTCAGTCGAAATAAGAGAAACTGCGTGCGCTCTCTTTGATTTTCTGCCGTTTCCACGTTGTAAGTCAGTGGTTAGAGTAGAGCATGTTTCTTCTTATTCCTTCTTCTGTGGAGTAAGTTTGTTTACCGAGCCCTGTCACAACCACCAACCTAGATATCTGGATGAGTTGGGGGGCTATAATGTGATGTTTTTACTTTGCTAGGTGTTGCATTGTTATGATGTTTAGACCATAAGTGGTTGTGACACTTCAAAACACGACGAGGGCTTTGAAATTAAGCTGAGGGGATTTTGTTGATTACTCTTGCCAGGTTCACCCTCGTCATTGTCTCTGTGAGGTACTCTTATCACCTTAGCGCAGTGTTATGCCTCGGCATTTAACGTGACTTTAGAAAATAGCTACGGCGGCTGCTTTGAGCAATGCTCCTCTGTGTTTTATTTATTCATCTATGGAAGCCTTTGGTCATGTAAGTGGCTGTTATCCTCCGAGTGAAAGCTTTTCTGTGTTTCTCAACAAATCACTGTCCCCAACCTACTCTTTACCACTTTCCCAAGTTGTTTAGCATAAGCTTGTCCTGCCTTGTACAAATTTTCCTGCAGTGTGTATCTGTGGTTAAGTGTGTCACATCGTTCCCGCTCTATGGATCCACTTTGTGCTTGACTGTAAATCTCCACTCTTTTTTTCTGCCCTGAAGCTTTAACATGAAGTTCTCTTGGATTATGGGAGTAAAATAATTAGTGGTCCACAGGGACAGGCCCTCACTGATAGGCCCCGGGGCTCTAAGTGAACCTACCATTTTCTGCTCTGGCACGTTATCAAGGCCACTGAATTAAAATAAAAAAGCTTGAAATGACTTGTTGTACCATTAGGGCTGGGCGATATGGCCTCAAATCAATATCACGATACATTGAGCAGTTCACCTCGATAACGTTAAAATGGACGATAACTACTCCACAAGCTGCTCACCCCCTCCCACATTAACTTCGTCTACTTCAGCCGCTACAACTTTTGAACCGTCCTCCATCTCCTCACCTGTTTTTCCCTCTTTGTTACGGACTAGATGGGGTGAAGTCACGTCTCTGATGTAGGTCAGCGTCTTAAATGGACGTGAGAACATAGCCTACCTACACACATCCAAAAAAAACTTTTATTCATTTATTTTTATACTGATATGGGCAAAATGATGTTGGTTATTGTTGTAAATTCGGTATCGGTAAATTTTCAGTTTATCGCCCAGCCCTAGTTTTATGCTTAGATTACTACCACAAATCACAGTGTTACATTGTATTTAATTGCAAGTTTTACGGCAGAAAACATATATCTTACCTTAAAAAACAAGTCCTCAACACCTGATGGTATGAAAAGTTAAAGAAAGTAGTTACAGTCTAGATGACCAGTTGAGAAATGAGTGGTCTCAAATTAACATAACATGCCTTGGTAATACAGTTGTAAATTGATTTTCTCTTGCATGTATACACTCTGAAGTTGAACAATAATGATGCATTATGGGAAGCCAGGTAGTATACGAAAGTTGTCTATGTTTTCACAGTTAGCCCTTTGCTAATTTGTTCGTCGATCATTTTAGCATGTGACTTATTGAATATATTGACATGGGCAAAATGACGTCGGTTATCATCGTAAATTTCGGTATTTGTAAATTTTCAGTTTATCGCCCAGCCCTATGTACCATCATTGTCTAGGGTTACATTATATAAGGAATGAAAATACACTGGTCTCTTGGTTTGTATAGTGAAAGACAGTTGATAAATCATCATCTGCCACCTTGTTTCATTCGTAGGATATTTAATGTTATTCTGATGGCGTGCTTTAGATGCTGTTGTCAACACTGTCAATAAAGATCAGATAGTGTTGTTTTTCTATTTGGCCGTCAGCTGTGTTATTGTGGGTCGATTAGATAAGCTGCTTTCCTGCCCCTTCGGTCTTTCCTAAAGGAAATGATATCACACCTCTGTGTGTATGCATGCATGCAAACACACTTGCACACTAAAGTACATGTAGTATCCGGTGTTTCCTTCCGTGTTCTGTCAGCATGATTGTTTCCCCCGCTCTGTGACCTCATTGCAGTTTGCTTCCTCTGTCAGAGGTCATGTGACCCGAGTACGTCAGTTTCCTCCCATATACATCCCTCTGTACTTTGATCCCAGTTTCAGGAATAAGGTGATACATTAGCGTGTTTATGGTTGTGACACAGAACACGCTTCAGATAGATTTTTGAATGATAACGGATGAATAAATTTCGTATTTTCAGTAGCTTGATAATTGCGGTAAAAAAAAAACATACGGTAAGCAGAATTTTTTGTGTGGTTGTCAGTTTTCATAGATTGTTGGAGCCTCAGTTATGAAAAAAAGATAAATATGTTCTTTATTTCTCCTCTGTGATGGTTTTTCTTACTCCCTTAAACTTAATCTCTTTGGGGATTTGGGTTCGTAGGATCCATCATTTCAATGGTTGTTTGATAGATACATACTGTTATTAAATGTACTTTACAGATGGGTGTTTTCCAACCACACTTAAAACTATTATGGTAAAACACACCCTGAAGAATAGAATCCTTGACCTTGTGGTAGCAATTTCGGACAATTTTCCAATTTTTTAGTCCACAGAAAATTTTGAAGGAAGTACTTTTGAATATGAATTACTTTTTGGTATTAGATGCTTAAAAAAATTGGACCAACCACTACAGAGAAATATACTTATTAAAAAACATCTATCCTTTGTTTCCATCGACTTGTGTGATTTGATAAGGTCAACTACAATACTCTCAGACAGGATTCATAAATGTGTCGCCCTACTCAACGATGTTTATTGTGCCTTCTTACCAGAAGTGGATTTTAAAGTGCTTTACAAGGCAGCAAAAATAAGTGTATACAGTCAACATTTTCAAAGGGATCAGTAAATGACGCCACTTAGTCATTTATAATCCAATCTCAGATTCATGTCTAGGTTGTTTTTAGCCACTGTCCAAGCCCATGGTGCAGCCTGGCCATATTTCAAGGTTTCGTATCATCAACCAAATGTTAAATTTAATGTTTTTATTTGCATTTTAAGCTGGCTGCAACTTCCATTAGGTAAATACAGACTGATTTTATTATACAAGAGCTTTAATTCGATTATACCAGAGTTTTAATTTTGGTGAGTTGGATTCAGTTTGACATAATTACCATTTTCTCTGAAGCTGTAAAATATCTTTATTTCTCATGAATGCTTACTCAAGTGCCACAGTTTGACTCTGAAATACCTGAAGAGTTCGGTACAGGACTCATACAATGTGACTTTAAGTGGATGTGATAAGTGAAAGAAGAAAACTGACTCACATTCAAGAAGGAGAACTCTCCTGACCATCAGGGTCACTTCAGGCTATAGACAGCAGACTCATTCTCATGATTGGTATCTGGTCTGCTCCCGTGTGTGCAGCCAGACGGGGATGTTATCTTGACAGGCAGGCCTGCTGTTCATCAATCCATCACACTCCACTGAAACGAGCTTCATCTTACATCTCGAGACAGAGGAGCAGAGACCACCTGTGGTTAGAAACAACACATTTATTATCACTCTTTAGACCAGCTTTACATTTTTTTTAAATGAATTTGTTTCAGATGAAGATTACGATGGAGTATTAGGGCTGCATTAAGAAAAAAAAATCTGACTTTGAGATTAAAGTCGTTAATTTAAGAGAATAAAGTCATTACTTGCAAAATGAAATCATTATGATACTTAATATAATGTGGCGCTGATGTGCCAAACAAGTATCTCCTTGTTTTAGAAATCTATATTGAAGTACATTTTCATGAAATTCTCCATGGCTCTCATTTCAACAACTGTCATCGTAAACAAAAGGTTAGAATATAAGGACTTTATTCTGATTTTATTCTTGTAAGAAATTACTTTATTACAACTTTATTCTCGTAAGTAATGATTTTATTATGACTTTATTCTCGTAAGTTAATTACTTTAATCTTGAAGTCTTAATTTTTCTTAAAGTGGCCCTAATACTCCGTCGTAGAAGATTAAAGCTGATGTAGTCAAGTGTATTTTTTAAGACAAAAATTTGGTTTGATGAATCACTCGAAAAGGATGTTAATAAAATATATTACTAATATATTAGAATAAGTAATATATTTGTTTGTATATTTTTTTAGGTTTTTTAATCATTCTCTCATTTCAACACCAGGATGAGACCCTCTTTATTGTCTGTATCTTGCCTCTGGAGAGGTCTCCAGATAAATGACCATAAATAGTCTCATTATCTCTAAGATGATAGCTGGTAGGTTATCTTTCTGTAACCTTTTAAGAACTCTTTTAGTGTTTTATGAGGAGGAAATACATGCTCCAACATCACATGAATCACTGTAACAAAACTAAAAACTTCTGCTTTCTGAGTTTAAGAAGAAGTGTGTCTTCAAAGAGTATTTAAGTCCTTTTAATAATGGGTAGAATAAAAGAAAACTCAATCTAGCAGACTAATTCAGCGGCACACTTGTTTTACTAATGAGAGTGGAAGAAAACACATGTGAGACCGGTCGTCTATTATTCGGATTGACCTTTAATAAAGAGGGAGGAGTGGCTAGTGAGGGTGATTTGTCTCTGCCTGTCTGTAGGTCATGAAAGGGCACACACAAACAAACATGCTTTCTTCATCTCACTTGTTTTTTGTCTCACTTTTTCATCTCTCATCAACACATCTACACATGCACAAACGCACACACATACAGGGCACCCTGAGGGGAAGGCATATCCGAGGTCAATCCTCTTGCCGTGTAATTACTCCTGGACTGATCCTGGACCATTACTCACCGGCCTGTCGGCTAATTACTGAGGGAAGAAAAAGGAACAAGGCAAAGAGGATTTGGTGACTGAGGATGATAATGTTTGAATATTAATTTAAGTTTCAGTGTGAACCAAAAAGAGCCTGTTCCTCTTCCAGTCAGGGATGCAAACTCAATGAAATATGTTTATATGGTGGAATAATTCAATCAAAGTGCGCTGTTAACCACTAAATTTGGGCTTAAAGCCAAAAGGGTCATGCCCCACGGCCGGCTGCTTTTTTCCACTGGTTGGCTGCACCATATTTTTGTGGAAGCTCCTGCATTTCCTCTCTCCACGAAAATGTTATTTTAGTCTGCAAACTTAATGTTCCTGTATCTAACATTCCTTCCATCTTTAGTCATGTAGTTTATTTAAAGGTGTGGTGTACAGCACAGCAGCGTTTGGCAGAACAGAAATGGCAGAAATTAAACAAAATATCTGAAAGTATATGTCTAAATACGTGTAAAATAACTTAAATATAAAGCAGTTTTTTGTTAAACTAATGAGCGTCTTATATCTAATTGTATTTAGTTGGAGTTTGAAATGTACTAATTGGAAGACAAAGATTAGATAGGCTGAACTTAAATGACCTTTGAGCGCACTGGTTTCTAAGTGATAAGGTGTTTTGAGTCTATATTAAGATTAATGGTTCATTCAGGTCAGTATTAACTTTGTAAAGTAGAAAAAAACTTCTCTCAGTGACGTTTTTGTCTTTGGGATGATCACATTATGATGTTGTTGCAGCTATCTTTGACTAAGCTTGCAAACAGTCCTCTTGCTCATTTGAAGTCTGTGAGCTTCCGGACTCTTTCATCTGTGTTTTCAGCTGAAAAATGTCCCACAGCGAAAACACAGACAAGTGTCACTTCTCATTATGTTGAATATGACTTTCACTGTCACTGCACTTTTAAAAGACACCACCAGGAGGCAGCGTATGATAGAAGAAATCTGCACAGACACTGAAAGTGATGCTTGATTTCCTCATTTTAAAACTTTTAATGGTAAAACTCTCGATTCAAACATGTTGTCTTTAGTCCTGCTGCCATTTTTCAGAGGACTGAGCCTGATAAAACAACTTCAGGGGGCTCAGAGCACATGTTTACCACCGTACAACTGCATCAAAGACAGAGAGATCAGTCTGTTTCCTTCAATATGTCATAATAAACCCACATTCAAAATAATGTCCTCCATGTCTTTGACGCATGATGACAGGCCTTTTAAAACAACATGAAAGCTATTCTCTTATTTTATGAGCATTTTACATTAGAGTGGGAAGAGGAGGAGGAGGGAGAAGCTGGGAGAAATGGGAAAGGGACAGCCCTTCTGCCCCAGATAAGTGGACTCAGACACACACACACACTCACACACACACACACAGAGAGGCTGTTCCCCTCTCCCCCAGATAAAGCTTAGGAAGTTGAAGTTTACATTGAGCATCTGGGGGAAGTCAGGGGTTAAAGAAGTTTCCCACCACTGCAGAAGGACTTTTGTCCGCTTAAATCATCTCACCAAATCCCACAGCTGCAGTAAACGCCCCCTCCCCGTTCACTTTCTCCTGCCTGCTGTAAAGCTGACACACTCACAGATTTCACCTCGACCGACATGTCGGAGCACAAACTCTCACACCACTTCCCCTCTTTGCTTTATCACACTTTGACACAGAAATTTTAGAGATATACGAACTTTGTATGAACCGTTTCCATCAGCCAAACAGTCTGATATGAGCCATCAGAGTTAGACAGAGTACGGTGACGGTACTGTCAATAATCTCAATTTTTGAGTGAACCCTCCGTCCTGTCCATCCAGATATAACACTCTGTTGGTGATGAGAATATCATGTCCCCTGTCTTAGCTGCAGAAATGACTAAATGAAGCCAAGGTAACATTGCACGATGATCACTTCGCCACAGTCCTGCAATCTGCTGAAATAGTAAACGACAGTAGATGAGAGGTAGATGAGAGATTCCAATGTGATGACTGTGTGTGAAATATGAGAGGAATATGAAAAATATGTGGGTAGAGTCTTGTCCCACATGTTTCACCAAGTGTGATATATTTCACTCAGATTCATACATGAACTCATCATATTATCGGGTTTATCGTAGCCGGAAGCAGGAGATCGGGAAAAGTTTTGACTTCATGTCCTCAAAACTAATGTTGATTAATTCAACAGCAGATGAAAATTCAGTTTCAGTATCTCTATGCCTGACATTATGTCATGTATCGCATCTGCGGAATAGCCCAGACATATAATGCGAGAGAGGAGGGGTTCCTTCATATCATTTCAGTCTGTCTGCATTAAGCGGTAAAAGTTGTGGGAATCTGTTGTGTTTTAACAATTTACTAGGTAATCCAACCTCCTCACTCAGTTTCCTCCGAGCCGAAGTCCTTTTTATTCCTACAGTCTAGATATTAAAACTCAGTGGTGTCCTTCAGCTCAAGTGGCCACATACTAGGGCTGAGTGATAAACCAAAAATTTACAGATACTAAAATTTACAACAATCACCAACGTCATTTTCCCCATTTCGGTATATTCGGTGTCAAAAAATAAAGAAATAGTTGGTTTTGGATGTGTGTAGGTAGGCTATGGTCTCATGTCCCTCTAAGACGCTGTCCTATGTCGAAGATGTGACTCCACCCCATCCAGTCCGTAACAAAGAGGGAAAGACAGATGAGAAGATGGAGGACGGTTCAAAAGTTGTAGCGGCTGAAGTAGACGAAGTTAATGTGGGAGGGGGTGAGCAGCTTGTGTAGTAGTTACCGTCCATTTATCGTTACCAAGATGAACTGCTCAATATATTATGATATTGATTTGAGGCCATATCGCCCAGCCCTACCAATCAGCTTTTACTCCTTTACTTACTTGAGTTAATTTGAAAATGAAATACATAAACGTATATATTATCATTGTTGTACTCTGAGATGTGCCACCAAAAAAACTTTATTGTTCCCTGCAAAGTTGTATATTGATACCAAAGTGTGGTTTTATAATTATTTACTGTGTTTCTGGGCTGCTGACATTAAAATCTGAATGTAAAGGATGTAAGCAGCACATAGTTGACTGTCAAAGACACAGATATAAATATAAGACTAGATACGCTAGCGGCGAACAGTCATGGCCCGCCAAGTGACTTGCTTACGTGGCCACCATCTTAGCGTGGGCAACTTTCCCATTAAGGTCATCGGATATACATGGAAGATGAATCATATCTGGCTCATTTCTCAACCGATTTTCATGCAGTTTACTTTATTTTCAACGACAAAACATGTGCTACTCAATATGCTCATGAGCTACAGAACATTTTGGGTTTTTAATTTTTAAATCAAATGATCTGTATTAATAGCACATATTTAAGCGTGACAATAAAGTGAACCACATGAAAATTGGTTGAGAAATGAGCAAGAAAGGATTTATATTCATATTACATGCATTGCCTTTAATGGGAACGATACCCCCACGAGCTGAACCTCACTGTATAGGCACGCAGCTCAAAGGGGCATGTCATGCACTATTCATATGGTCAAAGATGTCCCTACTAAAGGTCAATAAAGAAAGCTGTGAAAACCTTTTCATGGTGTAATTCTCAATGACTGCCACAGCAGGTTGGTGCTCAAGTACAGCCAAGTGAAGTTTATATAGACTGTACTGCTTAGCTGGAAATGTTCAGGCTTATTTTAACAATTAAATATTTCCAAGGCTTTACTTTGCAATAATTGGCACAGAATTTGAATGCACTATAAAGCAGTTCTCCTTTGAGACCTGATCATGTGTCAAAACAGAGATCTGCAGTGATAATTAAAGGATTTAGAGAACAGCTCTGCAGCTTTGTGGTTTTACAGGCAATTAGCTTACAGGACGAACACCGTCATCTGTCAAGAAAAGTCTTAGCAGCGGAGCCTGGAGGAGCTGTGGGTGGACTTTGACCTCTATCTTAGATGCCGTAAAGTGCTTTGTGATGCTACAACGCAAAGGAAGCACAGTTACAGCTGAAGATTTAGGAGAAAGGGAAAGGTACACATATTTGTGGTTCTTCACCTGCAATCAACAAACTTTAAGGGCCATCTGATAATCTCTCTCCCTCTTTGCACGAGGAATGTTTATGTTATACGAAATTAGCATCACAACTGGCCTAGATGTTTGTCGAAGGCATGCAGCGACCGCTAATCACAGAGCTCCTTCCTTTTCGTCTTCTCTTGGTATCGTGAGTTGAGTCATCCCTGTCCTCTGCCCCCGCAGATCCAGTGAGGGGCCAGGGATTCCCCAGAAGGCCGATCCCTTAGAGTCGCTCTGTTTATTGTTCATCAGTGGAGGATTTGAGTGCAGAGCATTAGAAATAGAGACTACATGTTGGTGTGTGTGTGTGTGTGTGGAGTAGAGAACAGGAAAGGTTAGCTCTCGTTCAATGACAGGATTGTGAAAAATCTAACAGCAGCTGTGATAGAGACAAAACCTCGAGGAATTCTTGTTAAAGACTTTTTTTCTCTGCTGAATCCTGTTGGAATCAATCAGAGACAGACAGGAGGGATGACTTCTACATGCAGTGAGGTGTACTACAACCAGGAGGTGGAAACCCTCTGTGAGTATCTGTTTGGATCTACTTTGTGTCTTTTGGAGAGCTCCACTGTGTTGAAGACCGAGAGAGCAAGACAACTGGTTTCCATTATGACCAATCAAGCTGAGGTATGATGTATCCTATTCAGATGGGGATGTAGGAGCAGAGCGCTCTGACAATAATGGTTTGACATTTTCCCCTCTTCTTTCTTTCTTTTTATTGGATCGCAAACCTCTTTGTTGACTGGACTCGATTCAGAATTTCCTCTTTTTAAGCTCTCTTCAGTTAAAGAAAGAAGTTCTGGTACGAGTGGTTTCAAGAAGTGATACTTTATTTTTGTTCTAAGTTACAAGCGCCGCTCTTTCCCCTCCATGCTTCTTCATCCTTGGTCCAGCTGGAAAAGCTTTGCCTGTTTAAACAGACCTGAAAACATTGTGGGCTAACACTTCCCTATAAACAAATACTGCGACCCCAAAATCAAGCCAGTTTATCTTCTTCGCGGTGAACATCAGTTACAGCAGAAATAGTGGGAAAAAAAAGCTGATGTCAAAGCAAAGACAGGCCTGAGTTATTGTAACCTTCAGGTGAAATGTGCAAGTGGAGAAATAAAAACCAGAAGAGCTGAAGAACTTTACTGTCAATTTGTGAAGTCGTCCAGAAAATACACACGAATTAATCTACTCCAGTGGTTTTCAAACCAGAGGGAGAGACGGAGTCCTGGAGGCCACTTTCGGGTGTTGAGACGAACCGTCCTCGCTCACCACACATGCTGTCTCCATTTGCGCCACAGGGGAGCAGAGCAACCACAGCAAAAACACACAACAGGAAGTCTCCAACAGACACAGCTATCTCCCCAGTATATCCAGGCCAGGCCAGATGTTCTTTCAGTCACCCTGCTCCTCCTCCTCCTCCTCCTTGTCCCACTTTATCTCTATTTTTCTTTACTTCTTCTTCTATATCTGTTCCTTCCTCTCCGCTCTTCCTTGAAGACGTGTCACTGAGTCACTCGGCCCGCTGAGTCATGTAGGTGACTCTCTGAATCATCTCCATATGTGTTCTGCTATGATTGGGTGGCCTTCAGCAATCAGCCCTGACCTCGCTGAGATCTTAAATAATGCTCACAGCGGGCGAGTCATGTTTGCGTAGACGTTTTTGGTTACCATCCACGTGATTTAATGTTGTACAAATAGTTTGACTTCTCATAGTTGACACAGTCTCGTCTTTGGAGAAAAGCAGTGTGGTGAACACCTGACCATGAATACAACTATTCCCTGAACGCTCTTCTAAAGAAGCGCCTTTTCTGTTTTACTGGGAACACAGCATGCACACGAATACACAAGAGATTATACATCCTCCGCCCAACACAGTAAATCATGGAGCTCTGCATCTAATTGAATTTATTTTTTGCTCAAAGCTGCTTTTAAGACTTCGAGGACAACTAATAAAATAAAACTCCTACCATATAGCAAACTTCTCCTTTCATCTTTGGTTCCCACAAGAGGAAACGGGGACTTACGACATCGATGGGTCAAGGGTTTACACGACAAAAAGATGTTTATTGTTTAGTGACATATACACGGAAAAATCTTGTCTTTATTGAAAAGAGATATAGAGCGGGAATGTTTCAGATTCCTTGCCCAGAACCCCCCGAAAGGCTGTTCTTCAGGCTTGCCAGACAGCAAAAAACATTTGTCCTGTTTCCACTCTGGAGATGTGCCATCGGCAGATTTAGGATCCTAATCTCAGGAAGAAGAATTTGTTGAGAGAGGCTCAGTGGTATGCTGACTGTTTTCTATCTGCGCTGGCAATACTGAAATCTAAAGCTTAAAACATCTATTGATCATTTATCGTTTAAGTTATGAAGCGTAAGGTTGCACATTTCTATAAGAAGATTTATTGTATACAAAGTATGTGCCAATCTGAATAAAAGATTAAATTTGGGGATTTGAAATATAGATTTTTAAACATACAAAAAAGGGTAACACTCTATTTGACGCCTATCTCTATAATGCATTATAAATATATGTTTAATGTCTTATAATCACGTTATAGCACTGTATAACTGTAGTTATAAACTCTCATAAATGATCATAATGCTTTATAGCAATAATCATAACGCATTATAAAGCATTTTATCATGACGTGCAAGGTCAGGTATTATAATGTGTTATAACTGTTAACGTCTCACTGACAATGCTCACATAGATAATGTAATGCAACTGTTGTTAACAGTTAAAACACCTGATAATACTTAACCTTCTAAGTCAGACCTGGGCATTTTACGGCCGGAGGGCCAAATCCGGCCCTTTAGATGTCCCTGCCTGGCACTTCATGAGGTCTGACAATCAAATCATCAACATGCTATAAAAGTGTGTTGCTTTTATTTTGAAAATCTAGCCGTTGTTTTACAGAAGCAAGTTTAAACATTGGCAAAATATATGTAGACGCCTCATAGTTGCCAAGTCTTTTTTTGGGCTTGTTTTTTTTACTAGCAGTTGCTTATTTGGGCTTTTCTGTATGTGTGAACCCCCTGATTTGAAGTTGAAGTATTTGTTGGTTCGGCCCTCCAACACAGTTCAGGTTTCTCATGTGGCCCCATGTAAAAATTAATTGCCCACCCCTGTTGTAAGTCATGATAAAATGCTTTTTAATGTGTCATGATTATTGCAATAAAGCATTATGATCAATTATGAGTGTTTATAACTATAGTTATACAGTGCTATAATGTGATTATAACGCATTATACATATATTAATAATGTGTTATAGAGATAGCCGTAAAATAAAGTGTTACCCAAAAGGAATTAATTTTCCCAAGTACTGTTCAAAACATATTACCTGCAGTTTATACAGAGATAGATGTTTTCATGTTTTACAACGAAACCACAGCCAAGTGAGAGACTGAGCATTGACAGGAAGGAAACCGTTTCTGCTGAATGTTATGAAAATCTGTCTCTCTGGCCTTCAGCCTATATGCTGATGGAAAAAAAAGAAAAAAACACTGTGCAATAAAAACAAAAGGAAACAAATTAATAGCCTAGTCTTTCCAGTTAATCTATAATAAAGCCACTTTATCACCAGAATCCCCATATCACCGTAAAACTATTCTTAGATAACAGATCTGTGCATGCTGTCTGCATTAGTAGTGTTGTGCAGACAGACGGAAGATTGCCTGTGGATCTCTGTTGTGGGTAAACTGGAAACGCAGCAGTGCGATACATTTCCTGAGAACACTTCAGATTTGGAGGAGCTGTCATCTCTTTCTGAAGCCAAAACTCAACTTCAGTGCAGCTTGTTTCGATCAAGCTGTGGATCCTTTAGCAGCTCATTTTTCTGCAGAGTAGAAGCAGGTTACCACCGAACAATGAAAAACAGGACGAACAGGATTTCTGAAGAATCAGATCAATGTGTTTTTAGTGGAGAATTCCCCTTTAAAATATGTTTGAATATCTGAACAGATTTTGAGTGGGTGCAAAAACTTAGCTTAGCCCTGTTAGCTAAAAAGATGGTGTTTTCTTGGAGAGATTTGGCTGAGAATCTGTCCAGCAGAAATAGTCTCTGTTCGGGAAGCTTTGGAAGTGGAAGTATTTCAGATTTTGGAGGAAACTTGACTAGCTGTTTACTACGACAGTGTGTACTAAAGTACTAACAAAGTAACAAGGAGTAGGAGTGATGTCAGCTGTGTGGCGGTATTTTTCGTTAAAGTCTGAAAAAGACATTGCAGCTGAGTGCAGAACTTGTCATGCACAAGTTTGTATCAATATCGGTATCGGCCAATATTGAAGGCTACAATATCTGTATCGTATCAAAAGTATAAAGTTGCATCGGGACACCCCTGAAAACGACAACATGATTTATTTGCGTTATAAATCAGCCATCAGCAGACCCGCTCTCTATTTCTAGCATTAGCATCTTTAAAGTTTTGGAGGAACACATTTAGAAAATGTCAAACTCAGTCCCAGACTTTATTTGTCTTCTACTTGCATCACTTCAACTAATTTGACAAACCGATGAACAGATCCCCACTTTCTCTCCTTCCTGTCCCTCCAGGTGGGTTTTACTCATTTACTCATCAAAAGGCAAAGACACCAAAATAACTTTAAAAAACGTTTCTTATTTAGTCATGGCTTTAGTTTTGAGGGATGTAGTGTGATGTCAGAAAAGAGAGAGCATTATCCCTAGTGGATTGAAGGATAGAGATGACTGGCTCACACACACACACACACACACACACACACACACACACACACACACACACACACACACACACACACACACACACACACACACACACACACACACAGGCCCAGACATAAATCCAATACCCTCCTCTGAAACTAACAGTGGGAGAGAGGGAGCAGATGGACACTCACAAAGACAGAGGAAGGTTATTGCCTTTTCTCTTGTGTACACACACACAGACACACACACACAGACACACACACACACACACACACACACACTTAAACTCTCTCATGCACACACACAAGCTGAGAAAATCATTCTGCTGCATTATTATTTTGTAAATAAAATCTCTTTGATAAACTGAGGAGCAGACAAACACAAACAGACACATGCGAACACTCAGCTTCCACTCTTGTGGGTTTTCCTAATCGCACGTGGTTCGAGATAGCCTGCTATTCCCACAATGTTCCCCATTCACTTTCTCTGAATGAGGGGTGTGGCTGCTGAATGCCTTGGTAGCCACTTGGGGAAGATAGTCACATGACCGAGTAGGGGGTGTGGCCAGGGGGAGCAGCAGCAGCAGCAGGCTCACCAGCTGGAGCTGTGATTGAGAGAGGAAGAGAGTGGGAGAGGTGGAGGGAACAGAGAAGGAAAGAGAAGGGTTGGGTGAGTTGCTAATTTTTGTGTTTGCCATGTGCTTTACTGTCTTATGAGGAGATATGTCGGTGATTGCAGAGAAAAAGGTGGAAAAAGAGGAAGACAGGGGTTTAAGAGAAACAGAGAAGAGAGAGAGAGAGAGAGAGAGGGAGGCTGTTGGTGTCAAAGTTGATTTGCCAGGTGCGTTGTCTGTGCATGAAACATGAAAAAAGTTTTCAAGTTGAAAGTTGGAGCGTTTTCTGAGTGGGAAACTCTAGAAAGAGGAACAAAGCTAAAATACAGGGACTGTACTTTCCTGTTTCTTTCATTTTTCTCTCTATCTTACCACTCTTCTATTGTTCACCACTCAAAGAGAGTTTGGGGGGTCGAGCACAAGCACTCTCCTCCTTCCTCGCACACTCCCCCACTCACCCCTCTCCTTTTTCTTTCTCCCTTTCCCTCCTATTGTGTGTGTCGCCAGCTCTGGAGCATGCATGGATAATCAATCTGCCATAATGGGACTGAGTGTTGACCAATCAGGATGGACCTTGATACTCTTAAAGGTCTCAGACTCTCTCACTCTCTGCATCTCGCTGTTTTTTTTTTCTCCTTGAGCGCCAGCGCTCGTCACATCAGAGAGAGTTTCTGGTCTGACTTTGATCCGGGGCAGTGGATTAGCCAGGCACTGATGGAGCCAAGCTGTTTTTGACGTGATTTAATTCTGACAATCCCCTGTGTCCGCTCTCCAGAGAGTTTGTTGCCAAGTTCAAGGAGAGGTGAAGAGTCAAACAGGTCACTACATTCAGCCCAAGTTTCACTTTTTCCTCAAGACATTGAAGATCTCCTCCCCTCTGCAAACTCTTTGTTTCTTTTGGTGGGAATACACGAAAAAGAGGTTGTGGTTTGTAACTTAAATGTAGTTTTGTACCTCAGAGGCCAGTGAAGCTTTTGAAACATCAACCATCTTCCATGTTTTGAGTTCATCACATGGTCTTACTTCTTCAAATTGGCAGTACAGTGAGTGAATAGTTGCTTTGTTGGATGCTGCACCCAGAAATCCCTGAAGTAGGACTGGAAATGGAACTTTCTGGTTGTAGTTTTGAGGCAGGGATCTGGATGAAATCTTTTTTTGCATCGCTGACAAGCAAAATAGTATCTAAAATCATGACAGCATGAAGATTGAACTCTGCTTCTTCTGCATACTGCATAAGAAAGAGCAGAATCTAAAGTCACTCTTACAGTATCATAGCTAGGGCTGGGCGATATTGCCATATATCACCATATATTGAGCAGTTCACCTCGATAACGATAAATGGACGATAACTACTCCACAAGCTGCTCACCCCCTCCAACATTAACTTCGTCTACTTTAAGCCATTGCTACAACTTTTGAACCGTCCTCCATCTCCTCACCTGTCTTTCCCTCTTTGTTACGGACTGGATGGGGTGGAGTCACGTCTCTGATGTAGGACAGTGTCTTAAAGGGACATGAGACCAAAGCCTACCCATACACATCCAAAACCAACTTTTATTTTTTATTTATTTATTTATTTGACACCAAATATATTGACATGGGCAAAATGGTGTCGGTTATTGTTGTAAATTTTGGTATCGTTAAAATTTCAGTTTATCGCCCAGCCCTACTCACAACACTGATTAAGAATCACTTTATTTGGGACTTACCTTGGGTTTCCTCTCCCACAGTGGACCAGATTTCAGTATCTGTCTGCTTATGTTACAGCTTGTCTCTTGCACAATGCATTGTCTCATGCATTAACTGATGATTCGCACTTCTACAAGGTTGTTTTTGGCACGTCTTTAAGCTTTTAGGAAGCTCATTTTTCAAACACCGCTCTATGCTTTTATCAAATGATTTCTTCTTTGCTCTTCTTTGACATATCACCTTATAGATGCCTGAAATGTGAGACAATTATTTTCTTTAAAGGGGGATCAACCCGCTGTTATGTCGAAGTGTTGAGCTGCTCTTTTGGCCCGTGTTTTTGACCAAAGAATTTGCCCTGAAGGCAAAAGAGCAGGAAGGAAGAGATGCATGAAGAGCGTGTTTTACAGTAAACAACCAGTTTTTTTTTTTATGAAAGCAGTCTTCCCATCATTACTTTACATTACATTACATAGTCCTCCAAGCTAATTGTTTCCATGTGTGTTGAATTTGATATCATCTCATTCTTTTCCTGCTCCCTCCTCAAGACAGAAATTTCATTGTATATTTTTACTCATTTTGGTGTCCCTCATCGGCACATTTAAGTAGAAAATAATGCGCTGTACAGTGAAATAACAACACAAGCATGTCTCACAGACTGCACAGAGGGAGGATGATGTTTTCTGTTTTTCATGTGTGTCACGAAGGCAGGAAGTCAGACATGTCATGTCCTGTCAGGGGTGACAGGCTGTGGATCTGTCATCACTGAAAAGGAGGGGGTTTGGGATGCTTTCTTCTGCAACACTGAAGCAGTATCATACCTCAAGGCATTATGGGTCATCTGTCATCGTGCTTTTTTAATTCTGTGACATTAATGTGACTTTACATTAAGTCTGATTTCATCTTGCACATAAACCTAATGCTAATTCATCACTTCATTTATTTTAGAGTGCAGTTTGCATAAAGGAATTTTTAATGGACAATATCAATATCCAACATCTCAGTGCAGCTTATCCTGAAAAGCATGAGTTGTGTTTTTGTTTAATGTAAAATATACTCCTGCTTTCTTTGGCAGTCAGTGGAATCACCCACCGAGAATCTTTGCTGTAAAAAATGTCGACTATTTCAGTGCCATGCTGTTTTCTGACCCCAAATAGAGGAATCAAAACTTAGTATGTGGAAGTGATCCAAACTTTTGATTGGTAACCTGGTTGTACCTCATGTAAAGACATCTCTTTTGAATTCAGTTGGTTTTAAAATTAGTAAAAACAGAAGCTTTAGAAAGTGGAATTAAAATCAGAAACTTCCAGTAACAAAAGAGCAAAAGGTTGGTCTTAGATGTTTTTGGATTTATTCACAGTTTAGTAAGAAATGACAAAAAGACTTGGAGCCTACAGATGGAGCCTTGTGCTCATACTTTGCATTTATTTTGCCAATGTCTCTGTACTTTTCCTAAAAGCCTTCAGACACAGACCAAACTTATGTGCCAATGGAAATCACAAAGGCAGTATACTGAGGGGTGTAGCCAACAGTCCAAGAGAGAAGAAACAACAATGAAGAAAACATTTTAGAATAGTAGAACTTTTTGAGCAGAGATTGTTTGACAACTTAAGAAAATGTGAACATGTTTTATGTTACTTTGCCATAGGGCTGGGCGATAAACCAAAATTTACAGATACCAGAATTTACCGATACCATAATTTACGACAATAACCAACATCATTTTGCCCATGTCAATATATTCAGTGTCAAATAAATAAATAAATAAAAGTTGGTTTTGGATGTGTGTAGGTAGGCTATGTCCCTTTAAGACGCTGTCCTATAGACTAGAACTACTTTCTTTAACTTTTCATACAGTCGAGTGTCAAGAACTTGTTTCCTGAGATATCATGTTTTCTGCTATAAAACTTGCCATTAAACACAATGTAACACTGTGATTTGTAGTAGTAGTAATCGTACCATAATACTAGGGCTGGGCGATAAACTGAAAATTTACAGATATCGAAATTTATGACGGTAACTGATGTCATTTTGCTCATATCAGTATTAAAATTAAATAAATAAAAGTTGGTTTTGGATGTGTGTAGGTAGGCTATGGTCTCTTGTCCCTTTAAGATGCTGTCCTACATCAGAGACGTGATTCCACCCCATCTAGTCCATAACAAAGAGGGAAAGACAGGTGAGGCGATGGAGGACGGTTCAAAAGTTGTAGTAGATGAAGTTAATGTGGGAGGGGGTGAGCAGCTTGTGGAGTAGTTATCGTCCATTTATTGTTATCGAGGTGAACTGCTCAATATATCGTGATATTTGAGGCCATATCGCCCAGCCCTACATTCATCTCATCTTTAAAGAATTGGATTATCTGTGTACTGACGGTCATGTAGTTCGAGAACATATGTGTCCATACCTCAAAGCAGAGAAGTCATTTTTGAACTTTTGCTCATTGACACCTCACCTGGCACTGACGTATTCAAACCCTCAGGCCCCTTACCCTCTTCATTCTCGGTGGCTGTGGTTTCCTAATGCTTGTTTGTCCTGTACCCTGTTCTCTGTATCTTGTACCACTTCTCTTTCTGCATGCAGCTGTGGCCAGGCCCTCCTCTCCCTCTTCATGTTTCTCACAAGTGTTAAAGACTGTGGTTGCTGCCCTGAGAAGCAGGCTCTTCCAATTGTACTCGGCACCGCAATGATTGCCCGGCTGTGTTAAACTCTACTTTCCCATTTCCTTAGTCTCTGCGTGCTGTAAACGATCCAAACTCCTGTGGTGGTTTTTAAGCTTTTCTTCATCATTAAAGCATTAATATCGCAGCTCACCCTTCAGTAGTCATGACCAGCCATGTTCAGCTCTCTCTCTCTCTCTTCATCTCCTCTCACCCTTTCAATCTTTTTTGAGGTGTTTTGGGACGGGTCATTATCTACCCCACCAGAAGTTTCCGTGTGGAAAGCTGTATTTCAACACCAAGCAGCAGCACCATCTGCTTTGCTCCACATCAGGCCAGGGGTCGCATTCTCAGTGGGCCGACACCAGTGACAAGGCGGAAAGATGAAGTGGGCCATGAGCATTCTTTAGTCCCTTACTGACATGTGGATGTGTGTTGGTGGCAGCTGTAGTAAAAGCTTGCCAAACCTCATCGCCTTACATGATCGGGGGTTGTTATGATGGAGAAACATCTCAGGATTTTGACTCGGCACGTTTGTTTGAATCATGAGTGAGTGAGTGAGACTGATTTCCTCTTGGATGAAGATGACAGCCCTGTCAGACCCCCTTTCCCCCAGCTGCTGTCTGCGGACCTCGCTAAGCTAGCTGGCCAACGCTTTCGAAAAATCTGAATGCACTCGATAAAGAAACGAGAAATTTACAGTTTTGAGGGAAACTTCAGGTTTATGATGGTCCTGATGGGAGACATAAGAGGGGAAATAAGAGCAACTATTAGAGCAGACTTTAAAAAAGGAGACATTTCTTGGCTGGCCCTGCATACGTAGTTAACCCCTTAGACTTATAAGTGTTATATAATATTATAGCTGCCAATTACAACAGATCTACAGAGTGGAAAGGATAGATTAACAACAAATGTTGAGTTGGGAGAGATGCAATACATCAATTCATTGGATTTAAGATTTTTCTGTGTGTTGAAATGAAACCCCTTATTATGAACAGTCACAATTTCAGGTTAATTTCTGTATCCCACAGATGTCTGCTTTTTGAAAGTGAAAGAAGTCAAAAGGAGTAAATGCTAATCATGGTAAATCTCATCTGTATGCACCATTACAAGGCCCTATAACTGTGAACTCATACAGAAAAAGCTCTTAACTACTAAGTGCTGTTTTAAAGTAAAGTCATATGCATGTTTCCTTTTACATATGTTATTTTCCGAGCATTCACATTCACCGAAGGTTTAAACTGCCTTTCTGCTCTGCAAAGCTGGCTGTGTGTCCTCATGCCACTTGTGGGTGTTAGCCACAGATGTCAAAAAGTCAGATCGATTTGACGTGCAGCAAGAAAACACAAGATAGTCTAGCTCCATACCTCCGGAAGTTGTTTAAAGCCTTTCAAAATAAAAGCAAATATACCAGGATTATATTTCTTTTTACATCTGAAGTTGATTTGAAGCCTTTCAAATGAAAAGCGATTACATCGGGAATTTTCCTTGGGGCTTTATTTTGTGTATATAATGTCAATATGATTTTTTGTGTATTCATGTGTTCTAAAAAAACACAATACCAAATGGGATGACCACTGAAAACAAACTTGTGCATGTGAGAAAAAACGTCACCTCGGGTCCGCTTAGTAGAGGTCTATAGCCAGACCCCTCTCAGAAAATAAGCAGGTGGGATAGATCTGAAAAAAGTAATATTTCCTATTGAAATAAGTGAAATAAGTGGTGAAACACTCTAACGTGCCAAGGTGCCAATAATATATTATCATTTCCCAAAATCGGTACATATTTTCCTTACTGTCCTCGTAAAACTTCCCCATAATATTCTGATGAAGATAATTTACTGTACAAATGATAATCAGTCAGTCATCTCGTTCTGTCATCTTTTCTCTGTATCCTATACCTTAACTAGACAACAGCAGGCATAAAACTGAATCATCTCCTCCTCCTCAGTGGAAGCCACTAAGAGGAGGAGGAAATATCATCTCCGGTTTAAAAGAGAAAGAGAATAGAAGACACATAGACACACTAAGGAAAGGGAAATGAAGTTCATCCAGAGATACAGAAGGGCAGAGATGTGAGCTCTTACCTCATGGGAACCTTTCCTTATTTGTTTATTATATTTTTAAATGACAGAGCTAGATTTCAGTTTTTTTTAGGCCAGAAAGCAGATATGAAACTTTCTTTTTCAAAAGCTTAACCTCCATTTGAATAAGTAGACAGCTTTTCAATTGTAGGTATAGAAAACATGTCCAATTTTAGGAATAAAGAATCACTTGAAAAAGAAAAACAGGCAGTGCATGCAAGAGGAAAATGTTTCTATTCATAGAAACAATTTCATTATTGTATTACAGTTGAGGTCTCAATTTAGTCAAACTGTAAAGTGCAGAACAACAACAAAAGCCCCCTCATAATTCATCAGTACAAACATTATCTGAGAGCAACGTTTAAAGAAGTGAAGTTTGAAATCAGAACTGAAAATGCATTATGGTCAACAAGAAAACCGTCCCCCACTGGCCAGCTCTTTATGCAGAGTGTCAGTCATCAACCACAGCAGTGAAACTGCTTGGCTCATCTGCAATAATTACATGTTTGGCCTGCCATGAATCATTTTATTGGTTTTCTTTTTTGGTCTCTGCCTCCAAAACCCCCTGTTTTCTTCCCTTTATTTGCAGAGAATATTTACCCCACTCATATTTCAATAACACACACACATAAACACACATAAACACACATACATGCACGCACACAAAAAGTTTTCCACTTTAATTTCAAGCAAGGCTGAAAAGTGATATAATGGCACATGGGGATTGAAGAAAAAACAATTTCTTTTGTTCTGGGACAATTTCTAGAAAGACAGCAAAGACTGTGTGAGACTTTGGCACGCTTAACCGAGTGAATAATAAATGTGGATTGGATATGATGCGCCTGATGGAATTTTAATAAAAGCCTTGAAAAGGGAGTGCAGAGTAATGTGTGGGTCTCAAGGGGGATGAATTCTCTGGTACAGTAAAATGGTGAATAATATCTGATTTAAGGGAAACGCTTAGTTTTCCAAGAGGGTTAGATTTAGAGGTCAGTTTAAGGAGAAAAGAAGGGAAACAAAAGTTTTACGATTTTGACTCAAACTACATGCTAAATGTTTCCATGTCATATTTCTGGAAAGGCCAAAGCAGGACAAGAGTTTCTCTGAACTGTGTCTTGTTTTGTGTGGTAACAAAAGAGATTTATAAGATCCATAATTAGGGCTGGGCGATATGACCTCAAATCACCTAATGCTAATGCATCACATCATTTATTTTACAGTGCAGCTGCATAAAGGAATCTTGAATGGAAAATATTAATATCTAACATCTCAGTGCAGCTTGTCCTAAAAAGTAGGGCTGGGCGATATGGCCTCAAATCAATATCACAATATATTGAGCAGTTCTTCTCGATAACGATAAATAGACGATAACTACTCCACAAGCTGCTCAGTCCCTCCTACATTAACTTCGTCTCCTCACCTGTCTTTCCCTCTTTGTTACGGACTGGATGGGGTGGAGTCACGTCTCTTACATAGGACAACATCTTAAAGGGACATGAGACCATAGCCTACCTACACACATCCAAAACCAACTTTTATTTATTTATTTGACACAGAGTATACCAATATGGGCAAAATGACTTCGGTTATTATTGTCGTTAAGTCTCGGTATCAGTAAATTTTGGTTTATCGCCCAGCCCTAGTGTGTCCTCATGTTCACCTAAGGTTACTGCAGACAAAAGGCTCGAAACAGAAAATCAGTCTGATTGATGGTGGTATCTGGATATCAGTTGTACATACTGCACACCTAAACCCCCCAAACTCTCATAACCAGGTCCTGACACTGATTATATTGATATGGGCAAAATGATGCAGGTTATTGTTGTAAATTTTGGGTTTATCGCCTAGCCCTATCCATAATGAGCAATTGATACACGAGTAGTAATAGTTTATCACTTTTGTAACAGTGCTAGCTATAGAAAAAAAAAGCTTACTCTGCCTTATTGTTTAGAGTTATATGTTGCACACGGCATCCTGGGGATGAAAATTGCCATCTTGGACGCCTTAAAAAAGATGAGCCACAGTTATTTTAGTATCTTATCACCACAAAGTTTGGTGAATCACAGAGACAGAAGGAGGCAAAGTGAAAGCATCAGATGACCGTTTATTTTAACCAAAATTATTCCCACATGTTGGCTTCACTTGGTTTCATTTTTGAGCGTTTCCTTCCTGTCAACATCTTTAAACTGTATCCCCCAACTGATGCATTCAAGTTTGAACCAAGTTAACCCTGATGATACAGAGATTATCCCCTCAGATTATACAAAAATCCATTCAGAGGCTCCAACACTAAACTTTTTAGTGTGTTTCACTCATTTAGCCGAGAACCACGTGACAACTGACATTCATAAACTGTGTGCGAAGTTGAAGTTGTACCAGTTTAGCGGTGACTACCTTCAGCGCAGATGTAAATGCTGTGGTTTAGTCTGCTGTGACAACCTTGCTTTACAAACAGGAAACCAACATTAACTGCTAATGTGGGGAAAACGCACAACAGTATGATCAACATTTACAGCTCTTTTTTTAGAGCTTTCAAACACAGGTACAGGTAAACACTAACAGGACACCAGTGGGTTTGTCTTTACAGCCTGATGTCGACCTCTAAAATGGGAGGAATCACTTCTACTGAGGCGACTGATGAATCTTTAAAAGCTCTCATTCAAGTGCGAGTGCTATCATTTGCATGAATGGATAGATCCCATCAAAGAGACATCTCCAGCCCTTTAACTTCAAAGTGAAGCCTGAACTCGTCCTCTCCATTCATTGAACAAAGCTCTCAGATCGGCTAATCCTAAAGTTTTGAATGTCATAAGATTAGAAAAAAAAGACATCTGACAGGTTTATTTGTTTGGGTTCGACAAAATTGTTCTCATTTGAATTCGTGATGAGTTGATATTAAGGCAGGCCAAGTATCTGAATGTGTTTTCTCATTCAGGGGTCAGTTTAGGGTCATCGGTGCACCTGTTCAGCCTGCTGCTCGGCTCAAATTCCCATTTTTTCATTTGGATGAGCTGTTCGCTCTGCTGGCACACAGCAACTTGGTTCAGTTTTTTTAAAAACTAAACACAATTTGAAGCGATCTGTTATGCTGTATCTGTTAGGTCTGTCTGGTTCAAGAACAGTTCGCAATCAACGTAAAATTACTGAGTCGTGATCTGAGTCACACTGTACGTCTCTTTGAAATAAGGTTACTCACTCAGAAATGGCTCGTAAGGCCTTAAACACTCTTGGTTGTGGGACATGATAATGCTGGGGAGCAGATGTGACTCAGAAGGACACGTTGAAGGTTTTTGAGTTCACCAAATAGCAGAACTGTCGCTCTGGTGCATAAATAAAATGTGTGAAAGAAGATTGCTAATGGCCACTTCAAATTTCACCATGAGGAGAAAAGTAGAGAATAAAAGTGCACAGTTGGAATAAGCAGCAGGGTGGTTGTCAGACTGCATCAAATATCACCTCTTCTTCTGCATTGCTGTTTCTTCTTCTTCTTGGTTCTGTTTTGTGTGTCTCGTATTTGCCACTTCTTGTTACCACGCCTGTTTATTTGCTTCTGCTACAGTGTGTAGCAGGAGCAGTGTGTTTTCTATTCTTAGATAGCAGCCTTGTAAGCCAGATGGCCCATGGCTGGCATGGTCACAGCGCCCAGGAGGCAGCTTGGCTGCAGACCTGGAGAATGCCATTAAAACCGTTCTGCGCTCTGTCACTCAAGAAGCTGCTGATGTAACTGAACCCAAACGGAGTTCATTGTGGGGTTACCCAGATGACACTTTGTAAACATTTGCAAACACATCCAAAGCCGTAAGATAAATTGATCCTAATACACCTGGATTATTGTCTCACTTTCAACTTGCATTTCTTTGTCTGGTTTCCTGAGGACAAATATTCAGTCTGAATCGGCTGCAGCCCAATATCATGAGGGTTCACATTTCAGTGTAGAGTAAACTGAGCTCCTGGATGACAGGGTTGCTTTTGACTTATAAAATGATCTCTGACTTTTGTAGATATTTTTTTATGAATGTACTAAGTTTATAGCCAAGCTGTCATGTTTAAGATCAATCACTAGTTGCTCTTAAGTCTGAGATCTGCTACTCCTTCACAACTGAGCCAACCTTTGTTTTTATCTTACTTTGAGAGGACAACACGGTTATTTCTTCTGCTTTTGGTTTTTATGATGTGCAAATATGTAAGAGATCAGGCTAGGGCTGGGTGATATGTTCGCAAATTTCGCAATTTCCTGATATATTGAGCAGTTCACCTCAATAATGATAAATGGACGATAACTACTCCACAAGCTGCTCACCCCCTCCCACATTAACTTCGTCTACTTCAGCCGCTCCAACTTTTGAACCGTCCTCCATCTCCTCACCTGTCTTTCCTTCTTTGTTACGGACTGGATGGGGTGGAGTCACGTCTCTGATGTAGGACAGCGTCTTAAAGGGACATGAGACCATAGCCTACCTACACACATCCAAACCAAGCTCTTATTTATTTATTTTTTGACACCGAATATACCGATATCGGTAAAATGACGTGATTGTTGTAAATTTCTGTATTGGTAAATTTTCGATTTATTGCTTAGCCCTAGATCAGGCACATCTATAAATTTAAATTTATATGTGAAATTTCTAGATAAAGCTTGTGATCTTGTTGAGTGTACAGACTCGTTTACATTTTCCAGTTCAAAGGTGGTGAGTCTTTTAGGATGTGCCTTTGACTTTCAGTCCACCTCAGTGTGCAAATGTGTGTTATTTGTCAGTTAAGTCCCAGTGCCCTAAAATTTAGCACCCATAATGCTGCAAAGGAGGCACAAAGTGCTTATTACCAACACTTTTCCCAGGCCAAAGTCAGAGTCCCTCAGAGCAGAGAAGAGTTTTACCGTTTCCTCCAAATCTTCATTAGAAACTGGAAAATTAATGCTGTCAAGTCATCTTACAAACCTCCTTTTGAATCTTTGTCCTGCATTCAAACACAACTCAAAAGCCAACATCTCCACTTGTTTTTAGGGGCAAATACATATTGATGCTTTGAATATAGTACACCCAAAAAAACAGAACTACTGCAGACACAGAAAACCTGTTTTTGAAAATGTGATGGTGAGGATTTAGAGAGTATAGCTATCTGCTTAACTTCAGGTAATTGTGTCAGTGGTTTGTTGTGTCTCTGACTGCAAACCTCATACATACAACACCACAAGTTTGTGTCACAGCACAGGAAACGTGATCTCCTCCTCCTCCATGAAGACGAGTGTGTGTCTGTTGCTGCTGCTGCAGGCACATACTTAGGTGGAGTTGTGTTTTTAAGTTCGCCGGTTGTAACGGTGTCTTGGCATACAGTCGTCATCTGTGAGGTTATCAAGGTGAGGTGAGCTGTGATTTGTTGCTGACAGTTCTTTACTACAACATGATCTATCCTCTCTGTCGTCCTTATTCTTTTTGATCAGGAAATTCAGCAATATGCAATATGCGGCTGCACTGCTTTGTTTAGGAGGAGAATCGTTTCTTTTCTTGTGGGCTTTCTCTGTTAACATGAGGTGGTTGCTTGTCAGATTTCATGCAGCAGATATGCGCCAGTTCTTTTAAGATTTATAGGTTATTTTTACAGTTTACTGTGTACACTTGATTAAGAACCATGGTGGTAAAAATAGTTCTCTTTCTTGCATTTACACTTGAATGTAGATGTACAGTTTTTGTGTTTATCCACATCAGCACAGGTGAACAGATGCGTCTCTCTGTTGGGTTTTTGGAAAGAGAGTATAAATGACACAACAGTTTATTACCTCTCTCTGCAGCTCTGTCTAACGGCAGAGTTTTGAGTCTGGTGTATCCTGTTTCACACAGGAAACGAGCCGCTCATATCTGCGTCCTCTATCTCGACACTTTTCGTGGTGTTTTCTGCAGCTGATATGATTTTTACAGGCATCTGTGAACCAGCTAATACAGCTACATTTATCATGCAATTAACTTCTTTCTGTATTTCTTCTCCTCTTTAATGTTCATCTCTTAGGGTCAGAGGTCAATCTGAGCCACAGCAACATGTCTGAGTCTGCAAAGCCCCACCACCTGAACCCACAGGGTAAGGGAGAGAAGAGCCATGGCAACGACTTCGGCTACGTGGGAATAGACGCCATCCTGGAGCAGATGAGGAGGAAGGCTATGAAGCAGGGTTTTGAGCTCAACATCATGGTTGTAGGTGAGTCTGGCATATTGTAGGCCAACAAAGATTGGTGGTGGATTTCTAACCGTTCTGTGAAGACATCAGCTGAAGAGCAAAGATGTTTCTATTGACCGTGAAATGATTATCAAAGCTTCCCCTCTTCTTCTTCTTGCTGCGAAGCAAAAGTATTCTCCGTGGTGATATTAAGACATTGTGTTGACATTTGTATTTCATGCTTGCACAGTAGGACTTGGCTGCTCAGCTCACTATATGGCAGGGCAGTTTCTCCTACAGGTCTGAAGTGGACATTTGAGAAGTTCATTGACTTTTATAAGACTCTCTGGGGGCCACATTTGTTAACAGAGCTGTCAATCATGGTACGACATGGCTTTCTAGCATTAAATAACCTATTCAAACAAAAACTACATTACTTATAGGGGCAATGTCCTCAACACTTGCCTCTACTGGTTGCTGAGTAAAAGAAAAAGAACTAACTTCTGACATGTGGTGTGAAATAAACTGATGTCCAAAAATGTGTCCAGAATTGAAACATCTTCTTTTCCTCTTAAGCACAGGAACAAATATAATAAAGAAAAACGGCTAATTCCACGAACACAAGTCCACACTCCAACAGTCAAAAGACTGTTTGTCTCTCCCCATCAGCAACACCTGCTGCTGATTACCACCCTACCCAAGTAACCTGGCCACCATGACCCTTGAACCTGGGCGTGGCTTGAGAGTGATGTCACAGCATGGGGAAAAATAAGAAAATTATAATATGGCTCTTACATTACTCTTAAAATAATCCTAAAGTTTGACCCATGCCCCATCTGTCAACAAAGGATGTGTGAAACAAGAAAAACTAGAAAAGTCTTGCTTCGTTCCATGTCACCCCTCATGTCTGTTTTCACTTAATATTAGACTATTGAGCCACTTTAAAAAGTGTAATGTCCCTGTTAGTTTCCCCTTATATTCAGTTTATTGTTGTATTGTTAACCCTACCCTTGTATCCAACAAGTTACACATATACTGTATATACAGCTTATTTGCAATGGCGAGACAACCTTCACTACTACCATTTAGTACCATGACCTCATTATGCTGAAGTTGCCTGGGTGGATGATGTGGCAGCAAACGACTCTTTAAAAGGTCAATACATGTGTTTAAGTGTTTATGAACTGCATACAAAAAGACATTTTCTGTGAGAAAGGAGGACCAAGGTTGGTACGATGTAAAAATGTGCTCAGCTGCTCCCATCAAGCCTGACTTTGAGCTTGACATTGAACATGAATATGGTTTCATGTAAGATAAAACTAACACTGATGTGCTTCGAGGGCTCGAGGCTGTAATTGCTTCCAAGTGTTTGCGTCAGTGACTCAGTTCTGCGTCTAGAGAGGAGGAGATCTGATGGCAACCCTTTGAAAGATTTTCACTTTAGTCAGCGACAGAAGAAAAGAAATAGAACAAAGACAAGCTGGGTTTGTTTACACATTTTGCTTAACTGCAGATTTCCCTTCCTGGTGAATACTTTTATTTTCTTGACTGCTTTTATTGTAAATCTTGATCCTCCGCTGCTGCTGCTGCTGTGTGTGTGTGTGTGTGTTTGCATGTGTTCTGCTGAGAGTCAGCCAGCATGGTGCTTTCCTTAACAAGCTTTGTATCCCCGTGATGTAACAATCAATCAAGCACACACATGACACGCGTGCATGCTTTAGTGGATAGGAAGAGGCTGTAAGGCTGGAAAGAGTGGCTTTGTAATGGAGATTACTCAGTAAGGCTAAAGCTTCCACACACAATGACAATTAGATCCCATCATCAAATCTGTCTGCACACTCGTTTATCCCTGAGTGGTTGTGGAAACATGCATGCATGCAGGCTGGCACACACGCTGTTTTCAGAGACAGGGGTGCCGAGCAGCATTTTATCACACACAGGATCTACTCAAAGTGTTTAATATTTGTAGGGCTACAAAGTCTCACCCCCAATTTTCACCGCATCCGGAACGGCTCCGACCCGAAACGGCAGTGATTTTCACTGTCCGCCAATTCCTACCAGATCCGTTTGAGAGGCGAATTTCGTGGCGGATTACTGACAGCAGGAATCCCGAGGACTCACAAGAACCCCTGGATTCACATGCAATCACGTGATAACAAGTTGTCTTTAGCCACATAGGCTAACCATGTAAGCAGTAGATTGTGTCCTTCTAGAGGAGGAAATCTACTTCTAGACTTCTAGAATCAGCATCTCCTCATCCATGGTGTCATCGGGGTGAAATGCTGTCCATAAACCTTTGACTTGTTTGTCCGTGAAATACGATCCGCCTGAAACACGGAGTGTTTTATTTTGAAAAGAATCCGGATGTTTTATTTTGTGTCTGTGTCTGACTTCCTTTCCAGCACAGGTTTATCTGTGCTGAATTTATCCGGCATACTCCGGCGTCCAGAAAAACTTGAAAACTTGCTATCAGCTGCGGATTCTGGTGATCCGCAGCGGAACGGAAAGAAGCCGGTGGAAACTGACACATTAACTTGAATGATTACGATCAGTGGATACGGCCTTTTCGTAGCCGTTCTGGATGCGGTGGGATTAGTCGATTGGTCAACGTATTGGTCGATACGTGCTGAGGCGACCGTAATTCTCATTGGTCGACTCAGTTTTTTCAGTCTATGGTTAATTTCATCAGGAGGAACGTACCAAATGCTAATGTTGCTAATGGGGGTGTTTTCAGCGCACCCCTGTTTCAATGGTAATGGCCTGTCTCTGATCATCCCCCTTTGTTTTCACCATTTTGGAGTCACTTAACCCACTGGAGACCGGCTAGAGACAGGAGGATTAGAGACAGTCCATGTTAAGCAAATTGCGGTGGTCTGCTAAATGTTTATTTTTATTTTAAGCATTTCAACCTGCCTTCTGTGTTTAACTGCTGTTTAAATGTTTAAGTCTTGTGCTGATATCAGTACATTTTCCCCCCGACGAGCCGCGTCGTCCCCAGCCGCAGAAGGGTTTGCCATTAAAAAAAATCATATTATGAAATATTTGATGAGTTTTGGCCCTGCAGAGCAGAGTTTTCGGCACACCTTAGAGGGCATGTAAGGACAACTTCATTGACTGATACTGTCAACAAAGCATGCACGGTGATGAATCCAAGTATCAGACAGAGTTTTACTGCAAACTTTACACTATAACACTCTGAGTGTTTGACTGTGGAAAGAGTACCATCTAACTGCAGTTCTGCATTTTCACTGACATGTTTTCACTTGTTATCTTTGGCACCTCCAGGACAAATAAAATACGAGATAAGAGATGATATAACCATATACTGTGAATAATACTCTCACACTGTGCACACTAGAGTACAATGACATAAAACCTCACAATAAGGAAAGAACAACAAAGTGTTGCAACCTGCATGAAGTTATTCTGATTGCCTGAGGGGGCTTGAATATGCAACACTCCATCAGCATTTCAAGTTCTTCAGCGTGATCTGTCGACAGGTAGTTGCCTAACACCTCACTGAAGGCCAGTTTTGACCTGCCTCTTGTGTCTGATCCATAAAATCCTGAGAAGAAAATGTTCAACCCTGTTTGGCTGAGTAGATTATAGAGGTGTTTACCGTTTCGAAACCTGCTTTTTTACTTGTACTAGAAGAGCAGGATAAAATGGGATGAAGACGCGAATTTGAAAACTAGGGCATCTTTTGTAGCTGAACAAAAAGTTGCGTTGGCTGTCGGCGTGGTCACTCGGAAGGAATGTGAGGACATGAAAGGTTAGAGCAGCTGTCATCTTGGCACTGACCACTATGCTCTCCTGTTTGAGATGTTGTTGCCTAATCCCTGCCCTCAGCCAACTGACCTTTACATTTCCACCTTGCAGAGAGGGCAGCTAAAGGGTGTCTCGGTGCGGATGTGTGTGTGTGAGGGAGAGAAGGTGAACTCAGTAGAGAGCATGCAGAGTGAGTGTGAAAGGGCAAATGTATGCGAGTACACGACCAAGAGTGAGAGAGTAAGTGAGGTGCAAAAGGCCGCCCCCTGGGTGTCACAATGTCACAGAGGGTCTGGCTGCTTGGCAGCCCTCCACACGACACAGAGGGTGCCTTCAGGGGCCGTGAACAGACGACAGAGGGGAAATATGGAGGGAAACTGGGTCTCAAAAAGGGCAGAAAGAGGACGTGAACTGAGGCAGAGCTGAATGATGATGACGCAGGTCTCTAGAAAGGTAGAACAATAATAATGATGATGATGATGATGTAGAGTTACTGACCACACATTACAGACACCAGTATGTCATCAATGAGTGGAGGACTGACATTTATTTTAATGTTTTGCACAGTTGATGTTTGATTTTTTTTTTTCTGTTTATACAATGACATGACCATAACAGTTTTATATGAGATTAAATTACATTTGTTTTAGGTTAATTCATTTTAATATGTAGTATGTTATATGAAGTGAGAGGAAGATTAAATTGACACACTTGTTGGAAACAGGACCTCATCATTCACCTCTATCTCTACCACGTTGAGATAAGAACATGTGTTGTCTACGTTGTGTACCAAAAATACTGTAAACTCACTGTAAGGGAATCGGTCCTCTGTGATTTGACTGAACTAATGTTAATTTGAATGGTTTCTTTTGTGTGTGTGTGTGTGTGTGTGGTCCATCAAATACATCTGTCCTCTTGGCCTCTGCAGACCCTGCAGCTGTCCTGCTATTGTCATGGATCATTAACATGCACACATTCACACACTCTTGCTCTCTATGTAACCCGTACATTGAAGCTGATCTCATGAGCATACCCAATCTTCGGTATTCTTTTAAAAGAAGCTCATATCCTTGTGTTTCAGTCTTTGGTGATTTTGTCTCTGACTGTGTGTCTTTGTGTTTCCCCGATCAGGGCAAAGCGGCCTGGGAAAGTCCACTCTCATGAACACCTTGTTCAAATCCAAAGTGAGCCGAAAATCAGTGCAGCCTGACCCAGAGGAGAGGATTCCCAAGACCATCGAGATCAAGTCCATCAGTCATGGTTGGCTAACATGCATGTTTAGTACCATGAAGCCGTTTAACGCTGTAGGTGTGAAGAGGAAATACCAACAAATACTTTTCTTTTCCCAGATATTGAAGAGAAAGGGGTGAGGATGAAACTGACAGTAATCGACACTCCTGGCTTTGGGGATCAGATCAACAATGAAAACTGGTAAGCAGGCGACTCATTTGATTTTAATCCCCCAAAGTCCTCCAGTTATTCAGAATTGATATGAATATAAAATAGCAGATGTAACTTTGCAGGAAACTGAACAGCTACTATTGATTACTACTTTTCTTACTTCATTATAGTTTATCGTTAAACACTTCTTTAGCAAAGAAGTGTTTAAACACAATTTAGCTGATCTGTCCCCTTTCTATCCTCAGCTGGCAGCCCATTATGAAGTTCATTAACGACCAGTATGAAGCGTATCTACAGGAGGAAATCAACATCAACAGGAAGAAGAGAATCCCAGACTCACGGGTTCACTGCTGCATATACTTCATCCCCCCCACAGGACACTGGTAAGATCACACGTTATTAAAAACACACACACCTTCTGACTAAATGCTCTTTTTCTGTTCCTCATTTGACCAGCTTCTCCCACACTCTGCACACATGAATCAGGTCTTCTGGGAATCTCCCCCCATGACCCATTGTCTGTCCTCAGCTCTTTAACAGCCAGTCCTTGTCCTGCTTCTCCTTTTCATCTCTTTCTTTACTAACCACATGTGGAACTCATTCAGAGACACAGAAGTATTATTTGCAGAGTCGAATTTCACGGAGAAATGGAGTCTAAAGTTCTCATGGTCAGGGGGAAGTTTAGAGACAGAGAGTAACTGCAAGTGGCTCATTTTGGGTGGGAGGTCCTGGGCTGGTAAAAAGGATAAAGAATTTCACCCTACCTAATGATAGGCTCAGTGTAGGAGTGTCCCTATACAACTTTTTAACTTCTGATACAATACTGATTGTAGCCTTCTATACTGGCCAATACCAATATTGATCCAATATTAGCTCAAACTTATGCATGACAAGTTTTGCACTCAGCTGCAACATCTCTTTCGGACATATATATATCTGAGTGCATATATCAGAGATTTTAGATGCAGGCTGATATAATCCAATATTTTTATTTTTTTTTAATTTTGCTGTTATCGGACCGATATCCGATATCAATATCCGATTGGGACATTCCTAATATCAAGCATATAAATTGTACATTTGAATCACAACTGACTCTATCAGTGAACAAACAGATAACACATTGCTGTAAGTGTAGTTGACATGTAGCTTCAGTGTATCGTCTTTGGAGACTCAAATAGCCCTTCTGGAAAGTAAACCCTGTTTTGTAGTCTATATTATCCAGTAGTGTGTCCTAGGGCTGGGCGATATGGCCTCAAATCAATATTACGATATATTGATCTAAATTCATGAGAGTCTGAAGCTTGGTCTGTGCTTCTTGTGCATACTGCATAAGAAAGAGCAGGATCTAAAGTCACGCTTACAGTATCACGACTAGGGCTGGGCGATATAACCTTAAATCAATATCACGATATATTGAGCAGTTCAACTCGATAACGATAAATGGACGATAACTACTCCACATACTGCTCACCCCCCCCACATTAACTTCATCTACTCCAGCTGCTACAACTTTTAAACTGTCCTCCATCTCCTCACCTGTCTTTCCCTCTTTGTTACGGGCTGGATGGGGTGGAGTCACGTCTCTGATGCAGGATAGCGTCTTAAACGGACATGAGACCATAGCCTACCTACACACATCCAGAACTAACTTTTATTTATCTATTTGCCACCGAATATAATGACATGGAAAAAATGGCGTTGGTTATTGTCATAAATTTTGGTATCAGCAAATTTTCGGTTTATCGCCCAGCCCTAAATCAAACCATATCTAAAATCAAAGCATTGTATCCTGCCTGAGGAAAAAAAAACTATGTTTCCTATGGTCACTAAATGTCACTAAATTTTGGTTTATCGCCCAGCCCTAGTGTGTCCTCATGTTCACCTGAGGTTACAGCAGACAAAAGCCTCGAAACAGAAAATCAGTCTGATTGATAGTTGTATCTAAATATCAGTTCTGTATTGTACACATGTACACCTAAACCCCAAAACCCCCATATCCAAGTTCTGCAAACACCTCTATGACGGCTTCATATTACAGATCAACCGCAAACTCAACAGTTGTCCTCTTAATGCTTTCTGTGTGAGTGGGGGATGATATGTGTGTGTCTGTGTTTCCCGTTGTTTGACAGACCCCCTCATCATCTGCTCTTGTCGCCACAGCTGCTTCATGAATGTGTGTGTGTTTGTGTGTCTTTGTCAGGCAAAGCACTGAGTGTAGTGGGCTTAAGTGGGCAGGAGGGGTGGGCTTGCTAACACTTGTTTAGATGCACTTGTGCGGATGCCCTGAATGTGTTTGTGTATCATCTTGCTTACAGCTGCTCAGTTCAGACATCTTGACAACACCCAAATTGTTTGTTTTCTCTCTCTTTTTTAATTTAATTGTTATTGTCATTGTCCTTTAATCGAGGTTTTTTTCAGAGTGTCACTGCTTCACCAGACACCCAAGCACACTCATTTTCCCTTAAAGCAAATGAGAGAACAGAGGAGACATCTGTTGTAGATAACGTCATGACCTGACATGGACTCTAACTTTAATTTTCCCTGTTAAATATCGCACAGTAATCTCTTTTGAAATTCTAATGAAGTGCATGTTAACAATTACACACAGACCACAATCCATGCACAGCGAGCAGGAAATTGATGACAGAACGTCCCTGATAGTTCCTTTTCTGTTCTTAAATATGAGTTTTTTTTAATATCATCGTCGTGTCTAAATCCTTTTCAACAGGGGTTTGTATTATTGAGTCCGTAATGTACTTTGCATGTAGGCAATTTGCTTTAAAGTCGCGTCTGTGGTTTCAGATAGAGGAGCAGAGTTCAGCCGAGCAGAACACAGACTTGGCATCTGCAGTTATTTCCTATAATGGCAGCGTCAGCCATTCCCCCTGCAGGCATACTTGTTGTTACCTCATTTAACACATCTTCCTGAGAGAGAAAGAGGCTGAACTTTGACTCTCCTCAAAAAGCCTTGTGTTCTGATCTATAATAGAAAAATAAGGAGGAGGGATCTTTCTGCTCTGTGGTTTTCCATTCTCTACAATTTGACCACAGAGCTTATTGTTCTTTATTTATTTAAACATGAGGCCCTTTTTCTTCCAGACGACATATGAGGTTTTTTTTGCACTTTAATGGACATCTGTGCATGCGTGCATATATACATATTTATTGCCCATACAACATATGCTCATGTGCAAAGATACATGTGTACACATGAAAGTATGCACGAATGCTCGGTCGTGCATATGATACAGGTCACACTCCTATTTGTCTGCTCTTGCATCTGCTCAAATACAGTTTATGAATGCAAATACATGACTCAATATAAATTCAGAGTAAGACCTCTTGTCTATGTTATGCTTTGATTTCCTGCTGTGCATACATGGAGCTTATGCTAGTACTCCCCAGTGTGTGAAATTATAGCACTCTTGTTTCTGCTTGGATGCATCGCTCACTTTGTTATCCCTCTTTACCTTTTTTCAGTCCTATTTTCCCTCTTCTCTGTGTAACACATGCTCCCCCCCTGTGCTGCAGCCTGTGTTCATGGTGACATGTTTGTCAGTTATTGGCAGCCGGGCCTCTCCTCCAGCTGCCCCTGGCTCTTTGAACCAGGCTGGCCGGGCTTGGCTGGTGCTAATTGGAGGGCAAGAGCAGACAGCATGAGGGGAGTCAGACTGCAGGAGCAACCAGAGGGTAACATTGTGACCGGAGAGAAAACAGAGGGCAGAGAGAGGAGAGGGGTACAGTGCTGCGCTAAGTGGTGTAAGGACTGTGCTTATCAGTGCAGTGTTTGGCACAATCAGCGACCCGACCAGCCGTCACATAAAAGGTTCAGCAGTAGAATTTTATAATCTGTGTGTTGCAGAAAAGCATCATGACACAGCTTCTGAAACCTTCCCGTCTACCTTTTCTTTAGGAGTATTTGTGATCTGACTTAAACGATCTTCTCAGCATTAAATAAAAAAAAAAAACACATCACAGTTCTCAGAAATCACACCTCAAACAGTGTTACAAGAAAACAGTTTTAGTGAGAGCGAAAGAAAAAGCACAATAGTTTGGTTTTCACTGGGTGTCAGCCAAAACCAGGATGGACTGCATGTCCTGAAAAAGACTGTGATTGCCCTCTAGTGGTTCATCTAATTCATTACATTAATCTCCTGAAAATGTCACATGCTTTTTAAAAATTTGATTCTGTTTTTTTTACCCAGATGACCTTACACAAACATGTTTTTTTTAAGTCAACTCTTTCTCTCTTGTTAGTCTGAGGCCTCTGGATGTGGAGTTCATGAGGCGTCTGAGTAAGGTGGTCAACATCGTTCCAGTCATCGCCAAAGCTGACACACTCACCCTGGAGGAGAGGGACTACTTTAAAGAGACGGTGAGATCAGTGTGTTTGCAGATGGGCCTTCTTGTGGTTTGTGTGGGAGTTTTGAGGGCAGCACCGCAATGAAATATCTCCAGATTTATTTTTTACTGTGTGTATGTGTGTGTACAGGTTTTCCATGTGATATTAATATAGGCTTACATGTTACCACATTGCCCCTAAACCTGCAGCAGGTCTTAAAGTTTGAAAAGACAAACCGTGCATCGAAAGGTCAAATATTCGGTGGATTCCCTTTAAAGCGTGTGTATGAATATCTGCGACCACAGGTTGGTGACATGAAGAGCTGCCAGGCTCCACAAACAAACACCATCTGAGCCAACCCACATGGTACCAACCCGGGAAATATTGTGTCATCTCTTTCACTGTAACACTCAGAAAGTCATGCTCAGCCCAGACCGAAGCATTTATAGACTGTTTATTTAAAGTATTTATTTTCTGAGCTGGGTCCCACAACTCTTAAGACTGGCCTTTTTTTTGTATAAGAGCTTCTACCCAGCTGCCAGCTGAGCAGACGAGCCCTTCAGTGAATTACAGGGTGATTATAAAAGTCAACCAAGTGGGCTACATGAAAAAACAACTCAACCTCTCTGACATCTACCAAAAATAAAACTTGTTACTCCACATTTTTAGATGATATCAGTCTCTATCAACCTCTGCAAATCTCTTTGCAGTTTGCCCTAGTTTAAGTATAGCAAACTCTTTTGTGCTAAGAATGACACAGTGCCCTAAACTCTGGTACAATAAAAAGACTTTTCCCACACCCTCTCATTTTTAATCCACAGGAGGCAGACTGCAGCCACCTGCCTCTCTCGTTCATTTGCTTTTGGTTACTGCGTCCCTCCTTCCAAGATTGCAGATTTCCGTAACAGCTTTATTCCTTTCTGAGGAGCACGCTGGGTGTCTTGGCCGCTGTTTTTCCCCTGATGCCTGTATCACAGCCCAATAAGAACAAAGCAGGACCTGGGCCAGGCCCTGGCAGAGAAGTGAAGCCGCAGGGCTTGTAGCTGAATTGTTTTGGTTGGCCACACATGCTCTCTATGACCCTGAAGATTATTGAGTAAAAGCCTCTGGTGCCAGTTTTTTTTCCTGCATTTTACCCACAGCAACTCCACATGCAAACAGAATAAGACTTTCCTTTTCAATGTACAGTTTCACTGTATCCTGCTGAGAGTGTCTGCTCCTCAAACCAACATTTGATGTGGCCTTTTTGAGCAATTTCACTTGGTTTGAATCCTATAATGTAAGCCTGAGAAAGCTTCCAAGGATAAACAATAAAATTTTTGATGAAGGACCAAGTGGAAATTGTAAAAGTAGTAATTTTGGGAGTTAACAGTCATTCATTAAACTGACATTTTTCCTAGAAGTTCTGCTGCAGTCGCAACCTATGAGCTTCAACCATTATAAAGACATACAGAGAAAGGGAGTAGCCTGTTAATAAACCAAACCTGTCTGGAAGTTTCTCCCCGCCGAGCGGTTAACCTCCATGTTAAGTCCACCCTGTCAAGGCTATTATAGCAATTTAGTGTCAACACCAGGCTGTACGACTTAACCAAGTGTTTATTTAAATCCTCTAGTGGGCTTAGAGCAAATTCTATACGGGGTTCAAGCCGGAGGAGTAATACCTTAATGTAAACAGGATTTAGTTCAAGCATTAGGGGTGTTTGCATGTCATGGTGATTGCCGGACTTAAGTGCTGGTGCCAGGATGTCAAAATGTTTGCTATTTGAACTTTCCTGTTTCAGTGTCACTTTGAGCTTGTGATACAGACACTAATGATGTTTATGATTCAACTATAATGGAAAAAGTTCAGAAATTCAACTGCCATGACTTTCAGCACTGAGTGATAAAACTTCAGTCATTTAAGAAACGTACCTACGATAGGATACGATATACAATACGATACGATGCAATATAATATGATACGATACTATGCAATACGATATGATATGATATGATATAATATGATATGATATGATATGATATGATATGATATAATATGATATGATATGATATGATATGATATGGTATGATACGATGTAATATGATATGATACGATACAATACAATACAATACCTCTGGTCACCTAGACAGCTGTTTGTGCTGTTGTTATTGACGTTTAGCTATCTTGGTCTTATGTTTGATTGTGTGTGTGTCTCTACGCTTGGCTCTGTGCAGATTAGGGAAGAGCTGCGAGCCAATGGGATTGACGTTTATCCTCAGAAAGAGTTTGACGAGGATGCAGAGGACAGAGTGATCAATGACAAAATCAGGGTAAGTTTGGCTCTGTCAGTTCAGGTTTCCTCTGACAGTGAAATGCATCCTGTCACTTCACAATGTGTATTTTTTATGTTAAAAATCTAGCATAACAAATAAAACTGAAAACAAATGTCTGTTTGCACACGAATTAATGTGCACATTTGTGTTTGCATGTGTGCATTCAACAGGCGATGATCCCTTTCGCTGTTGTGGGCAGTGACCAGGAGTATCAGGTGAACGGCAAGAGGATTCTGGGAAGGAAAACAAAATGGGGCACCATCGAGGGTAATGCACATGAATCAAGAAACACACACATACATGCGCACTACATAGCTGCCAAACCGACATTAAAAACAAATGACTCTCCAGGTGGAATAATGCGCACTCCCTTACTGTTAAATCACAGAGCTGACATGTTGTGGAATTGTACAAATTTCTACCTTAAAATCATTTAACCATCTGTTGTTGAACTACAAGGTGTTTGTTTACTTACATCTCTGTTAGTCTGTAACCAGGGAGATGTAGGATACACAAGGAAGAGATTTACAAGGACTTGCTGGGTCCTTTGGGATAAAACACTAACACACTCACACACACTCTCTCTTTCACAAGCTTGCACACAACAACTTCAGTACTGTTTACATTTGTGGGCCTGTGCTGCCTGCTTTCACTGCCAAGGAGGTTTTTAGCGGTGCAGCGTCCTCACCTCACCCATGCTAGACATGTGTGTGTCTGTGTGTATCCGTGTATGTGTGTGTGTGTGAGCGGAAAAAAGAAAAAAAGGTTAGGAGAGTGAGAAAGGATGTCCGTCTGGGCAGGGAAAGTACAAAAAGAGGGCAATCAAAGCAGCACAAAAGACCTCGACAAAAGACAGTCATTGATGAACACACACTGTCTCCCTCCCAGCATGCACCTCAGAGCACTCCTCTCCAGTCTGGATCTTTGGTTTGTCGGCTGTGCTGGAAATGAATTATAAAATATAGAAATGAACAATTTTAATGTCCCATAAAATATTCACATAGTAGAATCTAGACAGCTGCTCCCTCTTGCTGTTACATATTTCCAGCTCTTTAATTTTTAACAGCTGGATTAACAACATACTGTACTGTGGATGAGTTGGATCACTTAAACCTGCTGCAAAGTTTTGGACGCTATTTGCGTATGCTGTAATGACAAAAAAGGTCAAATTGGTCCAAAGGCCAAAATTTAGCTCAAAGCAGAAGTTCCTCACATTTAACACTGAGCATTTTGACACTTTTGTTTTTGCAGTTTGACTGAAAGATCATCTTTAATGCTTTTTTCACCACTACTTAAATCTCGTATGAGGAACTTTGTTTTGATTTTTGCGCCCCCTGTAGTGAAAAGTGATACCTCTCATTTTTGTGCTCATTTTTTTCCTCATACATTTTAAAGCAGCTGCTTTTATGTCAAAATAAATATTAGGGGTGTCCAGATGCAACTTTTTTACTTCCGATACGATACCGAGATTGTAGCCGTCAGTATTGGCCAATACAGGTATTGATCCAATATTAGCAGAAACCTGTGCATGACAAGTTTTGCACTCAGCTGCAATGTCTTTTTCGGACTTAAATGAAAAATACTGCCACACAGCCGACATCACTCCTACTCCTTGCTACTTTTTTTGTACCTTAGTACACACTGTTGTTGTGAGTACGTGGGCTCTGCATGCAAGATCTGGGTGCTGCTAGCTAGAGGTACCGGAGCGGAGTCTGGAATGGACTGCTTTTATTGGAGTGCTGACATCGAGATTTTAGATGCAGGCCGATAAATTGTTTTTTTGGCTGATATCGGACCGATATCCAATATTGTATCAGGATAGCCCTAATAAATACCTCCTTTAATGGGTGTTATGTGGAAGATGACTTTTCAGGCAGCCTGAACCTAATCGCCTTTTCTGTACCTACCCTGAGGCAGTTGCCAAAAATCTAATTACATGACTGGTTAAAGTCAAACCAGGGCCGCTGTGCTCCCTGAAAGGATGCCACTTCAGAGCAAACGCCATGTACCCTTTCAGAGTTGAGAATTTTAAAGGTGACTTCACTCTCTTAGGGCGACATGAACTGAACCCCTCAGAACAGCAGGTTGAAGGGGGATAAGTACATGGACTGTGGCACAAATGCCATCTTGTCTTGCTAAAAGAATAGTGTCTGCATTTTTACATAATTAAACAGCAAGGAGAGGAAATGAGGAAAGAAGGAGCAGGGAGGCATTTAGGCTGTTGGACTACAGATGAAAAGCTAGAAGTCAAACCTAACTTAACATGCGAGTAAATGTATACATTGCACTATATGTATAGACTTCTTCATATTTCCTCCATATGCTCTGGGTTATTATGGCAGCAGTGCAGCTTGTTACAAGTTAGCGCTCTCCCTCAACACCACTAATCAGCGCTCACATTCCCAGCAGTTATTCCTCCCTCCTTCTTTCAAAGAGAATTTAATTTCCTGCCCCTGGATTTCAAAGCTTTACATAAATAGCACCCTCCTTCTTTTTCTTCATTTATATTCTCGACATAATCTGTAATTCAAACAAGTGTTGGCTCGACTGGAGGCACCAGCAGCTTGTCACCGGGAGTTTGTTAAAACGTCTCACTTAAAGTTCTCCAATAAAGACTTGAGCAGAGATGTATTAAATTACCCGCAAGTGGAAGAGTGTGTTATCTCAGCTGAAGAAAATTGCTGGAGATGCCGTGTTTGAGGATGCCCTCTGGTTGACTTAGAAGCAACACTGCCCTCCTGTGTCACTTTGAGGAGTTACAAATTAACTAGAAAAGAGAGGATTTCAAAGGATCATATTCACTCTTCCAATTACTTTGAACTATCTTGTGCCTGTTGCATCTTATAATGTATTCAAAGCCTTGTTTGATGTTGGCAGCTGTATAAAAACATGAAGACTATGTTGGTGAATACTCTTACTTTATCTACCTTTTCTAATGTTCCCTGTATCTTCTCCTCTGTCTTTATTTCCAGTTGAGAACATTGCACACTGTGAGTTCGCTTACCTGCGTGACCTTCTCATCAGGTGAGTTTCCATCATCATATCCAAGAGACCATCAAGCTGTTTATCGTTATAAATAGACACAAGGGTAAAATGACCTGGTATGAGCTGTGTACTCGGCTATCTAAGAAAACACTCACTTCATTGAGTGACGGTGTTGAAATGAATTGGAAACAGCACAGAGGCGGCCGCATGAAGCTTCATTTCCTGACTAAAATCAATACTAATGAAATACTAGGTGAGTTGAGAACCTTTTCAGGCGGTTACACTCTGTGATTCTGCAGAGTAGCAACTGGATGGTAGCACCTCTCCTCTTTTTTCACACAAAGTTAGTATATTTCTGTCTGTTTTTGCCTTAATGAGATAGGGCAGATAAAGAGGGAGAGGAAATTGTGGGGAGGGGAAAGTGGGCAGCGAGCAAAACATGTTTACAAAAGAAGTTATGTCATCAGACACCAATGTGAAGGCCACTTACGGGAAGATAAGAACTAGTGACGTCATTTGAAGTGCACAAAACAGCATATAAAGGAAAAAGAGTTTTAGGGGTGGTTGGGATTGTTTGGCTTCTGCTGTCCGTCTGATTGTCATGAGCTCTGGTTGATGCTGTAACTACAATAAAATCACGCGAGAGGCTGCCAGCTTGATTCTGTCTTCCAGTAGTTCATTTTTGCACCTTTGCACCTATGAAATCTACTATATGGACAGCATGTAGCAAAGGGTTATGGCCAGGAGTAGAATAACTATGATGAGGACTTTAGCCCAAAGACTGTATACAGAATGGACACCGTCTGCCTCCTTGATGGGTGAAGCCCCTGTGAGAACAGCCCCCTCTGGTGACAGGCTGCAGTATAGGTCATAAACCCCGCCTCCTCCAGCAATCCCTATGGAGTTGTGGACAAACTTTATAAATCAATCACACAGAATATAAATTATTCTCCCCCCTGCTTGCAATGTTGACATGTAGTTATTGCAAGACTGGTTTGTGCTCAATTCCTCTTTTTTCTGTGCAGCTCCATTTTTAAAAGTTATTAGGGGGTTCATGTTTTCTATGATTGACACTTGATACAGCCTATGGGCGTACGAAGATTGCGCTGTTTGAGCCGAGCATCATCACAGCGACTCCTGGTGACTCTCTCGCCGAATGTGCACGTCGCTACTGCGCAATGTGGGTTTCAGGAAGTGGAGAAAAAACCTGGAAATACCGAGAGCTTTTTGGCTTCAAATCTGTATACTGGCAGAAGGCGGAACCAAGTTGTCTACATTATATACAGTCTATGATATATATAGAGTGCACACTTAAGGGGTTTGGCCAACCAGTCATGCCAAAATGGAAATAAATTAAATGAAGTTTGATAAATAGTTAAAATATTTTGATTTGGTGTGCAAAACGTAAAGGCATCATGCATTGGTATGTACTGTAACAGTGTTTTCTTTCTTTCTTTCTTTCAGGACACACATGCAGAACATCAAAGACATCACAGGCAACATCCATTATGAGACGTATCGTGTCCGCCGCTTAAATGAATCCAACGCCCACTTCAGCTCGCAGCCATCTGACCGTCCTGCTGTTCAGCTGCAAGCTAATGGTCAGCCTGAGGAGCAGCCCCGCGTCCTGCAGGCCAACGGGGTGGCTGCGCAGCACGAAGCCCTGTCCCATGAGATGTAGAGAGCCAATTAATGAATCAGGACACGATCAGGCACAAAACTTGCACCCACACTCACACACATGCATTCTGTTTTCATAAAAATCACATACTTATGTTAGCAAGAAAGACTTTTGCCCAAAACCCACCTTAACACAGCTTTTAAATCATCAAGAAATTATAAAATGTTTCAATAGCAACGCAGTCCTTTATGGGTTGTTTTATGACTGAAAAATCAAGTCTTCCTTGCAGATCTAATATTGTACAGACATCCCTTTGCTTTCCTTCGTCTGCCTGAATGGTATCCAAATCCAGGATTGTTTACAATAAACCAGAGGAGTTATTGGGTCATTTATAAGATAAATAATTTAAACATGTCTTATATTTGAGTTTTGGCTGCTGGGTTTATTGTTAGAGCATCTGCTGACTGTCAGGACTGCTGTGGAGTGCAGTTGCAGTAATTAAGATGTGAGGAGAAATATCAGTGAAGACATATAAGAATTTTTTTGATAAGAGGAAAAAACGCCTCTATAGTACCTTTGTAAGATCTTGGTTTGACAGGAGTTCTGACAATACAGGGCTGTCCAGATGAGGAGGAACAACATCATTCAAAATGAAGTTCAGCATATCAGATGATACTAGATTAGCTCCATACTATGACTTACTGTTAGTGCCACTGGCCGGGTCTGCTTTGTGTTGTGTATAGTTTTGTATAGATACTAGGGTAAAGTAGGGATGATTACTTAAAGTATTATGGAGGGAGTAAAAGTCTTGTGGACACCTCCACACTGCAAAAACAGTTATAAGAAGAGAAGCAGTAGCAGTGTGGAGCAGTTCTGGGGGAAAAAAGATCCTTTTGTGTTTTTTCCATTGTGTTAAAATGTTTTCTTAAACCCCTTTTTGCCAAACCAACCCGTCTCTTTCTATATGATGCCAATGTTGTGTAAAACGGTCATTTTACATTGCTCATTTATTATCGTATTTTAATTGCTGTTGTTCATGTTTTAATATTATATAAGATGAGGGGTTGTGGAGGATTCTGTGCAACTGTTTCAGCCATATTGTCCTTTTTTTTTCTTACTGTAAACCAAATAAAAATATTTTTTTCTGTTCTAAAGAGAAGCACACACAGCACATAGAGTTGATTTATGAATAGGTATTTATATATATGTTAGTGTAACCAGTTTAATCCAGCTTTTATGCCACATATTGGCTTCTGGAGGTTTGTTGCAGGTCTTTAACAGTGATGATCTTCTAGCTTTAGATTGTGTTTGCTCTTCGTTGCCTGCATCCATAAAGTATATTTTTCCTATTGGCTAGGCTGCATTATAGCTAGCGTTTCATGACTTTACCTGCAAGTGCAAGAGTGGTATACATTTTTGACTATGGTGAGTAATAGTGAACCAATCCTGCCAATAGATGATGGTCAGAATGGCAACAGTTTCATTGTAGCTTAAAGTATATTTTACGCAGTGAGGATGTCTCAGCCACCAAGAGGGAGAATTAACAACAAAACAGAAACGATGACCAACATCAACTGGTCGTTATTGTGAAAATGTGTGAATTCATGAAAAGTCTGGATTTTTGTAATTGCTAAATTAACATTTAAAACATAATCATACTTCTTTAAACAGAAAAGCTGACTTTCTGTAAAACCAGGAGAAGAGTTGTAGATCAGCAAAATTGGGTCACTCTTTGTTCACTGTTGTTTAGTTCTTGTGTAATTTGTTATGGTATTCTAGATTAAGGCTTTATCTTTGATATGCTATCTCAAAGAATAAAAATTGATATTTTTATTGTGTAAAGTCGACTGTCTTTATTCTACGAACTTATGACTTAAAGTACTTTCTTACCACAGATAGATCTCCAAGTTTTTAACTGGCCTAGAATATTTTCTGAGAGTCCTGTTATTGTGATAGTGAAACAAAACATCAGCTCTCATTGATGAAACCACGTATTTATCACTAACCTTTAAATCAGATGGAATAAATGATTAAACTCAGAATATTTACTAAGGTATCATTCGTCTCAAGTGGTAAATAAACACATCAGCTCTAAAAGTATGACATCTTGGACTTATTGGTCATCTCTGAATTTAGTTTTCACCAATTGCCATATGTAATCATGTAAAGTTTGTCCTAAATTATCATTTAGTTGCAGATGAAAAAGTAAAAAGACTGACACAGTTGTGATATTAATCTTGTATTTGTAGTGTCACATGGCAAACAGCCAAACGACAAAATGATCAAGATTTTTGTGATACTATCTCGGTGTTCTTAATAATGAGAGAAATTAGGTTTTAATGTAATGACAGTTGCTCAGTAATTAAAGAACTACGTTTCTCATTTCCCTCAGTTCTCATTAGTTTGCAGTCACACTGCATAGATGAAAAACATTCACTATGACACATTCACAACACTGACCCCGCTGAGAGAAAATGTGAAATTTAAGCACTACAGTGGCGACACACCATTTCATACAGCTCTGGTTTAATAGAGTGTCTCATTTACACCTCCTGTCACACTCTTTCTCAACTACCCTGCTGTTAGTAATGTGTCAACAGTGTTGTTTGTCGAGGGTCATTGTCACCCTTTCACACCAAAGAGATCCTGCGGTGGCTTATCCTGCCATCTCCATGTTATTGGATTCGTTGGTTTGAAACTCCTCTGAGCTGCAGATGACACCCCGAGGTGATGAATGACAAATGTGAGGGTGAGAAACAGTAAAAGTTATATAAAAAAAGAAACATCATTTATTGAGCATTCACTCTGCGTTGACACTTCTATCTAAACAGTTTTTCAGGCAGCCATCCTGAAGTGTGAAGGTGAGTGATAATGATGGCTGTGACAGTGCCAGGCCCATTCACAGGCACAGGCACTAGAACTGTCAAGTTCTATATAAAAAGTGACACCTTTACTTTCTCGGCTACAAGATATTTAAATCTCATTCATTTTTTAATGGTAGCTAATTTGGTTTAACAGCATTTTTACACTTCAAGGATTATTTCATATCAAAGAGTTAATCAGTGCAAGTCACCACATCTAAGATTTTGGAGACTGTGGAAAAACTAAAGGCCTTGTGATGAAATATAATTTCTGACATGTGTAACCTCCTCAGAAAAGACAAATAGAAATTCTTTGATCATAAGACATGATCATGTTTGACAGACGGAAACTTTGACAGCCACAAAAGAACGAACTGTGTACACTCACTTGTTATTGTGGGTGAGGCAACAATTCAGATGTCAGTAATTGTTCAACTGGTATCCTTGAGGCACTGACTTCTGCATGGGAGGGACAACGTAGGCTTATGCAGGGCTTTACACTAACAGCGGCATGGTTATATCTACTCAGCACCCTCGCTGTTATGTCGGGTGTTGAATAAGGGATCGTCAATAACCGTCAATATGTAATCAATTTTAGGGCTTTTGGTCACATGACATGGAAGCTATTGAAGAAAAGCAGCCTTCTTGAGAACATCAACCAGTAATTTATTGATGGTCCCTTATTCAACTCCCAATGTTGACAGCGAGGTTGCCGAGTAGATTTAACTGCGCTGCTGTTGCTATTCTCGGTTTTTTGAGATCCGCAGTGAATGTCCGTTGAATATCCGACCTAAAACTAAGTTAACCACAGTACCCCCCCCCCCCAAAAAAAAAAATAAAATAAAATAAAATAAAATAAATAAATAAATAAATAAAAATAAATAAATAAATAATATGCTCACATGTGATATACATTTTACAATTTGCACATATCTATTTTTAGTCATAAATGTGAGTGAAACGGTCGCACTGTCAATCCCTGTTACGTTTGTGTGAAAGAGGAAAACAGCCATGGATTTTTCTGTTTTTTCTCAATATAACAAAGATCATTTTCTCGTTTTAAGTTTTATTATAAAATTTTTGTTCTAACTTTTAAGAACGCTCTCCACAGTAGGATATTTCTGGACCGCTACAGCCATCGTTGACAACGGCAAGCCGGGGATTTCAACGAAAACGCTGGCGTCACCCTCCACTGTGGGCATGCGCATTACACTTTCAACGAGGGAACATTAAACTGTCATGCGCGAAGGGCTCGTCTTCCGTATGTTTGACTAAGCACAAAAATCTAAAGCAGTTTCTCAATTCTTTCTTTCTCGATCTATAATGAACATTAAAACCCGACGCACACTACGTTTCTCAATGTTATATTATTTTGTGCCTGTGTGCCTTACTCTGAAAGGCAACAGGCAGGCTATGTGACCTATCAGCTTCATTCTTGGATGACTCAACAAGATTTTCTTTGGACACTTTTTCTTACGGTTTCTTACGAACTTTTAATCTGATAAATTTCAGTCACTGCACCCTCCTGTTGCGCTGCTTTGTACGTAAAGCCCTCTGTGAGAAGTAGATGATAAAGTGTCGTTAATTTAGCTTTAAATACAACAGTCTTTTCTCCGTCGGTAAAAATGAATGGGACACTGAAGGAGGCATCTCTGTGGACACCTGTGTGTGCATACGTGAGTGGAGGAAGTCCCACTTTTCGTCCAAAACATCTGACGTCCTCAAGGAATACTAGTCTGAAATACTCATGTACCAGCTTTGCTGCTATCCTTAATGTTCAAGAGATCTGATGGAGGTTCAAATGGGCTTTGAGCGGCTAAAGGTGGGTAAACAGTTTCAATTTTAACATAAGAAGTTTGATTAAGCCAATGTTTATCAAGTCATAGAATATTTTTATCAGCAAACCATGCATCAGCCCAATGAATGTAGTCCACCTAGGAACAGACACTTGTCAAAGGACACATTGGATGGTTAACCCAGAATTTCTTTTTCCAGTAAGGTTACTCTATTCACTCAACAACCTAGATAACTTATTGGGATGGCCTGATTTAGAAGGTATAATTTTATTTTTTTTATTATCAGCAGCACTCTTAAAAGCCATCATCTTCATTTCGTAATATACATATGTATGTGTGTGACTTTATATACACTATATTTGGACAGAGGCCTCAAAAAGAGAATAAACCTAAGAAATAACCTCCCCAGGGAGCTTTTAACCTGCTTTCCTGCATTAGTAGACATGCAACATGTCTGCTAATGCCTCTAACCATGTGGCATAATTTTAAATTTTAGGGATTTTTCTGCAGGTGCTTGTCTGGATTCCAAATCCATCTCCTGGATTGATTGAACCGACTGAGGAGATGGAGATTTTCAAGGTATGTGTTGATATTTTTTCAGTAGAGGTCATTGTTCATCACTCAGGTTTCAGGTTCTTTCAGTAACTAAAAATAATTAAATGTGTAACTCCTCAGATTAATTCTTGAGGAGGAAAGGTTGGCTTGCCTCTTTCCTCTACTACAGTGCTGCTGTACAGTTGTAGAGTTGCATGCCAAAACTAACAGCAGGTACATTATGTGTCACAGCTGGATCATACTGCCTAATATATGACTGCACTTCGCCCACTAACATATTGTTGCACGGCAGCACAATCCCAATGTGTTCTGGCAGGGAAACTGCAATTCATGTCGGAATAATGCCAGCACATCCACTCTGCCTTTTCCAGCCTTGTAATCCAAGAGTGTCTCAGTGTTCAATGGCTGTATACTAGTTAAGATGCACATGCTCCAGTCTGATCTATCTGTGCTTAAATGTACGCCCGCAAGAACAGAAAAGAAAGAAAGGAAAGAGCAAGAGAAAAAAAGCCCTGTGTTTAAAATCACAGCTTTCCTTGTTCCCTACCAGCTCCATCATGGTTACCAGGCAGAGTTCCTCCACCCAGACAGCCAACAAGCCAACCAGATACACTTCCAGTCTGCCAGTTCACCATCTGCCTGGTAAGCCTATTCTGGAGAGAGCTAACGCCTGTCTGTGCTGGTGTGGCACCCAGTGGCCGGTTGTCTTGCCTCTCTCAGTCCCAAACACACACACACATACACACAGACAGAGCCTCTGTCTCCTTTACAGCATCTTAGACCCAGACAGAACAGCAGAGAACCATGTTATAATCGCCCGTTCTTCAATTAGTCCTAAGCTGCGAAAACAAAAGATCGCTGCCCGTTGCCCAGCTCACACACCCCTTTCTTTTCTGCACACTGCCTTCAAAGTAATCGACCCAAGGTAATTTGTTTGTAATTTATTTTCATTAGCTAATGGCTTTGCATTCATTTGAACGGAGCATGCTTAACCGTGCTTGTATCTTTTGTCATACTGTTAATGTACTGTTTGTGTGATCGTCGCCTTTAAAACCTCAAACTTAAATCTTGCCTAAATACGTGTACACTTATGCAAACACAGATCGTTTGTGCTCTCTAATCCTTCGCCCGATTTACCCTCCAGCCCTGCCAGCTCACTCTCCGAGACACGAAGCAAGGCACCCCTGTTTGTTGTTGATGTATGCTAATGCGCCACATCCATCTGTTCGTTTGCTTAATTTGGATTTTGCTTGTTTGTAGCGATGTTCCTGCCCCTCCTACTCCACCATCTCCTCCCCTTGTCCCCCCCATCCACACCTCCTGCATCTCCTGTTCCTCCTCCCTCTACCTCCTCTCAATCTCTTCCCTGCTGCTCAGACATCAGGCACTTGTCTGCATGGATCGCAGCCAGCTCTCGTGCGGTCAGGGTGGGGGGAAAAGGAGGGTCCGCCGCCCCCTTCCTGTGGGTATGCAAATTGGCCTTGTTTTGATTAAAAGACAGCTGCATATTTCATTGAAGTCACCGGTGGAGGTGGGTGAGGAGAAGTCATTCCTCTCTCGGGAGGCTGAGATATTTTAGCTGGAGTGAATGTTGTGGGAGCTGCTGTTTAGTGCTGCTAAGGGGAACAAATAGCGAAGACAAAAGGGCTGCCCAGGGACTGCTTTGGGGTTTAATGGGGCTGACTGACTGGCACATCAGTTAAGGCTCACACTGATGCAGAGCGTGTGAATGTGCGTTGCATGATAACAGGAGCAATTGACAATGAAATATAGACCCCCATGAGCCTTCAAGGTGCTTTGGCATGCCAACAGTGTTGGATTGCTACCCTCCAGTGCCAGGCTGCTGAAGAAACAGAGCTCACCACTCCATATATGGATAATAAAAAGATGTTTGTCTCCGTATGTGACCATCTTTTATTTTATGTGTAGTTCCCATGAGGACTGGGTCCATCACCCCCTCAACAGATCTCTACAGTTGAGATAAATTTAAGATTACACCAAGGCCAGCTCTGTTCTAGCATGTCAGTGTTGGCTGCCGGCTGAATGCTCAAGTGAATAAACTGATGAATGGATTATGTTTCCTTAGTGTTATTTGTGACGAGCAAGAAGACTATCTTTCTCCTTCCATGTCATTCTCTTTCCTTTACTGGTTGAGGGCAACAGTTACCCCACCAGAGGTAGATTAGGGTGATGTATTGGTGGGTGGGCACGCTATGAGGTCAAGGGGTGGGGATAAGAAAGATGGGGGAGGATCTCCTGGCTTCAAGCCAACTCCAGTGAAATTCAAAGACATGGAAAAGGATGGGAGGATGGAATGATGGTCGCTCTGCATAATCAATCAGAAACAAGAGAGGAAGAGAGCCAGTGATTCTGCCTTTCTTGACAGGCCTGATTGTATTTATGCAGGGCTGAGAGCGAGGAGGGAATGCTATTAAGGAGAATTGGGGTAGTAAGATGTGGGCAGGTGCAGGGAGAGCTGTAATGGGTGGCCCCCGCTGCAAAGCCAAGGACATATACCCAAGAGGAACTGATTGAATGCCATGCCAATAAAAGGAGGCAGTTTCATGCACCATTGACCGAGTTGGCATCCTAGCAGCCACACTGCAATGAAACCTCCTTCGAGGTCATGATAATGTGAATCACATTTCGTTCCTCTGTGGGCTGTCCTCCTCCTGAGAGAGAATTAAATGTAAACTTCTCTCCGGATTTTTCTCCTCTGTTTCTGTTACAGTTTGTGGCACACATTTGATGTTATGCCAATATGAGGAGATACAAATCAGATTGTTTGTTTGGGCAGAAATGAAAAAATGAAGTTCCAATTCACAATAGGTGGGGAAAATAATCAGATTTAAGCCTGCAGTGCGCGTACAGCCGGGGGAGATTGTCCTTTCATTTTCTCATACGTGGGGCAGCGCGCTCCTGAGGTTGTCTTGTTTCTTCTCAGTCATGAACTTTTTTCTGTCATAATTACATTCAGCCTGGAAGCCTGTATGCCTCGAAGACAAATATAGTATATTGACAAGAGAAAAACAGTCAAACGCTGTTGAGCTGGTTTATTTTAAGCTTCTGGAGTATATCTCAACATTGAAAAATGTGTGGAGGTAGCTTCATATTTATTAAAGGACCAGACCTTTGTATATTATAAGCTGCTTTTTCACATTCCTTTGCTGCAGTCAGTGTTTTGCCAACTGATGACCCAAAATGTATGAAATTGTATCTTGTGATTTAAATTTTAAGGTGATTACTTGTATCATCATTTGAGCTAATTTCTTTTCCTTCAAAATAGGGCTGTACGACACTGAAAAGATATAGAAGCGTAGAGACAAGAGAAGTAGAGAAAACAGATGGAGCAACACTTAACTGCATAAACAAATGCAGTTGACTTACTACACATTGTAAGTTAACTATAGCTATATAGCTATCCTAGCTATATCGAGGAGTTAACCTTGATAACGATAAATGGACGATAACTACTCCACAAGCTGCTCACCCCCTCCTACATTAACTTTGTCTAGGGACATGAGACCATAGCCTACCTACACACATCCAAAACCAACTTTTATTTTCTGTTTTGACACTGAATATATTGACTTGGGCAAAATGACGTTGGTTATTGTCATAAATTTGGGTTTATCGCCCAGCCCTAAACTGACATACAAATGCAGACACTCAAGCACACATGTAACCCTGTGCAGGCAGGAAGAACCTGCATTGAAGTGATTTCAGGTAGATGTTATTGCACATTGATCCTGGAAAATAATATTTGTGATCAGTATGCATTTCTGTAATCTGTCTAACCCTCTGCACTTAAAAAATAATAAACTAAGTAAAAATTTTTAGTCTGCGTTCTTGAAATGAACCAGACAGAATCCAAAATAGAAGACAGAGGTCAGTGAATGAGAGCGGTATAAACAAATAATGTGCTTTGTTAGAGGAAGTGGAATGAGGCAATATGCTGCTAGCAAGGACATGGCAGTAAAAACATGTTTTTGAGAAGATTACGCCATAAAGGATTTTTATGTCCTGTGTGTGTTGTCTGAGCAAATACCTGCACCCCTGGGACAGAGAGGAGTAATTGAATGGCCATTAAAGTATTGTTGGACCTATAAATCAACATTTTCAATTGAACATTAAATTTTTTTGTTGAACTTGTATCGTTGACAATTGCTAGTTTGATTTAACTGTTTTTTTGTTTCAGTTTTATTTCAGTAGCAGTGGATATTGTAAATTTAGGACTATACTATACAGATGAATACTGACTGTGAGAATTGACTGTTGAGGCTGGCATTAGTATGGCAGAAGCATATTCAGCAGCTGTACAGGATATTTTATTTTATTTGTTGGGTAGTATGAACTGCACCGAAGAGATTTCACTTAAAATTAGTGACTGTGATTAAAATTGGCCAAAGTAAACACGAAAATCTGCACAATAGCCAATTCTAAGATAAGGTAAAGAGAGGGAACAGATAGTGTGTGCAGAGGAAGCATGTCATTTGCATCTCTGCTGCTGATGCTGCACTACTGCCTCCTGCTGTTTGTCCACAGTAGTGACATTTGAAGCCTCTGCCAGCATCTGCAGAGAAGCTAATTTCCCACCATCAGTCCCTAACATTAATGCATATACTGATCCACGAGCCCTCTGGAGCCCTCTCCACTCCATCCACCTCTCCTCCTCCTCCTCTGCCCGCCTCTTACTCATGTTATCAATTCACTGTTTTCTCTAGGAAAATATAAGTTAAGCCCACCTTATTTACATTTATATGATCAGATTTTCTTCCTTATGGAAGGTATGCAAATTTGCCCTTTTCTTGGGTCTTAGCCACTGAGTGTGTAGATTTGTTGCCAGGGATAGGGAGAAAAAAATAATAACATTGCCCTCCAGGAGGAAAGAGACCCAAGTTAGGATTTCTGGACCTCATGAATTTTGAAATGATCAATTTTGTTTACCTTAGCCTCTCCAAGACTTACCAGGACATTTTGAGCTGGGGATATATAAGATGAGATTGATTTACATCAGACATGTCTATATCTTTTCCCTTTTTTTCTCAGCGTATAGACCCGGGGTTGCTGCCCCTGCAGTGCTCAGAATATCATTTTTCATTTTATTCATCTGACGGCCTTAAAAGTCTTCCCTGGGCTTGTGTGTTTGTCAGATGTGTGGAGGTAGTTTTGCGGGGTGCGCTCAGGCACCGGTCACGTCTCAAATCCTCTGTGTGTAGGAGCAGAGGGGGAATGAAAGGCAAATCTGAGGGCTGGCTGGATGAATGCAGTCTGCTTGAGCTTGTTTGAAAAAAGAAAAACAACCCTGTGTTGTTAGTTTGTGTGTGAGAGTGAGAGACAGAGAATGTGTATGTAGGTGAGGGCTTTACTCAAGTGAAACTCCTGAACCCATTGTGAATCGAATGGTGGGGTATTGCACTGCTTTTGGTGTGTGTGCACGCTTGCTAGAGGGGGTGTGTGTGTCCGGTGGACGGCAGAGAGGCACAAGCACTCGAGCAAATTGCTTTCTGCCAGCATATTGCCAGCGCCAGTCTTTATTCCCTGGGATGGGAAGGCACGTCTCAGACGATTACAGCCCCCCGATTCAGGCTCACAGTGCTGCCCTGCCCGGCTCAACCTATAGCCTTTACTCCACAATACAACTCCTCTATACCAAGCTATACCCTGCTTGATGAAATGCTGATGTGGAATATTTAACTGACACTCCAAGCGAAACCTAATAATATAATCAGGTAATAAGAAATTAATTTTCTCCCTGGCTGCACTTTGACTGGGGTGTTGATTCAGGGCAGCGAGGAGAAATCATGAGACAAACGCTGGCGAGGGAATATCATAGGTAGTGTCTCTCTCTCTCTTTCTCTCTCTCTCTCTTTCTCTCTCTCTCTGTGCATCAACATTTCTTATGACACACTCCGCTGATTCGATAGCCACCCCCACGCTCTCATTCACACACCCCGTGCTCCTGTGCACATACAAATTTGCAGAGACCTGCGCAACAACAAGGATGCCTCCCTCTCTCTACGCCGCTGAACTGTAAATGACCAAAGCTAGAAGACGACTCTTGACATTCACGCACAGACTCGCTCTTACAAACACACAAATACACACACACACACACTGTCGCTGTCAGGAAAAGAACTCCATGTCCCCTGCAGGCTAACATTGTGAGTGTCGGTGCTGGCGTGGCGTTGACCTGCGGCACAGACAGATGCGTGTGTTCACGATTCTTCATGTTAGAAAGTGGGGAGCGTCTTGCTGTTTTCCTGCTGACCCACTAGATGTAATTCAGTTCGGCTTGTCCCCTCTCTCTATCTCCCTCTATCTTTCCTCTTTGGGCCTCTCAACTCTCACCGCCGGTCCTCATGCAGTTAATTAGAAGTCAGGAGTCCATTGGTGTCAGTGCTTTGGTGGTTTATTTGCGCCCCCATTCCCTCATGCCCCCACCAGCCCAAAACGGAGTCATCAACAACCCTACCCCCATGATGCACACACACATAACACACACAAACTATGTGCCAGGGTTTCCACAGCCCTGCCTGCTTCTGCCTGGCATAGCCATCCATCTTTCTGTGCAACCCCCCCCTCCCGCCCCCCATCTCCACACTTCCTCCTCTGCCTCAAACCACTACCCACCCGACCGCTGCTCTCTCCTCCTCTTCCATCACCCCCCCCAAAACCCTCCCCTCCTCTCCATCCCCTGCCATCGCCTCTCTACCTGAGAGCATTTGTCATCCCGTCGCTCTGTGAGCCGCAGCCAACGTGATGAAAAAAGAAAGGAGGAGAAAAAAAAAGAGAGAGAAAATCTCGGCGGCAATATGCAAAAATGCAAAAAGGTAGATGCTGGTTGCCCTGACAACGGCTCTGAGGTTATTTCCAAGCGCTGATGGAAATCAATGTCATGTGCTAGCCAGGCAGGCACCTCAGTCCTCAGGAAAATTAGAAAAAGAGAAGGGGGGTTGAGGGAGAAGGAGGGAGGACTAGAAGGACAAAGAAAAAACGCAGAGAGCAGAAATCAGGTTTTACTCCTCTCTGAACCTTGAAGGGTCCTGACTTTTCTTCAAAAGAGCTCGAGGCATGCCGCCGTTGTCGTTCGGGCATCACTTTGGGTCCTTTCATGTTGCTTCCTTTGCTTTTGTTTTGTTTCCCCCACTTTGCACAATTTTACTCTGTCACCAGTCTGCTCCACACTTGAGCTGTCAAGGTGCCTTATTATTCTAACGAGACAGATTTTGGTGCTGGAAAATGAAATGGTGTTTGTGTTTGATGTGGACTGGCAACCGATTTACCTACATATAATCCCAACCAGCAACAACAGCAATGATGCACGTGAATAGGCATTCCAATAAGTAACATTTGGTGTCAGACAGATTAAGCTATTCTAGGTGAAACCGGGTCCAACAAACTTTCAGAGCCTTCCTCCTCAGTCTACTTTGTAGGGCTGCACGATTTTGGCCAAAAATAAAATCCAGATTTTTTTCTCTGAAAACTTGATTTTGATTTTTTATCCAGTGACAACTTCACCAAACTTCACTTTAATAATAAGTTTTCTATCATCTCTCAAAACGAAACCACTGAAAACAAAGTAGTGTATATGCCAAGACAGTAAGTGGCGCTGTAACGCTGCCAAGGAAATGCACAAAAGACAGAAGAAGAGTACGGGGCATGTGTATAAAGTTTGTTTTAGCCAGACATCCGCAGGCGCCATACAAGAGTTACCCTGTGTGTAACATGGTCATCTTGAGAGATTCAGATATACGTCCACACAGGGATGAAATTTATTCACTTTCTGGCCTGTTTTTAAAAAGTACCGTTTACAGTCATCCAAAATGCCGTTTCCGTGTGGATGAAAAGCCGATACGACAAAAACTTTAGCTTTTACTCCTGAATTGGTTTCCATGTGGACAGGTTAATGCTGCCCTCAGACAGACTTTGCAGCTGGGAGTGGTTGGCTCTTCATCCGAAACTGCGAAGCCGTATCAATTCCACACGACTGACTTACTCTCTCCCTATTCAGCCACAAAATTATCGCCTTCTTTCGCAAATGCCATGTTTGTTTGCACTGGTGCGTATGGGACCTGGGTATTGCTCCCGTTGGAAAGGGGAGCCTACGGTGGCCTTGAGGCGCAAGACATGATAGAGAAGAAAATCAATTTGATGATTTGAATTTTTTGAACATCGTCATAATTGATTACAATTTAAAGTCGATTAATTGTGCAGCCCTACTACATCAATATAGTTTAACATTTTTAAAGATTATTATTATTGCATGCTTTTAATTGTAAAGACCAGTTAGGCTTGAACCCAGGCAGCTGTGATAAGGACTCAGTCTTCATGGTATGTGCTCTAGCCCCCAGCGTGACCCTGCATCAATAATTTTAAGTGAAACTAAATTTAATTTCGTTTGCTTTTGCAGTCAGACCAGATAAACGTTAGACTTGCCTCTCAGGCTGTGTGCAGTCAAACGTTTCAGATTTCATTATTTCCATATGATACTGTAGGCAGTAAAACTTAACATTTTGTTAGTTCTTATGTGATCTTATGTGCTCTTCACCATAGGTGTTCTGCTCATAAGGTGGCAGCTGGAAAGGTGGAGCAGATACACCGGATTTAATCAGAGGTTGCACTGATTTGGTTTCTCGAGCCTCACTTGGACACGGTGTACAAAAACAGATGCTGTATAGTGAATACTCAGCGCCACAAATCTACCCACATTATTGGATGAAGTCTGTTATAATTTCAGGTATATTAAGTCCATGAATACATTTTCCAATACAATACATTCAGATGTTAGCAGGAATGCAACATTATGCAAATCTGCATTTATATATACTGGGTGCTGTCAATCTTAATAGGATCCTGACACAGTCTGGACATTCTGGGCAGAAGAATTGTTCGGTGAATTTGTAAGCTGAAAGAATCAACATGGTGTTGTTATTTACTGTGCTGCTAACAAACAGACAAGCTGTAAACAGGCTGATACGGTTCCCTGAGCCTACATTTGGGCCTGAGGTTGCATGCCAGAACTTTACTCTGCAGAGTAGGGATGGGCGATATAGGCCATTTATCACAACAAGATTTGCCATTCTGGGGATAATGATAAAAGTCCCAATAAATAGTATTGTACTTCTAATCTATATTTTTGACTCATTTTGTCTTGAGAACTCCAGTTGGAGTTTTCAAATGAGATACTTAACCACAAGTTTAAGTGGTAGGTTATGGAAAAAACTAAGACATCAACAAGTCTCAAATGTAAAAACATTTTCAACATTTATTAAAAACTCTTATTGCACAGAGTGAACAGCAGCAGATCCACTGTCAGATGTCAGACATACCTGATTGTGTTCATCTAAACCCCAATCTTGAAGGAAAGCCCTCATGTGGAGTCTTGTTTAGCAAAAAGCTGCTCAAAAACATCTTCTTCGTTACCCTCGGCCATGTTTGTTTGTTAGTCTACTCTGTGTGGGCCATGACTGCGAGTCCGTCGCTCGCTTACGTAATCAACTTGCATTTATCGTATTTATCATGGAGGATTTTTCTGAAGAAGGATAACTTATCGCCCATCCCTACTGCAGAGAGAGAACATAAGAACTTCTGTCCATAAAGTTTGATACTTTTCTCATCAATTAACTCACTGTGAGAGATGTATTGAATCAATTTCCTCAGGTTGGAATCAATAACCCATAAACTGTAATTTATAGTCCAAACTGCTGCAGTCACCACAGGCCATCTCTGAATAGTCCTTTGGCAGGCTGCTGTGGAATAGATGGGCCATGCATGCCAAGCCAATAGGTTCTCCTCATCATTTGCATACCTAACATGGTGTTCACACTCCAGTTGACACATTTGCAACCCGCCACTTATCCCATTACCAGCTGTCCCCGGTTGGAGCATTGTTTGCTGCGTCGGCACTCTTTCTTGCCGGCTGGCCAGCTCATTTCCTACAGCGTTGTGTGTTGAGACACTCACAGGTTGTTTGGATGCTGCTAAAATCTCTGCACAAACACACATCGATAACTCTCTTTGGTGCACTACAGTTTATACTTGTTGAGAGAGACTGAAAGGATGAGAAAACCTCTTTGGAAAGTTGGAGTAAGGTATGTGAAAGTATGGTCGCTTTCACATCACTTTCAATTTAACAGCACTGTAGGTTTTATATTTCTACAGACGACATTGAAAAAACAATTCAAAATCAGAATATCCACATTCAGGTTCATGTCAATATGTATACTCACTCTCATATATATATATCTCCTTAGGCACCTTTACGCTGTGTTTCGTTTGGAGTCTCTAATACGGGGTCAGTAATTTGTCATTAAGAGTTTAATTTTAGTTGGCGCTTTTGCTCTGGATGTTTAATTTCAGTCTGCAATAAACCACCCAGAGCCCTGCAGCCATTTTTGCCTCCTTCCCCCCTCCTCCCTTGCCCCCTTCCAGCCTCCATCTTTCTCTCTTTCATTCCCTGTTTTTCAGGAGGGCAGTGTTATTGTAAAAGTAAAACTGATTCCCACAGGCAACAAAAAGAAAAGGCTATTAGTGGATGAGCTGTGTTGTTCACCTTGGACACGGCTGCAGGATGTAATGTGTTTCTGTCTCAGAGCCACAGTGATATTTTCCTTTCCTCTGGTAGGGAGAGCTACACTATGTTGCTCTGCAGTAAGGCTTTCAGAGTGTCATGTTTTTACAGCAGGGGTCCTGATATCTCTCACATAAGACTTACATGACATTTCTGCTCGGCTCTTTTATCAATTGGCTGTGTAAACCGGCTTACACCAAGCTTCTGAACTCAATGAACTTAAAATCACTGTGCAGATTCTCTCTGTGTTGAGGGGCTGCGGCTGAAAGCTGTATGTCACCCATGGATTTTCTGATAAGATCATTTTCCACCCTGCACATCTATTTTTGATGTGCTGTGTTGGTGGCTAAATGAATATTCATGAATGTGCAGAAGGCCTATATGTATCATAGTGATTTCCACCCGTGTCATCAAGCTGTGCAAATTACATCCTCACATCTCCATGCAGCCCCCTCTTATTCCTTAATTAATGACACTGAGAAAATGTTTTTTTTTTCCTTCCAATGAAAATTAGCTCCTTCAAGACAGAATGTGTGAAGATATTTAATAGAAGTGATAATTCATGCCTTGTTTTGCCTTGATGACTTCAGGAAATACATTTTCCCCAGCAGAAAGCCCCCCTTAAGATGGATTTACTGACCTTGGAGGGGATTAAACTCAAATATTACACGGCATTGGCAAGGTGTACAACAATAACACAACATATTTGAAGAAGGAGGTTAAGACTGTGTTTACACGTGCCCAGGTTTTTTCATAAATGGACATTTCACCCTCTCCATGTACAAAAAATAAAACAAAACTGCGTGCACACCACTACATTTTCAGAAAATTTGCGTTTACACTAACCAGTGTATCTATGCTGTCTGACAGCAGCGATGCCCGCGACATCTGGAAATTTTCACGCCACTCCTCCGACAGAACCACTTCATTTACGAAGTTCTCCCACCAAACAGTAGTGCACCCAGGTCAGACCCAAAACCAAGACAAGGGGGACATGTCCCCCCCTACTTTTTCAAAAGCCCGTTTTGGTCTCCAGCAGTTTTAACTGTCTGAAAACAATGTTACGTTACACTATAGCAAACCAGTACATGTCAGGCACTAGGACCAAACGGCCGCTCAAGCTGAAAACTGGTTTCCCTCAGTTAGGACCGCCCACAAGGTCCTTGATTGGCTCTGTCATCAGAGGTTTCATTTACATCCCTGTATCGGGTTTGTACTTCCATCCACCCGCTGGCCGTATTGCCTCCTCTGTTACTATGTGTGCGAGATGTGCTGTTTGCTAGGCCATATGTCTCAACAGTACTCAAGTCACATGTGTCCACCCCACCTTTGAAATCAAAATTTCGTCCTTGGCGACGCAAGCGCACTCTTCGTGTCGGAGGGAAAAGTTGCTTCAACATTGCTGACCTTTGAGCACTCAGTTGTCTCTGCTTCTCCTCATAGTACAGCACTTGTATTTGCAAACAAATACAAAGGGATTGCACCAGCATAAATGCGACTGCTATTCTGCATGCATCTATGATCATCATAGATCATAAACATAGACTGTAGATTATAAACAACTTTGCATTTAACCCAGTTTCCAGCATAAATGTGCCGTCGGCGACTCAAATCTATGTTTTTCTCTGTTTACATGCAAACAGAGCTTTCCAAAATTTCCACTCTGGACGGAGTTTTTGAAAAGCATTGTTTTCATGGGCGAATTCCCTGATTGCGTCTAAACCAAGGGTGAAAACGATGGTTAATGTCTCCGTTTTTAAAAATAATCGGGTACATATAAACGGGGCCTAAGAGTATGCAGAAGAAACAGACTTAGTCAAATTTCCCCATGCTTGAAAATAGAGAAAAAAATCAGCAATAGGATAAGATCTACTAATTCGTTCTCAGGGGGGCGCAAATAAGGAAGTCCATCACAGGAGCTTTAAGTTGTGTGCTTAAATGAGCAGCATTTAAACTCCATAAAGATCCTTTTACTGCAATGTTACGACATGAAACACAGCTGACATTGTGTAGATCTTCAGAACCACATGTCATGCATTTAGCTTATCATGCGTATACAGTGTGGGTGTTGAATCTCGCCTTCATCTCTGAGATGAAAAAGAAGATGAGGAGTGGGGGTTATATGGCTCATGAAGAGGATAATAAAGGGCGGAAGTGGGGACAAGCAGTGATGCTGACATTAGGGTCAAGTGCTGATCTGGCGTCACATTTCCCTTTCAAATCCATCTTTATGCATATGCTCACATGAACACATTAAAGTCCGTGTGTAGCCGCACACCCACATGCTCATGCTAGGAAGCCTGCCAGAGAGAGAGGTTAAGTCACAGGGAGACAGAAAGCAGATGGATGAAATCAAATGAGTAAAGCAAATTATTTAAGGGTGTGCTTATGCGTTATGAGGGTGTATTTGTGTGTGTGTGGGTGTGCGGTGTGCCGTGCCAAGAGAATATATATATGTAGGAGAGAAGAGAGAGGCAGAATCCATTCAGGATGGAGGTAGTAGCTCACTGACAGACCTCACTGCCATGCTCAGCCAGTTCATTGCTGTCATTCCTTACATCTTTTGACATTTTCAATTATGTCTTTCACACATGGCTGGGCGCTTGTTTTTTTTTTTCAATACTCTCCTCATCACCCTCCTTTGCTTTTCTCTCGCTCTCCCTCCTTCCTATTCTGTCCCTCCACCTTTATTCCATTTCCTTTTTAAGTGGCCGCTCCCTCCTCACTTTGTGTGTCAGGCCTTTTCATATGTGGGGGTCAGGTATAGCCCAGGGATGGAATTACTCCCCCTCCTACCTCTGTGGCGGATGGAGTGAGTGAGGGAGGGATAGGGCAAACGAGAAGCGGGAAGGGATGCTGTCAGATATGTCAAGGAGTCCTGTTCAATTTATGTGCTGATCCGGAGGGGGACCTCACAGGGCGAGGTGCAGATCCAAGGTAGACTTGTGTTTTTTGGTTGGCTACATCCTTCTTACCTCCAAGCCCCCCGACTATAACGGCCAAGAGATTTATATTTGACTGGAACATCTGCTTTAAAGGTGTTCTCTATGTGCGCTTTACCACTGCATAGTCCTGAATTGGAAAATAAGTATCAGTATCACTAATGATCACTGCCTAAATGCAGCAAATACTGTCGATTAGTTTAATTTCAAACCTAGTTGCTGAGTAGATGTCTGGACAAACAACCACATTACACTTGAAATAGGTTGCATTCATAAAACAAGACCAGAAATAAATCTTGTTTTTCAGATACTGAAATGGGACTGGAATTGCTTGTTATAAGTAAAAATATAGGAAACATGAAATGAGATAGTTTGTTTAAAAATTAGACACTCATGCCAAGACTGGAACTGAACTGGTCTGATGCCATATTGAATTTTCCCTCCAAAAAATCAATTGGTTGTAGGTCAAAGACTCTTGATGCAGAATCTTCCAGTTGTTCTCCATCTTCTCAGAGCTTCTCAGGAGGATAGTCACCACCCTTAGACTGTATAATAACTGGGTATAGCATCAGGGATTTAACCATCTGTTTCTGTAGCCGAGTTTTGAAGCTAATCAGTGGTAGTCGCCATATTGAAAATGCTGACTCAACTTTCTACCTACCAGAGGCCTGTACATTTAATAACTTTGGAAAGAACATTTACACGCACTAGGGCTGGGTGATATGGCCTCAAATTAATATCATGATACATTGCAGTTCACCTTTACGATAAATGGACAATAATTACTCCACAAGCTGCTCACCCCCTCCCACATTAACTTCGTCTAAATCAGCCGCCACTCCAACTTTTGAACAGTCCTCCATCTCCTCACTTGTCTTTCTCTGTTTGTTACAGACTGGATGGGGTGGAGTCACGTCTCCAACGTAGGACAGTGTCTTAAAGGGACATGAGACCATAGCCTACCTACACACATCCAAAACAAACTTTTATTTATTTTTTGACACCAAATATACTGATATGGGCACAATGACATCAGTTATTGTCATAAATATTAGTATTGATAATTTTCGGTTTATCGCCCAGCCCAGGCAGGCGCACCAAAATCCTTTTTTGAACTAGACCAATTGATGTTTATTTGTTTTAAAACAACATTATTATTGTAATGTGGTTTTCAGTACTTCTGCAGACAACTTCAAGTGTGCTCTTAGGGAACTGCAATTCTTTATCACCTCAAGTTTATTAGGGGTGTGAATCACCAGTGGCTTCACGATACGATATTGTCACGATACTTGGGCCACGATATATTATTGCGATTTTTAACATTTTGCGATACATTTAGTATTGCGATACAATATATTACAATTCATACAATTTTTTCAGCTGTTTTTCTTATTTACACAGCATTTTATCTTCATGTAGCACTTCTCGCAAACCTCATGTGTCAGGTCCATCTCATTTGTGCCCTGCTTGCATTCCTAATATCTTTCCCCAGGCGCTGCTATATTGGTTGAACTAACTTTCTCCTGCTCTGTGATATCACCTCTGCCAACCTCACTGGACAAACAGTTTATTTTATTTTTCCATTTTCATAGATGTGAATTCATATTAACAATTAATTTGAAAAAACTGATACTTGGTCAATGAGACGATATGATTTATCACCAAGATACTGTGCTGTATCGATTTTTTCTCCCACCCCTAAAGTTTATGAATAACTATGAGAAAGATGCTCGGATGCAGGCAGGATTTGGAGGCAACTTATGGGGCAGATAAGTGACAAGATGATCACTCTGCCCCTCAACTGACTCTGCTGTTACAGGAATGCATTTGTCCACTGTATTTTGTGGGATGGATTCAATGCACAGGGGAGGAAAACACCAAAGAATTTGAATGTTTAACAGTCCACCTTGAACATTCTCTCATTTCGTCATTGTCTCATTAAAAACACTTTTTTTCAGGGCGTTTATCATCAGTGATTTATATTTTATCTCTCCATCATCCCGTCTCTGTCACGGGAAATAAAGGTCATTGATAAACCTGGTCAGCATGTCAGTACTCTCTCAAATACCTTAAAGACCTGAATGCTGACTGATGATATGACTCTGTGAGTGATCACCGAACTGACTAATTGATTGAGTCATAATGAGCCCATAATGTGCTTCACCACTTAGAGCATCAGAGGACATACAGCATCCATAATGTATGATCTATATGAAAGAAGACTGGGATCATTTTCCTACTAGGTCAGCTGATGGATTTACTGATTGATTGATTTGCTGACTGACTAATTGATTGGTTTCATAATGAAGGGAAAACACATTTTTCACCATTAAAGCCTAACCAGGGGGGATTCCCTGCAGCTGGCAGTCGTGATGTAACGCAAAAGGTTCTAATGACCTCAGCATAATCACCACCATTATGATACCAGCGCTCAGCTCTCCAAACCACTTTATCATCAGAGTGTTGCCTACTCATGCCTACAGTTAGCGCTCACTCACTCCTCTCGCTCAAAGTCAGCCAAACAGATAACTGCTGCCAGGTCTGCGGCCAAAATCTCAGCAGAAATGTTGCCGGCTGCCAACAAAGCTTTGTTTGGACGAAAAACAGAATATTTCCCTGTTTGTGTGTGTGTGTGTGTGTGTGTGTGTGTGTGTGTGTGTGTGTGTGTGTGTGTGTGTGAGGTAGCAGACTCATCGAGTTGCCAAAACCGGCCACTCCGGCTTGACTCACTTTCACCAGGGGGCAGTAAAGAAGGCAGGACGCCAGATTGCTATTTTTACAGGCTAATCATTGAAGTAGGTTGCCATGTCTTTTTTTTTGCTCCCTCTTATCCCCCCCCCCCCTCCTGCTGACTCTTAACCCCGACCCCACAGCAGGAGATCCCTCTCTTGGCAAAGGGGAGGTAAAAAAGCAAGCGAGGAGGAAAAAATGGGGGGGAAGTCAGTGGTGCGAGCTGAACAAGAGAAATGGGGGAGTCATGGTCAAGGGCTGATTAATGAGCCTCTAATTTAATCAGCAATTCCCATCTCACCAGGGCCTCTCCACGTGGCTCTGTAGCAGCTTATTATTTTTAACAAGTCTGTGATCTCCCCCTTTTCCTTTGCTCCTTTTCTCCCGCTTTCTGTCTTCCCCAGTTCTTCCTTTTATACTGAGCTCTTATCTGTGTCAGAGTCGGGGATGTGAATAGTGGGGCGATGATTAATGGAGATTTAAGACCTATGAAGGATGTCTAATCTCTCTCATTTTCTCTCACTCCCTCCCTCTGTCCCTGTCGACGTACCTTTCTCTGTGTCTTTCCCACTCTTTAAACAAAACTGACTGCTGTAGTTGAGTTTTAGTCTAGGCAGCTGCCATTATGTAGGAAGTTATAGTAATGAAACCTCAAAGATGGTCTTCAGCACCTGTATTAGACATAAAATGGGTAAGAAAAGACACGTGCTTGTGTGTATGGGTACCGTGTACATGTTTCTTTGCAAAGAGCATCATTTCAGCTTTTTATTACCTTGCTTTAATTAAATTAATGAGCCTTAAACTCACTGCATGTCGTACATGAGCCTGTCTTGTACTTACAGTGTAACCTAATGCAGAACTGATCACCTGCATTGCCTGTGTCATAAGCCGGCATTGAATGCAGTCATGTCTTGAAATTACTGACGTTAATTTCTGACCCTTAGAGATTGTAGAAGTCTTTTGTATAACTTGAAATTCACTTTCTAGGAATGCATGATATTGGATTTTAGCAGATGTCTGATATTTTCAACTTTTTTTGTTGTAAAAAAAAATTGGCCAATATATATCTGCAGAAATGTGCAATGTGACTGATTGTTAATGTGACAAGTTGTGAATGCAAACACTGAATGCTGGAATAAAACTTGGATGTTTTAAATGCTGTAGCTAGCTGTTAATATTGGTAGAGTAGACTTAATTGCAGTAGTAGTGATTATTACAATTAGGGCTGGGCGATAAACCGAAAATTTACCAATACAGAAATTTACAACAATAACCAACGTCATTTTGCCCATGCCACTTTATTCGGTGTCAAAATAAACAAATAAATAAAAGTTGGTTTTGGATGTGTGTAGGTAGGCTATGGTCTCATGTCCCTTTAAGACACTGTTCTATGTCAGAGACATGACTCCACCCCATCCAGTCTGTAACAAAGAGGGAAAAACAGGTGAGGAGATGGAGGACGGTTCAAAAGTTATAGCGGCTGAAGTAGACGAAGTTAATGTGGAATATCAGACTTGTGTTTTCAAACTCCTAAGTCTCTCCAAGACAAATTTAAAACAAGAAGAAACATCATTAAAATCCACCATTAATGATAAACGTTTTCCTTTTTAAACATTTTTTGAAGCGCAGGCTGACACTAACACAGTTTTTGTTCTCACTTTTTAGGATAATGGTTCTTCAAATACAAAAATTGAATCGGTTGTGTTAAAGAAATTTAGTTTTGCTCTTTCTCACATCAGCGACGCTTTACAACCATTACAAAAGCTATTTTTCTGTCCGTTTCCTACATCTCAGTATACTTCCATACAACCAACATGCCACACATAAGCTGTCTTCATGTAAACATTGTAGTATTGGCAAACACGTTTATATCTGTCAATACTGAAAGTTAACTTTTTAAGCTTTTATCCGCCAATTATCTTGACAATAGAAATGTGCAGCCCTAAATAAAATCAATATTAGTTAATTTTTCAGTGATTGCCACAACAACAACAACAACAAAGTTATTAAATGAAAATTACATGACTCTGTGTTGTAAGTTGTCATCAGAGATACAATGATTCAGAGACATGACTGAAGGTGAAATGAAATGGTGTTTTTCCACTTTCTGTTCTTTTAGGTTATATAAATTCACTAAATTCAGGTAAATAAAATAAAGGTACAGATCATAATCTCTGGCAGGGCTGTTGTCCTTTAACTTACTTTGACTCTTGAATTGTTAGTTTTGTTTAACAGATCCAAGAAGCCAAGCTAGTACATATTTTTTCTGTGGTTTTACCTTATAGTCCACGTCTTCAGGAGAAAAGCAAAACCTCACCCTACCTCTCCCTCCTTTAAACAAATAGTCGCTCCATACCTCATATTCCCTTCCCTCACATTTGTCTGCGTAAAACAGCACACACAGCACCTTTTTTTCACATGCAGAAGCGATTCATATATTGCCAGATAATTAGAAATGATGGCAGGTTAAAAAAAGGGAGGAAATAAGAAGTGATGGAATAAGAAAGGCTTTGTAGTGAGTCAGAATGGAGATGAGAGCAGCTCTTTAATTCTTCCTCTGATTACTAAGTGCCTGCGTCCATTATCTTTACACAGTGAATAGCAGAACACCATAAAGGTAAAATGTGACTCATCCATCCCCAACGGTTATCACTCTCAATGGCTTATGGGAGCTGTTCTCCCCCCCCACCCTCCTCCATCCGCGCTCAGATTGACACAGTGCCTACTTAACGGCTCTTCAGAAAGTGATTTCAAATTGTGTGTACACTACAGTAGATGTTTGTACACAGTTTTATGCTTTCAAGAGGGACTTTTGTGTATGTATGAGTGTTAGCGCATGTATGAAAATCTGTCTTTTTGTAAGAGTGCATATTTGTCATGTCATTTCATATGTTTCTTCTGTCAGTGGGAGACGAGGGGTGGGGTGCGAAGGTCCCCTCTCCTCTCCTTTGCCATGCTGCTCTGAGAGGTATTGCCTCCCTTATTGCTGTTGAAAAGCCCCATCAGTGCCAGGCGCTCTGATTTATGTCTCTGAACCTCTCCACCTCCAGCTCCTTTCCATTAGGCTTTACAATATTCCCCCCATTGTTCAGCTCCTGGCGTTATCGGCCCAGCCCAGGCCTGTCAGCAAGACCTGCCCCGCACACAATCACGCCAGGAGCGGCGAGAAGAAAAAGGAGGGGAGGGGTGGTAGGAGTGAGAGATCGGAGAGGTGGGGTACTACAGATAGGAAGAGGAGGGGAGGAGGAGCGAGCATGCCGGGATGAAGAGGGAGATAGAGAAAGTGGCAGGCAGAGATGGTTGGGGGAGGATGGAAAAAAAAGAGATGATGGGATGATAGGAGGAAAAACGAAGATGAGGTGGAGGGCAGCGTGTTGAAGGAAGTGTCGAAATGGAAGATGTCCATCTCAAGCTTGGTTTTATTGTTCCTGAAAGCAGGACTTGAGGGACGGAGACATAAGTCAGGCAAAAAAAAACGCGAGAGGCGGCGATGCTATTTGGTTGCATTACTTGGTTACAGTATGTGCATTAAGATAAAGATTTCATTGCCTTGGAATAGTGTTGATAAGGTGATGGCAGTGTTACTATAGCATGTGGAGCTTTAGATGCAGACCTCACTCTGTCAATTTAAGCCAGCTTTATTGCCTCGAAGAAAGGCCGGATGAGGCAGGAGCACGCCGTTGCATTTGGTTAAATGTAGGTGCCTTTCAGACGTGGCTTCACAATATAGTGCGAGCAGATGCATCACAGTCGTTAAGTGCGGTACAATGAATGCTTGAAAGGCAGCCTGGAGAAAGGTCGAGAGGGCTGCATGAGCAGAATGTGAATGAGGAAAGACTATTTAAAGAGATTCGGGATCGATGCTTGTCTTGATGATGTGCGAGCAACGACAGATCAGCCAGAGGTTGTTTGTGAGGGTAAAGTGTTGAGAGATTAAGCAAGCAAACGAGAAATGCGCAGGTTATTCTAGCTCGCAAACACCATAGTGTAACTTTCCTATGGCGGTACTGGAAGTGGTATTTCTTCTTTCTGCTCTTAATAATGCAAAAGGTATTCAGAGCAATGTCGCTATAAATCTAAAACGCATTTTCCCCCCACCTTCTGTAAATGAATGCCACCTTGACTTACACCCCCTCTTTATAATTGACAATTCAGAAGACAATTGCTCACAAATGGCAAAATTTTCCTATTTGTCTCAGTCCTGCATATGCCTACCCAGACAATGACATGGTAAATTTAAAATGAATTGCAAATTGCCCTCATTTGAAATGCAGGGGCCTCTCCTCCTTTTGAAGAGGCGGCGGGTTCCTGTAAGAGATCTTTTTTTTTGACATACACCTTTGAGAAGAGGAAGATGAGAAGCGGTGGATTAAAAGGAGAAGAAGAAGGAGAGGAGAGAAGAGGGGAGGGGAGGTTGGCAGATAAGCTTGCTTGCTTTCAACTCAGCAGAGGATAAGGGAGAAGAAGTTTTAATATCTCTAAATCAGCAGCTCGATATTGAAAGTGTCATCTAATTGAAAATGATTTAGGACACCGGGCCCGCCTGGCAATCATATATAAATTCACTCCTGACACCAGCTCCAAAGTCTCTCTATTTCTACTTTATGAGTCATTTGCATGGTGGGGGCCTTGGAGAGTATAAACCATGCAAATGATATGGAGCGCTGCACAAGGTGATGTATCCCCTCCCCTCTCCCTCCCTCTCCTCCTCCATCTCTCCATCTCTCACTCGTTCTCCCTCTTAGCCTCAGGAGAAATGCTTTCTGCTTTGCTGCTGCCTTTGTCCAGAAAGTCATTTATTTCTCTTGTTGTTCGCTCGCTTGCTATTTTACAGCCCGCCACATAGGTTAGGGGGAAAGAGCCGGCTGCCAGCCCATTCAGCAGAATAACTGTCATCTCCCATTTGTGAGCCCATGTTGTACGTGGAAGTCATTTCCCTATTTGGTGAAAAGACAGATAGAGATGCCCACAATAGAAATGCGGATGTGTATCCCTTTAGTACATTACAATAAATATACCTGTGCTATAATGTGACACTGAAAGCCTTGCAGTGCATCCTTGCGCCTCATACTTTAATATGTGGTAAATGCTGTACTGTCTAGGACTTCAGGCTGGGTTTTTCTTTCTTTTTTTCTTTTTTTAAAATCTTTCCATGAGCTTTCATCTCCTCCGCAAAGCTGTCATTAACATGTGTGCAAGACTGCTTTCAAGTCACGAAACACACACTTGCCAGGTGGGTTCAACACAGAGTGCATCACGCAATCAGGAGTCGTGGAAACCTGGGAAGGAAAATCGCACATGAATGAGATTGAAACATATTAACGGAAAATAAACAAGTAGGGCTGGGTGATATGGGAAAAAGTTTATCACTAGTGATGCACGATATGAAAAATTTCAACCGATACCGATAACCGATAATTTTCTTCTTCTCATGGCCGATACCGATACCGATAACCGATAAATTCATATTTTTACGTTTATTATAATCTTCATATAATCTGCAGTTTGTGCAGGATGCAGCGATTGAAAACTGCGGTTTTTGTTGCTCTGGCCTATCTAGAACAACAAACAAAAGTTTTTGGCTCTTCAAATGTGGTCATTTGCTATAAATAACAATAACAGAGCAAAAAGCAGAACTTCATTTGATCCCCTGAACTGTTCAACAGAACTGTAAACTGTAAAGGAGCTATTATGAGACGTTAGGCTTAGCATGCTGACCGGACTAACATCTGACGTCCATATGTCTGTGGTAAAACTCACGTGTAGTCCGTTCTTGTCGATCAGGTTGTGAATGTATGTGGCGACAATATCATAGAGTGCAGGAAGAGACACATCCGAGAAGAAGCGGCGGCTTGGGAGAGTGTAACGTGGCTCCAAGTGTGCTAATAACTTACGAAAACCCGGGTTCTCAATGACGGAAAAAGGCTGGTCGTCGACCGCTATGAATTCCATCACTTTGTCGTTAATGCCTTTAGCCTTTTCGCTGTCTCTTGAGAAGCTTTTGCAGTTTTTAAACGCCTGCTGAATGGGGACATCGATCCTCCGTAGTGTTGTTGTCTTAGCTTTAGTACCGCTAGCAGCTTCGGCGGCTGTCTCATATTCTTTTACTACCGCTTCGCCGCGATGGCGACTTTTCAGATGAGCTATCAGATTCGTTGTGTTAAAACTTGACGTCTTCTTTCCTCCTCTCGGAATCCTCGCTGAACAGGTTTTGCATATAGCAATGCTGTTGTCATCTTCTGCCACTGAGAGAAAAGACCATGCTGGTAAAGACATTTTATTATCTATCAGGTAGTGACGGGGTCAGGCTTGGGACCTGCGAGTAAGGCGCGATAGATGACTTAACCAGCGCGTCTCGGACGGGCGGCTACTCCGCCTGCAAACGTTACTCGTAATTTCATTAATATATCGGATCTTTCTATCGGAAAAATGCACCTATCGGACCGATAAAAAATGACGTAATTTCTCCCCAAATCGGCCGATATTTTATGGGTCCGATAAATATTGTGCATCCCTATTTATCACGATATATTTTTTTCATATCACGACATAAAAATGAAATTTAACAGAGCCTATCGGTAGCATGTCTTTTGCGATACAATAAGCTACTGCATCTGTGAGGTCTTTGTGTCTCTTCAACATTTTGTCGTAAAGTGTTGCTGCTGTTTCGGCTGCACAGGCGCCATGGGCTCTTTGCTCCGCTTGGGGTTTGTAACCTTTTGCGTTGCGTGTGCTCTGCCATGTGGCACTGCTTCAGTTGGCGAAAAAGATTTGAGGTATTCCCCGACTTTGTGAGAACATGCACTCGACATAATTTGCAGTGCACATTACTCTGCTTAATGCCCGACCTTAAAAAAACAAAATACCTCCACACCACTGAAGTTTTCGTGCCAGTGTTGTCGACGATGTCATCATCTGTTGAGCCTTCATCTGCATTTCTGCGGGAGTAGCACTCCTTTTCTTTGGCTATCTTTATAGTCTACCGAAACATGGGAAAATGCCTACTATCGAAAAGCATATTGACCATGTTTCATATTGATATTGAGGGAAATTAATTTTCCATATATATTGTTATTGTTTTATCACCCAGCCCTATAAATAGGAAACCCAGAAGCCTAAAATTAAGAGGTTTGATCTTTGTAGTGGCGTCACTTCCAAAGCAGTTCTTCACCTGATGGCCTGTCCTGCCCGTTAGATGGATATAAAAAGCAGGGAGTGAGAGTTCAGAAGGGCTGACTATATATGGTTACCCTTTATGGCTTCCATAAAACTTTTATGAGTTGGAAATCCTCTATTTTTCTCTCTGGAGGGAAACATCGCAGTTTAAGAGTGAAAGTAAGAAGAGTATATGGAGACGGATGAAAAGCAACAACATGAGGGTCTCCTGTTCTCCTATCAATGGGCAGGAACTCGTTAAAACAAAACCTCTCTTTTGTCTTTTCATCCCTCTTGTTCCACCAGTGCAGCTGTTATTAAGACGTGAATAAACTGGCTGAAGGGAATACTGTGTGCACATTATCATCTAACACTGTGTGGCCTTTCGTTGTAGAAACGGGGCTAAGTTATCCCACAGGGTGTAATTTGTGTGTAAACATGTGTGCCCTCATTTTTCTCCCTCCGGATCTGTGGTTTTGGTGCTAAAAAAGATCAGGGCTGCGCTATAATCCGCTGTTTATGTTTGTTTTTTATGTGCACATGTGGCTCATGATTTTTGAGTGAATTTCGCATGAATTTTTGTGCAGGTCCAGTTTTTTATTTTATACTTAAGCTCTTAATTTTCAGAACATATGCATGCATCCTGAGTTTCTTATGAGGGGTTACATGCAAGCATGTCTGTTTTTACTATATTTTATTTATGTCTGTACGCGTCAGTAAATATATGCAAATTCCAGCTGTATATGTGTGTGTGTGTGCATGGAGAGCTGGTGAGTGAATGACTGCAGCAGTCTCAAGTGTTGCCCAGGGAGCTTCTACGTGCGGTGGCAGTCTTGTTTGTCTTCCACTGCTACTCAAACAATGGCTCCCCATGGGCCCGCTCTCCGCCTAATTGAGAGACTACAGAAGGAGAAGGAGAGAGTGAGAGAGAGAGAAAGAGAGAGAGAAGTGATAGGGCCGCAGTTACACCAGCTCAATTACACACACATACACACAACCAATGAACACACTCACCACTTCCACACTTGCACGCTCACAAGTAAACACCAGCACCCACATGAAGAAGTATAAAGCATCATAAAGTGGTAATAGTGCCACTGCTGAGCTTCTGTTCATGGCATCTTATGTGTATCAACAAAAGCTCACACACACACACACACACACACACACACACACACACACACACACACACACACACCAAAAGTAATCACTTCTGATGGAGAGACAGCAGTGAGAAATCTCTCAGCGCGAAGTGATAAACCAAATAGTCTGTGCAGTGTATCTGTTGTGTCTGTGAGGCCTTGAAATGTCCCCGACTCTTGACGCTCATATTACACAGCACAGTACCTGTTACAAGGATGTGTGATGTAACCCTAAATGTTGCTCATATTGTTATTAGTAGGTATGGATTAAGTGATATGTGGATATGTAGTCACGTCATATTTTCAATGAGCATGTTAATGGGCTTCTTCAGTGAATTCAGGTAAGAGGAAAAAAACAGCATAACCTAGGGCTGGGCAATATGGCCTCAAATCAGTATCAAGATATATTGAGCAGTTCACCTCAATAACATTAAATGGACAATAACTACTCCACAAGATGCTCACCCCCTCCCACATTAACTTCATCTACTTCAGCTGCCGCTCCAGCCACTACAACTTTTGAACCGTCCTCCATCTCCTCACCTGTCTTTCCCTCTTTGTCACGGACTGGATGGGGTGGAGTCATGTCTCTGATGTAGGACAGTGTCTTAAAGGGACATGAAACCATATTCTACCTACACACATCCAAAACCAACTTTTTTGACACTGAATATATCAACATAGGCAAAATGACGTTGGTTATTGTCGTAAATTTCAGTATCAGTAAATTTTCAGTTTATCGCCCAGCCCTTCCATAACCCCATTTTAGATGGCTTTTACAAACTTAATTTTAGATGTACTCCAGTGTTAATTCAAAAAGCCTCCGACAGTGGCTGAGTTTTAAGAGGTTATTTTTCATGTTGCAGAATAATTGCATGACTCATATCAACTCCCTATTTTCTGTCATTTAAAAAATTTTTAAATGCTGCCGCTACTGAAATTGTGTTACAACACTGGCCCGACATTGGTAGGGTACAAGACCTGACCACTGCGTGCACCCTTGACCTTTAATGCAGTGATGTTTTTCAACAAAGGGATATGCAATTTGCCAATATTATATGCGGTTGCTGATACTGATATAAATATGTACACTGTTTTTTAATGTAGAAAAGGCGGAGTTGACCTGCTCCTCTTATTCTTTCAGTCTGTTTTAGAACCAAATAAACAAGACAGCATTAGATTCAACTGTAGATGATAGATGTGTTTTAATATCGTGCATCCTTCAGGTTGACAAACTGACGCAATGGAGGCGGGGATAAACCAGCTACAATCTTGTACATGATATGTATGATTGACAGCAGTCGGAAATTCTCTAAACTCAAAAGGTGATGCTTCTCCATCATCGTACAGTGATGCTATTGCATGGTTTTCTTTATGAGGTATTTTTCATGGCTTGTTTATACAAAGGCTCTATGACGGTTTTGTTGACACCCAAGCATGGGAAACACAAGCAGCAACCTCCAGATTTGAGAAATGAAGCCAACGCGGAAGTGCTGTGAGCTGCAGTTCACTGCTTGAGGCTGTCTGCAAAAGCAACAACAGAGCAATAAAAAGACATGTCTGCAGCCTGGTTCAAAAATGGTTTTGGTCAGAATAGCTCACAGCACCCACGATACAGGGAGACATTTCTTTGTAAGATGTTTGTCCTCAAGGTTAGAAGATTGGCAAATCAGAGGCAGGGCTCACTTGACTGATCGGCAGGCATACAAGGAGGTTAAAGGCCCACCAAAAGTTGACCAAATGCTATTATAAATATGGGGACCATTGCTGATAGCCTTAAGTACTCTGTTTTAGAAGTATATGGATGACATCACTGATATTACATCCAGTTCTTACACCTTATACAGGTTATAGTAAAAACAGAAACTGTATGGTATATCTGGAAGGATCATAGCATCCAAAAAGTCTTACAGGCATCTTAACCAGGACAGTTTACAATTCATTTAAAGTTTGCCAATTTGTTGTTTTGTCATTGTTTTATTACACTGTAAGCTATTTCTACCAACTCTCTTCTGCTAAAAGCCACCATAATAATAACAAACTGCACCTTCAATCAAAAATAACAGGACAACATATGAAATGTTGATGCTGAGAAAATTTGAAAAATGATGTGCTGTTTGTGAACCTGGTGGCAGCAACACATCTCTTCTTTTAACAAAACTCTGGAAACTGGTTGCTTTGATTTTAAAACAGGAAAAGCATTTCAGCTGCTAAACAACAGATGTGTTAAGTATTTTCTGTTCTATAATGTGCTTAACGATATGATGCTAAAATAATTTATTCTAACTAGTTTATACTAAAACTAGGCTAAACAAGACTAGGCTATCGTTTCATGAAAGGTAGACCTACAGAGCTGTAAAGTTGAGCATGTTTTCACCATTCAACATAAAAAAAGTTGGCCTCTTGTTAGCTTGTTAACTTGTATTTTGGTTTGTGACGTAACTGTTTAATGAAAACTAGCAAAAAGTTTGATTATTAACCAAGGGCTGTATATACTATGGACAACTTGCTTCTGCCTTTCGTCATGATACGAATTTGAAGCCGAATAGCTCTCAGCATTTCCAGGATTTTCTTCACTTCCTGAAACCACCACTTGCACAGTAGTGTTGTACGCATTTTGCCGGAGAGACGCTGTGATGAGCTTGGCTCAAACAGCGTAACCCCTGGGTGAGCTACGCAACCTTTTTACGCCCATAGGCTGCATCAAGTGTCAATCATAGAAAACATGAACCCCTAATAACCTTTAAAAACTAAACTGCACTGAAAAAAGAGGACTTGAGCACAAACCAGTCTTTCAGTAACTACATGTCAACATTGCAAGCAGGGGGGAGAAAAATTTATGTTCTGTGTGATAGATTTATAAAGTTTGTCCACAGCTCCATAGGGATTGCTGGAGGAGGCGGGATTTATGACCTGTACTGCAGCCCGTCAACAGGAGGCAGATGGCGTACATTCTATATACAGCCTTTGTTATCAACTCAAGCTGCTGTAACTGTAGCTAAACTTCTCAGTCGTACAAACATAAGACTGCAGACAGGTAGTTGTAGCGCCAACACTCTTACATTGAAGTAAAAATGAAGAACCTAAAGTCCAACAATTTCTTTGTCGAATGAAGCTACAACACAGCTGCATGTTTCTGTTGATTTACACCGTATGTGTTTACGTTTTTTTCACACTCAAACACGCTTGGGGGCAACAATTCTCCTGTCACAACATCTCTCCTGCTTCTCTCTCAGTGGTCCTAGACCATTAAGACAGTGTGTGAGAGAGAGAGGGTAGTATGCATCAAGCTCTCCATGCCCATTACAGTGGTAGTGGAGGACAACTATCAGGAGAATATACTACAGAAACAAGTGGATTAGGACTTTCTAATGAGAACAGGCAATACCTTGTGATGGATGACAGCCTTCATACTGCACTGCCATGCTCATGGGTGTGTGTGTGTGCTGAGAAGGCCTTAGTGTACATGTGTATGCTGGTGTGTGATTAACTTTTTGTGTGTGTTTTCTGGTTTTTATGTGCATGTCTGCTCGCCATTATCGTGTGTTGTCTTTATGTATCTGCTCTCATAGGGAAACTGTGAAAGTAATGTCCTTGAATTTCACATCCCCGCACTAAGGTTTCTTTCTTCCACTTATTTATTTATTTATTTGCATCAAAGAAAAACCTCATTTTTTTTCCCAAGAGGCACAAAAGACCAGCTCACGGATGTCAATAAAAATACTTGCAACACACTCACGCTCCAAGCCTATTGAAGAAAAGACCCACAGGATATTGTTAGACAGGGCGCCTGCTTTCGTCCAGTATCGTTGACACATTCACTTGGTAGCACAATGGAAGCAAAAGCGAGGAGGCATGGAAGTGTCGGCTGCTTATACAGTCAATGGGGCCCTTTTACAAGCTATTTAAGAGGATAAAAAGCATGTCCTTTTCAGCGCGACACCGGTGACAGTGTGTTTCAAAGGCGCTCCAGGGCCATTTAGGAGCAGTGGCAGCGCCGCACACTTTGATTAAAGCGCTATAGTGCAGAAAGGAGAGAGGCAACACTCGGCTAAGTGAATATGGAAATGACCTCCGCCATCCTCTTTTGCTCCCACGCCAACCTCTCCAAATGCACAGAGTGGTGCGACAAAGACGAGTACGTCCTGTTTCTGTTTAACGTGTATGTGCTTTTCTAGTTAAGATATAGCACACAATGGAGGCATGTGTGAGCCGCAGAGGAGGAGGAAGAATGTGATGACCATGAGCCGTCGGCCATGAAAAGTGGCTGCAGCCTGCTCAAGTCATCTTTGTTTGATGAGCTGATATTCCTCCATTGACAGTAGCACCTTTCAAACTGAGTCTACGACTAGAAACTCTTCTCTACTCTTCTTATTCCTCCTCTTTTTTTTCCCACTTGGTGACACTGGCGACGTTACACCCTAGAGACTAACATAACTAATAGTGAACATACAGGCACCCATAAATTATCTTTCTCACTCTATTTTCTCTCTATAAATATTTAGTTTAGGGTAATATATTCCCACATAGACAGCAAGGACCAGATATACGCATTCAACCCCAACCTGTGCACCTATAAAATAATGATAAATTACCATGAAAGAAATAGTCTCTTTATCTATCTTTGAGAAAATGCTAAATCAGACCCGTACACACCTCCATACTCATCCTCATACATAACTCAGATCACATACTCTTGCATGTGTCCTGTACTCTAGGTTAACTCATTTGCATATGTGCTCTGTTACGTGCCATTGGCCCTCAAATGGATGTGTCCCGCCATAGAAGATTCCAGCAATTAACCCAACACAACATAGTTGTCAGCTGGTAATTGACCTAATTGTTTGGCTTGTCAGCTCCCGTTCTACGTATTAAGCATTAAATATGCTTGGTGTCATTAATCAAAGGATTATCATGTTTCCAGGGGAGGGCGGATGCACTGTGTCTTGTCCTTGTTTAGCAGTGCGAGGTGTTACGGAGAGTCCGTGAGGTGTTCTCTAACCCCACTTTTCTCCTCCGTACTTGAATCTCTATAACATTTTTACAAGCTTAAAGCCTTTAATAGCTTGTGAAAGTCCTTATTTTATAGCCCAACAACACTCCATCAAATTATCCTCTGGTTTTATAGCGCACTGTCTTTGCCAAGAAAAGTGGAGTTCTTTGGATATTGTGTAAAATTGAATTTTGTTTAGCCCGGGTATATCGCAAATCAAAATCTGTTATTCCCAACACCATCATCCCATTACTGTAAAGCTCACCACTCCTGCCTTAATGTACTATCTGTGAGTGCCAACATCATCTCAGCAGCCTGGGTACTTTTCTATAGGCCCTTACGGAGGAGTGTATGTGTGTTTGTGTGTGTGTGTGTGTGTGTGTTTGTGTATGTGCGAGCGGGCAGATGGCTCAGGTCCAATTCACAGCTGATTCACAGCTGAGGCTTATGTATTTAGAAGCAGATTGCCTCCAGGTTGCTATAAAAGGTGTTGAGCTGCCACTTTTATTGGATTTTTAAAGTGAGGAGATTACATCCAGTATATGTCTAATGGTTCCCCACACACTGCTCGTTCAGTTTCAGCTCTCCCCTCTGCACGGCTTTTTGTATTGTCTTGAGCAAACGAGGAAGGGTGTGCTCCCTTATACCCTGTGCACACACCCAGTGCATTAATAACAATAACAATAAAAAGGTAATCAAATCTGTAAAAACAATATGTACTTAATGTTGGCCCAGGATCCATTGCTAAAAGCCCACCTCATCAAACTGCAAATTAGTCTCGGCCGTAACTTTATTACGGCCTGGCCTGCAGACTGGCAGCCATAAATAATTCAACTGCACCGTCTCTGGAAGTGCTGAGATTTAATTCTACTGAATGGAAAGTGTGTGCATGTGTGTGTGTATGCACTTGCTTAGATCCATGCATGCCTTCAAGGTTTTGTTTGAGCTCCAGTGTGTATGTATTTGTGAAATTAGACCTCCCCCCATCCATGGAAAAACACACACAGACACAAACACCCTCCTCTTTTCCTCTGTTCTCCCATTGGTAGGCGGCTGCCTTTAGCCTCCTGTAGCAAAGCCTTCCTCACCAGGTAGCGCCATGGCAACGGGCCCAGCCTCATCTATTAGCCAGCCAGTGGCCCAGCCTTCCTAGTTACAACTACCTTGAGAGACCACAGAGACACAGAGGGTGTAGTCAGGAGTTGGGTAAAATAGAAGAAGAAGAAATAGGAGAGATGAAGTTAGATAATACCAGAGGGCAAATGGTTCAAAACTGGAGTGATGGATAGTTAAACTCTTTAAACAATTTAAACCAGACTTCAGAGTAGATTAAAAATGCAGAATAAAAAAGAAATGTTATCTTAATTATACATGACAGTGCAGCAGTTATCAATGCTATGGTCTACACAGTGGGAACAATAGTGATCAAAGCAGGTTCAGATCATAATTTAGGTTCAGTTACTTTGTAGTTATTAGATGGATATTAAGAAAAAAAAACAGGCATTTCAAATGGCCTGTTAGCTGTAAGTAAGAACAAGTGCCTTTATAATAACCAGTAGAGAGAGAGTGTTATATGCAAGTCTTGTTGCTCTTAAGACCTGTTGAAGTTAATAAGGATTCGAGGAAACGTTCAGCACAGACAGATCTTTATAGTAACTGTAACTAAATGCTGAATACAGTGCACCCATTCTTGAGAGTCGGGACAAAACATGTCCAACATAGAAAAGTCTAATTTATTCAAAACAATTAAGAAATTCTAAATGTTTGACATACTCAAAAAGTTAAATCTAATGGATTTGTGTATACCATTCCTATTTTTTAGCACAGATATTTACTTTTTTGGGGGATATTTGTTTAAATGAAACGTCTGTGGTTAGAAGGTCCATGTTATTGCTTGTGTCCTCAGCAAGAGGTCACAATATTGACCAGCCCCAAAAAACTTTAAAAAACTCTATAATTGTGAAAACATATACATCAAATAAAAATTCAGGGCTATAAATATATAAACAATGAATGGCCTGAACATCAAATAGCTTTTTGCCTAAAAATCTGCCTATCAAAGTTGTGTCCTCAGTTTCTGTCAACTCCATCAGATTATTCTATAAACCTCATTAAATCATGCAATATCATGGTCAGCTATATCCCTGAGGACCCCTTTTCATTTCCTGCTTCTGGTGAATGCAACACCACCACACATGGTCTGGTAGGTTTTACAGTTTTTGATATTTTAGACAAACAATGTCAATATTTGTATGGTCACAGCTGGACCATGTCAACACCGTCTCTCCATTATTATACTTTTTTTTAAACCATAGTGAGTTCAATTAAAGTATTTTAGTGAGATTATCAGGACAGCTAGCAACTGCCAAAAAAGTAGCTAGCTGCACTGTACAATAAATGTTTTGGAGGGAAAATACATGCCCTTACGTCAACTCCGTCAGACGTCAACTCCGTCAGATTTTGTGTCTGACGGAGTTGACATGTAAGCTGATGGAGTTGACAAATCCACCTATAACCTCTTAATGTGCTGACATTATGCTATTTTTGAACATGGTTAAGGATAACAATGTTATTCCAGGGTCTTATCTGCACATAAAAGTACATATATAGCATATATTACGTTATTTTACCATATACTTCTGTTTTGTAGAGTAGACCATGGGCAGGCTGTCTGCTTAATTATAACTGTCAAACTTTCCCAACACACACACACACACACACACCTAATCTCATTGATTGATTGATTAATGTACAATCCTAAAGGTGCAGTATGTAATTTTCACTACCTAAAATCTACACACTGGCTTCTTATAGAGTGCGCAAGAAGTTCTACACTCACCGGTCACTTTATTAGGTACACCTGTCCAACTGCTCGTTAACACTTAATTTCTAATCAGCCAATCACATGGCGGCAACTTAGTGCATTTAGGCATGTAGACATGGTCAAGACAATCTCCTGCAGTTCAAACCGAGCATCAGTATGGGGAAGAAAGGTGATTTGAGTGACTTTGAACGTGGCATGGTTGTTGGTGCCAGAAGGGCTGGTCTGAGTATCTCAGAAACTGCTGATCTACTGGGATTTTCACGCACAACCATCTCTAGGGTTTACAGAGAATGGTCTGAAAAAGAAAAAATATCCAGTGAGCGGCAGTTCTGTGGGCGGAAATGCCTTGTTGATGCCAGAGGTCAGAGGAGAATGGCCAGACTGGTTTGAGCTGATAGAAAGGCAACAGTGACTCAAATAACCACCCGTTACAACCAAGGTAGGCAGAAGAGCATCTCTGAACGCACAGTACGTAAAACTTTGAGGCAGATGGGCTACAGCAGCAGAAGACCACGCCGGGTGCCACTCCTTTCAGCTAAGAACAGGAAACTGAGGCTACAATTTGCACAAGCTCATCGAAATTGGACAATAGAAGATTGGAAAAACGTTGCCTGGTCTGATGAGTCTCGATTTCTGCTGCGACATTCGGATGGTAGGGTCAGAATTTGGCGTCAACAACATGAAATCAATAACAACTAATAATCTGAGTCAGCACATACATTTAGATCTATATCGATATATTCTGATCTATATCTGATCTGATGAGCGCATTTGGCATGCGTTTGGACACTCAACCTGACCAAATTAACACAGCTGCTGAATCCGCATGAAATTGAATCAAATATCTAGTAAATAAACACACATGATATAGTTAACAAGATATTTAATTTGTCTGCCCCCATTTCTAGCTTCCTCTTCCTCTTATTTCTCGCGCAGCTTAACCTGGACATGTCTCTGTGTCCTCTACCCGTCCTGCTGCAGCTGCTGCTGCGGCAGCTGAACAGATGATTTGTTCCAGTGATCAGATGAGTTTTTTACTTTAAGCCTACATACAAATATTATAATAATCAGTTTTGTGAGCCAAATTTATTTTATATGCCAACATCTATGAAAGAAAGAGCCAGGCCACGGAGCGCGATCTACACACAGATTGGTTCCGATTTTAATGCCATTATTGGAATTTATGTTGTGACCTTTGCGCACAACCCACCTTTGTCACGTGAGGTTTAAATATATGCAATTTAATGTGATTGTCTTTATTTGTGGAAAAGGGTGTTTGTCTTACCAGTGGGTCCAACATTACACACACCAAATCCATCTGTGCTTATATGAGACGCCCAATGCAGCGCTTACAGTGACACTTGTTGAGGAGCTGCCTTCTGTCGCCATCGTGTGGCATTGCTGTCTTCAGACATCTCTTGATCTCTTTGACTACTTCACGAAAATGGTAATACGCCTCGCTAGTGGCGGATTCAAAGGCGAGAAGAGCTGATGTTATTGGTCAATACAGGTCTCGGCTGTGTTAAACCCACTCAACGCCCTCTCTCCTCCCTCCCTATGACCTACGCCGCTGGAAGGAGCTGAGTTAGGGGAGGGGGGATACTTATGCCGGGCTGCACAACTCACCAAAATACGAAAATGTGCTTGGAAACGCCTTGTCGGCGCGGTGGTTAATTGCATTAACGGTATGTTCAGTATGAAAACAAGGAGTTATTAGTTCTTAATCTATTTTCACCTATTGACCTATTGTCAATCGGTTTAAAAACACATTTGTTCAATAACATATGCAATGTCATCAACTCCGTCAGTTTCTCGTCAACTCCGTCAGGTGTTCGTCAACACCGTCAGATGTATGTTTTTCTTCAATTTTGGAGAAAAAAAAAATTGTTTCTTCAGTTTATATTGTTTAAGTAATAAAGGAGCATTGGCGCTACATCCTCTTGTGTCTTATTTACTTACAGAAATTGTTTTTACAATATAAAAATTAAAAACAAAGTTTGAAAATGCAACTATTTAGAAATCTTGGTTTTCAAAATAGTGTGAAATCACACATTAGGTTTATATATTATATTTCATGGCATATCAGAGTAACTAAACACTATTACAACATACATCAGAACTTTAGATTCTTGTTGGACTAGAATTATTAAAATTATATTCTTTTTTGAGTGTCTGATGGAGTTGACACAAATCCACTGTCTAAGGGAAACATGTTAATTTATAGAAAAAATGTTTTTATTTAGAGCCTGTTCCTTTACGGGGTTAAATAGCTAAGACCTTTCTCTACAGTAATAAATAACTCTAATCAATATAGTGTGCATTCTCAAAAAAAGTTTTTTAGGAAGTGTTTTGTCCCGACTCTCAAGAATCCCTGAGTGAACGTAATGGCAACAATATAAAAGATGAATCAAAAAGAAACAGAGAGGAGAAAAATGTGTCTGTTAGAGCTTTGCAGCTGAGTGCAAAACTTGTCATGCACAAGTTTGTGCTAATGTTGGATCAATATATATCGGCCAATACTGAAGGCTACAATATTTATATCATATCGAAAGTAAAAAAGTTGCATCGGGACACCCCTAGTGTAGCTGTTTTAAAAAATGAGACACTTCTCATTGACTATAGCTTGCTCTGAAGGGGCTTGGGTTGAGAACTGGGAGCTGATCCTGTCAAGTCCTGGTACAGACCAAAGCATGGATATTGGACTGGTGATAAATAAGCGACTAGAAGTCACTTTTCACTCTAGCAGTATGAGTACTTCTCGCTTGAAAAAGGTGTTATCATTATTTTTATTTTTGGTCTTCTACTTAAGTGTGTACTCTTGTCTGGGACAACATTGAGGTGGCATGTATCAAACAACACCTCGACTCGACTCATCTCAACTGTAAAATGTAAACGTGTTGATTGGTGACTCTGTTACCATCAGAGGTACGAAGGAAACGCTCAACTAAACAAGACCGATTTAGAGACAGTCAGTACTTTTTCAAAATAAATCTTATGAAGTAAAGTGTTGCTCCACCTGTTCTCTCTACTCTTGTTGTTGGTCTCTAACTGCTGTCAGAGGGCTGTGCAGTTAAAGGATTTATTTTAAGAGCAGAAAAATGACTTAAAGATCCACACTACGACTAGTAAAATTGTATTGAGTCTTTTAATCATTTTATGCGCTTTAAACACACTGCATATCTTGTATAAATTCCTGTGTTTTTGAAATATTTGTATGTATTAGGGCTGGGCGATAAACCGAATATTTACCGATACCGAAATTTATGACAATAGCCAATGTCATTTTGCCCATGTCAACATATTCAGTGTCATAAAAATAAATAAATCAAAGTTGGTTTTAGATGTGTGTTGGTAGTCTATGGTCTCATGTCCCTTTAAGACACTGTCCTATGTCGGAGACGTGACTCCACCCCAGGTGAGGAGATGGAGGACGGTTCAAAAGTTGAAGCGGCTGACCCGGCGATCATGTGTACGACTCACCCAGTGGCTCAATATATTGTGATATCGATTTGAGGCCATATTGCCCAGCCCTAATTTATATTACAGAAAAGGAAAACTAGCATTTAAATATCATGCATCCATACTCTAAATTAAGACAGCAGAATCCTGATATCTTGTTTGGACAGCACCCATATCATCTTACTTTTTGTTTAGACCATCGTACCTTGCAGTCGTTTAGGGCCACATAATCCTGCTACAATATATATTCATATTGTTCATCATCCTGTCACAGCTTGTGGAGCTGTCTATCTGACAGTGCAGGGATCTTACCCTTCACTTCCTGCTCCATGTTCTGTCCAAAAGTTATAGACCTCCCAAATCAGTGAGTAGACAGCTGTAGTATGAACCCGTGCTTCAGGACAGATGGAAACTGTCTGTTGCACACAGAAATGTCATCACTGTACCTGCATCATGCATCTTCATTAACAGAGCACGGATAGGCACCAGGGGAAATATACCCAGTTTGATGGGAATGCTCAAGTGTAGTATGTTAAGCTCAATGTGGAGCACAGCAGGCAATTTGAATTCATTGTGTGTGCAGAATCAGCCTATTAGTGGCATTTAGCTTTCAGTGCTGCAAAGTCTACACAAATAGTGTGTCGGCGTGCCTGTAGGAGTGTGTGTGTGTGTGTATGTGTGCAATATACTGCAAGGCAAAGTGACAACAAGAGACCTTAACATCGTAATGCATTGTGTGGTGTAGAAGTGGTGCACATTATCAGGCTGCTGTATACTCTGACATCTGCTCCTTGTTCAGTAGGAGAGAGGGACACTATCCTCTGGGTAGGGCTGAGGTGGTTTGATGAAGGGGAAGGAGGGGGAGGCTAAGGTCTCACTTGTAATTGAGGAGTGGAATGAGGAAATGTGGACAGGAAAAAGGAAAATGGTTGGAGAGAAGTGTGGGTGATATGAGAAATGTTTTTTGCTTGCACCTCCCCTCTGTGTGCGTGCGTGTGAGGGATCATGTGTACGACTCACCCAGTGGCGAGAGCAGAGGTTGTGGGTGCCTTGAGATGGAGCTTGATGGCAGGGTATAGTAGTGGCTGCACTGAGGTAATGCAGAACTCTCTCTCTCTCTCTCTCTCTCTCTCTCTCTCTCTCTCTCTCTCTCTCTCTCTCTCTCTCTCTCTGTATGTGCGTGTGTGTAAGAGAGAAACTTGAAGATTGTAACACAGAGGCAATATCAGCGGCAATATTGGTGGTCTTAGAAGGGGCTTGAGCGAGCAAGACCCGAGGGAGTTTGTTTCTCTCTCTCACTTACTTTGTCGGTCCCTCCTTCTCTTTTTGTGTGTGTTTGTGTGCGCCCGTGTTTGTGTGTGTTTGTGTGTAATGGAGCAGCAGCTCTGTGCCTGCAAAGCGCAATCAGTTCCACCAAGCTGACATTCCACCAGCGCCTTCCTTCCCTCTGCATTGCCTCGCTTCACCCCCACCGCCATCACCCCGCCCTGAGTCTCGGCAAGGATGCAGTGGCGTGAGCGATAAGGCCAATATTACTTTGGGATAAAAGTGGAATTAGCTTCCTGCTGTGAAAAATGGGCACAGCGAGCTGTGATGGAGCGCCAGGGGGTTTCAGGAGGGGGGGGGGGGGACAGGGCTTTACAGGGTGTGTAAAAAGTCTGTGTGTGTAGTGAGGATTTTTTTTTTTCTTGGGGGCGTTAGGGGGGGTTAGTTGTTCTAATATTATTTCACCACTTTGAGAAAAGTAGCCTCACAACAACCCTTCAATGTCAAAATCAAAGAGAAAGAGATATCATAGGACAACAAACCCCTGAGGACGAGTAAAATAAATCCAACCAAGTTAGATTATAGCAAGTGCAATGTGGCAAAGGTTTGTCAGATCTGATACTCTCTTGTAGGGCTGGGCGATAAATCGAAAATTTACCTATATTGAAATTTACAATAACCAACGTCATTTGGCCCATATCAGTATATTCGGTGTCAAATAAATAAATAAAAGTTGATTTTGGATGTGTGTGTGACTCCACCCCATCCAGTCCATAACAAAGATGGAAAGACAGGTGAGGAGATGGAGGACGGTTCAAAAATTGTAGCGGCTGGAGCGGTGGCTGAAGTAGAGGAAGTTAATGTGGGAAGGGTTGAGCAACTTGTGGAGTAGTTATCGTCCATTTATCGTTATCAAGGTGAACTGCTTGATATATCATGATATTGATTTAAGGCCATATCGCCCAGCCCTACTTTCTTGCTCTCTTCAGCTAGAGCTTATTTTTAAGAGAGACCCCTGCTCTCTCTGGATGGTCACTAATTTTGCTCAAAACAAAATGTTTGCTTTCTCTTATGAACAGTTATTTTATCCTTACCTGTTTTTCTATGTAAATACCAACCTCCTGTTATGAAATATAAATTAGCAAACTGCAGTTCCTTGAGTGTCCACTTGTGGTGGGCTCCAGAAGATCTAGAAGTTCTGTAAAACCCATGTTAAATCAAACATGATTACAGACTGCTTCAAAAACAAACATAGTGTTGGTGCCATCAACTGCATGAAGAATGGACGCTGTCTGCCTCCTCGCTGGGTGAAGTCACCGTGAGAACAGCACCCTCTGGTGACGGGCTGCAGTATAGGTCATAAATCCCACCTCCTCTGGCAATCTCTATGGAGCTGTAGGCAAGCTTTAGAAACTAATTACACAGAATATACATTTTTCTCCCCCCTGGTTACGATATTTACATGTAGTTACTGTCAGACTGGTTTGTTTTCAAGTCCCCTTTTTTCTGTGCAGCTTCATTTTTAAAAGTTATTAGTTTTCTATGATTGACACTTGATACAGCCTATGGGTGTTCAAAGATTGCATAGCTCACCTGTTTGATACGCTGTTTGAGCCGAGCATCACCACAGCGACTCTCAGTGACTCTCGCCGAATGCGTACAACGCTACCAAGCAAGTGGTGGTTTAGAAGAGGTGCCAAGTGGAGACGAAAATCAAGAAATGAGAAAGAGAAAAATGAAAAAGGGAAGGGGAGAAAGGGGAGAAAGGGGAGATTTAAAACAAGCAAAGCTGATGGGATCCAAAGACTACAGCCTGAGGGGTCTTTTTGTGTTTCAGAGTCCCCAGAGGTGGACTCTATCCTCACTTGTAGAGCACATTGAAACCTGTCATGAAATTCAGGCTCGGTTTGAGATGGTTTAGCCTCCCATTTACACATAAACCTTTACCCAGTGCGGCCAAACCCTCAGTGTTGTTTTGCTGTTGCTCTCATTTAGGTGTAACACCTCGTTTCTTAACACAGCCCACTTGCCTGAGGGAAGAAAGGTTGGAGGTGATATAGCTTATCATTGTCCAGATCAGGGTAAATACAGTACAGGAAGGGATCTGAAATATTGATGAAGGCCCCACATGAAGCCTGCAGCTCTGAAGTCTGGCTTCTATAGAGTGCTTTATCATTCTAGGCTGTAAATGAGCAGCAGAAGAGGGAGAGGCCCTCAGGGCAGTTAGTGAGAGCCAGGAGCTAGGCTCCAACCAAGGACCTCCCTCAAAGATAAAAACAGAGTATTTAGATGAACATATTCCTCTCTCTCTTGTATTAATTAGCCTTCATTTATGCTTTATAGTCTCTGAAGTTCATCTCACTAAGAACAGATTTCTGCACCAGTCTGTATTTGCTCCGCTCTGTGTAAAGACTAGTCTATTTTTCTTTCATATGTATAAATTCGATATAATCTGGCTATTGAGTAGAAGCGGCAAAGTTTGATTTCTGCTTCATTTCCTGAAAATCTATGAAAACCAAAAGGGAGTTATCGTTTCTAGAAGAACAGAAATTGCCCGGGCTGAAACTGCTGGAGGCAGAACTCTCTTTGACACAAAAACTGTCATCCAAACAGATTTTGTTACATTTCATTTTATGGAAATGAGATTTCAATTTTTGCACTTCCCATTATCCTGTTGCTGTTGGCTCAGTTTGATTCTGCAGTGTACCCCAGACTCTTCCATTTGTATTTCTGCCCCTTTTTTCTCACCAACATCAGATGCTTTGACATCAGGACACAGCCAGCAGCTCTCCCCGCGACACGTCTTTGAGCTTTTTTTGTTATTTGACACTTTCAACATTGCTCTCATTTACATATTTAGCGTAATCCCTCCCTGTGGAGCTGCCCATGATAACGACCATGTTGCGAAATGAGTGGCGGTGCGTGTGCCAGCGAGCCATGTGGGCTCAGGGGCTCTGAGGTTTGCCAGTTGGCACCGCGGAGAGGCTGCCAAGGTTGGTAGCTGTAATTGAAAAGGGTCAGCGGCTATGTTGACTGATAAGGGGAAGAAGCAGGAAACTAGAGAATAAAGGACAGAATGAGGGATGTATTAAAAAAGTTAGAAAGTGAAAGATGAAGACTAGTTCAATGAGATAACTGGGGGTTTTATATAATGATGGGGAGGGTGCTTAAGAGACTAGAACTCTTGCCCCGTGTCACGCTGCTACACACTCCCATTTAAATCAGTTAATTGGTGCGAGGCTGCGTGGAGGGAGATTGACGAGTGTGTTGCCATGAGACGACTTGGCTGCTAACTAAGAGGAGCTCTGGGAGGGAGGGGAATGATTCTGTGTGAGCTTGCATGAATAACCTTTTGCATAAATCTGTGTGCATTTTTGCACTCATGTGTCTGTGTGCGCACACTTGCATGTCGTGTAACTACACGTGGGTGCGGTTGTATTTGGGGAGCGCGGGGGGGGGTTAACAGTCGAGAAACAGACAGCAGAGGAGGGGTTGATGGGGGGCTGTTGTAATCTGTGGGGGTACCCGTGTGAAACAAGCGTGGAAGGTGGAGAGGGAAAATCTGTTATTTTGCGTAATTAGCTCATAATTGTGTCTCTGACTGTCAGTGATTGCTTTGTTTATTAGAGAGAGAGGGGCAAATGAACTCCTGGTGCTTTGACTCAATGTCTGCAATTCCTGCTGTCAGTATTTGTCATTAACCGTGTGTCCCATGAGGTCCTGTTTGTTTATGTACAGTAGACAGTTGGGTTATTGGTATTGTAGTAAAAGATAACCTCAGTCAGCATGACAGTGTGTGGTAAAGAGGAGGACTTTTTCTTTCTCTGTTGTTCTGCCATTGACTCATAATTCACTCAACTCTGGTTAGACTCCACTTATTGTCAGAGCAGGCGTTACTTTCAAAAGAAAACTACAGTCAAATCCAGGGATGGGAATTGATAAGATTTTATCCATATCGATGCCATTATCGATTCTGCTTATCAATTCAATTCTTGATCGATTCCCTCATCATTGCTTGTCTTCAATTAAAAAAAAGGAGACTATAGTTTTTCACCATTAAAGGTGGGGTAGGCAGGATCTGAGGAAGTGCCAGTTTTTGGGAGAAATCTTGAATGTAAACACTACCCCTTCCAACCAGTTTTCCCCTCACTAACTTTGTATGGGCTCGTGCACGTCATTGGAGGACGTGGAGCATGCCTCACAACTTGAGGAAGCAGCATCTGCCCAACAACCAATCAGGTCGGGGAGGCAGAGAATGGCTTTGTTTACAGTCAGAAAGAGTGGGCCGCTCAAAAATGTTAAAATGTTGACTACACAGACATAACAAAACACAGCGATATCGTTTCATTCCTAAATGTCATCAATAACTAATTGGTTACTAACTAATAGCTATTGACTGATTTTAAAAGCTTTTTTGTAGATACACCACAAAAAAAGATGGTTCTTTAATGGAATCCTGCCTACCCCACCTTTAAATGAGATCAGATGGATTGTAAACATCACCAAAAGAAGTACCTCCAAACCTGCATTCGTATAAAGCGTATATTATCATTCCATGTAGTGTTTTTACTCTGCTGTGCACAAGTTTCAGAGGAAGGACCCAGGGGGCAGCACGAACATGGAGTTCTGATTTGAGAGAAATGCTGTGCGGTTTGGGGTGCATCCTTGTTGTGAATTCCCAGCATGTCTGAAGCACTTTACTTGGAGAAATGATAACCGCCTGAGACTGTCTCTGAGGAAGCACATGAGCAGACCACTGAAATACTGTGGTTCTCAGAGACAAAGTAACAACAGTAATGGAACTGTGCCGGCTTGCTTGGGTAGTTAAACAAAGCACCTCGCTCCAAGATGTGCACTTTTCTAATGATTATTTTTAGGGTTTTTGGATGAGACAGCTCGAGTGAAACAGGAAATATAATGAAAGAAGGAAAGAGAGGAGAGGAAAAGAAAATCAGAAGTTTTGCCTCACTCTTGGTGCAGACTGGTCTTACCTCTGTACTTCTGTTTACTTCCCTTGTGCCCGTCAAGTTTGATGTTGGCAAGTAACAGCCTTGTAAAAATATGACTAACTGCATGATTGTGGGTTTTAACCAATAACACGCTCGTCTAGAGCGTTTAGCAAATGTAACTTCTGTTAAATCTCATTCTGTTCAATAATAAACGTCTTATTTCTGCCATAAGTACCCGGTTGCTATATTGTTGAAATACCTTTTATGTGAGTTAGCATGTCAGGAAATTACATATATTTTTAGTAGAAGTTGCACAATTCAAATAGTGAATAGAATCAATTTCTAAAAGGCCAGCTCAGATGTAAAATAGACTCCTGGGTTTTAAAAAGTCTGAAACTGGGGAGCACTGGCCGTGAACGCTCCATATACTGAGGGTATGCCACAAGCGGACAACCCATGTTTGATCCCAGCCTGTGGCGTCTTTCCTGCATTTCACCCCTTGCTCTCTCTCCCTATTTCCGGTTCCATCCACTGTTCCATCCTCTTTACAAAGGCTTTTCATTATTTTGTAATACTGGGGTGTAATCTGCTACAAAAAGCAAAAGAAAAGAAAAAATACTATGATAGAATTTTTTTGCCATGTTGGTCACCCTTAATAGTTCCTAAAAGCCATTAAGCCATTAGTTTTTGTTTGAACCAAATCAAGTCAAGCTAATGTTTATTTATAGAGCACATTTAAAATAAACAGGTACAGCTGAACCAAAGCACTTACTCTAAGCTGGTAAACTGCCCTGAATTTCTATTTACCACGAGTAATTTTAGAGGAACTGCTTTTACCTAAAAGTGTCAGTCAGATGGAGGCAAAGTGCCCAGATAAAGTTTTAAATAGGGGTGTCCCAATACAATTTTTTTTTTTTTTACTTCCGATAAAATTCTGATATTGTAGCTTAAAGTATTGGCTGATATCGTTGTTGATATCTGATATTGGCACAAACTTATGCATGACAAGTTTTGCACTCAGCTGCAACGTCTTTATCAGACTTTTTCGTGATTCGTCGAGTTTAGTCTCTTTGCTGAAGAAATTAGGCAAAGCTAAAAAGATGTTTGATGGCTAGTGCTGTGGCCGAGACCCTATATGTACTATTGATGAAGTTAGGTGCTGTTCTGAGCATTATTTGTTGCTATAGAGTGGCGTTTTGGTTGAGGTTTGTTTATGGCTCTGCAGACCACTGTGTATTGTTATCATGCGGTCATTACTAAAGTTGATATAACTAGAGAAGCCAGCGGTCAGTAACATTCATCTCTCGAGGAGTTGTCTAACTCGGTGTTACAGTGTGTTTGACCCTAAATTAATTTTACACTGGAATATCCCTTTAAAGTCAGCACTCCAAAGACAAACCTTAACTCTAACTCTACATTGTGTGTAACAACTGTAAAAGCGTTTATTTGTATCGCTGTCTACTCATATAAACCCACGCGTGCACTTGCAGTTTCGAGCTGTAAATTATGGAAACCATGCGAAGGCTTTTGCTTTATTCTCCATCTCTCCCGCTATTCTTCCCTGTCTCTCACCTTCGCACATTATGATATAGATATTCTCACAGTGAAAGTACCAAATGACCTTCAGCTGTCTCTCTACTGCTCTTCGCTTCTCCTCTTTCTGTTGTCTTCTAAAAATAGACCCCCCCTTCCCAATCATCAGTGGAGTGCTGCGGCTGGCCCTGTAGGCACAGGCTTTGGCAAGAGGGTGCCAGAGATGAGCCTAATTAACTCATTGAGATGAGGAGAGCAAGGTGGAGGGGGGTTGGGGGTGAGGTAAAGAGAGAGAAAGAGGGACAGAGACGGGGGGGTGGGGGTGAATAATGACAAAGATGGAGATGGTGAAAGATGGAGTGGTGCAAAGAGGAAGATGAGGAGGAAAAGGGGAGTTAGAGGAGGAGATAATGAGAAGGAGGGGTCAGCAACAGAGAGAGGAGAGGCAAAGAAAGGGTCTCTGGGGCAAGGATATAGTAGTGAACAAGGGAGAGTGATGGAGAGGAGCACTAATTAGACGAAGGACCAAAGCTCCTCCTCACGTTACACGGCAGGAGAGGAGGAATGGAAGAAAGGAGGAATGAAGATAGATGAGTCGGGCAGCTGCAGCGCAAAGATATGAAAAGGAAATATGTAATCTTCAATAAAGAGCAAGCGAGTGACGGCAATCTAGCCAACTCAATTAGCCCATGTCTATAAAACAAACTGCTCTTAATCGGCTCTGTCAGACACTCATAGGCAAATGAACTGGCTGCTTCCTGCAGGGAGCAAGGATAGAGAGGGGAAAGAGAGATAACGACAAAGATGGAGACACCCCATCACCACCACTCCACCTCATAGCACTTATCTGACATCCGTACCAGTGGCTAAGGATGTTCATTTTGTTACCTCCTCATTTTCTCAACATACTCTATTGCTGTCCTCTCTATGCTGCCTCTAATCCTTTTGACCTCCTTCAAGGTAAACAGTTAAAGTGCATATCAATACCTTTATCTATTCCCATAATGCTTTATCAGAGCTAATTTCTCATAGTTTTGCATTTGATCACCTTTTTAGACCTTTTTGCTCCTAATGTCTTCCTATTGTCCGTTATCTGCTACAATAACCCTAAAAGGTTTCGTTTACTTAACCTCAAACTCTCTCCTTAGAAGATATGTAGAAACTATATAAACATTAGAAACATTCAATGCAGCATTTCATCTTTTTGTAGAGTGAAGTGCTGATGATCATACTCTTCCTATTTAGCTGTCTCTTGGTTGTTGATTTAACTTTGTGTGTGGTTATTGTATAAAGGCTATCCTTGTCGGTTCAGTCAGTCATATGCTTAAAAAACTTTGTTTCACTCGCAATATGTAGAAGTTGTTCGATCATGTTCTTCTCTGAACTTAGTGCTTAGTTTTGCATTTTTTAATTTTGATGACTTCGATATCTCAGATGGCTTCCTCACTATCACTTTCCACCTGAGGGGGACCAGTCACACTGTTGTGGTGACAAAAATGTAAGACAGCTTATTGACTCTGATCATTTAGGGCTATAAAAACAACTCTTGGATTGGCAAAGGAAAGCCTAGATTTTGTCTCACAATAGGACATGTATGTTAGAGCTGGGCGAAATGGCCTAAAAACAATATCACGATATATAAGCAGTTCACCTCGATAACGATAAATGGAGGATAACTACTCCACAAGCTGCTCACCACCTCCCACATTAACTTTGTCTACTTCAGCTGCTGTTCCAGCCGCTCCAACTTTTGGACCGTCCTCCATCTCCTCACCTGTCTTTCCTCTCAGTTACAGACTGGATAGGGTGGAGTCATGTCTCTGACGTAGGACAGCGTCTTAAAGGGACATGAGACCATAGCCTACCTACATACATCCAAAACTAACTTCTATTTATTTATTTTTTTGACACCAGATATATTGACATTGGCAAAATGATGTTGGTTATTGTCCTAAATTTGGTATCGGTAAATTTTCGGTTTATTGCCCAGCCTTTATGCACGTGGCTTTATAGCCCTGGACAAACTTCAAACCTCTGTCCAGGGCTTTTTTTCATGCTAAATCCCACTGAAAACAGGGTTTAAATTTTGAATCACAAAAACCATCATACTTACTTTTTATTTATTTTTTTGTTCTATTTTAGGCACTCACTGGTTTCCATTCATTTCCATTTGAAATTTATCAGCCCACTGTTCGAAACCAGCGCAATGACTGTCAGGTCTGCATTAATTTAGTCTTTAGTTACATTATTATAGTGATTTAATTTATTGTAGAGTTGTGAAAATAATCTATGTTTAAATATGCATTACCACTCAGTAATAATGGAACATTGACACAAATTTATGCAGACTCGATGCCTTTACTAATGGCAGCCAGCGCCCTGTCTTTAACTGCAGGAAAAATACATTAAGGAATCTAATGAATTTGACTGAAATGTCATTGGGTTGATCCATGTACAGAGAAGTCCAAGTCTATCAAAATGTGCAAAATGTAAGGCATTAAAAGAAAAAGTTTGGCAGAAACATGAGTATAATATTCATCACCAAAGTTGTAAAAATGCAAATATCCAAGTATTTTGATTAAAGTTGCATCAAGTTTTGTCTTGTTTTGGTTTTTAACTCACAGCCTGAGCCATAGCTCTCTGTGCCTGCCCCGCTGTCTTGCAATTGGTGGCCCCAGATGAGTGTCCTGGCGCAGGCTCGCTGTAATTACTAAACAGGAGGAACAAGTAGGCTAATTAACACGTTAACAAGCAGCAACCAGCCGACAAGAGCCTACAGCACCGCCAACCGAGGGTCTGACAGCTTCATCCCCCATCTGTCACCAGACACACATGCGCACAGACGTGCCCCTGTGTGTGCATTTGTACGTGTGCCTCAGCGCACAATAGCGTCCACCCCTTCTGCATAGAGGAGGTGAGTGGATAGTGTTGGAGAGTGGTAGAGTTGAGTGCCTTTTGTTCATGGTCGTTGTTGGTGCATTTGTGCTGCAGTGCACAGGTGTCCCTGCTCAGGTATGCCATACATCACAGTTGGCATCACCCATCTCTGTGCATTCACCAACACATCATGGAAACAAAAAGTTGATTTTAATTGTGATAAATGTTATTGGAAACTATATCGAAACTCCAACCCTGATATTTCTTTAATTGTCGTGGTGACCCGAACATGAAGAAAAGCGTATCAAACCAAAAGAAAGGTGCATGTTTCCACATGGTAGTTATATTGGAGCACCATGTAATTTAACTCACATTCATTCTGACAGTTGTGGTTTCTTAAAAAGAGAACTTTTCAGTGGGCACAGACATGGCGCTGAGCTTTTGAAAAGGTTTTGAGGAAGGTTAGTCATCAAATAGGCAAGAAAGTTTTAATCGTGGTGGAGTACGTCAGGACAAGGTTTGTGTCGCTGAGAGTAGAAAGAAAAGATGAGGAGATCATTGGAAAACAAACATCCAGCCTTTATAGAAATTTCAGTCGGTTTGTAATGTCTCTTCATGGTCAGCAATGAGAATGTAGAGGAAAAAATAAAAGCATGGCACACATGGTTAGATTCATTTCAAGTCATTTGGCGACAGAAACAAATTGTTGATGCATAACAATCTCACCAAGTGAGGCACAATAGCTAAAACTAGCTATGTTACAGTCTGATCTGTGTGATAACTTGATTCCAGAGAGGCCCCTAAACATTGTAAAGAGAGCAGTTTTAATCGTTCCTCACATAGATAGAGTGCACCGCTCATTGTCAGGTACCTTGGCTGTATTGATCTGACTGCAAAGACAAAATAACTCCTGGATCTCATCCAGGACAAGACTGAAGGTTCCTCTGAGATAGTGTCTTCCTTTTTAATTCAATTTTATCATTTCAGAAAGTAAGTATGTGTTGTATATTAGGGATGGTATGGTGTTGTAAGCCCACAACTCAATATAGTACCTAAAAAGTTTAACAAGACTGAAAAACCCACTCTGACGAAAATCATGTTTTTCTTGTTGTCTACATGTTCATATGGCATTTTTTTAATGCAAAAGGACGTGAGAAAAATAAGTACAAAATTGCATTTCTGCATTGAAATTGCTGTGAATCTCTGGCAGACCCAAACAGCAGGATCAGACACAGTGAGATTTTCTATGTCACAATTCCAAGCTCCACCCCCCAGAGCCCTGCTATGCAGGCCAGACTCGGAGAAATAGAGAAGAAGATTGCGGGACAAGCGCGTGTGTTAGCGGATTGCAATGCTCATGATTTTGACTAAAAACATCATAATCATAATTTAAAGGCCACTGATAATACTTTAAGTGGTAAGTATTATTATTATTAAAAACAATCAGAGTGGGACTTTAAAGGAAGAAAATGGAGATGCTCGTCACAAACATATGTGAGGAGTGCAGAGCAAGTGAACACTAGTTTTTCAATCATAGATGGTGATCATGGATGAGTGATCATAAAACAAAGAAAAATACAGGCAAATATATTTGAGTAGGTGTAAATATATGTATCGACTCTGTCCGCCATCATGCACCAGTTCTTTCCTCCTCCATCAGTTCTGCTCCTCTCTCTCTCTCTCTCTCTCTCTCTCTCTCTCTCTCTCTCTCTCTCTCTCTCTCTCTCTCTCTCTCTCTCGCTGCCAGGTTCTGCCAGCTGTGTCAGCACGGCCCACTAGGGTTAACCAGCAGCGGTTAATGTGGAACACGGCCATCTGGCACAGATACAGAGAGCCCTCTATTACCGTCACATTGCTGGTATACCATTACATGGAGATGAATACGTCTAGACATGATCAATTGGACAGACAATCTCTGGTCTGATACCAACAACCGGTCTGCTGCTCAGTAAGGCCGGGTTTAGACTTAGGTCATTACAGATGTAGGGACTAGATTATCGGGCAATTTGAGAGATTAACAGACCTAGATTTAAACCCCCCAGACAGTTTGCACACTCAATTTAGCAGCCAAACCTGTTAGGATTCAAAATGATCAAAATTAACCAAGGACATACAGAAGTTTGCATTGATAGGGTTTGCCGTTGACACACTCGGCTTTCTTCATTTGATCTAACAGGACAAGACACCTCTGTGTGTGAGAGCCTGTTTGTAGTTACAGCTCCAGCTGTTTGTTTACATGCTCTGTCTCTTGTGCTCCTACAAGACCGTTTGCGCTCTGGAGTTGCCCTCGGCCAGTTGATACAACACGCTGGTCTCTGTTTTGTTTACATCTGCATCCCTGGGATTACAAACAAGATTATATAGGATCACACAAGTTGCTATGTTGTCTCCTCTGGCACACACAGCTATCTTAATATTTCGGTGTAGTGTGTGTGTGTGACTTGTTAATATCTTCAAATCTTGTTCCGTGCAAGTTTGAGATGATAGTGGAACACGAGTTTCTTCTTATGAGTGTAAATTGGGTCCCGATTTAATTGGATAGGAATCTTCAAACTTGTCATAGCGTAGCTTGAGGTTCAAAAATACACACATGGGAGTCAAACTTTTATTTTTGGGCCGCTGCTCAGACTCGTGTCAAAGTTTGCGTGGGCCTTCTGATGATGAGTTTGTCACAGCCATGAAGTACAATCTGCAGCTTGGAAGTGTTTTTGCTCACAGCTCATTTAGCATTCTTGGGAGAGCAGCCAGGAGGAGAGATCTGTGTCGATAACATAAAAGGCTGTATGAAGAGTTTTAAAGCAAACCAACGCAGCTGCATCGCTCCATGTTTCCAGCGTGTGTCCTTGCCTGCAGGAAAGAAAACAGATGCAGTTATTTCACAATTGTTGACGTCGTAGCGCCGATTTCTGTTTAAGTGCAGGATGGATTAGATAAGGGTTTACTGTGTGCTTTTTCTGCTCACCCCTTTCTCATGTCTCATTCCACACTCGGAGTCCAAGGCGCTGCTCTTATTCTGTTGTCAAGACAACCGCACACATCAGCTCTGCCTGTGTGACCACTTGTCTGTCTGCCTGCCTGCGCCTGTCAGTCTTTTTTTTTTTTATTTGTCTGCTACTTTTCAAATATCCAAGTTCCTCGCAGACTGAGAGCGATGTTTGGTTGCAGTTTTGGCTGCAGCATCAGCGTGACGGATCACAGAGAGGCTGCGTCTGACTGATAAAATGGTTAATTTGGAGGCTTATGCTGATGCTGGTAAAAATAGACTACCCGAGCTTCTATTTTTCATAAGTTGAAAATGTAAGCTCAACAAGCACTTTTTTTTTCCCCCTGACCCTGTTGTTGTCTAATCAGCGTCTTATTGTGTCTGAGCCTGGGGTCTGCAGCATCACACTGTCTCAACAAACAGCACGCTCTCCCCAGCGGCACGGCTCTGCCTCATATCCAATTGGTTTGATTTTCTCTCCGAAGGAATACAAGATGCACACACCCCCCACTGCAGCCTCGTGAAGTGTGGCGGATAGTGTTTTCACGCAGTGTCGACCCTGCTCTCTTCTCATTCATCAGGCTGTGTATTTGCATTTTCAATTAATGGCCAGCGTCATGCGCGGCGACTCCGAAAGCATCCCCAGCTTTGTGTGCGACCCTTAATTGCAATCATTACGCAACGCAAGCAACCCGCCTTTGAGTGTTCAATTGTACACTGCGTTTAATTATGGGAACAGAGTTAAAAGCATTACTCAACAGTCTAATAGACCAGATACTGGAGCGGTTTTCTCTGAAAATGAATGAAATGATGGTTGAATGCTGAACGCTTAATTACTCACCGTTGTGTTTGCAGATTTGCTATGCTGCAATTCAAAGAGGAAGCATGTTTATTGGAAAAACTCAAACAACACAGGTACAAGAACATTCAAACCTTTCTTTTTAAAGCCTGAGAGTTTATTGACCTACATTTGGTGAATTAAAAACAGGGGTAGCTATGCAAGGGAACTTTGAATGACTGAATGAATGAAGTTTATTCATTAGGAATATGTTCAAAAGAGAAAATTAAGAGAAAAAATACAGAATAATATTCGAGAAGAAGTGGGAGGAAGTAAAACTTATCAAGTCCCGCCCTTTCTCCATCAGCTTTTCTGCAAAAGTGCTTCCATATACAGTACACATGCATATTTTTATACAAATGAAAACAGTTTATACAAAGGCTGCATGATATTGGAAAAACTAACATAGCAATTTTTTTTCAACCCTGCGATTCATATTGCGATACTTAAAAATACAGTAGATGACCTGAGTAGCACTTTATGCTGCACTGCTGAAATCTTGAGGACAGTTAACCTGCACTGATCTTACCTCTTTTTGTGAATGTTAGTAGAATGGCTTCTGTATGTCTCAGAGATATTTTTAGCTTTTATTGTTCTGGGACGTTATTGTGGTGACAGATGAACACAGAACACGTGTTATGGTCTAAGTCTAAGTCAGATAAGTGACGTTGCTTTTCTTTTTGGCGACAAGTTTGGTTTTCTCTTGTTCGTTTCTCAATTTGCAATCGTTGTTGTTGTTGTCGGTGTTGTGCTGGGAAACGCATGACAGCCAAGAATTGCATGCACCTCGCAAAACGCGCACCGCTTATAGTAGAGTGGTTCACGAAAATGTACAATTTACGATTGACAATGTACGATTCATATTTGATGAGCGAAACAGTGATGAGTAATGTTCCGAAAGTAATTCTCAGTCGGTACGCGTTTCTCGTCACAACACCGGCAGTGCCAGCGACTCACTCCATGTACGGGGGCGCGGTTTACTTCTCTCTGATTTTGATTGACGGCTGGCAGCGTAGTCTGATTGGCAACTGAGTGAAGAACGAATGTGATTGGTGGAAAGCTGCACAGCACATGCAGAATCACATGCAGTGCATCTCAGTCAGCTACCCTTGAAATCAAATGAGTTTAGGCTCTGCAATGTGACTATCATGCACACGTACATCGCGATGACGATGCTCAAACGATATATCCTGCAGCCCTAGTTTATACACCATGATTCAGTGGTCTTTTCAAAAAACAAAATAAAACAATAAAAGCCAACATAATTCTTAATTTGGTGCAATACCTCCAGTTTCATCCCTCTGCCTACCGAATATTATATTTTTATAGATTTTTTAAAATTTCATCAAGTCTGAGCATCGCTTCAGGTCCAGCTGTAACCTGTTCAATATAAGAACACCACATTGTGAACTGCTAAAACTTTTCATTGTTGTGCGTAACCTTTGAATTATGAAATTAAAGTTGTGAACCCCAGTCTCGAACTTAGAAATGTTTTTGGATCGCCTGTGTTAAGGCACGATTTTTGGCTCTGGAAAGGATTTGTGTTGTTCATGATTTTTACCAGGTTTGACCTCAGAAACAGTAGAGTGGTGTGTTCTAGATACCCAGCCTTGTGAATGATTCTTACTGCTATTTTTGTAACATGATAACTAAGAGCTGAAAAGTCTGATGTTTGTTTTGGAAAAAAAAAAAAAAACTTTAATCTTATTCATATTAAGTGGCACTAATAAAATATTTAAGTATCTTCAAATATAAACACATCCTGGATCTCAGTCCATGCTGATGCACACACTCACAGGCATACAGAGAGACACTTATTTATTCATACGCATGCGGACACACACTCACTTATAAATAGATGTCACTTCTTGCATGTGAGCGGTTAGGAACAAAAGAGGTGATGTGATGCAGGGGGATGAAAAAAGCAATTATTCTGTGCAGGGCTCTGTACCTGGGGTTAGAGCCTCGCCTCTGGAGTAAATAAGTCACTGCAAGAGTGTGCGCTCACGTCGCACATCTAAGGAAGGCTTACACACACACACATACAGACGCATGCAGACATACACACACTTGTGCACATTTTCCCAGGAGCAGGCGCAGGCACACAAATTCAATCTTGCATCTTGCTACAAATGCAGAACACACACATGTATGCTCTTTCCCACACACACACACACACACACACACACACACACACACACACACTTTCCATCTTGCATCCTGTCACATGAATAGCCTCTGCTCTCCAGTAATGAAGCCCTGTGTGTTGCGTTCACGTTTGGCCACTGAGCCAATAACACTGAAGCTGCAGCAAAGAACCCCCCTCTGCTCTCCTACACCCTTATACCCCCCTCCACCCCTCACCCTTTCCTCTTTTACTCCTCATTTTTTTCTCGCCTTGCTCCCACACTCCAACCTTCTAAAGCCTTGATAAGAAATGTCCTCTTCTAAGAGAGAGAGAGAGTTTGAGAGAAAGACGGCGTGAAGAGGGAGCAATTGTGTACTTGTCAGCGAATAAACGGGAGACTCTGATATAAATCTTAATGTCCTATTTAAGGCTTTTCTTCATCATGGGCCTGATTTATTAGCAGGGCTTCCCCTTCAATTCATCAAAATAAGCTATGAGCTCACAGTTGTGGCCGGCAGGGCAAATTAAAGCAAACAACAGTCTGAGGGGGAAGAGGTGATGGAGAGGAGGGGTTGTCATAGAGGGAGATATACACGCATATATATTCACATGTCCCCTACTCTTTCTTTGCCTCTTTCTGTCTCCATTACTCTTTGAATGGCAGTGAGGCCAGCTGTAGTGGAGGCCTGGGGTCTTTATCCAGGACAGAGACAGACAGAGACAGAAGAGGAAAGAGACAGATGACACTTCTAAGACACCAGGGAGTGCTTTGTGTAAAAGCTGGATAAATTTGTTTAGGGATCTTCGGTGTAGCGGTTGGAAAGTAGAGGGATCTGAAATCCACTCAATTAGTCTTGTGTGTGCACTGCTGAGGAGAGTGTATGTGTGAAAGCAGGGGAGGGAATTCATTTAAATTGATGTGTGTGCAGGTGAGTGTCAATTTATTCTATCTCAAAGGTGGTCGTGTATTTAGTTTGTACACTATGCTCACATACGGCGTGTTTAAATTAGACAGCGAGATTTAAAAAAAAGAGAAACCTCGGTGTGTTTTCATTCCCACAACATTAACAATTTGTCACATTTGTAGTTAATTCTTGTCATCGTGTTTGGATCTGTTATTTCAATTCCCAGAGATTACATATTCAATAAAGGAGTAGTTTATTTCTTTAGGTGTAGTTGATGGTGAAACTTGTCAAAAGTAAGTGTAAAATCACAGGATATACGAATGAGTTTTGCCCTTTTGTTGCACACAGAGGCAGAGTCACACTTAAATAGTTTAGAAATATGTGCAGCTTCACCAAGATCAGTGTCTAGGTAAGAATCTCTTACATTTAGAGTTGACCCCATCTGCAGTAGTCAGTGGTCTAACTTTTGCTTGTTCTCCAGCAGAAAGGGCCAAGCTCCTCTGTGGGTAATGAACTTACTATTGACAAGTACCTCTTACAACGCTGCATCAAAAACACTAATCTATCCATTAAAGGAAAGGGTGATATCATTGGATACTCTTTGGGTTAGGGCTGGGCGATAAACTGAAAATTTACTGATACTGAAATTTACGACAATAACTGACGTCATTTTGCTCATGTCATTATATTTGGTGTCAAAGAAACAAACAAATAAAAGTTGGTTTTGGATGTGTGTAGGTAGGCTATGGTCTCATGTCCCTTTAAGATGCTGTCCGACGTCAGGGACGTGATTCCACCCCATCCAGTCCGTAAAGAGGGAAAGACAGGTGAGGAGATGGAGGACGGTTCAAAAGTTGTAGCGACTGGAGCGGCAGCTGAAGTAGACAAAGTTAATATGGGAGGGGGGTAGCGGCTTGTGGAGTAATTATCATCCATTTATCGTTATCAAGGTGAACTGCTCTATATATTGTGATATTGATTTTAGGCCATATTGCCCAGCCCTACTTTGGGTGCATAATCAAATCAACCATGACTTACAAATACATGTTCCAAGCTCATTCAGATCAGAACCATTTGGACATGTGCAGAGTTGTCTAATTTTGCTAAAACAACCAGAGAAGAAGAAGAGTTGTATTTACAACTGTGCTTTCAACAAACCAACAAATGCAGTAGTAGCTCACTTCATCCGATTCAGGATTTTTCCCTCCACTCAGAATGGACCTGAGCCAGGTTCTGAGAGCGGTTGTATTACTCCTCGCCTGTGTTACATGAGGAGACTGTGTCCAGCAAGAAAGTTGTGTCAGAAACGGACCGATTGCTCTTGAATCCGGCCATGTTTACATCTAGTCACTAATGGTGGAAATGCGTCATGTTGACGTAGGTTACACACGTGCAGTCAGGTTAGTTTTGCCCCAACACACAGTCATGATGGGAATAAGTGTTTACATGGACGTGTTTCAGAAAAAGTAATCGGTATAAACCACCCCTCTCCATCGCAATGCAATTTCTTTCAGATTGAGCTGAATCGGATCAGAATCTTTTGATCAACATGTTTACATGACGCAATTTTTATTCCGATCAGGCCTTTATTCCGATTATTCGTGCCCATGTAAAAGCAGCTAATGTTGTGTCATTTATGTCTTTGAGCACCAGTTAAAAATGCTCATGTACTTTGTTTTGGGATGCATTCTCGGCCATTTTCTTTGGTGGATGTATTGCATGTGCAGCTTTTTTTTCATTATGTCTATATACAGACTAGAGCTTGAGCTCCAGGGAAATTTACCCCCCTTACATCTACTAAAACCAGAATGACACCCCTTTCAAAGCAGATCGATACGCCGTAGATCCAGACATTTCCTCTGAGGAGGCCTGTCTTTTTCTGTAGGTGTACATGTGAGAGTGTTTGTCAAGGAACTTCACACCCGACAACTGGGATCAAATAACAAGAATTAAAAGGTTGTAACAAATGAAGTAAAAGGAGACTTGGGGATGAGAGACGGCTGCAGAGAGGAAGGAGAAAGAGAGACTGAAAAATGGATAAAGGAGCAGCAGATTTGTCTCTTTTTGGAGTTTGTTGTGTAGCAAGTACAGACACACTTTCTCTGATATCCTTGAGGGTTTTATCCTGCAGCCACTTGCAACAACTATTGTAGTTGTGAGAAAACAAAACATTCATAGGGTTTAAACTATACTTAATGTCATTCTGATGAGATCCCAGCAACAAAATAGCATTTTAAAAATAAATTCAAATTATATTTACATCATTTTAAACTCTGATATTTATGAGATGGTCAAGGGATTCGGTGCTAATTGCTTGTGAGATATCAGGAGTAAAATGCCCCATGGCAATAAAGAGAGTCAAAATATTATACTTAAGCAAACAAGCTTGAAGGCAGACATGTGACAAAAATTTCTAAATGAACTTATTCATGACTGGAAACAAAAAAGAGACTGATAAATATTCAAGTAATTCAAAATCACATTATCAACAAAAGTGCAGAATATGCAATAAGCAGAGGGAATATGTACACCACAGAGACAAAAACAAACTGGTACAAATGTGAACTCAGCATGTGTGTTACCTTAGGCTGGCTAAAATTCTCTTGACAAACCCCAACACATCCTCCATGAAATTATGTTAAACTCTAATTCACATCATTTCAGTAAGAAAAATTGAATAATAGCATGTCAACAACACTTTAAGAACATAGAAAAGCTGGTAGCAGGAGTGCCAAATTTTTTTTCCACATTTCCCAGCCTCTGCCAGAATTACTGAATACATTTGGTCAAGTTGGATGGGGGTATCGGATTATATCTTCTCTATTTATTTTATTTCAAATATTTGTAAAGTCTTGTATCACATCCCTGATATGGATCTTGTAGTATCCATCACCTTTAATGTTCCTCCTTCTGGGACGGTTGTGATTTCATCAGCCGTGATTTCCCCATGGATGAGACGCAGCATCGACTTAACCAAGCGGTCAATCAGCCATGAGCTGACTGATCACCATCCAATGGTGAGAGGCCAGATGAGGTCATCGTCCTTGTGACTCCTGTCACCCTTGACCCTGCACTTTTGACCTCTAGGTCCGGTCTGGCGGGAGTCTGGCGTGGGGACGCCCGGCAAATCAATCGCAAGGAGGGGTTGTAATAAAACAAGTGCTCCCAAGGGGGAAACCCAAACAAACCAGCAGTGTCCAGAACGGCAAGACAGCCTGTCAATCAACCACTTTAGGCTGTTATAGTGTCATTCATTTTACAAGCTTGTTTGTTTCAGTGAGCTGTGACAGGAACTAGATTTGAACAGAGTCAAACAATTATGTGGTGGTAATGACCTGACGCGTTTCTCCCACCGACTGTCTGATCCTGAGACTGTGTCTTTAATGAATAATCTTTGTTACGACTTGACAAAAATGTTTGCTGATCATACCAAAAGCTTTAGAATTAAACTGTGATTATAAACATGGAGGATTTATTCATGATTTTCCATCAGTAGCCAAAGGCACAGGTTTAACTTATAAAATCAAGGTGGTTACACCAAAGTCTGGACAAAGGTGCAATTACGCATATTCATGTAATCTAATGTTGCGTTCCAGTTGTACTCGGAAGTTGGACTTTCCAAGCTTTGAGTCTGAAATTCATCTGGAATGCCCCCCTGAAGTCAGATATCCGACTCGGAAAGTCAGATGATCCTCACCAACCCCGACTTGACGACAACGCCATAATCCAAGATGGCAGCGCAGTGCATTAACAGTAAAGAGTAACAGTGAAAGCTCTTGTTTTAGTGAAATTAAATAAGTGGTATATGTTGGACCGCCCAACGTCTAACTGTGAACACGGTGCTATGGTGTTTGTAAGAATAAAATACTGTAATGTGTGTTGTTTACAACTGGTATAGCTAACAACAGCTGACAATTGTAAACAACAGATAACAACGGCTAACAGTAGGCATCCATCTTAGTTTTCCGCCTTGTTTACTGGAATGCCGTCAACTCGGGTGTAGCGTCATTCCCAGCGCCGACATCTGACTTTCGAGATAACTGGAACGCAGCATAAAAACAACAAACCATGCTTAAACCGCCCATGGTGAGTTTCTGCAAAAAGCCAAAAGTGCCAACACACTACAAAAGCCACAGTTATATGTTTTATAACAGCTTTGCTACAATGAAAGTTTTTGCATTTATTTGTACCTTTGCTGTACTCATCTTTCATTCTTAAGTTGAGTACTTCCAGCACATCAAGCCTCTAAATCACCAGCCCGACTCTTCTCTTCTGTTGTCCTTAAATGGTGGAATAAATTATCCAACTCCATTCGAACAACAGAGTCCCTTTCTACTTTCAAAAGACAGATAAAGACTCAGCTCTTAAGAAAACACTCTGCACTTAGCTAGATGAGTCTCCGCTGTTGTCCCCGGTGGTTGAATGAGTCTTCCAACTACAATTGGCTCGCACTGTCCTGCTCTGCTCCTGGGATGCTTGCTTGCAGACAGGAACGAGGGTGGTTTGTTGATTTGACAGACATTTCATGCTGCATTGTTGACTCAACTTTACACAAGTTTCACCAAAGGACAAGCAGGATAAAGTCCAGGTTAGGGCTGGGCGATAAACCAAAAATGTACAGATACCGAAATTTACGAAAAAACCAACATCCTTTTGCCTGTATCGGTACATTTGGTGTCAAAAGAATAAAAAAATAAAAGTTGGTTTTGGATGTGTGTATGTAGGCAATGGTCTCATGTCTTTTGAAGACGCTGTCTTATGTCAGGGACGTGACTCCTACCCATCCAGTCTGTAACAAAGAGGGAAAGACAGGTGAGGAGATGGAGGACGGTTTAAAAGTTGTAGCGGCTGAAGTAGACGAAGTTAATGTGGGAGGGGGTGAGCAGCTTGTGGAGTAGTTATCGTCCATTTGAGGTGAACTGCTCAATATATTGTGATATTGATATGAGGCCATATCGCCCAGCCCTAACGTACATGTCCTATTGTGAGACCCTGTGATTTCCAAGAAAAGGGAAACACAAACAGTATGGTAGTATTTGACAATCAAAATTAAATCAATGATAAAACACAGAATATTGGAGGGTTTGATAGAATGTGAATGTGCTTTTTAAAAAAAATCTGGGCTTTCCTCGCCCGGCCCTAGTCCAGGTTGTAGGGGTAAAAATTTGGGCCATTCACATAGACGCTTTTGGCTTTTTTTTTAAGTTTTGTTTTAAGAATCATGAATTCAAAAAAGTGACTCGGAGGGTAACTAGGGGCCATGAAAGTCTGAATCTGATTTCTGAAAATGAAAGTGATGGGGTAGGATTGTGATATCAACATTTAGTTGAACACAGCTCTTCTATAATTTGTATCCATATTGTATTTGGCTTGATGCCCTTGTGTACACTTGACAGATGCATGAGTGGTTCAACACATGGAATTGTGTTTAGGGACTGACTACCAGACTGAAACTGTACGCTCGGCTTACAACGGCAAATCACAGCAGACTTTTTCCCCCTGCATGCTCCCCTCTCCTATCAGACAACTGTTTCCAGGCAGATTTAGTTTCACACGGCCAGTCTCTCTGTTCCTCACTCCAGTCTTTCGTTTTAACTAAAAAAAAAAAAAAAAAGAAAGAAAAAAAACGGTCCAGCCTTTTCTCTTTTCTCCCCATCTCTCCTGATCAAACCTGGGGTCCAACCTTCCAGCCCATCTTCTTTTTCTATCTGACCATCTCTCCATTCATCTTTCTTTTATCTCTGTCTCATCCAGGTCTCTGGTGGGAGCAGAGAGGTGACAGGCGTGTGTCTGCCTGGCCCTGCTGTCTGCTTTTCTAATGAGCCTGAAACACGGGGGGTCAGCCTATTATGGAGATGAGGTGATTCTGACGGGCCAAAAGGTGATGGACCTCGCTAATAGGGGCCCTTTCTGTTCCCTTTTCCCCTCCTTCCCACCTTTCCTCTCATTTTCCTCTCCTCCTTGCTCGAGCTCATTCCTCCTCCCTTTCCTCCATCTTCAAGTTTATTCTATCCTGCGAGGTCTAACGAAGGGTCTTGTATGCTAAACAGGAGCTGTGGCCTCCTGCTCGTCCTTTTCTTCCCCCTCCTCATTTTTTCCCCTTCTCTCTTCATCTTTTCATCCTGGGGTTGTTTGAAGTTTCTCCCCCTCGTCGACCGCTCGGTTCAATCATCTCTCTCGGCCCAGGGCCACCTCTGTTTGTCTGCTCAGCCACTGTGGGGTCTCTTTTTGTAGTCAGGCCCTGTGCTGAAGCCCTCTACTGATTCCTTCAGCAGAACAGCATGTGTACGTGTGGTTGTGTGTGTGTGTGTGTCTGCATGTATGTTTTTGTGTTTGTGTGAAGTGAATTTCTCCAGCCTCTCTTCAATCACATGCAGCCCTTCTTCCTCCTTCTCTGTGGCCGGGCCTGAGTCTGCCGGGTTGGCTTTGAAATGCAGCCAAAGCTCCGCCACAGAAGAGCGAAAAAAGCCCAGAAAACAGGGTTTGTAAGTGTGTGTTTTTGAAGCACACATATGCACACACAACTACGGGAGAGCACTCTTTGTATCAGTTTCACTTTCTTGATACACACTCCCCCCTCCTGCCTCTTCTCCGTCTTTATTTTTATTTATTTCAGATTACAATCTGGTTTATTTCTCCCGGGGGTACGACGGTAAATTAACCCTGGGTAAATATGTACCTGTGATTGTTTAGAGCTGAATTGTAGCTTTGATGATCCTGTAGGGGTGCGTTCAATAGCCCTGTTGCAATTTGAATCAGCAGGGTCACCATCATTGGGTATCGGCTCATTAAAAAGTAAAGAAGGCTCAAAAACCTGCCTTGTTAACGCTGTTTTCCACATTTGATCTTCAGCGGTTCTGCAGATTTCTTCCATTTAACCGTTTGCCAGTCTAGAGCTCGCCGGGCGCCCCTGGTTGCTAGGTCAAATGGAATGATTAAACAGGAAGCAATTCATTGGTCAGATCAGGTGATATGCAGATTAGAGCCGCCTTGCTGTGCCAATGCATGGCAAAGAGAAAGCTCCAGTACCACATGCCAGGAATATTCAGAGATGGTTGTTGCTAGGGGAAATTTTGGGGTGTTTGAGGTACTTTAAGCTGAAAAAAAAATACACCTGTGCCTCTTTCATCCTGCTGTGTGCAGCACTCATCTGAATTTGGTATTCTTGACGATTGTTTCCTTTTTCAGATCAAACACATGACTGACTTAAGCTGCAAACAGCGAATTTGTCACTGTTATTTGAGAGTATTAATAATCAATAACAGCGACAAATGTTATGTTAGCGCTACTGAAGCCATACGAGTGTCAAATCAGATCACACGCACCTAAGCTAAGTCAAATATTTGAGACAATTTATTGAAATTTTGATAATAAAATGCTCCGGGCTCCTGTAATTATCTGATTGCGAGTGCCTGAGGTTCCTGCCTCTGAGGGATATTTAGTGTCATAGCTGAACTCACAGTGAGAGGTGGTCCTGATGATTAGCCCCTGTTAGCGTCAGGTCTCATCCACTCCTCAGTGTTATCCCTTAGCATTAGTCTAATGGCCCAGGAAACACAGATAATGACTCTCAGCACAGATTAGCATCTGCCTCTGCTGCTACTTCTGCTGTTAGACGCGCACACACACATAAGTACACACGGATTGTTCATGTGGACGCTGCAACAGACAGGCTATACATTAGCAAATAATTACATATACACAATGAGAGACACAAATGGAGTCCGTAGAGCAAATTTAATGCCTGGTTTGGCATGTATGTTCCTCTTTGTCTGGCTTTCATAGCGTCTTTGTTCCTTTGTTACTCATCTTTAACTTCTGCTCATCCATCATCACTGAAACTCTCTTTCATCTCCAGCAAAAGTAAATTTACCCAGGGTTTCAATTTTGTCTCAAATGGCAGATGAAAGTTAAAACAAAATACAGAATAATAACCATTTAGATTTTGTGGAGAACTTTTGTTTCACTGGAAAAAATACACACAAGCATTGAACTTCCTCTCACATCATGGCCACCGGCTGAACCGCTGCGGTGAAAGTGAGCAACACAATTCGCTTGACGAGAACTTAAAAAATGTATTATTTGGTTGTGTGTGTGTGTGTGTGTGTGTGTGTGTGTGTGTGTGTGTGTGTGTGCATCTGCCAAGAGGAGGCCCAAGGCTTTGTCTGTGATGTGTTTTCATAGGGAGGGAGGCCTAGCTGGGCTGCAATACAAATTAGCACAAGTGTGTATGTTTCTGCACACCTCTCTGCCTCTGTAAACGCATGAATTTTAACAGCCGTGCAGAAGACTATCATGTCTGCTTTGTGCATGAATGCATGGATGCAGGCGTTTGGATGCATGTGTGGCGATCCCTCCTGCAGGGCAGTGGAGTGGTCCGTAGTAAGGGTTTTTTTTTTTTTTTTTTACCCTGTGCCTGTGAAGTCTAGCCGTCCATAGAGAGGCCTCTTCAAATGCGGCTCACTGGTGATAGATGGTCACTTATGCTGCAGCTGACATCCAATCTGGCATCAGCGATTATAAAGCCCTCACTTCTTGATGTGTTCCTCTGTAGCCGTTGGACCCCCTCTGCTCAAACACAGAAAACCCATTTTGTGTCATAGGGCAATGAAATGAGGTTGTGTGTGTGTGTTTGTGTGTGTGTGTTTTAGTGTGTCTGGTGGGTTCTATGATTGGAAGGTGTCTGCATGTGTGACAGTTGAGTGTGTAAATACAGTGTGTGGTGTATTTGTAAACTTTGACTGTTTTTTAAATCACATTTCATTGTGCACTTTAAAAAATGAGGAATAATGGATCTAATAAAGATGTTTTGATGCAGTTTTAACCTGTTTTAATCCAAATACTTTGTGCCACAGTCCAAACAAAATACCAGTGCGAAACATTACAGTCTGTGCTCCTTGAACAGACCCTGTAACACCGAGCGCCACTTGACACTGAGTAGAAGCAGTAATAATATGGCTTACAGTTGCATTTGGTAGTAAATTGGCTCACAAAGGCCCAACAAACTAATCAGTTACCTTGTTGTTCTCATGGTAGCCTAAGTGTATGATTATATTAGCGCTCACCGTCGCTTGCTCAATAGCACGTCTCAGCACAGACGCCAATCAGCCTAGCAGGAAGAGTGGCGTTCCCTCAAACTCACAGAGACAACTTGTCATTGCTCGGCATACATCTCTGAATAATCAATTGGATAAATATATAAGATGCTGTTTTGTTTTTTGATTTAACTTAAATAACACTATGCAAAGTAGGGTGGGAGAAAAAATCAATACAGCATAGTATTGCGATATTTTGTCTAATGAAACATCGTATCGCCTCATTTACCAAGTATCGATTTTTCAAATTAATTGCTAATATGAAGTCAAATCTCTGATAATGGAAAAATAAAATCAACTGTTTGTCCAGTGAGGTTGGCAGAGGTGAAATCATAGAGCAGGAGAAAGTTAGTGCAACAAATATATTAGGTTTGCAAGATGTGCAACATGAAAATTAAAAGACAACGTAAATAAGACAAACATAAAGAATAGCCAAATGCTACTCACTGTATTGCAAAATGTTAAAAATCGCACTAATATCGTATCGTGGGGCCTCTAGTGATTCTCACCCCTAATCTAAAGTCAGTTAGCTTCGGTAATGATAATGATCCAGACTGTTACGACCATAGATGTGAACAGCAGATACAAAATGCCCCTTTGAGCTGTGTGCCTACATGGCAGCCATCTTGGCGGGGGCAGCTATCCCATCAAAGGCATTAGGTGTACATGGGAAATAAATTCCTATCTTGCTCATTTCTAAACCAATTTCCATGCAGTCTACTTTATTGTCAATGACAAAACATGTGCTATTAATTCAGAGCATTTGATTGAAAAAAAAAGTTCTGTTTTCATAGCATATGTTTTGATGTTAAAAAATTAAGTAAACCACATGAAAATCGGTTTAGAAATGATTTGCTATATGACTTATTTCCCATGTACATCTAATGCCTTTAATGGAAAAGTTGTCCCTGCTAGGATGGCTGCCATGTAGGCACTTTTAACGGGCTGCTTGCAGTGCACTGGCATATCTAGCTCATATATATCTGTGGTTGTGACATCTTTGGTTGTTCTGTCCTGCACACAACCCTCTGAACATTCGCTGTCAGGCATATGGGGCCAATGTGAACAATGTATTTCAGATATGAGGGGTATTTCTTTGTATTATGAGTGCAACACTTGTGGGAAATGAATATTTCCCACTGAAAATTCAGGCCTTGAACCTAAAACCACTTTTAGAAAAGCACGGTGAGCATTTCCATTACAGCAGTTGTCATTATTTAAGCATTTTTAAAAAACAAAATCTGTCCTTGTTATGCAGATGGAGTTTCTTTTCTTCCTTTTTTGCCATTCCTGTTTTCAATCTGTCCCTATTGTTCAGTCTGTCCTCCCTTCTTTTCTCCTCCACTTTCTTTGTCATTTTATTTCTATTCTTTTGATGAATACTTCATTCCCTCTCTGTCTCTTCTCCCTACCATTAATTCTTCTCATCTGACCCGTCTTGTCCTGTCCTGTCGCTCCTTGATCGCTAACTATCCCTCTGTGTGACTGAACCTGAACTGGGTTGGCATTCACCGGGGAACTGTGAGCGCAGCATGGCGACTCCTTTGAGACAACTACACAGAAATACGTTCTGGCTCTGTGATTAGACTGTGCTACAGGGTGCTTGTGTCTGTGTGTGTGTGTGTGTGTGTGTGTCTGTGTGTGTGTGTGTATTAGATTGATATGGCGCCTTAGTATGTGAGAGTCTGAGGCCTATATTTGCTGTGATTTTGTGTAAGCCCCATGCAACACTACTCTCACTGGACCCTAAAGGAGCTTAGTGCACCTTATAATAAGCCTCTACTCACACTGAACAAATAGCTGCAGCATGAGCCATTATAGAAGAACACCAGTTCAGACCCCCACAGCCTGACACTGGGTTTTCTTTGACCACTCATATCTGACTCCATAGGGGAGTCTGTGTGCAGCACAAGTAGTTTTATAACCGCCTGTCCTCTGACTGGACCTTTACAAGTGAGCTGATAGCCAACTGAGAAACAAAGATGGCAGCCTCTGTCTAGCAAACCCGATTTGTACTGCGCGTGTGTGAAACGTACGTCACTTCCTCTCCTCGTATTTCAATGTATTTTATGGCAGTTAGCCGTTACTGTTGCTACCTACCCGATCCGTACTGAGTAAGTGCAAATTTACGTCACCTTAAAAACTTTAAACTGCCGATCGAGTTCAGAAACCAGCTGGCGATGTGACAGGCTAGCTAGCAGGAGGCTCCAGGGCGCGAAATTTGTTTTTTTGGAGGATGGTAGGGGAAGGTCCCGCCCTCCTTTGCCTCTGATTGGCTAGAAGTGCTGGGCTCTTATTGGTTATTTCTAATGGCTGTGAAAGGTCATCGTCTGTCAGGTTACGGTAAGGGTAAGGGTTAGGGTATAGGATTAAGATGTGGGTTAGGGTTGGGAGATTCAGAAGTGTGATCATGTTCTGTGATGTTTTGTTCGATGTACAGAGCCGACAGCTCG